CCTGGTCGGAAATTAAAAATGCAGGCAGCGTTTGTGTGTAATTGCGATTGACGCGTATGAATCGCGCGAGCTATTTTGGTATTAACAACGTCCCGACGATACGTTTGAAGATGAAGCGCCCTGCTCGCTATATTGAACACATCATAACTTAGAAATGCAGAGATACGATGACAAGTCTTCCTGTAAACGCTTATAATGTTATTAAGTATTTAGGCAAAGCTTTCGACGCAATGCTGGTATGTATGAGGATCGTGTGAAAACGGTGGAGCGCCACATGAACTGTTTGTGCACAGACAATAAAATCAACGCTTAATTGCACGGCGAGGAGACTTGAAAATAGAAAAAGTCTGTGAGGCGAAGAAATAAATTACCCCTCATTGTGAACAATGCCGTTAACATTGACGACGATAAATTTTTGCGCTATAAATACATCAGAGTATTGTTACCAGGCTTTGCATTCGAGTCTATCAAATGTTGGAAACGCTTTATAGCAGAACGTTATAGTTTCACGTATAATTTCCGCAGGCAATGGTGAAAGGTAATTTATTGTTAATTTGAATTCATTTACTTCACCGACAATTAAACTTTATTATCGAATTTGAAACAAATTCAGTCAATATTGTTAGGGTTCTAGAAAGAGCTATGGCTATGTGTTAAATACATGTACCACTTATATTTGCTTAAGGGGTGTAAACTTTACGCGCTAGCAATTCCTAGGCGCTACTCCGCCGTCTTTGAATTTAACCGTGTATAGTTAACGTGTGTGGGCGCACGGTACATCCTCTGAGGCGAACAGATACGGCTTTCTCTATACGAAACTCTATGTTCACCTTTCAATAATTTACCTATTGCGAATTGCAATTGTGAAGGCTCACTCTACACAGGAACTCGCAGGTTATCAGTCGGAAAAACATGTTTTTCTATCAATTAATGAAGCCGCGTTCGTCGCGTTCGTATTTAAGCCATATTGTTTTCATCAAATCAGTTACTCTATGAGTTCTGTTTTGATAACTGACGTGCTTGTCAGACAGTTGGCTCTTGAAATACTGAGAGGCTTGATGATGAAACTATGTGTTAGGTCTGTTCAGTATATACATGACCTCATTGAGCGAAGCACTCAGTTGAAGATTTAGGATTAAACAAATCAAGCTTATTCTATTCTTTACTTTATTGAACAGGTGAAGTGACAAGATTATAAAAATGATTTCAAAACACAACACAGCGCTACTGCTTCTTATGTTCGTCGTTTTAAATGGAGTACTTACGGCTACTGGAAGGCGAATACATCATTGCAAACCCCGCGTAGGAATTTCAAAGATTCAGATAACAGGTTGTAAAACAAGACAAATTGCGAGCAAAGGGTGCGATGGACATTGCATGTCTTCGGCAATTCCGAAAGTTTCAGGCGTAGGAGACTTTGCCACGACTTGCTCGTGCTGTTCACCGATTCAAAGTGAAATAAAGTACTACACGTTGCATTGCGATAATGGAGTCAAGAAAAGAGTTGCTTTACCTATGGCCACGAAATGCAAGTGTCGGCCCTGCTAGTGATAATTGGCGACAGTTTTACGTTTTATTGGACGTGTGTGATCATTGTCATTGACGGTGAAATATGTCGCAAGACGAATATAGCTGAAGTTATAGATGTAGAACGCGGCAGTCATTGATGGAACATTGACGGACAGAGTTTAGATGTTCAATAAATGTGTAAATATATCTATATGTTATTGTATACATCTAACTGCGCATTTTATATCCATACTATTTGCCTTGAGCGTACATATTGGACATGGCCTGAATGACGTGCTTTCTAAAACAATTGGAAGTTGAAGACAAAACATTTTACACAGTCGATGTAGCAGTTCTTGTGAGTCAAAGAATGGTGTTTGTAAATTAAAAAAAAATGTAGCATAGAAGAATTGATAAAAATGTAGGTGTGCAATATTCTTTGTATTTCAATTGTAGTTTTATGATATAATGAATTATAAGAAGTAAAAACTAGTTAATCTGTAGTGACAAAACTCCTGAGTAGATCATCACGCCCGGGTCCAGGTAACTTGCAATGTTAACCGGCCAACTGTGCTTAGGAAACAACGGTTTGCCAGACATATGAGGACATTTCTGGAAGAATTAGCGTTTCAACAAACATTTTTATCCCGAAATCCGGGCAGAGGTGCGAGGAAGTCCGGCCTTCACAACCACAATTGCTGCATGGTGTCTCGCCACTGGCACTGATGAATCGATTTTCAAATGTTTAATTAGAGCGCTTGGACATAAAATGAAAGAATTTAGGTCGCTTAGACTTCGAACTGACAATGGTAAAGATTTACGGAATTCAGATTTGTCAAAACTCAATAACTTAGGTCACTGTTCAATCTTCAAGAGACATCAAGCCAAAGTTGTGTTAATGACGTGAAGTCGCGGTATAGTTGCCGAAGGCTAATTTCTTACGAAAATCGTCAACCTGCATGACTAGACGACTTTTGCGTGAAGGTGAATGAGTGACATTATACTTTATCAGGATGTCAAAACAGAAAATCCACTCGTAGTCACAGTTCCTATTGGCCGCCGCACTTATAAGTGACTTAACGAGTCAAAAAAGCAAGGGCCTTTAAATCTGTCGAGTAATATATTATTATTCTATGCGGACGTACGTCAGTGGCGTTTTAAAATTTCTGTAAGTCCTGTGTGTTCGACTTTTAACAGATGGATGACTGATAGGCATATTGTCTCTTGATCATTGAATCATTGGGTTCATGATCAGTAGTTTACTCCCCCATAAATTTCCTGATTTATGACGTAACATTTATGAAACTTGTCAATCAGATATGCACGTAAACAAATAAAGTCATAATATGATTACAATATTAGTGCACTGAGCCCTGTTGAACGTTTTTCTAGCTTACATTTAAACAACATCAGCAGTAATTACGTTAACAAGTTGCAGCAAAAACTCTCTGAGATCTTTGCTTTGAATTTATTTCTGCGATTTCATGATGACGTCAAACGCGGAATGCAAGATGCTTGCCCCAGTATGGGATGGGTTTGGAGATACTCTGAATAATAGGTTCCAGAAAGTTCAAAATATGTCATTAGACATTGCATGTTCTACATATCCTCGATAAGCTGAAGTGGTATGCTTTATCGAAAGGAAAAGGCCATAATTAAGTTCAAAGCCCTTAATGGTCAAACGCCTCAGTAAACTGACAAGAGATATTTGGCTCTAGAAGGGGACAGTATTAAGGCTTAGGAATTCTTATGGCAAGTTCTGATTCCTAAATCCAGATAACACAAGTTAACTAAAGTGCCCCTTGTTTTATTGGGATGCATTAAGTGAGAGACTTTCACACGGTAACCAGACATATAGAGCAAGTAGCTACAATACATTTCGTTATTTGATGATATAGATTGTGTACAATTAAAAACAAATTGTCTCGGCACTCATGTAAGTCGTTGCAGAACCAATCAAATTTAACAGTATTTTCTCTCGTTTGACGTCATTATAAAAAAGGAACGGTATATATACTTGTCCAGATGACATGTGAATGACCTGACTCATTCATTCACTTACAGTTCATCTCTTTATTGCCAAATATTTTTTCACACTGATTCTTCATATATAATCTAAAAGATTTTTAAAGCTTACAGTGGTGAAGTGTTTTTGAACTTTACCCTTTTCATTGACGCAAATAACAAGCCATATTTCATTATTAAGGGTAATTTTTCTCAGGAAACAGTTAAACACATTTAAGCGTGGCAAATTCTCGTGAGAACAAATGGCTGGCAAAGGCTTGGGAAAATTTTCTTTGCCTGAACGCTTTACACTGATTTATGGAATCTAATGTGAATATAATCTATCAAGAGACTTCCTTATTAACTGTTATACTGATTGTAGATTTTAAAGGAAACTAGACAATGAAAGGAAACCTTACTTGTTTTTTTATTTAAACGAGACGTGAAAACTCTTACAGTAATCGGATCTCAAAGCAGTTAAAGATGATTAAGTTTTGAATCGCTAAGACATCTTATTCATATGACAAATATCTAATTAAAGACAAAGTTACATCTTTTATCCTGTGCAAAAATTAAATACAATTAAATGAAAATAAAATCTAAAAAATTCAATGTTGCAATGTGCCAATTTCTTGTGGCACCAACGAAAATATGTATACCACTGAGAGGCAGTTGTAACAAATAGCCTTCAAATGTAGCGACCAACACGAATCGTTTCTATAAACTATCATTTAACTGACCAAAGCTGTAGCTAAGAGTTTTATAAATAACCCGTCCTAAACCCAAACTAACTTCAGCTTTTTACTTTTTTATATCAGGTCAACTTCACGCGTTTGATTATATACAAATAGACGTGTCAGCCTAAGGGGCGATCTAGCATGAGGACGTGAACGTCAAGACGACGTGAAAATGGCGAATAAACGGCGTGGCGTGTTCATATATAGACGTATCGCGCCATTTATTCGCTATTTACGCGGTTTATGCGGGAAATCGTGAAAATTTACTGTACTAGACCCGTTAGCTTGTCAAAATTATATACATTAGTTCCGATTTTGTCATTATTTGCCATGTTTTTGCATTGTATTATACGTAGCTCATGGAGGCTGGAGTAATTTCATCAATTTATATACGCGAATATACTGGTATATGGTATACTCAACCTTGGTAATAAATAAATTAGTGAAGGTCAAGACGATCATGGTCGAAGATACTGGAATATGGTATACTCGATCATGGTCAAATATACCGGAATATGGTATACTCGTGATTTTTACGAATATGGTATACTTTTTCTACATCTACCCCTACGTTTCCCTACAAAATAACTTCTTTCCCTGAGGCATCCCCCGCCCAGAGTCCCCCACCCAATACAAGAAGAAGGAATAATCCCCCATCTCGACATATTGCTGGCATCAACATGATGAGCCAGCGGTAAAACCGGTCTGAAGAAAAGAACTTCGTGTAACATCTACGGTGGTGACCCGCTGGCAGGAAATGTCACTTATGTCACGAAAGGAGGTCATTTCATTGTTTTTAAAAATAAGATTGATATTTTTGCAGGTTATTTATTTCCTAGAGTGGACCAGCTTACTAAAGAACTAGCCATGAACTGGAAGAAATATTTTTCTTCAATTCTGGGAATGAGTTGCTTTCACTTTTAAGACAAACTTCTTGCGAAACTGGCATTGTTACAGCACGTGCACTCATTTGTCGTTTCAAGCATATTTTGTCGGTCTGAGATGACTGGATTATTTCCAGATCTTGAACCAGTTTGTTTTATAACCGAAGAAGTACCAAGAGAGGTTTGTCTTTGAATTAACCTGCTTCCTAATATATTTTCATCGAATGCAAAACAAATCGTCCACAAATGGCTTTTATATAAGATTATTATTAAAGTTGTTATGTAAGTTAATATTATCATTTGTATGTTAATGACCAATTAATAGTTGAATATTTTACTGCAATTTTTCAATTCCTAGGGAATATTATTTCGTAGTAAATTGCTATATTTTTAATTGTGAAATGTTAATGAGATGAAATAAATTTGATACATTTATTTTATTGATAGTAGTTTTTATCAAGTAAAAATATTCATAAACAGTTCAACAGGTGGTTAATAATCTAATATGTTAACATATTGGATGAGTATGATTTGCATCACATGAACATCATTTTTGTCTGCTAATTTAAAGTGTAATGATTGGTATGAAATAGTGGTTGAGATAGATTTGTCTTGTTCCCAAATTGACTGCCTGAGAGATACAAAGAAAACTTTGACATTTCAAATAAATACTGTTTTTCTGCAGGTTTAGGATTTCAGTTGTAGTAAACGTCCAGACCTTTGCATTAAGTGTTGAGGCTTTCCTCCATAGTAGTGTAGCCAGCATCAATAATTAGTAGCCAGCATCATCCATATTCATATATTCATGTTAACAGACTATCAAGACCAGCAATTTTAATAGGAATTGTTCACACACAACAATAATATATAAGTACACCCCCCGGGCCAATTATTGATGCTGACTGTGCCATTGTACTTCCAAGTAGTATATTAATTACCCTTCTTTTTGCATATTCCAATGCATTTCTGATGATATACTGCAAAGAATAGGATAGTAAACATTTTCTTCAACTTGCACTGAAAATTACTAACTTCTTGTTTCTCTAAAAGAGGTGTAGAAATAGTTAAACACCAAAATTATATTATAGATTAGCCAGAAAAATATAAGCAGTCTCTCATCTCTGAAGTTCTTGTTTTTATCCAAAGTAGCATTATTCAGAGTCCTTGATTGTTGACTGCAAGTTGTGTTTTCCTAAGTATTAAGAAAAAATAGCTTTAATAACTGTCATTAATTCTTTATTAGGATGATGCCTTCACTGATGTTTTAAATGAAATGATAGATGAGCTAAGCTTGGGCTTGTGTTTTGAAGTTCATCGAAACATCAAGATAGGTTTTTATGAAATGCAGGAAAAGGCAGAAAAGTAAGATTTTTGAAGAAAAGTTGGAAAAATTAATTTTTTTAAAGTGAAGCAGGTAGAAAACCTGTGGACAACCTCATAAATCTTGCTTGTATTGTCAAAGGCAGTCCATGTTTTTATATACTGCAGCGAAATGTGGCAAATCACCCTAGTGCAGCGTGGGGTAAATGCTTCACACGTTTGCGAAAATTTAGCACCGATTCTTGCCTGTTGTACATAATATTTGTCAGATTTATTTCACAATACTGTATGAATACCCAGCCAGAGCCTGTAAGAATTCACAAGAAAGCAGTGGTATTCAAAAGAAATGAGAGATAAGATGATTGATGAGTATGCATCCCTCATTCATTCCTGTCCCCCATCCCCCAAATATTTTATTGTTGTGTGTTTGCTAATTGTTTTTATCATTTATCTTCTAGCATTCCAGATGAATTAAGTAAGTTTTCTCATATAGAAGCATTGCATGATAAGTAAATCCTTGTTAACAGTATATGTTGAAAAATGAGAAGATTAAACTGAGGAATGCATGGTTCATTTCTATATGTAGTCATTAGTCGATCAGGTGAATCTGAAGAACTTCATCTCTTCATTGAGACTTATTAAAAAAATGCTTCTCATTTCTGTTTCTTGTACATATAAATCATAGTCTGAAAGGAATTTTATGATAGACAATTCACAAGCAGTGTTGTATTTGATGCAGTTTTGCAAAATAGAATATAGTTATTTCTAATTAACATTTTGCCTGCAGAAATTGTTGATCAACTGGGGCTGGATGTTTTTGGTCATGGTCCTGGAAGACGACCAATGGAATGTCTTTGTCCTAACTGTGGTCGCAATATGGCTGCTTCTAGGTTTGCTCCACACTTGGAAAAGTGTATGGGGATGGGCAGAAATAGCAGTCGCATAGCAAGCAGAAGGTAGGAAATATTAAGACACAAATTTAGAAATGCTATTGTGATAAATTCTTCCTCGTGCGTTCGTTCCCCCCCCCTGACACGTTTAGTGTCGCAATGTGAACGTCTCGCGTTTTCTACCGACCATCTAAGATGCTACTAATGCCAGAATTTCTTTGAATAGGTGATGACTTTCCTGTTTTAGAGTGACAACTATTACAATTATACACTGATACACTCGGAGATAAAATAAGCTTAATTTAACCTTCATTTTCTAATTGTCCCACTTTTATTGTATTCTACGCATGGTTTCAGACTAGCAAACCCTGGCCGCCTGATTGACGATGATGATGAAGATATTTACCTGGACGACGATTGGACCTGGAATGGTGACAAACGTTTAGGTAATTATAATGACGCTACGTGTACGTTAATTATTAATCACTTTCGTTTTCGGTTAATCCCCAGTCAGTTGGAAGATAATTACAGGCAGTTCAGAAGCGAGAAGTTGAGGTTGTTGCAAAACTCCCGCATTTAATTGTTACATGTGCACAATAAGAGTCTTTTCAACTTTTTGAAAGCTTTTTTTTGGTATCTGAAACGATTGTATGTTGTAAATTCATAAACCTGTTTCTGATTTTTTAGCGAATAAGAAGAGGAAGGACAAGGTATTGAACCATCAGTTTTTAATCAACGAACCTGTCAAATGACTTGTGCAAATGCAAAGTATACATTGAAATGTAATTTCCTTTGAGAAGAACACGACAGTAAACTTTTCCATTTTCATAGAATGCCAACTCTCCACGAAGGTCAAAAACGTTCAAGAAAAATGGTAATTTTGGCATGAAACATTTTACGATGCTGTTTCACCATGCACTGTGTCGTAGAAACTAATGAACTAATGATAATCAACGCAGTAATAAAAATACCAATATGGCTGCGCTGATTGGTTAAGCTATAGCTGTGTATTATTTATCACATGCAGGTGACTCTGGACGTCCGAACACGCCAAGCTCTGATATTTTACCTGCCTATAATAAGGTACGATTCAACTTGAAAAAATCAATCTAACTGTCGATGTTTTTCTCCAGTACTTTGATTCACACAGTCTGTTCCATTGGTTAAAAAGTTTTTCCTATTTTCCCAATTCAGATGAAAGTTTCGTAGGCGGCCTGCGTCTTTCATCCACTTTTATTTCTTAGCTGAAATCACTGGTCTCACGGCAGATATTTTTTTTTTACAACAGGCTGGCCTTACACTGCAGGAATTTGAAGCACTTTCATTAGGTTGTTCTTGTTGTTCACTAGTTTTTTATATGCTTACAATTGTCTGGAAATTAACTAAAATTATGTAATTGAATTTTAGATGAAAAACGAGGTCTTTTGTCTAAGGTTAGAATCTTAATAGATTTCATGATCTGTCCGTCAAGGTTACACCTGCATCACGTCGTTTATTTACATTCTCTCCCATCTCGTAGACATGTGGTGTTATATCTGAACATACGTCAAAAATGTGTACGAAGTAAGCATAAGAAGCTCATTAATCCTGGATTAATTTCATTTTTGCACTAAAGAGAGCCCAACTAATTGCAGTGATATAAATTAACCCCTTTTTGCGTTTTATGCCAGGACACAAAAATGCCCTCAACATACAGATGATCAGAGAAGATCAATCCGGTTGCTGTTAGTTGGTAAGAAGATGTTAGAAATATATTTTGAGAAGTAATTGTTAGAAATGGTTCATGTGTGAAGGTTAGGAAGTGTTGAGCATTTATACAAACTCTGAATTATACATATCATTAGTGTATTTCTAACATTGCAGTATAAATTTATAAATAGCCGAGCAAGTAATAGTTCTGACAGTTGAGCGTTTTTATCTGAGAACATCTTTGTTCCAATTTAGGTCAAGCTGATATAATGCCCGTTAAATTCAAATCTGATGGGTAAGTTTGGTTTCTTTGTAAAATTTTAGTTAAAACTCGAGGTTCTTATTCAATTTTTTGTGGTGTTTTTATGATAAGTTACATTACTCGGTGATGTACAAGTTAATTCGGTGTTGTACTAATTGTAAAAACGCTTTTAGTTTTCTTATCGAACAAGACGAAATTCAAGTTGGTAAGTTTTTTCAATTAAACGTGCTTGAACTATAATTTATTGAGTTATGAGGAGTTGAATGTATTTGCAAAATGTTACATAACATTTTTATCAAGGCCTCTTCATTATATATTTCGTGGTTCATCCTCTATAGATGTTGATGGCTTTGACGATGGAGAAGGTCAGTCGTTACGAGACAGTTTGAACAGGTATGTTTCCAACTTGCGATATCTTTGTATCTTTCACATGATCTTTTATGGAAGACTGTGACTGAGAAAATTTGTCTTAACGATATTTAGATTGGCTTGGGAAGAGGATTCTAACGTCTCTCTTGGGGATGAAGAAGGTTCTAGATGTAAGTGTTAGTAGAAAGGGTCTATATCAAAACATTCATGATATTGTAAGTATTTTGCTGATGTATTCTTACGTGATACTTCAGCACCCACGATGAGTTCCGTGCCATCAAATATTGGCTTACACAATCGAGGAAGGAAGAAGGCAAAGTATCGAAAGCGCAAAAGTCGTTAAAACAGAATGAAAGGAGTGCAGCTGTTGGACATGCTTGTGGCCTGCTCTTCTATCTGTGTGAAGTGAAAAGCTTTGTGATGACAAGAAAGCAATGGGATTTTACTGGATCCACATTTCAAATAATTGCAACAACCGTTGCTGGATCATGGTGCACTTGCCTGACAGAGACAAATCAATTTCTGACACATAAATAATAGATCTCTGATCCCTTCCAATTTATCAGGCGGAACATTTTTATTGCTCGAGTATTGTCGATTTCCCTGATTTCCCGACCGAGTGAACGTTTCTAAGCCAGGAGAACGACACTAATGGCTCAACTCAGACATTCATGTATGTTTGTATCGTAAACGTTGTGAACATAAATCATATTTGAAGCATGTAATGCGGAGATAACACTTGTAAAAATCTTACTACACTCAGTACATTGCGTAAATTGTTGGAGTTTTTCTAAAGAGTTTAGCACGACGTCGTTCAGCAACAATGAGAGAGAAAACCTTGCGACCATTAAAATGTTGTTCTTTTCTAAATAGAATTTTTGTTTTAATTTTATCACCCACACTGTGAACTAGTGAAATAACAGAAATTCATCAATGGGCGTTACGTCAGTGTTCATGAAATTAGGATATCGTAGAATTTGACTTGAGTGACATTCTGGCGAGTGAAGTCAACATTTTTGACACACTAGACATTCACACCGACTCACCAGATCATAATATTTACGAGACCGCTTAGTTGAGGCGACTTACCACCCATTCTGCCCAACAGCAGGGAACATATTGTGATGTTGCATTGGCCACGGTGGAACGATAGTCAAGCTAATTTTTCAGCTTGCATAGTTGGTAACTCAGAAAAATATCACAATATTAATTCACCCGAGTGATCCACACTATTATTTAGGAGTGAACAAGTGATAGAACAATGGAAAACACAACTATGGAAAGTCAGTGGAGTCAACATTTATATGTTTGATTTATTAATCTAGCCATTGAACTATATTTTTGCACAGTCATGTCTGCGGAGTAGAATACGAGATGAATTTTTTTGAGGAAATTGTCTTTGTAAATGGTAGCACCGATCCGTGCAACTGACGGAACTGAATTCTAATTTTTTAGCTTTCGATTTTGTTCCGGGGGCTTTTCTTGTCTTCGTCTTGGTGTTTGTACTTTATAGTGTCTGTATACACAGAAAACATTTAACAAATGGAATATCGAACCCATTTTTAGTTGAAGAACAGTAATGGCTTCTACTGGTGGTCACAATGAATCTGTTTTGATGTCAAACAACTTGGCCGTGGCGACATTAAAGAAATTTATTTCCTCTGTGTGTCATCTGACTTTAATGCCAAATGGAAATATATTAAGGTTTGTCATTTATACTTTTATACATATTGGTCTGAACAAGTTTCAACGTTATTAAGGTTTGCTTTAAAGTTGGTTCGTGTAAGAAAATGAGATGATTTTCAACTAGGAATTGCGATTCTAAGAAATCCTACATCAATGTGTCTCTGCTCACAGGGTTACATCAATGATGCAGCTACATGCTTCCAAAAAGTTCATACTTCGATATGTTAGTCAACGTGCTGCAATCTGTTCAATACTTTTGAAAAAGCTTTACAGAGTAGAAGTATTTTTTTGTCAGTTACACGATAAGAAACAATTTTCAAGAATTCTCTATTAAATGATTTACCAACTATTAAAGTTTAGCATCAAATGTGGTATAACTACTGCCTAAAATAGACAAAGGGCCTCTAAGGGTTTTTTAGTTGTCAATCACAAATAGTTGTCGACAACTAAACCCCTAGTCTGTGGAGGCCCAAAGTCATAAGAGTCACAAGTCTCCCCTAAACCAAATTTCCAATTTCTAAAGTGTATTTTTTAAATAATGCAGCAAATGTGATAAAGAATCATTCGTAGATGACCATTTTCTGCTGGTCATTGTCTGTCGACTATTGACCTGGTATCTGTTGACTTGCTTCATATTATTTGTGTCGTATTAACAGTCAGTAAGTGAGCCAGTACACTAGAAGGTTAATTTACTGCACCTCTTCCTATTCTGTTGTTATTGCTTTACTTAATAGACCTTATGCATAATGATAATAAGAAGCTATGACACCTGCAGAGAATTCTGGTCTTGGTACTCACGGCGGGAAATTTGAAGTTTGAAATTTCTTGCCATGACTACTAAAAACAGAATTCCCTGCAGGCGTCACAGCTTGATACGTCATTATGAATAACGTATATTAGCTAGTGCTTTGGTACTTGGTTTATTAGATGACCAGAACTTACAAAAGAGTTACAAGATAGCTTTGATCTTCTTAAAAACAACTTTGAGAAAATATGTTTTATATAATTGTGCTTTAAAAATGATCTGAATATATTTTTTTATTAATTTACATATAGGAAAGCTACTGGCTTTCTTGCAAAATTCTCTATTGGTGGCGACAATACTATGATGGTTGTTGTTGTGACAACCAACCATTTTGTCTCTAGAAAGGATGAAGCCAGCAATGTTGAAGCAACATTTGAATATGAAGGCCAAAATGAAATCAAGGCCATTCAACTAAACCCAGAGATTTTTTTTAAAACGGATAAGGTATGAAAAAAATATTACTGTTAATAAATTTCTGTAGTGAAAGAATATTCTGTAGTTATCCAGAAATATGTCTAATTAAACTTCTAACACAATATGAACTTACCTCATGTTTTATTTCATTCTATATATTATAATATTAAACTAATCCAGGCATTACTTGCATTAATTAAAATTAGTGATTTTTCAACCCACAGTAAGCTTGTAAATAGCTTAATATTTTGTTGTTCTAAAATAACTATGTTCAGGAGCATATTTTCTTTGATTAGTTTTAACTACATGAATACTACAGTACCATGGATAATGAAATGAGTGGTTATGAGAATGGACTGACACATAATTTGACAACCTAATTGAATTTGTGATTTTGCAAGTATTTCATATACAAGTATGATTCCACTCACCACCAATATGTCAGTTCTAGTCATCCAGTATGAACTGCCCCCTGAGGTGTAGGGTTCCTACTGTAGCTATTATACAACAGTAAGAGCTGCACATAATTCATTTTAACCCAATGCTGGCCCCACACCATGTAAAAAAGAAAAGCTAATAACTGCTTGCCACCTATGTAAGGGCATAATGATTACTTTTTTAACTCTTTTATTTTCCGAATTTAATTTTTTAGGACCATGATTATACTTTTGTGGGCATTAGTCCACAAGATATTGATGATTTGCAAGTGGGATTTGACGTCACTCCAGTGAAGCTAGAGAAAACCAAGTTTTGTGTAGATGCCGATGATATTGTTTATATTCCACAGCATCCTGGTGGAAGACCAAAGAGAATGAGTTGTTCTAAAGTAACTCACATAACACAATCAGAAGTATTTTATCAAGCAGATACATCTGGAGGTTCATCTGGTTCTCCTGTGCTTTGTGTTCAAAACAATGATATGTATGTCTTGGCTTTACATAAATCAGGCTCTGAAACACTTCTGGATGGAAGAATTGCAAATAAAGGGATATTGATGAGTTGTATTTTGGATCATGTATGTGGACAAAGAGGTAGGTTTCTTGTGTGGATAGGTTGCCTAGCCTCGTGCATCAGGTTTGCATGTATTTCAATAATGTAGGTTTTCATATATTTCATATTTTCATTGGGTGCAATTTTTGCACAGGTGATGACGAGAGAGCACCAAACAATGATGGAGCATCTTCAAAAGGTAGACACGAGTCTGGTGCGATTGTTCAAGACCCAACCGCAAATCAAACAGAAAAAACTTCAGGTAGGAGTTTATGTATAATTCTAGGGAGGAATTTGCACATGACTCTTACGTAATGTACAGTCGGTAGTTTAGAAGAAGGCAGGATTAGATTTGCAACATTTGGATAACATTGCAACAGTTCAAGATTGTTTTAAAAAGATTGCAACAGACCTATATGGTTGTTCACATTCAGGAAGTGATACTCTGAGCGAATTTCGAATTTTAAGAAGAGAAATCTTTCCAATTCTTGATAAATCCAATTCAATGAGTGGATGAGCTGCCTTAAGTCTCTGTGAGATCCGTTCTGCAGAGTTTTACGTTTTTAGTTGTGAATGAATTGATAAAATTATCAAATTAATAATTTAGATTTAGCGTCTATTAACAATGTGGCAAAACGTGATCCATCCTGTGTTCAAGAATCAGGAAATGCTTCGTCAAAGTCATCTTCAGCAAGGGTGTCACCATCAGTGAGCCCTCAATCAGCGGCATTTCCAGGAGGTAAGTATATTGCAAGTAAAATCATTACCAGCAGGCAATTTGATAAAATACAAGAAAAAACATACTCCGAAAATGACATCTTGTAAACCCAAAATATGAGCTATAGACAACAAGACAAAATTTAAGGTGATATTTTGACTTTATTTCATTCTGGTTTGACAATGAAAATCGCCTTAAATTTTGTCTTGTTGTCTATAGCTCATATCTTGAGTTTACAAGCTGCCAATTCGACTCATACCCCGTGCCTACAGTGAAAGAAATATTTGTTCTTCACTACCCTAAGCAGTATTTCTTCTCATCATATATACAATGTGTAGGTAGCATTAACATTGTAACATGGTCAAATACCCAGCCTATCATCACATCACATTTTCCCATTCTTTCCATGTATACTCTTGAGATAACTGAGTTTCATTCAACTCCAAATGTTAATACCCGCACGTTTATCACATCATATAAATAGTTGATCTTGTTTTTGGTAACGGCGATATGCGGAAAGTTGACCATAAGCATATCCGTCTTCTTGACATAACGTGGTCTTGGAAATAATATATCATCGCTATAGTAAAACACCGTATCGATGTTCAGCGCTTTTACAATGGTAGCTTTAATGGTAGTTTTTTGCCTCTGCGTGCGGCGTTCATATCAGTAAGGCGTTTATTCAACAATATTTATTTTCATAGGTCCTCAGCCATGTCCCAAAGAACCCATTTGTACTGAACCATTTGAAACTAAAGAGTTGATTCGAATTGCACAAAGAATGGGGGCAAAATGGCCAATTGTGGCCAAACAAACAGGAATGTTTAAAGAATGGGAAATTGATAATATCATGAGCAATATTTCACTTACAAGTGATATTTTGAAAGCCGATCGAATGTTGACAGATTTTAAAGCACGCTTAGGCACGAGAGAAATTATTGCTGAAGCCATCGAAAATTCGCCAGATCTAAAACTGGCCCAAAAAGTGCGCTCTGGATTTTATATTTGGAATGTTGACTGATGGAGTTTTATTATAGTCCAGTACTTCGTGCTATTTTATTAGAACATTCACCATTGGATTGTCAATTTTTTAAAACACACACAATTAAGATGATCAGTTATGTAAGTTTGAAAAAGTTGCCATTTTACAAAATTTTGACACATGAAAAATGAAATAGCGCGATCATGTTTGCTGTGAAAACCATTATCAGATACTGTCGAATTAACATCGAGCTAATTCTGAGGTTGTCAAATGTTCGAAATAGTAAAATTGTTGCAGATCTTTCTAAGATATGGATTAATAATCAATGTGGCAACATTTTTAAATACCCTCTTATGAAATAGTTCCAGCAAAATGTACTTAAGATTTAGGGATAGAGAAGTTGTTAAAACAACAATCGTCCTAATCTTGTCTTAACACAAATACACCTTTCTAAAAATTGTCACAAATGTGACTTAAAGAAGTCTTGGCTTAGCAGGGGGTAAACGTTTGCCTAGAAACTGACCGGCTGGCAGTCAGGACTTTGCTACAAGACGTTTTAATTACGAAAAATGAAATGACATTATTGGTGTCACATTTACTGCTGTAGTGAGCTGTACTACCCAAGTAATATAATTTTGAATCAGCAGTTTTATTCCGCTGTGTTCACTATTGATATATGGGTAAAAGATACATTAGGAGAAAGCCTACCATAGCATTGACCTACGGTGTCTAGTTTTTGCAATGTCCTGATTGAACAGCGGTTGCCCAAATGTGTTACGTTTGCCCGTAATTGCCCATGTTTGTGATTGTGATATTTGACTGTTGTACTGCAAATGCAGGAATTGTAAGAATTAGGTGATAAATGTAAGCATTTTAAAGCCTCTCCTATGCATGTTCGATCGATGTTACATTGTAGGGTAGATTTTTGTAAAATTAAGTAAATTGATTACTGCAATAAATTAATTTGCTTTACCGCACGAAAATGTATACTTTTTAAATAAGATTGGTTGTAAAAAGAAGTTTAATTTTTATCGTCAGATATTAATGTATGATCAACGGAATAAGACCGAATTTTTTTCTGCAACATCCCATAATGAATAATTACGGCATATTTTCTATAGAAACAGATATTGTAATTATAATCATAATTTGTTTGCGTTGTCATGGCATCGCATCATATGGCTTAACAACTTAATTGACTTGGAGTATATTTGCCTAGTAGAGAAACCTTATGCGTTGCTTTACCTATGACTGTTCAATGTGCACGAAGGACGATCGAAGATAAACGAGAACATTTTATCGAATGCACCAAATCACGTAAGCTGAATTTGATTGAATCTTATTATTGACTAACATATTCCAAATAATTATGAAACAACCTGCCGTGCGAAAGTCAATGCCAGATTCACAATATGAACCTGGCCCGTTCAACTTCTCATCTCGATTGGAGTTTGAAGCGAAGTCTAATCTTCTTCGTTCAAGAAGTGATACGTGTCTTGGAAAACAACGTCAACGATATCAAACGAACAGCTTAAAGAACTCCGTTAAAATTAATCCATGGACTGTGCCGAGTATCAACTTCACATTTTACGATAGTAAACCAAAGAACATAGAATTTGAAGCAAAGAAAAACCGACAATATCATGAGAAGCCTAGGAATGAGGAGTTTGCAAGAATACCTCTCCCTAAGAGGTTAGAAAAACCTGTGAGTAAAGATACTAAGTTCGTCACGTCGTTTCGTTCACCGAGTGCAAGGACATCGAGGATAATAGGGGTGAAAGAAGGCACGTATCCTGCAGGACCCTACAAACCATGGGGTCCTCATGCATTCAGAGGCGATGATTTCAGACCGGTGAGTATCTGGTCCTAAGGAAGACATTTTGAGTATATCTAGACCAAATATTCCAGGTTGAAATTGAAAACCAAGGAATGGATATAAAGAGTGTTGAGTGGACTCTTCTGAGCTGTATTTTTCCTAGAATAGTAAGAATACAACGATTATGATAAGCTACATTAGGTCGTGACTGGACACGTGATGCAGACCTGAATCCGAGTAACCAAATCTTTCTAGACAACAGTCTACACAACAACACAAAATCGCTATAATATTTTAACTGTGAAAAACTGTTTCTAAAACCAAAAAAACCCTGAACACACTGTTTGGAACACATTGGGTATTCCACGCAAGGACTGTAGTCTAATGTCGAATTATATTCAACGTTTGTTAAACAATACTGAATACTGAGCTGCGCATTGTTTGTGAACATTTATTCAGGATGGTGAACAGCAAAATAAAGAACGAAAACCGCCATTTGTGACATCATATTCTCGAGATCGGAGAAACTTGGAATTGCAGAGGAATATCAGTCAAATGCAAAGTTTAAAATGCGAAGGTGAGCGATGGGTACGCTTGGGTGAGTGTAAGGTGAGCCTGGGTGAATGTGGGATGAGCTTGAGTGAGTGTAACAGTGTAGGGTAAGCCTGGGTAAGTGTAGGGTGGTGTAGTGTAAGCTTGGGTGAGTGTAGGCTGAACCTGGGTGAGTGTAGGCTTTTCATAATCCAATGTCATTTGTAGATCGTAACAGGTCTTGCACAAGGGAAGAAAGACCAAAGCCTTTCCTGACCAATGCAGAACAACAACCGAAATGGGATCACAATTTGTTTTTGAAAAAAGAGGTATGACGAATGCAACAGCTATTGCATTTGAATGATTTCGACAAAACTACCCGACTCCCTTGAGTTCAAATGCACGACTATAAGTCTATAATCACTGATATTGGCAAATTTTGCCGGAATTTGGCGCTGAATTCGCTACAAATCTCAATTCGCTCATTCTGGGGCAAGTCCCCCTTGGTATGTATATAAACACAGGTTTAGAGATAGCTATCCCCACCCTTTGAAAGCCTTCAACGTAAATTAATTTGCATCACATATAGAAATATCAAAGAGGGCTTTCAGAGGAGGAAATACGAATGAATAGAATTATGAAGCAACTTTCATGGTATTCAGGTGACGTGGTTGTGGAGACACTAGACCGTCCAGATATTAAAGATTATAAACTTGTAGATTGGTTGCGCGTTACTCGACATTCTGAAGATGAAACGACCGTGCTGTGTTGATTTCATTTTACGACAATTGCGTCGAGTTCTGATTTAGGATAGCTGTGTCAGTGCACGATAGAATGACTGAATAGTATGGTATTCGTAAATTAATTTTTAGACATTGATCAGTTAGACTTTCAGCGAGACAGCGACCACTCTCTGATTGCTATATCACTGACATTGGCTCAACCACTGCGATTTATTTCACAAATTAATCGGTCAAGCACAAAGTTAATGAACACCACCAAACTGGTCTGTGAACAAACGATATGTGGCAGGCTGGCAGCCACTGACCTATACTAAACTGCTGTAGTTACTCTAGTATAGGTCAGTGGTGGCAGCTCCCCGCCCTGTATGCGGGTTGTCTCTTTAGGATTAGAGAATACGGAAAAAATGTGATTTGTCTCATAGTTTCTTTATGTTTGAACGTAATGCACCAATTTTCTAGACTTCAGAAACGTGTTATTAGTCTTGGAAATTTGAAATGAAAGAAGAAAGGTCTAAGGTTTCTAATTGGCCCTGATCGAGACGCAAAAAAAGTGATCGATAAGCCCTTACACTCCCTACAAAACCAAGTACCGCACTTCTGCAAATATGGCGGTCGATTCAAAATTGAAAACACCTAAACTTTTAAGAGCATTTTATAAACTGAACAGTTATAAACAAATTTCAGTTTCACTGCAGTTTCAATTAGTGCAAACGTCATTTTGGTGAAATTGATTCGTATGGGACTCCAGATTAAGATTTTTTAATTTTGGAAGAGACACTTTCTGTCACCAGTATTATAACCACTCACCAATGAAATGCAGGTATTGAATAACTATTATTTTTGGTGTCAGATTTGAATCATTTGATATAAAAAAGTCACTTTGATGTGAGGTGGTTGAGGAATCGTTTTGATAAAACATAAAAGGTATTCATGAGCAATAGCATTCGGAGGGGATGGCAAACTGGCAAAGCTGTGCAGAAAAAGTGGAGCTCCCCCATTTATTCTGCAATTGAGGTGATTGCATGAGGTCTGTTATTCTGAATATTGCAAATTTACAATGATGCACCATTGATGATACCTGAAGGGGTGGGTAGGTTAATTACTAGGAATTAGCCATGTTTGTGCATATATTGTGTCCAGGGTGCAAATGGTGCAAACAAAGTTAAGAGATGAAAGAAGCAGATAGACATCTCTAAAGAGGCTGTCTACAACAACCTGCATGCTTCAAACACCACTCATCACTAGCCTAAATTACTAGACCTAGTGGCTAGTGAACTGCTTAGCCTCAGCACTGGGTTTTGAAATATTTATATACAAACAAAAATAAATGGCTTTTTAGCGGGCAGGTGTTTTCCAAATTAGGATTTGGTGTTTCTTATTGGATATAAAATCTTACTGAATATTAATAATGCAATAGTTTAACAATGCTAATCCTAATTAAATGGATGTTCTTTGACATCCATTGACAAACTAATTGGCTGACAAGATAACTAGCAGGCAGGTGTTAATTTCTTTCTACCAAAGAACTGCTATATATATTGCCACTTCTTCTTAATCTCTTTGCTGACAAATATTTAAAGGAGAAAGGAGCAGATTTTCTTCTTAATTAATACTGAGATAGAAATACAGCTATACATGGTTGCTATTAAGGTCTCTTCCAAGTCAGCATATTTCTAAATTACTCACAGGACCTAACAGGCTTTAGATTGAAAGCCGCCTAAAATTACTTTGCATCAATGCTTTGAGTGCAAGGTTGTATGTGGTACGTAATGTACATCGTTTTTCCAACTACATGTGCAAAAACATTGTAATATTATATTTTTTCATTTTTTGTGTGCTGGTATTAACGAAATCAGTGCAGTATATAATATAATATTTAACAATGGAATATTGTCCGCGTAAATTTGTAGTCAAACAACAAACGTTGAAATTTTATTCATTAAATAACAACATCATTAAAAAAAATTCTTTTGGAGAATTTGTTCCTAGCTTAATGTCTTGAGTGATAAATACACTCAATAATCATTGAGAGAGGATTTCTATTGACGTCATTCGAGTTCAAAGGGGTAAAATATATTCGCTAACAAGATCTTAATAACATGATTTCAGTCAAACTTGATTGAACTCCACAGAAACCTTCACGCTAGTGATTTATGAGTATAAGAAAGGTAGTTTAATAAAGGTCATGCTACCTACAGTTTTATACAAAGCATCTCTTCTCCATCTAATTTCGCGGTCAAAGTTTTGGGAAAGGCCTAAATATCTTCAGAGAAAATGCAATTTTTTATGATAGTCTCTGGAATCTGAACAGTTTAAACTTTATATTTTAAGCCATTTTCCCAGCTTTAGTTTTTTTTTCTAAATCTTTTTCATTTACGTCGTAAATTCACAATATTGGTGCAAACTTGAAAAGAAAAGCCTGACGGAATGCGTAGTTTTTGTGACAACCAGCGGCAACGTGACGGCGCTTCGACATCTCGTGAAAACCATTTATTTTATATCTTGGAATTGTGCCATTTTCTTTTTGGCACACTAGATTTGATATAAAAACAATTTAAAAGTCACGGGGTTGATATTTTATGGATTATATCTTCCTCTGTTCTTTCAAATTAATATATCGTTGGTGGTTTGTTTAGATTATAAACGCGGAAATGTTGCAAGAAATGCGGCAGAAATCGAAGCTCCGCCTCTAAAAATCACAGGTAATGTAGAGAAGTATATAGACAGTATTTTGAATTGCATGCAAGAGGAAATGATCGAGACGGACAGGGTAAAAACGATCAAAATGCCTCCAGTTTGTGAAAATCAGATTAAACAATCTCTAAGTATACATGTATCTGCACATGAGCCTTCTCATGATTCTATTGTAAATATGATATTCTTTTCCATACTAGCTGCGCCACTTAATCAATTTCTAAAATTTCCTTTTCTCGCCTTTATCTGTCATAAAATACATGGAGCGATTTAAAACAGGCGAGGTATTTCGTGTAATATATTCACCAGAAAATAAACCTCTTATGGGATTACCAAATTGAAAGCGGAAATCGCCCTCATTTACAAGAATTGTTTTAAATCGAGAAAAATGGCGCACGACTATAGGATTAAAAAGGTTAATCCAATACTCGAGAATACGTGTCGGTACAATAAAGAAAGCTTAAATGGAGCTACATATATATATATATATAGTAGATATGTAGAATTATAGATATGAAGAATGATTAAAATAGAAGGTTTCCTTTCGATATATGCGCATTGCTCACATGCACCCCAAGCAAAATCACAGTTAAAAATTTGCCATCATACCTGACTGATGAAGTGATAATCATAGTTATTAAATGATGACAAACCCTTTTCATCTCGCTGTCAATTAAAACAGCGAAATATCATAATGGGCAAGAGGATTACCCTCTTGATGATTCTTTTGCTAAATTTTGATATATTGGCAAGACTGAGGTATAATTTAACACCAGAGCTAGAGAGAGCAATATTGAATCAGTAAGGCTGGCAAGTTTGATCGCGAAATATTGTAAAACGAAGATAATTTAGACGTGCGAAGTTGACATATTTTGAATATATTTGTGTCACTTGCGGAAAACAATCACTTTCGGCTTAAAGATTTGCAAATGGCTATATCTTTTCTCATATTTTGTAACCAAACTTTGCAGTTTGCAGGTTCAATCTTTCTGGCTCTGCTACATGTTGGGTGTCATTCTTCTTGAATACATCAAAATTCACTTCAGCTGTAATCATCAATTGAGCCTGTATAAAAGCTTGACTGAAAGCATTTTTATTTCTATAAGCTCTGCATGGTCGAAAATCACTTCGCGGAATTTTGTATCTTGAAATCTTGATTGATAATAATTATTCCGCAGAATGTTCAAAAGATATTCATGCAGTGTTACATGAAGTTAAGAACAATCATGGATTAGTAAAATTTTGGTAGTTTATTTATAATTTCAACTCTATAATAGAAAGGTGGAGGCAACCGCACCTTGATTACGCACATCTGCGCTGCACTTTTTCATTTGTGGCTTGACCTTAAACAAATTATGGGAAGTTCACTTATTTTCCTGCTATAATCCTGGCTGAATTTTTCACCATCAGTCTCAGCTTAATCAGTAAAGATTACACCACACCCCTTTCAGTTGTGTAAATTCCTAATAGCTTGAAAATCATGATCGGTATAATTCTGGCTGGGGTCTGATTTGATTTGATTTAGTCATTTTCATCAAAATTCATATCGTGAAAAACAAGCGACATATTGCCGGAGCCGGACTCGTGCATTTGACCGGCTCTTTAGGCATAATTTACATTTGATCATTGTCTGTCGCCACAGTGATAAGTCGTTGATGTGAAATACTTTATATTGGGTTTTGTGTGGGGTAAGTTTTACTCATTTCAGCAATAAAAGGATATTCTTACATCTACCACTTGTCGTGGTGACAACAAACAACAATCAAGTTTAGCAAATGTAGCGGCAAGTGAAGTCACACATCCGCCGGGCAGGTTCACACGCAAACGTACAGAACAATATCAATGTAGTATAAAAAGTATCAAAAGTGTAAAATTTTTACTACAAACTAACTTCAATGAAGCAAAATTCCGTGAATCTGTTCGTCTTTACTCTTTGCGGTATAGACTCGTTATTTGATTTCCAAGGATTTATATTATAAAATCAATTCCATTAAAACAAGGTTCTGGTAATAGATAAATTTTACTTATTTATAGCGATAAAGTGGAAATTATCTTCACATATGTATAAAACTCTTTTATTTCCTGAGGATTCTAATTTTGTGATATTTAAAGCTTCATTGCTCCATTAACTTAAACAATGGTTTCCGACTTTCCGGAGCACCTTTTGAAGAAAGCAAATGTCCGCGTAAATCTAAATTGTGCCCGTCCAGGTCTGATAAACGCATAATAGAGCCGTTTTAATTAAACGCCAGACTGAATTTTGTACTTTCGCTTTGAGGCCTTATGCACAACAAACATTTAGGGTGATTTGTTTATCGGAAATCGTTTTGTACTATATCTAAACCGCAGAGGCGCCGAGTAAAGACAGTGCATTAAATTAAAGCGCATGCGTGTACTTGCCATCGCAACTGTTTTGTGTTCTATTTCTCTTCCAAGTTGTATATGGTTGTTTAGAACTATCATGCAGGGAGAATCTACGGTGATCATGGAAGCATGTGGCAAAAATTCCAACGATTTTAATCACTCCATGCATAGAATCATAGACATGGTGTTATTTACTATATGCACCAACTATCGATGATATGTCTAGCTATTTCTTATTTTCCTTCCTCTCCTGAGAAACTTATCCTTTCAATAATCTGTTTCGGATTATCCTCATTTTGATGTCTGGGAAAATAGAAGGATATCGTTGATAAGAACCATAAGTTCATTTATTATACTTTTCCCTTTCTAATATAGACTTTGATGAAATCTTAATGTTGTGTGCAAAGCGCTTTGTTTACCAAAACGTTTGCAAAATAAGCCAACCTTATCGACGCCCTTCATAACGGAAATAATCTATAACCCTCATTTCTGCTGGACGGAGCGCGCTAAGATATTTTGGCCCTGAAATGACTTGTTATTGCATGGTTATTATATATATATATATATATATATATATATATATATATATATATATATATATAGTTTATAAATTTTACAAATATAGAGAAAAGATCAATTGCTAATGTTAAAAGCGCTGATATTTTTGCGTTAATAAAGTTTAAAGCGCATAAAACAATTAGAATATGAAGCATATTATACAAAGTATGAATTCTAGGGAATCATTTATACCTAATTTGAAGACTGAAATTTTGCTATAGTCGGAGCGATTACTTAACCGAGTCTTGCAGAATATGTATCATGTTTAGCCTCGCTGGCAGCTGCTGAATGTATTTTCACATACTATGAATTTGATTCTTAGTTACATGGGCTTTAAAGGTATTGAATACAAAGAAGGATTATCTCACTACTGATACAATTAACACATCTTCATGTTGTTATAAATATCACATGGATGATCCTACAATATATGTGTCGATCAAGTGTACAGATTCTTGAAATAATGCATTTATCCGTTTGATGTCTTTTCAAAAGATATACCGCGATGTCGATGGATAATCTTTCAAACTTGTGAATAGAGTGAATTAAGATTTTGAGTTTAATCCGTTCATTTACTCGCAACGATTCTATTCGCATCAAATTCAAGTAAAATATGAAATGCTTTTTATTCAGCGCACTTGTTAGTTTATATTTTATCAAAGTGAACGACGAAATGTTCAGGAGAACAATATTTATATAGGATATATTCATGGATGGGGAAATTTCTATTGATTCGGATTGTTTGGTGAAATGCTAAAGGAACTATGATTCAATTCAGTTACTAACGCGTTTTACCAGTTGATGTAGAAACTACCGTTGGTTAAAAACTGATCTTGAGTTCAACTGTTTTAGTGACGTCAGTATTCGTCAGCTTATCATTGGTTAATAATGCGCCGGAAATTAATCATGGAAATGAGGGATTTTCGAAAGAGTTCCAAACAACTAAAGTGAGTGTGGAAATTTTGGCTTTGATCTTGAACAACATTTAAGTTAAAGTCAAACCTCTTGGAGGTAATAAACTTAATCTTGCGGAGTGTAATTACCAAGTACTTGATAATGATCCACCACTGTGTCGGTTCTTTTGCATATCGTAAGTGAATCTTCAAACTGATTTTCGGTACCACGAACCGAAAAGGCAAAATAACGTACATTAAACCGCAAACACCGATGTATTTTCGCCTAACACTGCAGTGCAATAATAAGTTATGCAAGAACGATTTCAAACATTAAACAACATATAAACACTATTTACGCAGAGGAAATGCTTCTTCTAAAAATACTCATCAGGTTCTTCCGTTTTCATTAGGCGCAAATTGACACGTGGAGGTTTAAACATTCAACACGCATGCACCTTGAACAACGTTTCATTATTTGTCTGGGTTTATAAACATTCCGCGACTTTTCTATAAAAGTTTAAACTATATGCCAGACTAAAGTAGATCTAAAAAGTACAATAAACCATGTCTAAATTCATTTCAAAACACCGTGAACAAAATGATGAAAAATTGATGCACGTATTAATGCATTATATGACGGATATATAATCAGAATATGCTATCTACGTTTTACTTCAGTTAAAAGTTGATTTCATTTCTTTATTTGTTTTACTTTAAGTTTAATAATGTATAATTTATTTCAGTATAATTGTGCAATATGCATAGTCTTGAGCTTCGGTTAGCGATCAGTTGAGCTGTGAAAAACTTATAAACTATATAAACCTTCGGACGGTTGAATATAACTCCGCGAAGCCAGCGTATTTAGGTACCTCTGAAAAGGTTTATTTCTGACTAATTTCAAGCTATATATTTCTGATTAGGTTTTATCACGATCATTGTAATGCATGTGGGTAAAAAAACAGAATTCACCGTCAAACTATTTTCTAATTGCTTTTCATGCTATGTTTCTTGTAGAGTTAAGCCCGGAATAGGAAAGCCATATTGAAAAGTTGATAGCGCCCCAAAGTCATGTCTGACTGTTTTTCCTGCAGGCTTTTGATAGAGTTTTGTGTTGAATGCAGTATAGATCCATAGGTGCACGATTCTTTGCTGAGGAAATCGTCAATGTTTATCTCCTGAGAGCGAGAACAAAGCGCGGTTCCTTCTCTCATCTTGCACCGTTAATTACCTAAAAGCGGGAATAATTTAGTTCACGACAATTTTGTTGTCGCAAAGGTCTTGAAACACGCGTTCAATTTGATTTCTTTATCGGACGGTTGCTCGCAGTGGTGACCAATTAAATACCATTGCAGGTGTTCTGTAATTTTGCCGACTGATTTTAACACGGACGCTATTTTATTGCCTTTTTAATGTTTGTGTGGTGTTGTGTTATACGTTTGCTACAATCTCTAACGAAACTTGGTTCAAGCAATGCCCCAAGGGTGGTAAGTTAAGCATCCCCAAGATGGAAATATCGTAAACTTTGAGATGTGACGTGTATTATCGATAAATTATTCATTACTCAAGGATAATTGGCCGAAATAGAAAGTTCCAGTGGCATGACAGCAGAGTAATTTTTATAAATGTTTTCAACAAGTCTATTAGAGATGTTTTAAGACATCTGTTTTTATCATAAGGAAAGATCACCTACTGCCGCAGCCATTAAGACACCCTCGCAAATTTTATGTCGCGTATAGATAAATACCTTCTGTTGAAATACAAAACAATTTCGCTAAAGATTTCCCGCAGATATAGTTAACCATTGAAGTAGAAGAGACAGCAAAGAATAGAACTATATTGCATGTATATATATGCAACCAAATATTCATTATTCGAAGAAATTTCTAAGATTTATTATACTTTCAAAGTCACACTGCAAGCATAGACTAGAGTAGAGTTTTGGATATTATAAATATTCTTAGGAATTTAGTGTCATAGATCGCATAAATATCACATGCACAGTTGTTAAACGATGTACTATTACATGGACTAAAAAAAAGCCAAACATAAGCTACTAAGATCCAGGAATCCAAGCAGGCATGACATTATGCGCATATCGAACATTTGGACAAATTCAAACAAGAACATCAAACTTCTGCGTTCAGAATCATTTCATTGTTTCAGTCACAATTAAAATTAAACAATTATTGCAATATTTCAAAGCGGTTTGTCCATCATTTCAATTTTAAGGTGTACATCACAATGAAAGCGGCTCCGCAACGGCATATAAGAAGAGATATAGAGGTGCTACAAATATGACATTGGTCGTTACTTATCTCGAGTTATCTCAAGCATATATATAGACAAGTATAGAGTCTATAGACTATAGTACACAAATAAATACTGTCCAATATCGTCAGGAGGTGAAATAAAGTGCGGTAAAGTTAAGAAAAGTAACTTTAAGTGGTTAAAATAAAAACCCTTGTCTTAAATTCTTATATTCTTTAACAAAGTGTCCGTAATTAAGGACAAACAACTGAGTAGCTTCGGGATTTTCTTGTCTAATCACAATTAGCGAATTGTGTTCAATTAGCTAGTCCACTTAAGTAGTCAAATTGTATTTGAATGAAGATTAAGATATTTTGGTGATATATTTCCATGGCAAACTCAAGAGTTATCACGTTGCCTCGCAGGGGTAGTTTATCTTACACTGTCCGTCGGCCTTTTATTAAAAAGCAGCAAAACATTGCTCTTAGCACGAAGTGCATACCCAAGTGTTCTAGTAAACAAACGCCTTTATTACTCTAGTCTTGTAAAAGAAGTGCTAATCTCGTTATAGCACTTCCTTATCAAATAGAATGATACTGCGTTAGCTTTCGAGATTCACATATAGATATTCTTAATATACAAGATATCAATATACACGACATGGCCGCGACAGTCAAAATTATTAAACTGGATTTAGTTGCGTCAATAAACTAAATATACGTCAACAAATTTGTTCGGCTGTTTTTATTACGTTACATATCGACGATAACGAGTTTGTAGTTTCCGACTTTGAAGTTATGCATGTGCATGCACTTGGTAAATGTCGTATATTTTCCTTATCTGTTATTACATGCAATTCGTAAAAGATCATTCACAAAGATACCCCTCTTATATTCTACAAGATTAACTATCAAAGCTACCACCAGCAAGGAGCACAAATTATTAAAAGAAGGCTTTCTATCCACCGGCGACTTGTAAAGAGATTTTTATTTAGTAATGTCGGACACTTTAACCTCTTGTTTTCGTTAAGTCTGTCGAAGGATTAAAATGCCAGTAAAATACGAAGAGATCACATTCTCATCCGATCTCTTTCCACAAAGTAAACTGTTAACACTCGAGTTGAAACAAAAATATGTGAGTTACGAGTTAAGATGTTCTGTGATTTGGATTTTCAACATGTTACATATATAATAGATTAGTTAATTAAGGATCATTGCGTGGTGTAAAAGTTTGCACGACTGCGTCGCTTTGCAGTGTCGTTTACAGCGCCGCTATTTAATTCACGAAATGGCTATTTACTACCTTAAACCAACAATTAATTGTTCGGCGCAACGCGTTTAAATGAAGCGGCACTTGGCTCGATGCGCGCTTCATTATCCTTCTGCTTTTTACCTGGCCGGTGTGTGCGTCAGCCAATCACAGTTCAGAACGGAACGGAACTGAATCGACTGTCTACATTTGGCCCGCAGTTGGATTTTACATTAGTAATTGTGAGGAGGTTCTTCCGGGCCGAATCAATATATAAGAGAAGTAACTTCGTAAGCGTATTCATTCTTGGACTGCTAGAACTCAAGAGAGGAAAGATGACTTCGCTCAAGATTGCTTTGTTTCTCGTCACGATCCTACAAACTCCGCGATACGATGTATTTGCTGATTCCAGCTCTGTCCCACCATCCGCGGCAAGCCCGACTAGTACGATCGTCTGGGAACGACGAATAAACGCTAGCTTGTGGCTATTACAGAACAAAGCATGCAAATTCTTCATGTCGAATGGCAACTGTACAGAGCTCAGATCACGAACGAGAGATGCTATGAACTTATACATGGCAAGTGCTGACGAAGGCAAGTTGGTAGCTCTCTCACCAGATAAAATCAAGCTGGTTCCAACTTCCTACGAAGCTGTCCTAGTTCTAGATCCTTACCCAGAAGCAAGTCTTGGTCACCCAATTTTAGTTTTCTTTATTGAACACTCGCGAACTCGTACAGACTGCACAAATAACAGAAAATCTACTTTCACTGGTAAGTTTTTCATTCGGAATATTGAATTTTTATGAATTGTTCTGTAAATACTTTAAATAATTTATCATTTTAAATTGCATATTCATTTTTCATTTCTTTTGGGGCGTACTGTGTATTCGTTGGATAAATGTTGCGACCGCAAGTCGGTGACTGGACTAAGGCAATTAAATCATTAATGACTGAAAAACAATAATAGCGCCATTCAAAAATTATCACGGCCACTTTGAAGAAAAGTGGCATATATTTGATTTCTGCTATTTAATTTTTTGGCGGTTCTTTGGTTCCCGCAACGCCCTAAACGTTCCCGCAGTCTTAAAAAGGCAGCGAAATAGCCAGTTATGATTTTGATCAGTTTAAGTAAGAATGCATTTAGATAGCCCAGCTGTTTGCTAGCTATCCACACATTTTTGTCTTTTATGACGAATATGCGATAAAAATGTATTAAATTATCAACAAAATATGGTTCAACAAAGACTTCATGTCTATCTGGAGAATTTCAACAACCTATCACTTAAATCTGTATAAAAGTTTCTGTAATCTCTATAAATCATGCAAAGGAACGATATTTTCTTGCTTAGATTGTAATGCTCCTTGAGAACTCGGCTGTAAGGAAAAGCGATTGGAATTCAGATAATGCATTGTAATTCCAAGTGTAATTACTTTGAATGCTGTTATTGGACGAAACTTTATTTTGTATTTCAGATGACAACGAGTGTGTAACGATTGCTCAAAAAAGTCGTCGTTGCACAAATCGCCTACATGATCGGAGACGAAAACGACGCTGCGATATCAATTTCGTACCGTCCGTCTTCACGAAAGCTAACAGACATGGTCCACAGTTGCTCGAATGCAAGTCGAAAATTGCAGGGTTTGCAGATTGCCCCACCTCTCTGACCGTTCATCCACTGAATGAAAAATGTCTGAATACAAAGCGTTGTGCTATTACACCAAAAAATATCAGACAACGTCATTGTACTGCTTCTTGTGACTATGCAGTGTTGTTGTCTGGGGGATGGAATAGATTTACAGCCACGACAAAGTCGAAAGATAATATCAAAATGATGTGGAGATATTTGAGAAAAAACCATTTCAAGCATGAAAACATTGTGACCTTTGTTGGAAATCGCTACTCAATTGAACGTAAGTTGTCAGTTTTAACAAATAATCAGTCAAATAAGCCGATTGATTTCTTAATACTTGTATCTGTGAGAGAAACGTCTTAACCAAATCCTGTTTATTCTGTGTCAGAGAAGCACGCAGTAATTACTGCGTAAATGCTGTGTCGTGCAGCCATATATAAACACTATGGGTAATTTTCGGTAGTTTCAAACTGTTTATATTTGGATATCTATAATCTCCTACGCAACGCACTAACACACTAGTTCTTTATAGGGGCCGGGTAGGGTGACCTTATATTAATTGGCGGTAACTTTAACTTAATCGAATCATATTTTGACCTTTGTTTTCTTGACTAGTGACTTGTGACCCGAACAAATACATAAGGTGGTAAGACCAAAGCTAATGCTGGATGAAGGGAGATAATATCTCGCCGCTATTACTGTAGATTAATGATAGATTTGTTTAAAAGATGAGATTAGCGGCTGTAGATAATGTGATAAGTCCTCCACAGATTCGGCCGCTCAGCGACGTTAGCTTGAGATACAAATATCAAGCATAAGCGATTTTTATATAAATTAATATTTCTACAATTTCAGTGCAAGTGATATTATCTTAGAAACAGCTTTTGTCCTCACACTGACAGATTATCCCATTTATAGTATTTACATTCACAAATGCAATCAGTTTAAAAAGCAAGCCAAAGACGCGATATAAAACATCATAGCACGCACAAGCTACCGACAAACGAAACTGCGGCTTGGTTCACGCTGAAGATTGTCACTTGTCGACCACAATTACGTTATTGACACTAAACTTTACTTGAATACTTTCAGGTGCATATCCTTGCTAAGAGACGTTGTCTTCTATCATCTTATTTTTTATTGCAAAAACTACTTTAAAACCAACGAAAATGCAAAATATATGTCGGTATAAGAATTACGAAATATCTTATCTAAAAGAAAATCTATACTTTTGCTCTGCTATGCCCACATAATCATATATATATTCCCCTTTTTGGTTATTTTTAAAAACGTAGAAGAATTAACCTTTGACGTTTTCCAGATGTTCTCTTGACGCGCTAACCTGCATGTTTGCAAATATCTCGATTAATCTACAGTCGGAGTCTTTGCAACACTCCCCGACATTTATTTATTGCATTCCAACCATTAAGCGATAATCGTTCTAACTGTTTTCCTTTCTCAACGGGGGCGAGTTTATGTCTGGGTGACATCCGAAATACCAAGGGAAACTGTCGGATGTATATATAGTTTCAGTAATAACAGATATTGTCTCAGGACTGTGATCCATCATTGTTTGTTGCAAAATTATGAATTGTTGTTAAGGTATATAAATAGGTCATTCTCCCTCTTTCTAACACTAGGCGTTTATAAATAACCTTTATCTTTTAAGAATTGTAAATCTTTTACGAATATTTTTTATCATCCTTACTGCTCTAATACATGCATGTATAAATTTTAATTTACACTATCCACTATTGCATTTAAAGCCCATGCAAGCGTCTTGTTATATGTTCTTGATTGCTGTATATTTCGTAATCTCAGTTATGAAGAGAAATTATCCATAACTTGCATGCTTTGAAGTCAATAAAATATTGAAGAATTATTATTCATAAATCATAAGAGGGTCAGTCACCTTGTTCAAGGTAACGGATCAAGTTATTCAAGAATAATACTCTTTCAAAATGTTTGGCATACCATGTGGGTTTTAAACAAAACACTTATATCACATGCCTATGTCACTGCACAGTGGAACGATAAATTAAGTCTCATTTTTCTTAGTATCAATTCATGATTAATGGAATCGTGTTGATTTACCTAAGCTTCTTTACGGATCCTAATTCGGTTAAAATAACAGTTTAAAAATGTCCAGAATGTCGGATTCATATATTGTAAATATGTGTGTCTTGTAGCAATAGTATACGATTATAAATGATAGGAGAGCTTAATTTTCACTTTACTTTATATGCAATTCTCATATACGCATGTGGTCTACGTGCGGATATAGGTTGTTCCAAACTAAGTCTTGTTGAGTCTACTGGTATGACATTGCCAGGCTTAATGTACGCCCTTTTTGTGGTCATTAAAATTAGGTGTCTGGCCAAGCCCAGCTTTAAGAGCTTATTGCTACCAACAAATCCGGTGAAAACGCCAAAGGTGTTAAATATGTAAATAATCTTGACAACATCTTTTTAAAAGAGATAACCGAAATATTTTAAGCTAAAAAGTTTCCTTCTGTTATTGCTATAAGTGCGTGTAGTGAAGTTGAATATTCTATGGTTGAAATTTCACACTTGATTATTTCTGTAACGTTTGAGATGAACTTATGGCACATACTGCATACGCTGTGTTTCTTTACGTCAATTGCCGTCATTGACTGCAATATATGAGTGCTTGTCCGTATCTTCAGACATCTCAATTTCTAATGAAAAAGGCCGCCGGATCATTATCTCCCTGCGTTAAATATGACAAACAGATAAGAAATTCAATTCCCTAAGTTGTAAATGTACGCACGTCACGTATGATGTTGGTATTCTGGAAATATGAGCCGTTTTAAAAAACTCCTGAAAGAAATTTCAACATATAGCTTACACCATGTGTGGGTTGCACTGTATGTGTTGGTATAATGGTACGGCGTGATTATTATGTCAACACTAATATATCTTGCAATGGCTTTAAGCATTTGTTTTATACGCTGCTAATCTAATTTATGTGAAGCACATGCTTCTTCATTAGAGAATAAAATACTTTTTTCGTAAGTCATTTCCCGAGAGTGTTCATCAAGGTCAGTTACCTCTCAATTCCCTTACTTTGTCTGTTTGTGTTATAGATAATTTAGGTTATAGACCATATAGATTTAGGTTGTACTCTAAGTTACCATAGTAGAGACAATCATTGCAATTAGGTATGACCTTGGATATCACAACGGAAAATGCATGGGCCCCGAACATTGGGCAAAACACTTTCCGTTACAAAATCAGTCACTCCACCTACCCCACCCTCCTCGTCCCCACAGAGGAGGGAAGATTTAGTACACATCAAGGGCTGTTAGCTAGGACGCTTAATTGGGGGTCGTAAATTCATGTATTCATATTTACATATCATAGGAACAATAGTGTACAAAAGAAATCAGCAAGGCATAAGAGTGATAAGACGAATATATAAATATACACTATTCTAGCTACGGTCTTGTACACGTCACCTTGGGAGTGAATTCCATATTTATCTTTTTAAAATTTAACCTTCGGTAGAAATTCTTACGAAATACAAACATGTCTCATGCATCGGTCAAAACAGTATTTCTTATATAAATTACTAACTGTTGAGTGATGTTATATGTCTATTGACTTAAGAGGAATTGCATGTTATTTTAAAGACACGAAAAAAAAAGATTTTATAGGCTACCTCCTTTGATTTCCTGTGGATTACCCTGAACGTTTGAACAGAAATATGAAGGATTTTCAACCAAGTTACAAGTTTCCCAAATAACATCTTATTGCTATTATATTCGACTGTTTAGCTGTTACTATCGCAAAAACTTTATTTTCAAAACTAGTTGTACCTCGTCTTTAGGCCAAGTGTGTAACTCATGACCTTGAGTTCTCTGTCAGATTCGTCAGATTGATGTGATTGCGAGACGAGAAAAGCCTTTTCCATCTAATCTTAGCTGTCGTGAATAATCTTAGTAGAGATTGGTTAACATGCAGTAAGGGTAAAAGCGTTTATGGTTTTGAATAAATTCTCAAAACGTAGAAAAATAGCTGGCGTGAAGGATGTAAAATAGCTCAAGTTTACAAAAATATCAGTGGAGTCTTTGACGATAGTATTTAGCCACTGTTATTATTTGTCTAACTTAATAAACCTTTGCCGGCTCGTTTCAGTTAAGAGAATATTTATCTGACCTGGTGGTCCGTGGTCGAACTGAAACACCTTAGCGGTTGCAGTGAACGTGATGATGAGGAGCAACTATTCATTAATTACGCCTTTTTTTCGACTGGATTGAAGTGCCATTAACCCCAAATATGATTTTTTGGTATGCATAACATTTAAACAAACAGAAGATTTTTATTGTTGTTAAATAAAAAATAACTTAAACTTTAACACGCAATAAGTTTAAATGGCATAACAACACATACTGAAGATATTAAGCAACGGTTTCTAGCTAGAATAAATAATTTATTGGGGAAAATTGAGAAATACACCAGATGTAGTACATCCGTCATCAGTTGCAAATTTATATTTTCACTTATGAGTCCATTACGTTGACTGGGCTCGCTACCTTTACCGGTCTAGCCGCTAATTATAGTATTCCTGTATTCATTTTCGCAATTTTCCATGGAGACCAGATGGGTGTGGCGCTCACCATTTTATTGTTACACCGCTATTAAACACTCTTTTTCTGGAGTGTTTTGTGGTTTCTTGCGGTTGTTAGGCCGGCTTAGACATGATCTGTTAGCCCAAATTGCCAGACGTTTTATCCCGACAAACGGTTTTAATATATGCGATGTGTGTATGCAAGTTATGTTATATTGTATGAAAACATATTACACATACCTTTCCTGTCTCTTATCCTGTCAAAATATTCATTAATAATAATATTAAAGCTGATACAAGATTTATTTAACGAATTTTGCGAACTCAGACAAGTGTAAGACAACAATGTTATCATAACACCATCAGTATGTGGGCTGCATACATAAACCGAGAACGTGTTTGATCAAAAGTGATTTTTGGTTGCGATGCACCGTGCATGCGTACTATATTCGCACCTACTTCACTATTACCTTATCGGAAAAATAATGTACTCAATTATCTTTTCCCATAGTTGATGGCAATCCGAAGACTAAAGATAGTGTACCTGCTGAAGACGAATTCAAAATTCGCAACCAGATCAAAAACTTGTGTAGTTCATCCTGTGTCGATTCTCTTGTTATCTATTTGAATAAACCAACAAAGAGTAACGGAGCAATTCTTATATGGGACGGAAACAATGATGGTTTTGCCGAGGAGTCAGAAAGATATGAAATAAACGAATTCTTTGAAGATTTGAGAGACTGCAAAGCAAAACTAGTGACCGTTCTTGCAGATCAAAGTTTCTCTGGTCTCCTTCTAGAAAAATTCGGTTCAGCCAGACGACATACTTCACGTGGTACTCTGAAGAATGTGGTTTTTGTCGTGGCGGCGAGTTCTGATGGATACAGTACTCGTGGTAGTTTTACAGAAAAATGGGTTCGATATTCCCTACCAAGACAAAATAGACAGCGATGTTTGAGGAATGTTATTCAGGTTAGTGAAGTCATTGAGTTTCCATAGACAAACCATAGAGTTTCCTTACCATGGTTATGAGATTTATTTCCGCACTATTGATTTGATTTGATTTTCAAGTGATTTTCAGTTCGCCAGTTCTTCTAATAATAGCTGATTTATTATTTTGTAGGATATGAAATCGCTGAGAACCAATCAATTCCAAGTAGACTACGACAGTTCTTCCCAGAGTTTACTTGACAAAACCATATATGGCGGGTCATGTGATCAATCACTGCATGTCTCAAGAAGAGAGATGGGTTGCCGCTTCCTCTCAAGGAAGGACAGATACTTGTACAGAATCAGAGGATAAACTTTTTGTGTCGTATTGAACAGAGCAAAACATCTTCATCCGCGGGTTGGAAATGTATTATGTTTTGCATCTGGCAACTATCAGACAATGGCGTGATGCAGTCAGGATAGTAAACGTTGACTTAAACTGTATGCCGCCGCCTGACCGCAGTTAGCAACGATTGTCTAAAACCTCAATCTTGTTTTTCTCATTAACCCTTTCGCTTTGTGTTCGCTTTGTGTAGAATCACTACTATGATTTCAACGTTTTCGTTTGCAATTCAGATTTGCATTCATTTTATCATTCATTGATTTCATTTTATGTATTCTTTTTTTTTTATTTCTTTATTACTGATTCCAATACGAGGTAGACATCACATCTCTGAGTTAACCGTAAATTGTAGTCACATCTACCGTTTCATTTCATTATGAGCAGTAATGGCAGGTCACGCGAAAAGCATTCTGTGTGTCCAAATGACATTCATTTGGTTATTTCTAGACTCCAAGGTTTTATGAACCAGATCAAATATTTTATATCATTCGGCACACACTTAGTCTTTGGTTGCAAGCATATGAAACGTGCTTTCCTTAAATCTGCCAATCTGTAAAATCATTACATATGTCATATTTACAACTAAAATACTTCGACCTGAAAGATTCACTTTTATAAATTGAAAGTCTAATTTTGCGTCGTGATTAATATGAGAGGTTTATCTCAGAGAAAAATGTATTTATTACCAAAAGGTCAATTCAATTATTTCCATTGCCGATTTAATGAGTCGAATTTTATTTTGCTGATGCAAAGACCTATACAGCTAGCTATAGGGTGGTAGATTGATTGACTACATGTAGAGTGATAAATTGTAAATATTAAATGAATTATATATAAAATATATTGACAAACCTTGCCTATATAAAATATGGAAGGCTTTGTTGTAGTTGAACAGTGTACTTCATATGTTATTTTCAAGACTTTCTTTTCAGTAATTGAGAGGTTATATGACGTGTACAGTTTCGTAAAATAATAAAGTATTTTGTTTGATATTGTTATCGATATTGTTTGATAGTGATTATTATTGATTTTGTGAAGATCTTCTTTAATTTTTTATAATTTTGTAAGATCTTCTTCACACACGTGAATATACGCAAATATAGACCACTATATGATCAGTGGTTGCATCCAGCAGCTGCATGGAGTAAAATAATTTGGCCGACCATGAAGTCACATGAAAGAACATGAAAGCACATGCAATCACATGGAGGCACATGCAGTCATATGCGGGGTTTATATTAATACAATACCACAAACATTTAAAGTTTTCCGCGCGTAAAAAAACGCGTCAGTGGAAAGCAGCCTTATTAAGTAAACGTTTACTTTCAGCCGAGCCATTTCCTTGTGCTGGGCAGCAGCGTAGCTAGAACGATAATTGGGGGGGAGGCATATTTATATATTCATGTTACGCAGTATTCATTTCTTTTGAAATCAATTGTCTTTACAGCCTGTTAACATGAATATATATGAATATGGGTCACCCCAATTATCAATGCTGGCTACGCCACTGGTGCGGGGGGCATGGTAAGCTTGGTTTAGACGTTTGACTATAAACACTCTTCATCACACTGAATAATCGTCTTGATTATGGTCTTGGGTCTGTAATGGTTCTAACATTTATTAAGAGACACAATGAATAATTTTGTGCTAGAGTTTAAAGCCAAAGGATGCAAATCACGCATTTTAGAATTTAAGTAGTGGCTCTTCCTATGCCCCTGCAAGAGATATAATAGTCCTATATAGGTTATTGCTGAAAGCAAGTATCTTAAATTCTTAATTTATCTTCAAATATTTCAACTATGTAACTAAATAACTATTTAAAAATGGATACAAATAAAGACATTATGTTATGTGAACAATATTTTTTTACATACGTAGCTCAATTATATGGAGTTTCTATTATCTAAATTTTCGATATCAAAAACGTTCAAAGCTGTTCGACTGCTGGTTACGACTTTCTGCAAGCATATAGTATACCACACCAAATAGAACATACAAGATCATAACTAGAGTGTTGACAATTTTTGCTTCTCGTGTGAGCTGACCTGTCCTGTTAAATGCAGATAAATAAAATAATCTTAAATATAATAGTCGTGTGCATTATTTGTAGACGATAATGTATCCTCAAAGAAAATAAAGAGGGTCACGCATGAGGATGTTGGGCTTTTATTCGGCTAATCTGCAAAACCCATGGCGGAACAGGGCCTAGACCTACGTTTTAGTTAAGCTGCATTTTAGCCGACAGAATTGAGAACGTCGCAATTTAATTCAAACCTAAACCCTGCAGGCTGCAACATCCCACGACGAGCCACTATGCTGTCCTGAGCTTCTCTGCTTTTAGTGAAAAACCTTGCTATCAATTTATGCTATATATCTTATATCCAATATTCTAAAATCTCCCACCTGTGGTAAAATCTTGCGATGCCATTAATTGCCGTAAGTATCGCCAGTAGGACGATTATTTTTCCAGATATTGCGTGCCATTTTGCGACTTTTGCTCGTAAACCATCAGGGAGCCTGGGGAAGAGAAAACTCAAGAATCCACCAACCAGCTGCAAAGAAAATAAAATTGGACGACGTCACAATAGTTCGTGCTGTACTCAATATAGAGAAACATTTTGACTTTTACCTCACCTGCAAAGTAAACAAGCCAAATGTGACCAAACCACACCAGCTATGTATGTCGACAAAATTACTGTAGCCGAAATCACTATGGTACTTTAAAACTGCGGCTAAACCAAGACTCGCAAATAACAATGCTGTTAATTGAATTAAGAAGTGGATAATCTTCTGCCAAAATTTACTGATAAAACCTGGAGATAAACGGTATACTGCGGAACCTATAACAAATGAAATCATTGATATCTCGCCTTCAGACGTGTTCAATAGATATATTTACGTCCCCAATTATATAAGCTAGAAGTGGCATTTTCTTGGGATATATAGCCTATGTTCGAAATCAAATTTAATAATAAAATTCCCACCACAGTTTTACTACATATACAGGGTGTATAAAAAAAAAGGAGACCTTTAGAAATCAAGCTATTGTTAAAATTTGAATGCTTTTTCAATTGCATTTGCACATATGCTAAACCGTAGTGCGTGAAATATTGATGGCATGCATGCATACATATTAGAAAAAGGAGATCTTTAGAAAATGAATTGACGTTTGTACACAAGATTGTCTGCTCCTGGGAATTTGAAAATAACTTTATTAGCATAAGAAAAAATAACGACCCAAAAATATTCAAATGCATGACTAAGCACAAACGACTAAGCACAAAAGCGATAACAGTATGCGTGGTAAATTGCTTTAGCTGTTCCTTCAAAACATGAATAAATATTTGTTCATTAATTTTAGGGCTGTTCACATGAGTTAGAATTGACTTTGAATCCGGAATGGCTCAGCATCCCATTTTACAAACCCTGGCTATTTAAATGTTTACATGAGTCAGGAATGAATTACAACTTGATCTGACACAGATTCACTTGACATTTCGATCCGGATTGAAAATTACTGATAAATTGAACATCAAAAAAACTGAATGTCATGGACCATGACCTCCAACGTGGCCTCCATTTCTCTCAACACAAACTACCGTACGCTTGTGCATATCGCGAACTGCTTTTCTAATGACGGCAGGCTGGGTATAAGTTAAGACTTCAAAAACTCTTTGCTCCGAAGTCAGTTGAACCATTTTTGTTCTGGTAGTGTGCTTAGTCATTTGAATATTTTTGGGTCGTTATTTTTCCTTATGCTATTAAAGTTATTTTCGAATTCCCAGGAGCAGACAATCTTGTGTACAAACGTCAATTCATTTTCTAATGTATGCATGCATGCCATCAATATTTAACGCACTACGGTTCAGCATATGTGCAAATGCAATTGAAAAGGCATTCAAATTTTAACAATAGCTTGATTTCTAAAGGTCTCCTTTTTTTTGATACACCCTGTACATCGTTGTCCATGTTCTGTGTTCTAACTAATTAAAGTTGGCGATAAACTTAAATTATTCTATACGTCACAAAACAATCCCATCATGCAAAGCTGAATTGGAAAATGTGACAACTGCTCGTCGGTCAAAATCTTGTCAAATTGCTCAAATATTCTTGTTCAGACAAAATTTAATTAAATCCGTTTTAAACGTGCGAACACCTGAACCGGGCGAATTTTAGCACAGTCTTGTAGATATATTGCACAATCAACAAAAGTATATTTACTCAACCCTACTACAAATCTGTCTTGTATTAAAAGTATGTTGGACTACGACGCACTCATGAAGTAACACACCACTCACATTTGAATAGTGTATTGTGAACTGTACCTGTTGGAGCGAGAAAAATAAACCCTATCATCATAAACAAAGGATGATAATTGAAGACCCGTTGGTCGTGATTCCATTCCCCAAATTTATATCCATCATGAAAATGCACCAACCAATATATTATTACAGCTATCGAAGTCAAAGAAAACATCCAAGATATGATGGCTGCGATTTGAAGACGATATTGTATCATTTTGAAGTTTTTCCAGCGTCCAATGAACAATAATCTGCGATGTGATTATGCACGTTGTGTTTTCCTGAAATATCTGCTGTTGTAAATGTACATGTTTATATATATATGCGTGGTATATTGCTTATCATTTCCTGTCATCTGAGACTCATGTGACATGCTCACGTAATATGATGATCCGGTTCACCTTCAGGTTTGAAAGGTTCTTTGGCCCTTCTTTATGAAACTGGAAAAAATTATCTTCTTTAAACAAACTAAAACTTTATATGAAAACTTTATATGAAAACTACCTGTACTAAGTACACAGAAAACAGAAATATTTTTATTGTTGATCGAGAAACACTGACATGTGGTTAAATAAAGTGCACTAGTTTAAAAACACTAGGAACTAGAAAATATGAATAACAGTTTACATACATTTAATGTTTAAACGGAAATAAATTTTGATATCTATCGACACTAAATAATGAACTGATTTTAGACGATAACAATGTGGTTCGGATGATGTTCAGCATTTAATTTTTTCTAAATATTATTTGAATTATATTTCTTTCTATACTGGGGCGCAAATCAAGGATGTATTTGACCCCCCCCCCCCCTAATGAAACGACCGTTCAGTCCTGATTGGCGTTGATTGTTTTAAGCCCGTCACCCCGTAAGCCAGGCACACGCACGCTGGACGTAAATCGTCAACGCGACGCGAATTTTTGAAGCAAGGAAATTTTGAGATTTATGGGCCCGAGAGATGTGACTCTGAGAATTCAAAAATATGCAAAAATCGCGTTGCTCCCGGTGTATAGCGTCCAGTGTGTGTAGGCCTTGCAAAATTTGTTGGTGCGACGCGGAAAAATTTTCCTCTGCGATTTTGAAAACGAGCCTCGGTCGACTCTAAAAGTTTAATTGCATTAATTGTTAAATAGTATAATTGTATAAATACTCATAAAAAGACTGTTTCGAACCTTCCAGCCTCCTAAGAATTCCTTCGTTTTGCGCATGTAACTGATAACCTGTGCGCATAACCAGCATACGAATGCAGTAAGAAATTCGCTAGGGTGCATGTGTGCGCAGGCTATACACCAATCATAACTCCCATGCCATTTCCTAGAAATTTGCGCCCCTGCCTCTCTATATGTTAAATCAGGTTATATACGAGGTGATAAAGCTATCAGTGCAAGTACTAAGGTAAAAAAGGTGGACATAACGGATAAAATCTATCTACTCGCTGTCATATCTCTCCAACATGACAATGGCGCGTTCTTTGTCTGTTAGACGACGGAATTCATCAGGAACCAGGACAGCGAGGACAGTGAAGCAAAATACGATAAGAACCAAACCCAAGAAGTTAGCGATCATCGCTTCTGTCCCCAATGGCTCACTATAAATTATAAACATAAAACATTTTTCAGAATCACAACAAATTAATTTAAAGTGTTGTAGAATTAAAAACAAAATGAGTAACCCGGGCGTGTACTAAGGACATGCAGTGTACTATAATGACCTATTAGATGTAGCCAATTCATAAAACGTTGTCCTATGTAGTCAATCTTAATATTGGACTTTTATCGCGCAAGACATGATGGGCATCAACCTATGTTTACTCTAAATACCATAAGGTATTTCTGCCCCAAAAATTATTTATCAAACGTGTGTCTACAAACATTTCCTCTGATAGAACGCAGCTAGAACAGCAAGTCACACATCACTAAAAGTTTTTAAGTTAAGGTTTTCATGAACTACGTTTGAACCATTGTCGTACATTTTGGAGTCATCGATGTTTTGTGTTATTCCAATACAGCATTGAGCGACCGAAGCAACGAAAATGGAAACACCAAAAAACTTGTGTAAACGCAGAAATGCTTCTTTCGTACTTTCTGCAACACCAGACAAAACAAACACGATGAATCCAAACGCCAGCTATAGTTAAGAGATTAAAAACATTTGATTCATTTTTGATTACTAATATTTTTGAATGCTCATTTTTGATGGTTGGTACAGGGACATACATATTAATGTTAAGTACGAACCTGAAGACCAAAAACAACAACGATAATCATTCCAATCCAAGAATGTAATGATGTAATGTTTTCTTCTCCTTTATGATCATGGTGGCTAAACACTGCAAGCAAACTGACCACGACGAATATAAATGATGCTGTTTGTAAGCATAAATGCACCGTTTTAACAACCACTTTAGATTCATAGCGAAATACACGATATGAAATCATTGCTGAGGAAAAGAAAAGAATTTAGTCAGCACTGATTGACAAGATATTACTTAGTTTTATTATGACTGAAAATCTAACAATGATTTAACATTGCATGACCAAGACTCAACAAACGAAAGGGCGAGGTGCATTTATTCAGTTCTGTCCAACGAATTTCCTTTGCAAGCATAATCACTTACAAACGAAACTTGCGTCAGACAGATCGAATATAGATAGATAGATAGATAGTTAGATATGACTGAATATGACCTCCCCCCCTCCTAATTATCGCGACTATAGTTATACAAATGTAAGACGCACGGTTCTTAAGGCTGGCGGCACACTAGAGCTATGTGCTTAACAAAACGTCATTCGCAGCCATTGGCGTAAGCCAGTTGCTCTAGTGTGCGGCGACTTTTCCGACGACTTTTGGCACGAATGACCAAAGTCGCCAGAAAAGTCAGCCGCACACGAGAGCAAATGGCTTACACCAATAGCCACGAATGACTTTTTGCTAAGCACATAGCTCTGGTGTGCGCCAGCACACCAGAGCACAGATATCCTAGCTATATGTTTTACATTAACATGATTTAGTAACTTCTCAATACCGATACACAAGCTGAAGGGATATGGCTGCTGTTCATATGACATAATTCGTCATAATCCGTTGTGATTAACATCTCGCGTAATTCGTTGTTAGGCGAAATCCATTCATCCAACATATGAAACGACGAATTACAACGAATTATGTCATATGAAAACAAGCCTTTATTTACAGCAGATGTAAAATATATTTATGAGCCAGAGTATACTTGTTATGCAGTGATGAGTATCATTCATGCGTGTATTCATCGAATCTTTGATTCTCTTTTTCAGACCAACCCTACCAAAATATGCGAGTTTACATTCCACTGAGGAAAGCATTTGGTAATTTAAATGTTAGGCCAAGAAACGGTCCGCGCGGTTTAACCGACGAGGCTTTTAGGTGTTAAAATTAGTATTTTTGCCTTGTACTATTGTGAAACGATTTATGGCGTGGATTCCCTACAACTCGCATTCTATTGTGTTAAGAGGAAAGCGCTTAACCTCAGTTTCCGTACATCTTGTAAAAATTGCAACTCAAGCATTAACATTTTTTTGCAAGTCCCAGCGTAGATGGTCCTAAATCATGGCCTAACTGGACTATTTTTGCTGATTCTAATTCTTGCTATAAAAAGTTATTTACATATGCTTTGAATACAAGTTATACAACATGCTGATTAAATATGATTAGCATAATATGAAGTTCGTAATAAGTTGATAACATAGTGATAACGTAATTCTATCTTTATTTCTTAACGTTAAATATTTTCATGCAATGGGGACTTACCAAGAATGGTAACATGTTTGAAAGTACTAATTACTATTCTAATGATCTTATCCACTAAGCTTCACAAATGTGACTCGCGGCGACAGACCAAGTAATAAACGCACTGTAGTGGAACTTTGGTTACATGAGTTAATTTCAAATTTTCTTTAAATCTATTTTCCAAAAGGTTTGAGATACAACAGGCAAGACTTTCTATATCCCGAAGTAAACAAAATACTATAACTTACCTTCGGCGTTCAAAAAAACGAGGCCAATAACCATGAACAGGGGATGATAATTAAACTGCTTTGTTGATCCATCCCAGGCAAAACCGCCTTGGTATTTCGACAGCCAAATACCAGTCATTATCATCGCACCAACACCAAATAATTGTGAACTGGTTACGGCACAAGCGAAAGCGGTTCGAGGTAAAAATTTTTCTTGTTTTGCTGGCATGATAGTTCCTGTATATAGTCTATAACTACAGGCTATCAACTGTAAAGATTGAAAATTTAATTACACGAGTTGCTGCATGATTGTTCATAGATCACCATACCTTATTAATAACATCCTTTAACCAATCGTCAAATTGAGATATCGTGACTGAGTTGTTTCGACCATTGAAATAACGCAAATTAACATGACTTACCGTTTGGCAATTGTGTTAACACACAGTAAAAATAATGTGGCTTCTTCGATATGTTACTGCTTCTCCACACTTGAGCGATCAAGTTTGAACTAATATTCATTCTACATATCATTAGAAGTGGCATGGGAATTTGCATATAACCTCTATTTTTTTAACCATTTGAATTTGGGTACATCGTATTATCACAGTGGCAAAGCGAGTGAACGTTAAGTTTAGAGTCTGGATACAGACTTTATGATTTTAAACCGCGCCTATATATAATTTACTTTGAAAGTATGATAGAAAATGTTAAATTTTAATCACAAATATCAGTCATATCCGGCTATTCATGCAGTTCTATTGCTGGAAAGCGTCTGATCCGTGACTGAGTCTGAGGAGAACAGAGGTGAGACGTATAAAAACTGACATGTCGCCGAATAATGGCCCCAGCCTTATTTCATGTACACGGTGGTTTTATTTCTACTTAACATTGACAGCATTTCCTGCAACACTTGCCTTGGTCTTGCGATAGTAACAACGTTATAACGGAACGTGGGTGCCTACAAAGCCAGTCATGATATGGTCAGAGGAGTAAAACAGAGTTCCCCAAAGAAAAATATTTTCGTTAAAGTTCACGCGGTCATGTAATGTTTCAGCCAGATTTCTTGATCTCCTATACTGCTTCCCAAGGCAATAAAGAATTGCATGCAACAGTGAAATAAAGGTTTTATGCCCGGGAAACTGAAATACATGATGTAGACTAAATACGTTTATATTGTTTGAAAATGTGTCATTGTCATAAAAAAAATTACTCATCATTTGTTAGCCTACATGATTATCTTTTAAGACTGCTTTCCGCTTACGCGTTTTTCATGCACAACAGCACACGTACAAGCACGTAAAAGTCTAATATGTCATATTTGAAAAAGCTAGTTGAATAATGAATAAAACTTAGTTTTCCCGCATATTTCAGTATGCATTTGTTAAATAATAAAACTTTGGGAGCATTTAGGGGGTGCTTAGGGCTGTTTTTCAGTTTTCACCGTCGCTTTTTTTCATGTAAGCACACGCACGTCGTATGAATGTCCATCACATGCATTCACTTTAGGTAATAACCACAGGTCAGCAAGGTTTTAGGGCACTGGGAGTAGCTGTCCCAATTTATTTTTTAGAATCTCCGTTAGGACTAAAATAGTTTAAATGAGTACCAATATTGAAGGTAATGAGTTCACGGCAACCAGGTATATAATCCATCATAATTATCGCTACTCTGGTTTTAATATATGAAAGTAATCACCACACAAAGATTAACTTTCACGACCCAACGTTTCGACACTCCGGTCTAGTGTCTTCATCAGGGGTGATCTGATGTTGAAACTCAGTTCCTTATACACTCTCAAAATGACAAAACGTTGGGTTGTGAAAGTTAATCTTTGTGTGGCGATTACTTTCATTTAATAAAACCAGAGTAGCGATAATTACGATGGAGTACCAATATATATGTTTAGAATTATCACCAATGTTTCACTATGTTTATGATAGTAATTAAGAGGGGGTTTCAAATTTTAGATATGATTGCTATCTATTTGTGATATTTATTGTTAGGCACTGTTAGGGCACTTTCTTTATAGCTACTGTAGGTCTGTATTCCAAACATTGTTTCCAAGAGCAGAGGTTTTATGATGTGAGTCATAGGATGTATGGGCAGCAGTATACACAGTTGGTAAGAATTCATGTAAAGTTACTAAACAAGTTTATTCTAGGACTACTAATGGAGGGGGTGCAGGTTCATGTTATTCATGTTTATATACCGTAGGAAACAAAAGATTCCAAAGAAATCAGTATGGCATAAGAAGAACATATGTGAATATACATAGCCCTGCTTTAATGCTTTTAGACTGTACAGTATTGCATAATTTGTAAAATGAGACATGATATATACATTTTTTGCACATATAAATATTCTCATTTATACAGTTTCAACTCTCATGTTTTTCATATCATTAAATCTCTAGCTGTCTTGTATCAAAATTTGATCTTTGTTTGGATCTTTGAATTATCATTCATCCTCTTTTCATATTTGTGAAGCAGAATTGTCCTAAAATAATAGGAATATATTCATAACATAAGTACTTTAGTCTACTTGCATGATAATTATGCCAATGATCTAGCTATTCTTTGAGTTCCCACAGAGATTGGAAAAATAGAAAACTAAGGGTTTAAAGGGCAATGCATATGTAGATTTGTTGTCAAACCAGGAACACCATGTGTTAGTCAAATCTACAGTTAGAGTACCAGGTCAATTAGGGTATTATCACTATTATGTTTAAGATCTGTTTGAGGATCAATTGTGGTGTATAAAACTGTCTTGTTCTTTACTCTTGTTCAGAGATAAATCTATAAAGCATTCACTGTTAGGAGTTGGATTGGCCAGGTACATTATAATTGCTCCATTAAATTGCTTGCCAGTTGCCAGTTGCCACCATCATTCAAATAATGTACATAGTTATACCTCATGTTTGGTCTGATCAGTTGCTAGAGCTCTTGCTTGTCTCCTTCTTCTTATATTCTGTGCAGTTATATACCCTGCAAATAATGTTGTACCAAATAAAAACACAGATATGCTTCTCTGTAGATAATCAGCAAGTTTTAAAGCAGCCATACTCCTAAACTTTCAAAAGTGCTATATGATACATATATTATCCATGCTTTACAAACACCATGACGTCATGTCAGTTTGGTTGATGGAATGTAGTGCTGATCAGTGATGCATGATATGATATCTGACACGACGCAGAATCCACAGAATAAAATTGAGCAGACCAACCAGCACCGAACCAGACACGCACAGAACACGACCATAACAATAAAATGTCCGCTGTTTTAACAAAAAAATTCCGTTATTTATTGCTAGCTGGTCCAAGACAATGCAGATTTGTAGCACGTTTTTTAAGCTCAGGTAAACCGTAAATTGCATTGTATATTGAAAGATGGATTGATTGTGTTAAATACCTGTCTTTTCTTTCTAATGATACTTTTAATATAATTTTTAGAACGCTCGGAGGACAAGGTAATAATTAACAGGAAGTTGCAATTACTTTGTTAATATCCTGCGTGCAGAGATATACACATATACTTACAATATAAACCTCATGCTTCTATTACTGTATATCAAGCGATTTGAAAGCTCCCATATCAACACTGTTGCGGGTGTACTAGTGTTGCCCTCCTGCATGACCCAACCCTTTTTAATTTGAGTGTTTGCCTGCCAATGGCAACTTTCTAACCTAGAGTATTTCTCATGTTGAGCCCTCATGCCTTGCCTCTTTTGCTCCATCCTAGCTACATGGTTTTTTAGCTGTGTATTTGGCAAGTATACTATATCTGCATTTCATGTTGTATATTCCCACACTTCTTTTTTTAGGGCCCTCATACAATTGGTTTTATTGGTCTTGGTAATATGGGTGGTCCTATGGCAAAGAATTTACTAAAGAATAGTCACAAATTGATTGTTAGTGATGTTGTCAGCTCTTCTATAGAAGAATTACAAAAGGAAGGTGCTGATGTTAGCGAGAACCCAGCTGATATTGCATCCAAAACATCCATTATTATAACAATGTTGCCTTCTAGGTATATATTTGTACATATAGTACAGTATTTCCTAATGCTTTATTTGAGATCCATTAGTTAATAATAAAATTTGGATATATGAGAAATAGAATTAAATTATCAATAGCTTTCTATCAGGTTTCTCTACACATTTATTTTTTCCCTTAAATAGTCCAAATGTGTCTGAAGTATATCTTGGCAAGAATGGAATTATTGAGTAAGTCAGCTTATTAATTTACAGCCAATTTACATATTTATTTACAAATATATCATGCATTGACTATAGTTTGTTGTTCATGAAATATTTTCACTAGACGAAGATAAAAAGTTCTCTTCCTATATATACTGTACATGTATTGGGTTGAATTTGTTAATCTATCATTGTGTTTTAGAACTGTCCAGGAAGGTTCATTACTCATTGACAGCAGTACAATTAATCCTGAAGTTGCTAAAGAAGTAGCATTAAAAGCAAAAGAGAAAAGTGCAACATTTTTGGATGCCCCTGTATCTGGAGGTAAATACAGTGTGTTACCATATGTTAGTGCCTAAATTTTAACTTTGATTTAGGAATGAAATTTCTCCCTTTGATAGACATGAGTGACTGGTTAACTGACTCATGTGTGTTCAAAATATTTGTGAGGAGTTCAATTCTAGATCTAATCCAAACTCTTTTTTTACTCTCTTAATACCCTAGCAGGGCTTCAAAATTGTTGATCCAACTCCCCCCCCCCCGTTTGTATTGTACCGTATTTAGACAAATAAGAAAGACTATTCTTAGAATTATTTAGAGTGGAGGATGTACTGCTTTTTACTGCCCTAGGTGTGATGGCTTCACAAAATGGGACTTTATCTTTTTTGGTTGGTGGTAGCAAAACAGGTTTTGAACGTGCAAAACCAATCCTTCAATGTATGGGTCAGAATATTTTCCATTGTGGTGGTACTGCAACTGGACAGGTAAAAATTTACTTTTTATCATTCATCACCGGCTTTTTACGCCTAATCCAAAAAGCTCATTTTTTGTTTTCCGGTTTGGATTAAACTAAAGCCCTCATTGCATTCTTGTGACAAGAATGTGACTTAGTTGCCAGCTCAAAACAGATTTAAATTCACATGCAACGTTGTTCGAGTCCAGGAATGTTATTTTGTGGCGAATTCTTTAACATTTTTGCTTCACAATGGTCGAATGTATAGTGACTTACAATAGCGTGTTTGATATTCTAACGTGCGTAGAGCAGGAAAATGAGAAACAGATGATTGAAGTTTCTCAATTTACACTACACATTACGGCGTAAATACGACTTTCTATTAGGCGGTCAAGATATGCAATAATCTGCTTCTTGCTATATCAATGATTGGAACATCAGAGGCTATGAATCTGGGGCAAAATCTAGGCCTGGACCCTAAGTTACTTGCTGACGTAATCAACAAGAGTTCGGGACGTTGTTGGTCAAGTGAACTTTATAATCCATGCCCTGGCGTCTTGGAGAATGTACCTTCAACTAATCACTATCAGGGTGGTTTTGGTACTGCATTGATGACCAAGGTAAAAGTAATGCCATATATAGTTGAAAATCTTTGTTTGAAATGATTGAATTGAAAAAATCTTCTTAAAGTAAGTACAATTTTATATTGTATTAAATAATTTCAGTATGTATTAATTATTTGATCTAGGATTTAGGTTTAGCCCAAGAAGCAGCTACCAGTACGAAATCAGCTACACCACTGGGATCACTCGCTCATCAAATATACAGAATCATGTGTAACCGTGGATATGGACATCTTGATTTCTCATCAGCTTACAAGTTCTTGAAAGAAGAGGAGTAATTGAAATGAATATTTATTTTGCGCTTTCTCTACATCTGATAGAGCTCAATTGATACTCTGGTGAGATGAGCAGCTTGGAGCAAACACTTTTCAATATACGACATGCGCACAGCGCACAGTATTGTGTATGTAGTCTAAGTATTCATTCATGAATGATACAATACGTAGTTTATAAACTATTTCAATTCTCTATTAGATGTGAACAAATTTACATGAATGAATTTGTGAATAAAATTTACCTATCAAATTAGCATTTTGATCAATTTGATAATGATAGTGTCAAAATTCAAATGGTAAAAAATGGTGGACCATTTCTTCCTAACCAGCAGCTGAAAGCCAGCGTCATGCAATCTACTGAGCATATCTGATGGTGCAGAAAAATATTCAACCTTATTCCGTAGAGAAGGGCTAAACAACGCTCGCCACTGAAATTATATTACGGACCGTAATTAAGAATAGAGAAATACTGATTCGTAATATAACCAATCCACGAGTCATAAAATTGCGATAAATACTGTTCGGTTTTGTCGATTGCAGAAGAAGATTCGGGCTTATCTTTCACTTGGTAATTTTGTCTTTGCAAGACCTAACCATCCGCGTGAGCCTTTACTCCTCTCAAGATGTTCTCAACAATTGCAGGACCTGTCAACTTTTTACATTCCTGGCATCTGTCAAAAGAGAGGAGCTAATTTAGGAGGCAAATTCGAAACCTAATTTTAGTCGAGTCGTTCCACTGTTCCAAGAGGCAAGCAATCAAAGAAGAAAGAAGTGTCTGTAAACTTTTTCCGATCGACCTGAAGCAGAGGTAACTAAATGTTAAAATATATTAGCTGTGTTTAGCCTTTAGGTTGAAATGATGTGTTATCGACTTATCGCAATTTGTTTCAATTTTTATCATTAAATTGTTGCCCGTTATCAGCAGCGTTCTTTCCTCAATTATGCCCACTCTTTAATATGTTATAATCGTTGTACAACATTTGATTCGCCTAACTCATCAAGCCGAACGACTTTGAAACAAAGATTACCACAAGCATAGGGTCTTCAAAACAGTGAGGTTTTCGGGCAACCTGTAAAATAACTCGACATTGTCGATCTAAGACTACCCCGGCCAAGATAAGTCTTAAATACTCGTGAAGAATATCTTAATGTCTTTAAATTGATTTAGTTTTAAACCTAACCTTTGAAAAAACGTAAAACATTTAAAACATTTAACCAAACGTTTCGCATTGAGGGAATTAATTTATGAGAATATTCCCATCACTGACATTGAAACATGAATTCAATATCACCAGTGTGTAGTAACTCGAAGTACTACTACTAAGATGCATTTGCGTGCGATAAATACGTAAATATAATGTTATTTTTCGTTAATTGCTGGATATTAATTTGTTTGGACAATTTATAAAAAAGTTATCATTTTAAATAACATTTTGATCGTGTCAAGGGTCCCTGTTTTTTAAACGAGGTTTTTAGTATGGGGGAAGGATGGTTTAAAGCCCCAGGACACAAACCAGCCTTATTTTAGCCCCTTGGTCTAAGCTTCGGGCAGAGACGAGATACGATTTCACTTGTTGAGTGAAGCACACCTCCTTAGAAGTTTGAAATGAAAACAAGAATTATTATAAATTTATTATATTCATGCCATTATTTGTATTGACGTTGCCTCCTACTGCGCAAAGAGATAATTCTAATCTTTTGCGAGATTTTTCAACCAATATTGAGACTGACAGCGTTAGCGCGGCCGGCAGCGGAATACGGTGTTTGTCGTCATTACGCATCCATCTCACGTTAAATTCTGACAAACAGAAGCTCTTTGTTAACTGTTGTCAAAGGGGGCGTGATCAGAAAACATCAGTGAACTAAATATAACAAAACGGTTCAAAATTTCTCTAAATATAAAATCTCCCAATTCGGTACGATAACTGTAATATCATTATTTATATTGAAATGCATCGCTTCTTCAATTACAAGTGAAATATTTCATTTTCCATAATTCAACGCTATATTACTAATTCATATTTACAAACTGCGCTTCCGCGCGACATTTTATGATCTCGGATCAAATAACATCCTAATTTGCCACAAATGGTCTTTTGATCGCTGGCCATTGCCTTGCAAGGTTGAGAGCTCTTTGCTAGTCAAATACTGGCTCAGATAGATTGGCTGAGACGCAAGCTATTGCCTGCGTCGATTAAACTGTGTAAGTTGTCCAAAGATTATTTCATCTGCTAAGAAAGAGGACGTATTCAGACTCTGGAATAATGAGAAGAAAGGCTTTGTTGTTCTCGCTATTGCTTGCTTTGTCATTATTCTCGATATCGTACAGCCAGGGTAAGTAGAAGTGTTTGACATTGCTAGCAAATATAATTCGATAGTTCAATAGTTCATAACTTTCACGTTTGTACGTTTGGCTGATTTCTGAGTGGTTACAGCGTGCTCACGAACCAACTATTTATCATGTACCCATCAATTTCAATAACTGCACTGTAGTTTCAATAACCGTACAAATGTTATGAAATATTCCGGCAACGTGATGTATTGCAATGATCTCCAGGTCAATAATAGCTTGCGTATTGTAGCTTTAATTCGCCCGTGAATTTGAATAAACAGCGCCATTTTGCGGTAGTTAACATAAGTGTATATTAAATGTTCTTTCAATTTCTCCCACCTGTGTTTGATATCGAGTGCTTGATGCAGTATTAAATAAATACATACAGAACGAAGAACAGAAGATCTTTTGTGTATTTTTTGATAAAATTTTGTGGAGGTTTATATTTTGCTATCATACTGTACATGCGTGATCCAATGACACTCAAATATCGTTCAGTTAATGTGTCCAGTGCAGCTAGACATGATATTCGAAAATCGATTTTTATTCGAACTTATCGAATAAGATGGTATTTTAATAAATAACGGCATTATGAAAAGCGAAAGACATAATTCAGGATATTTTAGTGAAATCCATGGGATTTGCCTTCTATCAAAAAGGATTTGGCGCATATTCCTTCAAAATATATAGCTTTCCGTTGACTGAATAATAATTTGGTTGTAAATATTCAAAATAATTTTGACTATTCCCTAACAGAGGTTCCACTGACTACATTTATACTATCACTTCATGAATTTCTGTAAGTAAAGTTCCAAATAAAGTCGAAATTGAAATTTTTTCCCTATCAGAACACTGATTCATTTTTCATGCGCCTTGAACAATATTCACTTATACTCCAAACCCCCACTGATTTATCCCAGTTGTATGCCTATGGTCACTGTTTGCCACAGCCTATGCAACTAGTTAACAGACTATCAGTTTACTAAAGGATTTAGCAAACAACAGGACATCATTGTGTACTACTGATAGAAAACATCTGCAAAAAAGATTTCAAATCAAGATAAAATTTGTCATAAATATCCCACCTCGTGGCTCGTGCATGGTCATAGTAATACAAACGTTAGAGAAAATTCTTATTTTTCACATACTGACTCTACTTGACCTTGCATGAAGGATCAAACCATGAATATGACCGGATTTTGCGTCGCGGTAATAATCTTAATTGCAGACGAATTAGTTCGAATTAGAAAGTCAAATAAATGTGCAGCGGTCTATCATTAAAATCAAATTGCCTGTTAAATTTTTTGTCGTTCTTATACAATTTAATATATAATTTGTTTCGAACACAACAAAGTAAATCCAAACATCCTAGAAACGTGTTATGCATGTCATCATGCGTGTGTTGTATTTTCTGTTGGAATTTCTATGAATCGACAGTTTAAATCTATGAACTAGACTATATAAATATCTTACTTCAAACATTTAGAATAACATGAAAATATAAAAATAGGACATCCGGAAAAGACTTGGATAAATTTCGATCCTATTAAAGATTGGAGCACAATTAATCTGTATCAATATGTCTTCATTTTTCACATTTCTTGTAGCTATATGTTTTAAACAAGCATCATATCTTTAATTAATCAGCCCCAAAAAATAGTTGTGAATAGCGACTAAATTCTTAGTTCACGTTGGAATTGTCTTGATTATCCAAGAAATCCCCGTTCAGGCGAGTGAAAGACACGAAAGGCATTGCTATGGATTACATCTGTAGTTCTCATAAAAAGGAGAGCGTGGGCGTTTTATTTGGTTGCAGGTATTTTATTCCCTTTTTAAAGAAAAGGTGCGTTATTCATCCACCATGTTATTCAGTCGGCAATGCATGTATCATGAAAAGTTTCAGCACACTAACACAATTCCTGTTAAATAAGACCAATATATAAAATTCGGACTTTCATCATAGACGATCATTGAAACGCTCCATCTGTTACAAGTTCCACTCTCTAATACACTAAAAAATGACTTGAAGTACTCGAACAAGGTAAGTGGAGACAATTTTCCACCATATTTTGAAATTAAAAAAAAATTAATGAAAAAACTGTCTGAACCGCGGTCACTGTTATTAAGCCTCGCATTCTTTGGCTTCAGCTCTAAACTTGATGATGCCAAGTGCGCTTCTTCCCGCTTTGATCATTTCACTCTGTAATGATTATTTATAATAACCTATGGCACATCATATGGAAACAGTAATTAAACAAATCTGGGCTATAATTTTAGAAAACGTGATAATAGGATCTTGGTTATAAGATGCTTTCAAAACGATTACTCTTAGAAACATTTTCTTCATATTATTTTGCACGATGAGGTGGTTTATTTTTTCTTAACGATCATTCATTCCGTGCTATGTATTGTCGGTATGGTGACTGCTGTGGTGATGTGTACGCCGATAAAGAAAATACCGATTCGCTGAGAAGAGTCATATCTTTGATCAATAAGCGAGACATTCTCATCGATAATTTTCTATTAATCTGCATGTCGTGTGTGTGCACAGTCACTTTAGTGTTGCGTGCGAATAGCGTCGGCACAATCTGCATTCACGATGGGTGTGATTATTAGGGCTTTACATAAGCAATGACAGGGTACATTAGCGATGCTTTGTCTAGAACATCAATCAGCAAATGTGCTTTATATGCAAATGAGGTAGATTAGACAGCGGATTTTTCTAGAGGGTGAAAAAGATTACTAAACATATGATAATTGTAGACGGAATATCAAACGTATGCACCGAACAGACTGTATGAAGCTTTGTGATTTGAAATTTTACTATTTGTATTTGAACGTTGTATGTTCATTTACTTCATTATAAACCTTGTTAATATGTTAAATAGAAAAAATCCTAAATGAGTTTGCTATATGATTACGTAGTTTAATGGTTTACTGGAGCGGGTCTTCGTGAGCGTAATCAGTATTTTGTTCTTTAGATTTTCCCAGGTAAATAAAGACCATGTTTTTAGCTTCTTGTAATTTTGAAGCGATAAATAATAAAACCGATTTAAAAAAAAAGATTTAATAAAAAAAGAGTGGAATCCTTTAATTACTTGGGATGCTGAATGATTTATCCCCATTAAGATGTAAAAAAAAGCGACAAAAACGCACGACAACCGAGCTATTATATTAAAAAATGCATGGAGTTGGTTAACTTTGTCACTCATTTTACATATACACGTATGCGTGTGTCAGTTCTAACTAAAATGCACCACTCATATTACCCTTCATAGCTGGTAATGAGAACAAGGGAAGGTTGTATATCAGATTATCAGACCAGAATATAACTCGCACAATAGAACACTTCCCTAGGTCCAAGTGAGGTCAATAGTTTACTGTTCCTCAATGGACTTGTGCTGATGATTTTTGCAGTAGGTAGAGCTGAGATTTTCTTGCTGAGATTTAATTAGTAAGGGCTACTCAAGATCTAATGTGGCTGTGATTTTGTTTTTTGAAGTATCGATTGCGACGGTAAAAAAACGTAATGACCTGAATCTACTTATAATTTTAGCCGCTTTGTTAAGAAGCTCTTTTGAAAATAAGATTTCAATGGCTTAAATTAATGATTGTCAGAGCCACTTTGGGGGGGAGGGAGTGAATCAAAGAGATAATTTAAATATACAACCACCTTATAGGCGTCTATATAGTAACGCATTGGCGAAACAGAATACACTAGTTGGTTGACCAACTAGCTAATGAGCTTGTTATAATCATTTGGGTCAGTAAACACCCTCTCCCCCCTCATTGAGTCATCTTTATTCATGGACTTCTGTTTTTTAATATTTGTATATTGAAAAGACGAAACCAGCGAAGAAAGTGATGTCGAACTAAAAGTCGTAAGTGTTTTAATTTTCTGGGGCTGCATGATTACGAAACAGGAATTTCGAAAACACCATTATATTATAAAAGTTTTAATAAAAATAACTAAACCTCACTTCATTTCATTCTCGAACAAACTGCCCATACTTCATAATTTCATAGAATATTTCGTATAGTCTTTCCTGGAAACCTTGCCACAAATACATTTTTAACGTTATTTTTGTAAATTGTTCATTGGTGTAATATGATTTACCAAGTCCGCTTAAAATCGTTCTCAAAATATCTTTCTCATCTTTGATGGGTATTTTTTAGCTCCAAGGACCAAAGGGAGATAAAGGGGAACCTGGAGAAAAAGTATGAGAAATGATCAAGTACAGCTAATGTCCTACCTATTTTCAGCATATTCTTTCAGTAGTATTTCATGCGCGAATTGCTATTGTTTCTCTACGTAGGGTGAACTAGGAATAGATGGCAGACCTGGCCAAAACGGAAGAAAAGGTCGTGAGGTATTGGATGAGTCTTGTTTTCGTAGAGTGTATGACTTACATCGTATAATGTCAAATTATGTGCCCTCCTGCTCGGTTAAACAGAATGCTTTGGTTCCGTCGTCCCGTTACATAGCCGTAGGTGCCAATTTGTCGCCATTATATTTTGAATTATTTTTGTTCCTCCTGCAAGTTCGCAGAAAATACCAGGAACTCGACCATGCAAGCAAGCGCTATCCAACCTCTACATGTGTGTTATTTTACCCCGTGTTCAATTAAGGATTACAATTTCCGCATTATGCGAATCTTTTTTTTTAATCGACATTGAACCCGTTCATTTCAGTCAGATAAGAAAAATATTTTGACTCACTGGCCTAAAACTTTCATTAAATTTCAAAATACGCTACAATGAAGGCTTTATGTTTTTCTTTTTCTTGATGACACACAGGGTCGTAATGGTGCCTATGGAAAGGATGGAAATGCAGGAAGAAAGGGCTCTCGTGGACCACGAGGACATCCTGGATACATAGGATCAATTGTAAGTAGCAAAACCTTGCACGGATATTTTCATTTAAACGCTCTTTTTTCAAAAGGATCTTTCACAAATCTTTCAATGAGCAACTCGCACGAGCCCAAAAGTATAAGAACACAGGTTCACAACAAAAGATTGGATTTCAATAGAGATTACCTTTTCTGGGGACACCCTGTATAAACCAGCCAGGTTTCAATCATTGTAATTATGATTTTCTACGATATATAAGAATATTTTCCGACAGACATTTTGTGCGCAACCTGTAGTATCGTCTACTGACAAAGAACATCGTACGATGAATCACGGCGATGAAAACCGGGGTTGTATTAAAAATACACCTCAAAGTGAGTTAACCAGTGTTTCATTTAAAAAACTCTACAATATATATCATCTGATTTGCTAGGTTATTTCTACAATGAATTCAGATAGTAAAGGACCTGGTCCAAATGGAGGCGATAATCGAATTATTATACCGGTGGGTTTAAATATTACACGTATTAATTTGTTTTGGAGAATTTATTTTGTTAAAACTAGCTCTGAATGCATTTTCTACAAAGATTTCGTACCGGATCTTTATCCAAAGTACATATTCAGCACGTAACAGTTGCTGAAAAAAGGTGGTTTTTAAAATGTTGACTAGCTTCATGAGAATATTTTCTTTTATATAGCCTCCTCGTCCTGGTCCACCTGGTCCTGAAGGCAAAACTGGGAAGCGCGTAAGTTTAAATGAAGCTTAGGTATTAACAGTTAAAGATGAAAACAGTGCATTCCTCTACATAGAAAAACATAAGCGTTGAAATGGCGTTACAAACGCACACAAATTGAAATGCTCATAGTGAAAACCACTAATTGTATCTTAAATGCAATCTTCATATTAGGGTGTCGAAGGAGATTATGGACCAATGGGACCAGAAGGAGAAGCTGGGGGAAAGGTTTGTGCATTCATTCTTTATAAGAATTTATTGTTTTCCGAATTGACGATGCTTTTCAGTTCGATTATAGATGCACTGCTTCCCATTAATCGAGAAGTGAAAAAGTGAATGAACAACATTCAATGTTGGCAATGTTGTTGATAATATTGTTAATAATGTTCATTCATAATGTTAATAATCATAATGTAAACGAGTTTATTTGAATTGATAGGGTGGACCGGGAGCTCCTGGTAAAATTGGTCCTAGAGGAAATGATGGTTTAATCGTAAGTACCTATTGTAACTTCTTGTAAATCCTGGAGTACTAGAAATCAAAACTATACTAAACAAAGAGATTTTCAGATTTTTTGTTCATTCGGATCAAGATTGCTGATCTGTTAACGCACATATATAAATATCTTATCTGATCAATATTTTAGGGCAACCCTGGTGATCATGCTAATCCTGGATCTCCGGGTCGAATGGGAGCAAAGGTAGAAATATTTTTGTCTTATAAACGAAGAAACATACTGTAAGTTGTGATATATATTCATATTGTCCACAAGTCTCGATGTTTTCTTGACCAATTCTACGATATTTACTGTGCTTTCATCAGGGTTTTTGTAGCCTTTTAACAAAATAATTATGCAAGCTTATTTTTTGCATAATGTCCTTCAAAATGATAGGTATACATAGATATTACTCAAAAGGTTTTCAAGCAACGTAAAACTATTTTCATTTAGGGACTTATTGGAGAGAATGGAAAACCTGGTGCTCGTGGAAGAAAAGGGCATGCTGTGAGTTAGAAATCTCATCTCAACGCGTTCCTTACGTCTGTATTTAATAATACACTCGTGCTTGCTAGCCCAAAACTTGTGCTAAAACTCATGTCTAAATGCTTACTTTTAGGGATGGAAGGGAGATGTAGGTCCAGTTGGAGATTCGGGATTACAAGGAGATCAGGTAGAATAAATGTAGTATTTTTGAGCACCCACAACGGAATGACGCTGCTTGACTTGTCTAAGGGCGCTTTCCTTTAGCGTGCTTACATTTTTTGGACTAATGTAGGGCGCTGCTGGTATTGATGGAGGACAAGGTGAAAAAGGAACCAAGGTAGGAACTATCAGGTCGTACAACCTGCATAACCTGGAACAATATTTTTTGCGCGTATACATATTTAACAGTTTGGAACACAAGACGATATAAAGAGCCTGTTTTTTTCAACAGGGTCGTGGCGGGGTTGCAGGTAGTACGGGACCTCGAGGACAGTTTGGTTCTGCTGGAAAGAAAGGACGTCCTGGAAAAATCGGAAGTGATGGTTCGAAGGTACTAATAAAAATACTACTCATGAGCGAACAGCGAGTTGCAGGTCTGGATTCTAACTTATTCTTTAATATAGGGTCGTGCAGGTCATCCTGGTAGTCGTGGTAAGCGTGGTCGTCCTGGTTTAAAAGGACCGCAAGGAAGTGCAGGTTTACGAGGAGATACCGGGATCACAGGAGAGAATGGTAACCGAGGCGACATGGGGACTAATGGTCTCCCTGGGGCAACTGGTCACAAAGGACCTACGGGAAAGCATGGATATAAAGGTTCCATGGTAAATTTAATAGAACCGTTGTTGAGATAAATAACTCAATGATAATGAGAATAGATTAGATTCAGGAGATGTTCCATGGTTTACTTGTTTAGGGAGACCCAGGTCCAATTGGTGTTCAAGGAAAAATCGGGCCTGTTGGTGTTTCAGTAAGTTGTCATTTATTATCATCGAATTGTTAGGTTTAGAGTGAATAAAAAACGTTTTATTTGTGTTTTCCTGTTGTTTAACAGGGAGACGTAGGATCCGAGGGATCACGAGGAGGTAGAGGGGATAAAGTAAGTTATAAGCTTAAGTAGTAAAATTATAGTGATGCAGTATACTATTCGCCGTTCAACCCGACTCAGTTCTCTAAATATTGTGTGTAGGGTGAAGTTGGTCCGCAAGGTGATCAAGGACCTCGTGGTGATAAAGGCCCACTGGTGAGATTTTTGCCTAAAAATGTTGCTTTGTTGAGTCATGTGTGGTTAATTATCCCTTTTTAAAATTTACTGATGATTGTAATCTTCGCAGTGTACCTATAACACGTCTGATGAAATCCTAACTGAGCTTTGAACCTTACCGCATATCCAGCTGTATCTTTAACAATTGAATGACGATAAAACCATAACATTATTTTTCTTGTCTATTTAAGGGAGATACTGGAATTCGAGGATATCGAGGCAACCGTGGAGAGGAGGGAAGACAAGTAAGTAACTTGTCATATGGATATTTGCATTACAAGATTATTACTATAATTATATGTACCCTACACAAGATGTGACTCACGACATCATGTTAGAGCATTTCGCCACGAGTAGATCTTGTTTAATTCTATGCGCGAAACTAAATTTGGGATGATGCGAGTCTAGCGTTGTGTAACTGAGACTTAAAGTAATCATGTAATCGCTTCTTCAACCACACAACGCATCATTTCTTAATTTAGGGAGCAATTGGTTCTATGGGTCCCGAAGGCCCAGCGGGTCAGCCAGGATTGACGGTAAGATCATTCTCAAATAAGCAAATCCTCTGTGGATGAATTTTGTTGATAACATGATGCAAACTAAGTTAAAGCTAAGTTGTAATGTTGTAGGGTCAATATGGCGAGACTGGTATTGATGGTCCAGATGGTGCCGCTGGTATAAAGGTAGCTTTGTTTTCTTTCACGAAGACAACGTTGCATTTAATTATCGTTTTTAATTCATCAAACATATTTCATTTTTTTCTTTGCTCAATCAGGGGGGTGACGGTGGTAATGGCCTTCGTGGTCGTCATGGGTCCAAAGGTTTCAAGGTAATGCTATGTTGAAATGTTGAGAATGTTTAACGACCATGCGATGTCTGAGAGCTTAAATCCGTGGAGAAGATCTGCTGAAAACACATTAAGAACATGACTGTTTAAGATTGACTGTTTTTTTCATACTTTCATCATGTCTGGAAATCTTTTGCTTATAAAATGTTTAGTGTGATATCAGAGAGATTTACTAAATTCAATATCAACGGATAGTTTGTCTACCGTCATTTCTGGCTTGAACGAGTGATCTTTCTGGAATATCATAGGGCATAAATTACAAAACCGTTTGAAGACACAGAGTAAAGTCGTCGTACTCTCGGGTGACCGGAATTGTTATCAATCATACAGAATTGTTTTACTGCACAATCTGTGTCTTTTTAACCAATCGGAAAGATGGTAATTTTGCCCTGAATTTTAGACAGAGAGAAATTACGTTGCTATATCGGTGATACGGCTATTGCGTTTTTACACTAAAGATACGAATAATCACAATTGGCTTTCCTAAATGATATGAATTTTGATTTATAAAATTATTTTAGAAAAAGAAAGTCAATTGTAAATGCGAAACCTGAGTGATGGATCTAAGAGACTGTGTGATACCGCATGTGAGTATTACACTAAGTAGTCCGCTAAAACGTCCTCAAAGCCAATCAGAATTCTGTAATTTCTCCTGCATAAACGTTAATGGTGTCTGGAAGCAAAACAACTTGCAATCATCATCTAAAATTAGGGCAAAATTACGTTTTCTGATTGGTTGAAAGGACAACGGAGCGAGCGTAAACCTCGATACTTTGTCATCATGAGAATTGTAGACAGAGAACAAATCTCTGTAATTATTCTTCTGTCATTGGATTTTGTCTCATAGATTATTTTATTGTTAGGGAAACGATGGTTCTATTGGTGTTCACGGAAAGAGAGGGAAAAAAGTAAGAAATAACAATGTTTTCTGTAAAGCCCACGCGCGGAGGGGACTTTTTCTTGACAGTTCAACATATGTCTTTTTCACTGAAACATGTAAAATAGAACTATTAGGTCACAGCATTGTTTTGGAACCTGAATCTGTTTGGTATTCATTTTCTTTTTATTTTAAAGGGCAAAAAAGGTCGAACAGGACATCGTGGGAGAAGTGGTCCCAATGGAGATGATGTATGATACAAGAACAAGCTTTTTTAAAATTATCGATTTTATAAACTTTTAGTGGTAATAAATATGTGAGATTTTGTCATTTAACTCTCAGGGAGAAGATGGAGACGACGGTCACGCGGGTTCAGCAGGTCGTGAGGTAATAACGGGACGTCGTTTATTTCTGATGTTGTTAAGAGAAAGTGACTAAATAATTGTCAAAGCTGTGCACTTCTTACTTGGATGATCTAGAACATTCTCCTACGGATGAATATTTGTTATTGAAGATAACTCAGCAATGCTGTTCACGCGCCAGTTCACAAGAAAATTAGGGTAAATAACTTTCTTGTTCATGCAGGGGCTTCAAGGTCTGCAAGGGATTTCCGGCGTTGTTGGACCTAAAGGTGAAACGGTATGTATGTATATGTTCAGCTAATGAAAATATAAAGATAAGAATTCAAAATGAAGTGGGGCACTATAAGAAGCAATACTAAAATATACACAAATAGATATTCGAAGATATTCCGGCGTTGTAATAAGTTGTTTATTGTGTTGTGTAGGGAAAAGAAGGTTTACCAGGAGAGAAAGGAGGACTCGGTCCAGTTGGACCTTCGGTTAGTCTGATTTGCGATGGAATATATTTTGGTTCGAGTTTAAAAAATTTGCTTCTCCTAAATGCGTTAGAATTTTCGCAATGCACATTGACAAAGATAAGAAACGAAGTATAAAAATTTATAGCCCAACATTTTAAAAGCACCGGAGGGAACTTATTTATTTTGTTTCTTTTAATATTATTAGGGTTCAGATGGAAACGATGGTGGTCCAGGTGTTACAGGTTTACAAGGGTTGATGGTCAGTGTTAATTTACCGTTTAATGTTCAATTTTCTCTTCAATTGTAGTAAGGTATTAAGCAGTGTTTTGTAACTGTACACAAAAAACGGATAGATTCATTTGCTTACTCACAACTTACACTTTATTTTTTCCCAAAATAGGGGCCACCTGGAGGACGAGGTGAACGAGGCATTCGGGGCATCGCAGGAGATATGGTGAGAAGTCTGGAGACGAATTTATTCCTCAGTCAGTCATTATGAACATGGTCATTGATCATTTGATCGTTTAGGGTGATGATGGCGATGTGGGGGTGCCTGGAAAAGACGGTGCGGATGGAGAACCGGTAAATTTGAATGAACTTTGATAATTTATACATAAGTCATTCGGAGCACGGGCCTGGAGCGATTTCTTATTGTGTCAATAAATATTCACATAAATATTTGAAGAACAACTATTAAGACACCTCGGTAAATTGCCTTAAATTTGTTCCTCAAGTTCAGTAAAATGGCCGCGAAAACGTTGTTGGTAAATCCTCGTATGCTCTGTTTTCATATCATACTTCTTATTTCAACCATTACCAGATGTTCTTTTTTACCCAGGGTGCGTCAGGTGATGAAGGTTCTAGGGGCGTGGCCGGTGAAAAGGTACATAAGGAAAGGATCCTGATTTCGGGGAGGGTTTTGTAATTGGTCATTAAGGATGAAGTCACATGTTGTGGTTCATTTCCCTTGAATTTTGTCTGTCTTCTTTAAGGGTGAAAGAGGTCCAGCTGGTAGTTACGGACCAGAGGGTGATTCTGTAAGTTCAGTAGTCATAGGTTCAAGAGATTATAAGTACGACAGTAGTCATATGTACGACATTTAAAGCAGTAATATTGTTGCTGAGCCAGTTGAATTTAAATTACAATCAGGTATCAAAATGAGAAGAATGATTTGTATTTACCTTTAGTTAACACTGTGCAGTAATTTCAGGAAGTAGAAAATTAAAGAAACCATTATTTTAGGGTTCTTCTGGTTTCAAAGGTGCTGGGGGTGGACGAGGCAATGTTGGTTTAAAGGTATTAACCTTAAGATGTGGAAGTTATTTTTATTGGCTTCACAACAATGATTCCTAAATTTAGGAGTATTTTTTTTAGGGTCCTGCTGGACCAGATGGAAGCGCGGGAATGGCCGGAAGCTCTGGAAGTCTGGTCAGTCTTGTCCATGAGAAATACAGTAGGAGGCAAAAGTTTGAGTCCAGTGACTGTATTTCATTGTTTTAGCAGCATATATTAATATTGTACAGAAAACCTTACCGATAAGTGAACTAGAAAAAAGTAAATAAGTAAACAGAAAAATACATGCTGTACAACAACTATGAGATGTTATGATATTCATTTTACGTATGTTAATGTGCAAACATGCATTACATGTCAATGCTTAGTATCCCTCTTTTTTCCTCTTGAAATGACCTTTATTCTTGCTCGCATAGATTCCAAAGGTTTTTATTGTCGCACGTTCAATACCTTGCCAGCATTCGTTGACCACTTGCCTCAAGTCATCCTGGCTGGCGGGTCTGTGCCTCGCCCTTTTCCGGTTAAAACGGTTCTAGAAGCGCTTCATAGGTTTTAGATCTAGAATTTGAGGTGGAAAGCCATGAGAACGAGATCACCAAAACGAGTTTGCTTCTAAAAGATTTCTGGCAAATAGAAGATATGCATGTGCTTAGGGTGATTATCATGTAGTTAGACGCGCGATCCTCTTTGTACCAGATGAAATTCCATGTCCTTGAAGAATTGGATGATACTTTTCTTTAATTAGGATCCTATTATATGATTTATATCTTTCAATATTGCCAAACCGAACATGACCGACTAACTAACAGTTTGCTTGAGTAGGATTTAGTTTCTTCGAACCTCTCCAAGGTTAGTTGCACACCACCTTTTCAAATTCTCACTTTTTCTGCGATCGTACGAGGAAAGAATCCTTCAATACTTAATGCAACCATTTGTCCTCGTGCACCATCACTTTGCCCTTTTTCCCACCCATCTTGGGCAGTGTAAAGGAATGAGAACTTTATTTTGTTATAATTTAGATCATTAGGACCAAAGCAGTGAGCAATTAATATGGTTTACAGTATTGAAACACTAGCACGCATGTCTTAAACTCGAATACGCTGCCAGGATTTAATACTGGAATTCTAAAACGACTGGACTCAAACTTTTGCCTCCTACTGTATATATTTCAATTAGACACACATTCTAACTTACCATATTTAACAAATAATCAATAAACAAAGATTGAAATACACTCTTGTTGATATCATGATTTTTTACGTGTTTATCAAACCTTTTTATTTCTAAGGAGTTGATAAACTTTCCACGACAAGAACCTTTCAATAATTTTTATCAATTTTATTCACAGGGCTTGAAAGGTCCCACTGGGGTTATCGGGATGCGCGGTAGCAAAGGAAAAATGGTACATACTTTACTTTTAATAATTATATATGTTGATGAATTATGTTTGCTTTAAATTTATAGTTGATAAACCGCTTCGCGGAAGATTTTTTAAGTCTTTTTTTTAAGCCAATATAAGTGACCACAAGGTTGAAATTTCTTTCCTAATGCCATTTCACGTTTGGAAACATTTTAAATCAGTAACAATCAGTTTCGAATGTTTTATGGACTTTTCGATGTCAGTAAAGGATAAAATATTCTCGGTGATCCAACTGGAATTGTGACCTGAATTCCCGTTAGGGATAACGAACTTTGCTACTTTTGTTATAAAGGGTGATAATGGTAAAAAAGGTGGCCGAGGAACCGCTGGTAATGCCGGGGGGAAGGTAAGATTAAACGTTTAAAATTCATACATATACTTGAATCGACAAAGAATTATTAAACAGATCAGCGATTTCTACTTTTCAGGGACAAGTTGGTGCAGATGGGGCTGTTGGAGATGCCGGATCAAGTGGTGAAAAGGTTTGAAAAGTGAAAACCGAAACTTTTTTTAAATCTGTGCAATTTTATGAATTATGTCTACACACACAGTTGTCTGTTTTACAAATCTTCACCCACAATATTAAGCTCTGTTACAATGTCTGTGTTATGCCTTCAAAGAATTTTTTAAACATATAATACTTACATGTAGTCGTGGATATTATCTTTCAGTATCAACTCTCATACCTCTCTCTTAGGGACCCTCTGGAGATCGTGGAAAATCTGGCGGTCCAGGCCGGCGTGGAAAGCAGGTAAATATTCGTACAAGATAATACAAATCCTCGGTTTTCCAACGTTGGAAGTTGGCCTGTTTCCGTTAGAAAAGGTTCACTTGATACCAATTGTTCCTTATTTAAGTTGGTATTAACACTGTATTTATAATGCTTCGAAGAAATCCAAATAGCCGAAAGGTAATCATTTTTAGTAGTGGTGTGCCTTTAGGAAGATCTAGTAAAGATTCTTGTGCGGATGTGAATTCATCTTGACAGGAAATACTAGCTTACTAATTGTCGCAGGGGGTTTGATTATTGTTTAACCTCATTTAACGAATTCATTAGTTATTTATTATTGTAGTCATTATTGTTTTATTAATACAGTTCTAACTGTTTTACCAGGGCGATCGTGGAGACCCTGGGATGCAAGGTCTGGCTGGGGAGCCTGGCAAACCGGTAAAGTATACTGATATTTTTTTAACAAAGTTGTGTTTTAATATTTGCATATGTTACTTAATTGCTTGAACACAACATGTACAGGGTAGTATTGGCAAACGTGGAGAGTCAGGAGAACAAGGAAAGGCTGGAGCGACGGTAAGATTTTTCGGTTTTTATCTCGTTTTATTAGTTTTATAAACCATTTTGTAAGAAAATACACGTTTCCATACGTTTCGTTTATCCAGGGCGAAAATGGTGAACAAGGTTTACCTGGTGTAGCTGGAATGAGGGGTGCGGATGTAAGATTACATTGCTTCTGAACCTATGTAATATTGTGTCGGATTTCGAGTTACTCTTACCCTTATTATTTAATATAACTCATGATCAGTTTTTGTATTTCTCAGGGCTTTCCTGGACGCCGCGGCGAAGCTGGGAAAATTGGAGGAGAAGGCGTTGCTGTAAGTTTCATTCTTGTCCTTTTTATAGAACAATAAATCTATTATTTTTATCAATCTAAAGATGACGTGTTATGTTTACCGCAGGGTGGTTCTGGACCACTTGGTGATAAAGGAGCAACTGGGATACCTGGTAAACAAGTATGTTGATAATTCATTACTGTCAGTTGAATAACGATTGCTACTGTTTCCTGCGTGCTCTCAGGGTTTTTTGGTATTTATGGCATTTTAGTATATTATTTTAAAATTGTATAACTTACCGATATAATTATTTCATCTCAGGGTGATCAGGGGGCAGTTGGGAATCTAGGTGGTCGTGGTGGAAATGGTCGCAAGGTATGGTAATTATTGGCCCTGACAACGAATGTTAACTGAAGTAGTTAGGCGATATAGAAATAGGTTTCTACGTCATCATTATCTGCCGCGAGTTTGATTTAAAAATAAGGACATGAGGTCACCATTGTGTTGTTAATATTTAATTAGTAGAAAACATTTGTTTAATAATATTTTTTATCAACAGGGATACCCTGGTCCTTTAGGATACACTGGAGATCGTGGATTGGCTGGACCGTCGGTAAGTGCGAAGGGAGACAGGTAAATAATACATCCTGGTCTCAAAATAATATTTGCCACCAGTAATCCTTTCTGTTTGGCGACCAGTACTTTGGGTGTGTTCTGTGGCGAGGGTGGTCACTTCAGTTTAGTTCAACGATAAGATCTAGTGTAGTTAACAACATATACGAACAATATTATTTTAAAGGGTGATCAGGGACCACCTGGTAAACCGGGAGAAGTTGGCGCTCAAGCAGGACCTGTATGTATTAAAAATTCTAGTTTTAACAAAATTATTCATGAATATGTAGCGTATGGTATTGTCGGCAGGCAAATGCTACTGTCTTTACTTCCTGCTTATGATCTGGAATGACGTTTGCACAAATGTCATTTTGCATCTAGTGTCATTTTAAGCGATAAATGTATAATACAGATCGTAATACTGCGGGATTTTAAACGTATGTTTTTGTTCCAGGGTACTCCGGGACCTGTTGGTGAACCAGGACCTCGAGGGAAACCTGGACTCAGGGTAAGTGATCCTGACATGATATTATCGAAGACTTTTCTTTTCATGTTGTCCGTCTTGAAAATTTAATATAATTAGAAATTATTATAGTTCACGAACATACTGTTTCTTTTTTACAGGGCAATTTTGGATTAACTGGAAGGACTGGACCTATTGGTCCATCTGGTGCTGCGGTACGATTATTCTCCTCAGTGCCATACCTTATACATGGGCTGCTCCCATACTTTTCAAAGCTTGCGAAGATTTAATTAATCTTATAGGGAGATGATGGAAAATCAGGAAGGAATGGAAAAGATGGAAAAGTGGGAGATCAGGTATAGCTGAATAATCAGAATTTACGTCACATCCAATGTTATGATGCACCTCTGTATGTTAAATTATATGAATACTTTTCTCAAGGGTAAAGATGGGCCGAAAGGAATTCGCGGAGGACCTGGGCGTACTGGAAAACCCGTATGTAATTCTTTGTTTTAATTTTATATAGAATGTAAAATCTTAATCACTGGCAGGAAGCCAACCTAGATTCAATAGTAGTGAAGGTTCTATGAACTATAAGTTGTTCCCTGCGATTATTGACTTGACCATGAACATTGCTAATTCGTCTATTCAATTTTCTAGGGAAAATCTGGGCTTCCTGGAAATTCTGGGGATTCTGGAAAATCTGGAACTCGGGTAATTCGAATTGTGTTTTTAAATCAAAATAACTGAGTTTGATAACGTGTTGGAATGATTTATTATGTCGTATCATCGGAGCTAGCTCCAGTTACAATAAATTGAGGTATTTCAAATCATTACATGTTGTTTTAGGGAGAACCTGGGGATCTTGGTTTGCCTGGAGAATCTGGAGGAAATGGCGGAGGTGGAAAACCTGGACCCAAGGGAAGTCAAGGGCGACCAGGAGAATATGGTCCTCAGGTAAGAAATCATTTTTATTTTGCCCACGTTAACCCAAGAAACCGCAATCGATCAGATCGTGTAAATGTTATCTTCAGGGGAATTCGGGAGGTAAAGGATTCAAAGGAGATCGAGGAGTTGATGGACCTAAGGTCAGAAAAACCCTTTGGCTTAATTTTAGTTTTTTGTCGCATATTGTGGCTCTAGTGTGCTAATGATTATGCTGGTGGTGGGCTACTGGTTATTCAGGTGGTTGCTGCGCTAGTTATATTTCTGTTCAAGAGTATTCTGTTAAATGTGCTGTTGATTAAGTTTGACAGTAACTATACTGGTAATTGTGTGATTCTGTTGATGATTTACATATTATTTATATAATGTTATGGAGCAATATTAAACGTCGTTTGCCTTACCAGGGTATTCAAGGTTCACAAGGTAGAGCAGGTCTTCTTGGAGCTGATGGGCAAAAGGTAAAATTAGCAATATTAGCACTGAATTACATTAATGAACTTCCAAACAGTTGTAAGCTGAATCATATAATGGGCCTGAAAACGTACAACAATGGTAAACCAAATATGTAGCATATACACTTTCACTTACTTAACTTACTTCCCTCGCTAAATGATAAAACATATTCGCGATTCTTAACGCAGTCTGTTTTATTCAAATCTCAAGGGTATGAAAGGTGATCCAGGAAAACAAGGACTCCCAGGACTTGCTGGTAAACCGGTGAGCGTAAATTTAAACATAGTTTCTCATAGTCTCTCGAGAGTTTAAACAACTCTCGTAGTTCGTGAGTTGAATATAAAACTCTGCACTGTCTGAACGTTATTACAAACGTATATTGTTGCCTCTTTGATGAAAACCATGCACTGGGCTGTTTCACAATCGCTGGAGCGTAAGTTCGTTTAGCTTGTAATAGTTCACTGCCCTAGTTTCCATGAAACAATTCTACTGTCTAAATAAATCATTCATTTTCGTATTTCGTGAAGGGCGGAAGAGGAAAAAATGGAGAAGTTGGCGTGACTGGATTGAAAGGACCAACGGTATGAACTATGAACAGCTATTATTACACTGGTTATGGGAAGCTTCCTTTAGCATGAAGACAATAAACCAGAACTCCTTAAGAAACATGTTAGAGTTATCATGTAGAAACAACGGTACTATATTTTAGGATGTCTTTATCGTCTGATAATATGGTTGCTAAGCGAAGGAAGGATCTTCAAAACCCATGTTGGAATCTTAATTTACACAATTACCAATTGTGCCCTTCTACCTGTTGCCTTCTACCTGTTGCCTTCTACCTGTTGCCTTCTACCTGTTACCACGCTTGTAAACACTTTTTATTCTGTAGGGTGATGCAGGGACTCTGGGTTCTCATGGCTCACAAGGTCTTATTGGTCAAAAGGTATTTTTTTATTTAATAGGAGTTTATATCATTGAAGCAAGGAATTATATCATTTAATGTTTTTCATATTGTTCACTTGGTTTTTTAGGGTAATATTGGTTACGCTGGTTCACGAGGATCAACCGTAAGCTATTATTACATTTCGAAAGCGTGACAAATTTTATACTAATAATATAAATTTGTAATATTCATTTTTCTTGTCTTTCAGGGTAATCCAGGACCGAAGGTAAAATGAACTATTTACGCTCAAATATCTAAATGGTTACGTTAATACTCATCCTAGGTTAGGCATCTTTCCTACCCTGAACCTGTATAAAGGGAATAATATATTATTCACATAATCGCAACATCATTTTTATTCCTTTTTGAAGGGTCTACGTGGAGCACGTGTAAGTCTTATTGTGTCAAATATTGTTATGGGTGTTTGGAGTCCGAATAAAGTCTGTAAAGCACTAATAAAACACTAATGCCGTGTACTAAACTAAACTGGCTTATTTGTAGGGTCGTCCTGGACCTCCTGGTCCCCCTGGAACCGCGGGTTACTTGACATCGTCTAGGGTGAGTAACAAAGCTAATTTATGATGGATAGATTTTACTTAAGGGAGATGAAAAATAAACATTTTTCTCTTTTTACTTACCATGTCACAGTATCAACAAGTCCCAAGAACATCTGGCGAGAAAGGTCCATTTAGATATTACCAAGGAAGAACGGTAAGCCATTATACTTCAATTTTATGGTCGTATTTATAATACTGGGTATTGCAATCACAGGTTCTTTTATCTTCCTAGAAAGACACGAATGAAATTGAACTCAGTGAATCACACAATGCAAATATTGACTTCAAGGTAATATGAAATTTAGTATCATTCCTGTTTTATGTATTTTTGCGGTAAACGACCATCACTCTTTTCTTGCTGCTGACGTCTATCCTGCCACATCGTACATACCCAGTAGAGTTAAACTTGAATAGAGTCTCGCGTTTTCCACCAAGATTGACCCTGCATTGCAATAACGCGCATAGTTGGGAGGGATTCCTCTTTCCACCACAACACTAGGTAGTTTTCCTGTTGGTGTATTCAATGATATATGTTTAAGACAAGATGATTTATTAATTGAAATAATTCATAGTAAATAATATATAGTAAATATTAGATCTCCTTTGCTAGGATCAACATTCCGTCGAAGTCGTATCAGAATTAATACACATAACAAAATCGTACAAGAATCCAGATGGATCGAAAAAATATCCCGCGCTTACTTGTCAGGATCTTCGGATGTTTCACCCGAACTTAGAAAATGGTGAGTTCTCTACAACTACAACAAAGTAATGACGTTATTATTTCACTTGATCGTATTCCGCTGGCGGAATTCCCTCATATATGCCTTGTAAACAGCTGTTAAATGCATATATTTAAATCCCTATCTCGTGTCGTAAAAAATCGTAGTCATGAGGTCCCATTTTATGTTTATGTGTACGTGCGTCAGTTATAAGATTTTTACTGAACGATGTTGATCTTCACAGGTCAATATTGGGTTGATCCCAACGGCGGAGCAGTCGAAGATGCAGTTTTAGTACAATGTGATTTTGAAACAAATGCAACATGCTTTGCAGCCAAAGCTCAAAATGTAAGCTTACGTTTACAATGAATGTTTTACTGCTTTACACAGTTATGACTCAATATGGAGTTTATCCGGCGTAATTATGCCGTCGTAAGCGATGTTTTATATCATCCTTTTTTCGCACAAATATTTTTAGGTACCCAAACAGAAATGGCTTATACAACCGGGTCAGCACGTCTGGTTTCGGAAAGATCTTGAGAAAACGAGCGATGTAAGTTCTATTGTCGTATATTATGCTTTCTCAGTTTTTTCATGCAAAGTCTGTACGGACTATATCCTCAACTTTCAGATATATTTCTTTTAGTTCTACTATGTTGTTGACGGGAGCCAGCTACGTTTTCTTAAGATGCTTAGTGTGTCTGGATGGCAGAGTGTAACTTATCATTGTCGAAATTCACTGGCATGGGAAGATGATAATGGCGATCGAAAATATTCAATCAAACTTAAAGGTGACAATGAAGTCGAATATCACGCATTGAGCCCACGGAAGTTGAGGCCTAATGTCTTGATTGACGACTGCAAGGTAATTTTCTTTTCGTTTTCCATGGTATATGCAATGCACATAACATAACATGTACGTAATATACGAAACTATATACCATACAAGTTGTAGTAGTTTAGGCACGTGACGTAACTAATTATTCCGCTATTACCAGGGCTGCCGAGGAGAGAGGAGGATGCGGTGACATCATTCCCCTGGCTTTCAATGACGTTTTAATTTGAACTAAAATTTGTCATTTTTTGACAGAATAATGATGACAACTGGCGACAAACGATAGTCGAAATAAGAACTGGTAATCCTTCAAGACTTCCCATTCGTGATGTCGCTACCTACGCATTTGATGCAAATCATCAAGAATTTGGAATCGATTTAGGATTAGTTTGTTTTGTTTAAAATAAAAGGGACCCGAATAAAATATTGCTGGAAATCAGCGTGTATAATCAGATATTTGGGCCGAAATATGACTAACCACTAGTTAGGTTTCCATCAAATAACACGTGTTGACCTACTTTATCTTTCATGTTGGTACATGTATAGTTAATTTAGTTTTTGTCATCTTTCTAGCTTTCATGTTGGTACATGTATAGTTAATTTAGTTTTTGTCATCTTTCTAGATTTCTAAATATCCCAGTCAATGCAACTTTTCTTTGCATTTCATTCTTTCTAGCTGACCCCAGTTCAATGCGTGTTTTGTGTTTCATTGTGTTTACTGAATAAGTATTTTGACTAGAAATTAAATAGAACTATTTTATGTATTACATAACCTTTTAGTTTACCAGAACTAGCAAAGATATAACATGCAACACAAATCGTTGAAGAACCAATCAAATTTTTCATAACATTGTTGACTTGCAATTAACAGCCGCTTCTATTCATCGATTTTCTTCGTTTAACTAATTTCATATTCATTGAGAAGAGGCGGACCTAGCCTCCTCCTCAGGCATTTCTTATAACTAATATGAATACATAAAAGAATAAAGAGATGTCTACCGAGGAGGCTATAGCGGACCCACGTTCAATATTTTTATTTTTCTTTGCGAACGGAAACTGCGTCAAGGGTATCTTTTTCACCCTGAACATTTTGTAAACGGAAATCGCAAATGTTCCATCATCGCGCTTCTACATTGGAAACTGCAAACAAGTACCTTGTATTGAAGATGTATTAGCATGGTTATATGCAGTAATTTATTTAAACAGGCTTACTTATGTGCAGGGCCGTAAGAGGGCATTTTCGCTGCAGGGTTTTTCAATCTTTTACCGACAAAGTTAACATGAAAAAAACCTCTTCTCTTGGCGGATTTTGGTAATTCGAAATTTTACCTAATTTTTTAAGAAACCTAAAGGATCAGGACAGGAAGCGTTCACACAGGATCAAGACAGACTAAATTTTCACCACTGAATTGCTCACAAACGCTAAATCCTAACCTACGAAAACATGCACTCTCCGTCTAAATTTTTGCGGCAACGTCACCTTATAATCCCGGTCATTGCAAACTTCTCATGAAAAAAACAATGTAATAGTTTTTCATGAAAAAGAACAATGTATTGCGAAATCCATACGGATGAATTTATATAATACTTTACAATATACCTTTGTGTCTGCGTCCTCTTGAAGATGTTCTCAATGTTTGCATGTTGATTAATTAAAAGAGAAAAAAAAGCGTTTTCCCGTTGGGTGAGAGTCTGGGCATATGATTTCATCATTTCCGGTCGAAGGTTTTGTCTAATGGTCAAAGGTGGTGGTGACATTCTAGTTCTTCAGTCGATGCTGTTACTCGATTGGTCTTATCAGTTATTTTTTGGCTGCCTACGATCAGAAATATAATACTCGTAACTTGACCTGAGGCTCGAGCTGAAATGAAAGGCAGTAATTCTATCATGTCATTCCCAGTGGTCATTCCATGGCATGACGAGACCACCCGATTGCAGGTGGTAACAGGGCCAGCAGATTGTGGGGGCAAAAAGGTTGAAATTTAGTGGACGAAATATTGTACTTCAAATACGCTAAGTATAAAACGGTAGTATACCCTCAGCAAAGTTTCCTTTTTGTAAATTAACTTACAAGAAAGAAAAAAAGAGCCTGAGACACCTCCGACGGGATTCGAACCCGCAATCTTCGGCTTAGGAGGCCGACGCCTTATCCTTTAGGCCACGGAGGCTAAACGCAGGAAAAGGGATTAAAATGTGATACATATTGCTTCAGATAGCAGCCTGAGCAGTTTGTCAGAGAATTTAGAAGTGACACGTAACGGAGCGAGATAGAAACTTTCACCAGCCATCTGCCTAATATTTAAATTCATTCTTGCGATATGAATCAAAATTGTCAAGGTTCAGCTGCTGTTTTGACAGGCAACGGCTGAAAGCCAAGCGTTTGGTCGTGCTTGAAATATATAAACCGTGATATAAACCTTTATGTTTTGATATATAAAAGTGCATCAAAATATACGACACGTGATATCGTCAAATGTTGAGGAAACCTTTCGAAAATACCTGGTGATTTTATTATATGTGAACTGACAAAAGCTGTATCAAGAACCTCAGTGTAGATCTTTTCAATCAATAATGCCATCCCAAAAAGCGGTCCTGGCAATTTCTGTGATACTGCTTCAGGTATTGGATATCGCTATAATCGTAATGGTTGGTGTCTGGATGGGACATTATCGTGGTGGTTTTGCCTGGGATGGAACTTTCAAAGAATTTAACTATCATCCAGTGTGCATGATAGTGTCAATGATATTTCTAAACTCCGAAGGTAGGTAAATGTTATTACAATATAAAAGTATTCTTTGCTCTTAAAGAGATGATTTGAGAGATGAAAGGCCTCCAAAGTTATAAATCAATATCATTATGCTGGTTTGGTAAATTGAAGCCAAATATTGGTCCATTCACTCCATTGAGAGACTCAGTGTTTTATTTATGTTGAGGTGATTTGCTAGTATATTAAATAAGAGAGAATTATAAAGTTGGGTCAGTGGACATAATTTGCAAGAACTTATCTGAGAACATGGAAATGCACCCATGTCTTCTGGCTGGAGTTCAACCTATATTCCTCTGTGATTATTAAAGATGTAAGAGGCTGTTCTCTCACCCACAGTCATCAACATCTAATTCAGTTAAAAATGGGGTGCCAATGAAAGAAATGAACTTGTGAATTACCCGTTAAGGTCTAAAGATTTTACTCTGTGTAACTCTCACTGTCTCACATAAATTTCAATGAACTATGCTTCTGCAACAACCTCACACTTTCACATATTGATTCTTTCACTGGGCTACCTGCAGCACAGGTCTGCATGATTGACTGCATGTTTTAGATGTGGCTAATAGTTTTTCAAGTTTGAATTTAAGGTGTCTAGTGTGTACGCGTTATGTAGTGTATTGGTTTATTAATGGTCTCTTTATTTTTTAGCAATGATTGTTTTCCGAGTGTTCAGTGAATGGAATAGATTTAAACTTAAACTATTGCACATGTCAATCCAAGTTATTGCATTTGCTTTTGGCACTGTTGGATTGAAAGCAGTTTTTGACTTCCACAATTTCATGGGTTTTACAAACATGTACAGTTTGCATTCTTGGACAGGACTATTATGTTTTATTCTATTTTCATGTCAGGTATATTATTATAAAATTTCAATATTTTGTCCTGTGTTTTGTATTATTTTGATGTCTAAAGATCTCAGCGTATAGAAACTCTGGATAATTTTATCCCATTAATTTCTTTTAGCTTGCTTGTGGTTTCTTTGGTTTTCTGTATCCTGTGTTTCCTGATGGACTTAGAATGGTGTATCTGAAAGTGCACAAGTATTTTGGTGCATCCATATTTTTTCTCGCAGTTGGCACCAGTTTGACTGGTATTATGCAAAAAATCCGCTTTGCATTAAAGTAATTACTGAATCTTCATACTGTGCAGTAATGTGTTGTACAGATATAGTGCAGTGAAATGCTAATATATTGCAGTGATATGGGATAGATGTAGTTTAATACCCTGACAGATTAATCAGACAGATTACCTGTAAAGTGAAGTACTTGTATATTGCAGTGAATCAGATAGTGGTAGAGTGCAGTACAGTGAAGTACAGTAAATTGTGCATCAAACTACTTTCCTACACATTACTTAATACACTAATAACACGCTATTTAATTTACTTTCAATTTTACAGAACAGACTATGAATCTCTTCCCCCAGAAGCTGTTTTTGTAAACATCCTTGCTCTTGGTGTGGTGATCCATGCCGGTCTGGTGTATTTTATTGTTAGCAATGAAGATTTCAAGCAAACTGTTGCACCTGAAGAACAACAACGTTTAATGGATATTTCGGGTGAACAAGACGAAAATGATTAGAGCCATCCAAAATGGTTTCAGTTGTCTAAACGTAATGTAAAAACTATGCCTGAAAGCATGTTTGTATTTGTTGTCATAAAAAATACATGTTCTTTCAAAATGGTTGTTATTAGAATAGAGGGTACTTTTTTGGGACACACGGTACAACTAAATAGTGTTGGCAGATTAGTATCTGCTAAGGTCACACTCGAAGTTCATAGGCTGTGTTTACATATTATGCAATTCATTCAATAGATAATGAGATGATAATGAAGCGTAATGAGGTTTATCATATCATCATCTATTGTTTGAATTGCATTCAACGCGACCAAAATGCGACTGCGTAGCTTATAACCTACGCCTAACTGAAAAACTTAGGTTGCAAAACTTTGTTTGGCTAATTTATTCCAGGCAAATCTGCCGAAATAGGTCCGAGAATGCTGTGCCTCTAAATAGTCCTAATTTGCCGAGAACAAAAGTTAATCAATGGCGATGCCTCGTATTACTGTTAAGAGTGATCGATGCATAAAGTCATTGTTCGTTGGAATGTTCAAAACAAAAGTTAATCAATGGCGATGCCTCGTATTACTGTTATTGTTAAGAGTGATCGATGCATAAAGTCATAGTTCGTTGGAATGTTCTTTGAAGTAAATAAAGGTGGTTGAATTCGGGAGAAAAGCTCAGGAAACTCATATTTGCTAGTCCCGAAGAAGGAAGGATCACTCGAAGAAGTTTAGGGAAAAGTTGGAAGAATCTTGCTCAGGTATGGTCATGGACATAGTTGGTTTAAAGAATCTGTTGGCTTGATCTTTGACTTTGCAAATTAATTCATCCCCGTGTTCGTTTGAATAGCCAGGAAACATTAGCGACTGCATGTTGGCATATTCTTGCCGATTTTCACTGCTGTATCTTATATATTTCGATTCAAAATATGGAATGCAAGTGAGCCGTTAAGTTGATATTGTTTTTCCGTCCTTATTTCATTTCAGAACGAACTACGGCGTCGAAAGGTGGTTGGAAAACATGGTTGCTTTCAGCGAATAGGTATTGTTATATAAATATATGATTGTAAATATATGATTGTATGCTTTTTGCATGCCATATGTGACTTAATTGTACGTACACAGTGCCGGCGGTGGGCGAAACTAGAATATAGTTTAATCCCGGCTGATACAATGCATTTTTCGAACATGGTTGTCGTATCGTGAAAACGTCAGCGCTTAAAAACCAGTTTTTTACATGAAAGGACGGGTTCGAACTGAAATCAAATGCCTATAATTATCCGTGTTTGTAGTATATGTACGTACTTTATGCTAGACCTGACATGTGCTGAGTTATTTCAGCTTGTCTATTGTTAGTTGTTTGGAGCGTGTTTTCTACGTCCAAAGGCAAAGTATTTTCGTCCTGTAGTGATTCCTTTCCTTCCCATGTGACATGTGATTTGTTTTACCACAAACCAAAAAGTCAGATAGCAAGACACTTTATCTAGGCTTTATATGCCCGTGAATTTTTTGTTTCATGGAGGTTTTCTTTTTCTAGAATGAAAGAATCGTCGGAGTGGAGAATAACAGACCTGCCTTGGGACATTTATGCACGCAAATACAAAACTCGATTTCGGTGAAAATATGCATGAGTAAAATATGCATGGGATTTGGCTTTTTTTGGCTGAGATATGCTGAACACTCTTCTGTTTACCTCCTTGATTTTCAACTTTGGGGTTTTTGCATGAGTTTAACCTGGTCGTGTCAAGCGCATGCGGGGTTAATACAAGTGATTCTGGGGCCCCAATCGCTTGTATTTTCTCCATCTTGAACGACAATAGTCCGGAACAAAAATATTGCTCACAGAGCGCCTAAAGCATAAAAATGCATGAAAATTGTATTTCTAGAAGGAGATAATAGTCGAGTGTTTTAGCTTCCTCAGTACCACGAAGAAAACAGCGAAGCAATAATGAATATTTCCTACAAAAACGTGCATGACAATTTGTATTCGCGTGTGTAATGCGAAGGCCTTGGACGAGTGGCGTTGGAGATGTGGAAGGTGTGCAATCGAATTTGTGTGATCATTTTATCCTGAACGCTTAATGCATCAGTGACGTGTTGGAAATTATTTATATAATATTTGCCATCTATGTGAAGGATCGTCGCAGGATCAGATGTTGAAGGATCGTCGCAGGATCAGATGATGAAGGATCGTCGCAGGATCAGATGTTGAAGGGTCGCAGGATCAGATGATTAAGGATCGTCGCAGGATCTGATGTTGAAGGATCGTCGCAGGATCAGATGATGAAGGATCGTCGCAGGATCAGATGTTGAAGGATCGTCGCAGGATCAGATGATTAAGGATCGTCGCAGGATCTGATGTTGAAGGATCGTCGCAGGATCAGATGTTGAAGGATCGTCGCAGGATAAGATGATGAACGAACATTGCAGGATCGGTGGCACGAAACGGGTGTACAAGTGGAGGCTAGACGAGGTACATAATTGTAAGTTTACTAATTACAGTAATGCATGATTAATTTGTATGTGCATGTCGGATTGATTCCTGCTGGTGGTCTAACCTAGTATATTCACACATAAAGTGACATTCCACCCTTTTCGACAATGCATGATAACAGGCTATTCATGCAGGAATTTCTAACAGCTCTTTTAAGAGCGTTTTCGAGGTTTCTCGATGAAACATTCCCACTTGTCACTTGTGTGTGAATTATGGTGGTCTTAATAAGACCACCTTAACAGCTGCGGAAGATGCATAGATGCATGGCCTTACAACGTTAATGAAAGTAACAAAATGCAATTAGCATGGTCGACGGCGACGCGCACGCAACGAAAGAAAAGATCGAATTCGTATTAGCCTAATTTTAGATTAATACGAAGATAATCCAGTGTAGCTTATATGATTATATAAGTTCTCTGTTTAGTTAATTAATAGCGACTATAATGCGACCATTTCTAAAGACCGTCCGTCAGTGGCATAAAAAATTATACTTTTGTCTTCGAACATTTAAATTCGAAATATTGAAGTAAAAAAATGAGGAAAAAAGTCTAGACACCTATCACTCTTCTATTTCCCTTGTTGATTTAATTTTTCGGATTGCCGTTTATGCTCTTAAAATCCGGTTAATCTCAAGCATGGAGAAAATAAACGTAATCTAATCAATTTGACCAACTTGATGAAGTTTGTATAAGAAGGAAAATCAAAATATGCCTCCTATATTACATAGATAATTATATTACATTGCATGATAACTGCATGGATTTGTATAATGGGGTTAACTAGAGTATAGTTGTTATAACTGTAGGTTATAATATTGTATGGTACCCTCTTGCCTAAGACACTAACCTTTAAAAAATCCTTTGCGTTTTGACACACTTACTATGTTTTTCAATTTCTTGCACGCCTACCGTCGAGATGTTGTTGTTGAAGAGGACAACAGTTTGGAATGGAGCAGTGACGCAGTGAAATTCGCTACAGTGTTTACCAAAGGTAATAATTGTACGGTGCAAAAGGTAAGGATCCAACCTCGTATCAGTGATTAACCATTTTGAGTAATTTGCATGTTGAGCCCGATTACGTTTATTTCCTCCATCTTCGGTCAACCGTAATCCAAAAAGTATAAAAGTAAAACAGTGCATGAGGTGCATGTCTCAAGAAGGGGTAGTGGAAGAATGTTGTTGTCTACATCGGTTTTTTGAAATGAAAAAGCATGCACGTCGTGAATACGAAGTATTTATCAAAAAATGAGCATTTGAGAAATTGAAAAAAATTTTTGTTGCCACTGTCGGACAAAGCGCAGTTTAATTTCTAAGAGCCTGGTGTTTTGCAATTGACAATATACGCGCCTGCGCACGTGTTAGACCATCAGCTTGATGGAATTGATGAAGCTCAAGAATTGCATGGCAATTCCTGGGACTTGGTTCGGATGAGCGGAACCATATAGATAAAAACCAAACTGAACTGTCATTGCGGACGATTTCTAAATGAAAATACCAAATTCGGACCGCCAGTCAGGTAACCTGAAATTCAGGTTATCTTTGGAGGGTTTTTCTCCGGGTACTCCGGTTTCCCTCCTTTTCGTTTGGCTTTAAAAACAGTGTCCATGTCTGGGGCCAAAGCAAAACGTGTTCGTTGATAGTGATAAAAACGCGGGTGTGGCTTCTGGGTTCGATTCCCAGAACACTGTCGTAAAAGGTTGTGGATCATTACGTAATTAGCTAGTTTTGTACGGAAATTTCTGGCAATGAGAATTATGAGATTTTATTAGCCATTTAATAGGGTTAACCTCGTGCTCCTCAGTCCTGCAAGAACTTTGGTTTACCTATCTGCTGTTAGTTTTTGTGTCGATATAAGGGCCTGACATAAACCATTTAAAACCAAGTTCGCCAGATTTAGTTGTTTCAGTAAAAAATAGATAGAGATAAAAATGATACACAAATAGATAAAATTATCTTCTTGGTTCACTATGTATAGTGAACGTTTGCAACTTTTTTTATGAATAATAATCATTTTTCACTATTTGTCTTATGTCTTTCACTATTTGTCTTATTCCACTATGGCATCATCTTGATCTTATAAATTCACGTTTTTTCCCCCTTGATTACTATAGAGATATTAGGCAGTGATGAGTGGTGGAGTGTTTGGCATTCATTTGCCAGTTTGCCTTACACTATTCTCTGAGCCATTGCATTGCGCATTTGATTTCGAATACATTTCATCCGCCAGAAGTGAATTGGATCCGACAGAACTAGATCGTATAAACAGACTCATACATGCACTGTAATTAATAATTTTCAACTAATGGTAGTGGCGGTTCTTCTAGTTCCTCTCAAGTGACTAAGTTGCGTGTCGCTGTGCTTCTCACGTGATCGCTAAGCGTTGCGGGTGATGAGGTAGAATTAAGCAATACGTGTATAATCGCAGTTTGTACTGTTAAATAACTAGTTTCAATATACAAGACCACATATATAAATGCCACAACGGTACAACCATATGACAATGTCGACATCGTGCAATGTCAATAAACAACGGGACATGAAGCATAACGCAGAGATATATTCGAAAATTAATGATTTTCAGCTGGAGTTTGGTGAAAACCTTGCTACGACAACTGGAATTAAACCCGGAGACAAAGTCCTAGACATGGGATGTGGAACTGGTGAACTGACTTCATTTCTTGCGGAGAGAGTTGGCAAAGAAGGTCAAGTAGTTGGTGTGGATCCAGACGTCGAGAGAATTAGTGTTGCCATTCAAAAACATTCCGGTACTCATGAAAATCTTATATTCAAAAATGGCGACTGTTCAAGTCAATTCCCACATTACAATGAACAATATTACGACATATATTTCAGTAATTTTGTTTTTCAATGGCTCAGCGCTGAAGAAAAGAAGACTTTTGCCCAATCTGCGTTCAAATGTCTGAAACCTGGGGGCAAGATTGCAATTCAAAGCGCTGACTGCGACTCTCGTGTAATTGAGCAAGCAAAAAATCTAATCACACCAGATAAATTGTTTTCTCAAACTATGAATGACAAAACTAAGAAAGATCCGATCCAGCATTTTGTGAAGAAGTCAGTGACTGAAACTCTGCTTCAAAATTCAGGTTTTCGTATTGTTTCCAGTGATTATAATAAACGTTCATACATATTTTCCAGCGCAAATGAATTCCTAGCTAATGTCCTTGCTTCAGACTATTATATCTACGATGAAACAAAAATATCTGCTAGCAAGATGAACGAATTTAGAAACAAATTTGCCAACGATGACGGAACAGTATCATATTTTCATCCTTCAATTTATGAAATCGTTGGTGTAAAGACTAGATAGATAGAAATGCCTGCGGAGGAGGCTACGCTAAGTTGATCCTCATGAGAAGAAATCACAGTAAATATTTACATAAATAGTTATTTACAAGTCAAGGGCATGCAAGCTGGTGCGTTGACAATGATGTATGTGATCTCATCACTGAATCCTATTTTACAGTTAACAACATTCAAGGAAAACGAGAAACAATTCTACCAGCTCGCAAAGCTTTTTATTTCATGGGGTTAAGATCTTTATACAATGATTTACCACTAGAATTGCGAAAGGTCGAGACTATCAGGTTTTTGATAAGGTTATTGAGTAAACAATGCCTAATGGTTTATTTTTTATTATTAATTTACATATATACAGACATTGATTTTAGTATTTAAATCGAGTATATCAGGACACCCGTTGATAACAGCTTTTAGTTGAAGTGTTTGACCCCTGTAACTCCTGTATAAATATTCGTCTATAATAATACTATTATACAAATAAGAGATATATATGCAGTATAGTAATAAAAAGTACAAATAGATAGTAGGCATAGTAGAATGGTTATTCACACGTAGTAGAACAAATAGTCTTAGGAGATATGAGCAGCAATTCTCTTTTGAAAGCTTGACAGGGATTGGCTCTCCCTGATTGGAATAGAGTTCCATAGTTTAGCATTACCAGACAAAGACAAGCCGTATTTCGAAAACCATAATCTGTTCTCTTTTTTGTAATGAACAAGGTTTGAAAGAGATTCAGGGCTCATTTTATTTAGAGTTTTGTACATCATTTTTGCTTTTGCCTTTTTCCTCATACGAAGTGGCTCCCAGCCCAAGGCACGCAAAGCAATAGATTTATCATAATTTTAATTGCTCATATTTGAATGAATTCGAGCAGCTCTGTTTTGGAGCTTTTGTAATCCCAAACTTCAGAGCCATAGTTGAATTAGGGACGAGCAATGGCATTGTATATGGAGATACGTGCATCTTTTTCAGCAATAAATGGTTTGACACGACGTAGAGATGAGATCCCAGAGCAGAAGTAATTTTTTTGCAAATATTTTCTGTCTCGGGTTTCCAGGATAAATGCTGATCAATAATTATTCCTAGAGTTTTGGCTTTGTAAATAGAATTATTAAATAAATAGAATTATTATTAGGCATAGATTCCGTGCTGATCACGACTATAAGTATATCTCTCGGTTTTTTGAAACAAAGATATCAGTACGCTCTCTATGATAAAAGTGTTGCTATTCTCGCACGATTCAGCTATAACTTTAGGTCTGGTTATCATATGTCAACGACGCTCGGCGATGGCCGTTGTCGGTGATTACTGAGGTTAACACTTGAGGTTAAATGATTCTTGGGACCATCGCAGTCCTGTCTTCCCTGCGAACAGAGACTTATTTTTGTTTCTCTTGTTCGAGGAGGGGAAAGGAGATTTTTCTTATTTTCTTCTTTCCCCCTCCCCAAAGAAGAGAAACGAAAATAAGGTTCTGCTTCCAGGGTTAGTCCTGTCCATCAGACAGGAAAGTTTCCTTATGGCAGTGTTATAACTGTTATAACCATTATCTTAAAATCACCAAAAGTTTGAATTCAGTCAAATTTTATATTTTTTAACCAAAGTATAACATCATAATACTTCCTACAATATCTTACTTTTGAAGCATAAATTCAATATAAATTTTAATATTTTACTGTGTTTATATATACTGTATCCATATTTTCTTTCCAATATAGTGACACAATATATATAAAGTTATATCCTCTTTGAATATGGAAATTGCAGTAGAAAGTGTAGAAACTAGAAGAATAGCCACAGTAGAAAAAAATTATTTAACATAAATTGATCATAAGTTAAGATAATATAAATTCTTCCATTAACTGATTAACATAAAGCTGTTTACAATTTAGCATACAGGATATGCTGACCGATGAATATGTGTCCATTCTAGTATCTATTTATTCCAAAAAGACGAACTTTGTGTAGTTGAGGAAGTTTAGGTATAAGTGCTGAGCAGAGGGCCACAGTATTGACTAGGAAGTGCAGTAGATCATATTTTGTATAAAAACTAGCCAGGATGAATCTAAAGATATAGAAAAGAGTAAAATTAAAAATTATCAGTCACTATTGGACTTTGCACACACATATTTGTCTTGCACCAATGAGCGCCAATACTTTAGAACTATGCATCCACAGTCCCACAAGTGTGTTGTTTTCAAGTATCATTTTCTAGTTGGAATGATCTTTTTACACAACAAAATTGGTTGAATGAGAAATTAATGGAACCAAAAGGGAATTGCTAAGAATTGCCATTTTACATGGTTGCATTAATTAAAAATGGTTATTAATCTAATAAAATTGTAACTTACATGATGACAGGAACAATAGTCATGAATTTCTTTGTGGATGTGTTCTGTGCACCTTGATTAATCTGTTCCCAATGCGTCAACCTACGATCTTTTCCTTGAGAGCCACCATCGACAGAGTTCTCAAATGGATTTCCTTTTAAATAGTGCAGAAAATAATATGTTGCCTAAAAATAGAGATGCTTGTTAAAAATATATTCCAAGAATAATTAACTTATTTACTGCCAATACTCTTCCACTGGTGAGTAAAATCATCTGGCATTAGTGTAGTAAGTGTACGAAAAATAGTATAGGGAACATCTTGGTCCATTGCAAGCCAATGTTGATATACAGACATTCCTACTTACTGGACTGGACTAGTTTTGTGGGTTATGTTCCCTGTATTCCTGTATTGCATCCTATTCTTTTAACAAAAAGTATCCTTCAAAGTTAACTATTAATCTTATTTATATTATATTTAAGTGGATTTTTTTAGGTCTCTGGGTGAATTTACTTAGACATGTTGCTTTAATAGCAGGGTACTCTATAAATTAATATTCTGCCTGTTTTACCTGGCAATGCTGACACAATCAGTGAAATGTCGACCCAAAATAGTATAAATATTTATTCTAGTATAATTATAAACGATCAATCTATTTCAACTTACAATACAATGAATCATGCTCGTCAAAGTCCAAGCTGTAGCCGTTCCAATGAAGGGAATACTCAGAATAGCCAAATGTGTTATACAAACGATAACTCCGTAGGTTAACCACGAACCTCTACCTTCTAGCCATGATTCATTTGGGTTAAAACGGCTGTGTGGCGCATTTTCCGCCATGTTTCTATGAAAACTAACTACACCGAGTCATCGATGGAAAATAGCGTCACAACTCACAATAAACAGGTTTCTCAACTCTTAAACTTGTTTTGTGGTCAGTTTCGAAGCGCAATCGGAACTTGGCGTACGTGCATCGTTTGGTTATCGCTGTCGTTCGGATTACGAAACATATTCAGTGTCAATGCTCAGAGTGCATTATTCAGAATCAAAATGCCTTCGCTTGTGGGATTTTATATCATATAAAGCAATCACTAAATGGCCTTGCAAGGACTGCGTGACCTTGCACTTGGAAGTCGCGAAACACCCCTCCAGTGGCGTAGCCAGCCCGAAAATTTAGTCATGCTATGCTAATTTTTTGGTGTAATTGACTGCAAAAACAATGAATTTCTAAAGAAATGAATAATGTTAATAACATAAAATTTGCATAGCATGACTAAATCGTCAGGCTGGCTACGCCACTGCACCCCTCATGCATATCTCGATCCTACAATTTAAATCACGAACAAAGGCGAATTGCCGATTTTACAAAAGGTAAGGGGGGCATTTCTCCGCCTCCCCACCGCATCTGAGTCAGGAGTCGTTTTGATGGAACAACGGCCTATATGTATTTCAGTGGTGCCTCAAATACTACTCTGCTGGTCTAAAATATTTAAAGCTAAATAAAACACCCATAGAAACCATAAAAATTAAGAATATCAGTTCCCAGATCATATGGTTTGACATCTACACAATTGTAAAGCACCGGAATGGATACAGAAAGCAGGTTAATTGCATAGAAGTGGGGGAAAGATTAACTTGTTTGTGATTATTTAGCTATGACAGAACGCGACAAATCTCTCCAAACCTTGAGAGAGCCTGGGCTTTGAACATTTTCCAGTTTTATTAAACTGTTGCGCCGTTTTCGGGTTTTACTGAATGCTTCTAAAACCTTTTTGAGTTTTTGTCAAACCACAGGCACAACTGCAGATCATTTCATTTTTTGCGGTGGTGTACGTAATGCGCTAGTAGAAAATCGTCCAGTCGGTCCATATTTCTAGTGACTAAAAAATCTTACTGTATAAAGACTGTTTACTATATGCTACGCATCATTCACTGATATCATCAAACTATTAAAACAAGACGCACTTGAGGGTCAGTTTTAATTAAGAGATCGTGTTTCTCTCTAGCTCAACATGTTAAAATTCAACCACTTTTAGCAATTTTATAGCCATGTTACCTACATTACCCTTCTAGATTAGACATACTGCGACAAGACACATAAAGCTACAAATGAGACAAATGCATGAGTTGCTCGGAAACCTGAGTCGCTTTTTCTGTCTGTCGAATCTGGAGCGACAGAACTACAGATTTTAATCTGTTTATATTTGTTACGGGGTATAATGACGGACGTCAGTCATTCGCAAAGTGGAGTAAAAAGTTCATTTTTATCATTTTCAAAATGTAAAACAAAGCATGCGAATGATGAATATACACTAAAATTGACATCACGAAGAGTTCCACGGTTTTTGCAAATTTTTGCATCTTGGTACTTCATATTTTTCGATGAACTTGGAACTGACATGTAAGCTAATTCTCCCCCGGTTTTGCAACCGGATTAAAAAAAACTTATTTCAAGTACTTGACTTTTGAAGTATTAATCTTCTAAGGAATTTCGCAAAATAGTTCCGACGCGGTGACAAAGCACCTGTGTTCTTTTTCAGGGCCCGGCAATGAATGGTGTAATTTATTGAAGATCAGATCACGCAAATTCGTGGTAGCGTGTTCACGATCGGAATCTAGTGTCCTTTCAAACTGTGGATTGTGTAACGTGTTTATTGTTAGCCACTGCTTGCATTGTTCAACGTTAGAGAAAACTCTCTGGTGTCAGTGAGCTGGTAAAATCATGAAGTTGGAACTTCTTCTATTGCTGGTTTCGTTTAGTTTTATCAATGCCCAAGAAGGTAGGTTTTGTCATTTTGTTTATAATCTCGCAAAAAAATCATAGAGTGCCAGTCGAATATTATTATTTTCAATCATGATATACAATGGACATATTGTAATATCTTTATGTTCGTTTATTTTTCGCGATATTGTGCACCCTTTGAAAAATCTAAATTATAATAAACTAAGACATGAGCTTATGTTTAGTCAATAGTCAACTTTCTGGCGAATTTTATTTTCTTGCATAAACAACTAAATAGACATAACTAATAATCCACTAGATGTATAGAAGATACCCTGAGGTTTGTGGTATCAAATATACGGTCAAAGACTATCGCATAACACAAACGTGTCTCTTAGATCGCCCGTAACTTACGAACAAAATATCTACCGCTTGAGCGCGTTTTCAGTTTGTGAAAATTACCAGTAAAACGATATTTAGAAGTTTGTATAATATCTTCATATTGATGTGTTTGTAAAATTCACGTATTTTCTTCGATTTGGGATTTGATAATACAAAGCAGCTCTATGAGATCTTTCATCAGATCGTCATTTTCTTCTGAAGTGATTGTTCACGAATGCATGATGGGGGTGAAATATGAAGCAGGGTGTCTGAAATATAGGCGTGCAGTTCAGCTACGATGAAATCGCAACAAATAATATGTGATCAAGTTTTTGTTGGAATTTCAATACGGCTGAACCCACGGGTGTTTAAAAAGATATATACATCTTAATTTTGGTTATGGAAAGACGGTATCGTAAATAAAAGGCAGGTATATGCAGGTTGTCCACGAACATCCCCCCCCCTGAGCGAGTCAAACGAGTAATATTGAATTGTCCTTGTCACGCTTCATTACCGCAACGCATTTTGGAACATCGAACTTACTGTCCAAAAGTGCGCTAAACTTATGATATGTGACAAAAACAATGAATTATATTGACTTTGGATTTCAAAGACTATCCGTTTTTAGTATAGCTTGTATAAACTGCAAATGTGGAGCTTCATTTCAAAATAATGTTTACACTAAATTTCATGAAAGATATTTAATTTCTCGGTATAGCCTGCATAACCATAATAAGTTTGATTTATGAATTATCATGCATGTATTCTTTGCATTCATATACTGTCTCCATTATGAACAAGCAATCAAACAAACCTAAGCCAAGATACTTCAAGATACTATTAATTGAGGAGAGATTCATATTCTAGTCCTGAAAGTGTCTCTGTACATGACCAAAGCGCCATGAAATATTCGTTTTTCTTTTACCTTCCATCAACTAAAATCTTGACTTACGTCATAGTCATAACCTTTAATTTTTTAGTCAAAACAGGTAACAAAAATATTTAAAATCGAAGTTTTTGTTGGTTATATCAATAATAAAAACTGGTCTTGCATCAGTTGCATGCATGCGTGTCTTAATGAAAACGGCGCCGTGTTTAATATGTTCTTTTAAAAGCCTGGTTTTCATCTGTCATAACTAAAATTCATGCGCAACGTCCATTGTTGTTGATATTTACACTCTTTGTATGACAACAACCAATCTCTGTCTCACAATAGTGATGCAAAAAAAATGTATATGTGTGAAAACTAGGCTTTAGTATATGGCTTTCGTCTTTACACGAAGACATCGCCCCATTGAGATGCAGATCAACAATAATTGACTATGCATGCTTATAGAAATGATATTTTATCAAGTGTAACTATACCAGTGATTATAATTGTGATGGTTTTGAAAAATTCGGTCTGGTGGAGAGATAATATTGTTGCGCAAGTTGTTGTCTAGCAGAAGCCGTCCAAACCAAAACCAATTTTTTATGGCCTGATAAGATTGCAATCTTTGTTGGTTGTATGAAATTCTCATTTTACGCGTGTATCTAAAAAATGATGCGAATATACAGTTATATCGATAACACTATTTATCTTTTGTCGTGTTTATGTAATATGATCAAACCACCGGCGTACTTTGTCTAATGCGGCAATGCCACAGAGGAGATCTACTGGATCTTTTCTCTTCCCTTGCGTAAAGAAGACTTGTGTCATGATTAATCACCAGCTTCACTTTTAACAGAAGTAAGAGGAGAGAATATTATGAGGTTACGCAGTAACCAAGGTTAATATCATAGGAACTGCGCGCAAGAAATGCAAGAGAACGAGTATAAAGGGAAAACCACTGAAAGAAGCCATTAGCGTACCACTTACTAGATTGCACCAGTAAGAGAAGTAGTCTTCAATATTTAAGACGAATTTATTCTACGCGTAGACAAAAAATCAAACAAGATGGAATGTTTTCAGTGGCGTAAGCTGCTGCATGGCATTGACGAAATTGGCATCCTGACGTATACGCAAGCATCCCTGGGCAGGGGCAAGACTAGCGCGATAATAATTGCAAACATACATATGAACAAAATTCAAAAGAAATCCGTCAGGCAGAACGAGTATATGAGTACTCAACCCAACACCCCCACCTCACCCCCCACCTAATTATGGCAACTAGTTTCGCCCCTGTGCCTTAGTTCTTGAAGTTTAAACGAATCCAGGACAAAATTTAATACAAGTATACTTTCTGTTAAGAGTTGAGCAAGTGAAATGCGATAAATATAATATAGATTCTAGGATTTGCTGCCATTCTGTTTCCTAAAATTACCACTTCGGAGGGTTCACTTTTGGCCTTTGGTTTATTCATATTTGTAGTAGGACTTTCTCTATTTAATCGCGCTCTCTCATTCAAAAATGCTGACTTTTTTTCAATAATACACCTAACCTGGAAAGCAAAAAGGTTTAACTTCTCAATGATCTCGGCATTGGCAATAATCTCATTCAATCCGTGATTCAATAAACTCTTTACCTGGTATAAGATAAACAAATACTACATCAGAAATCTCTGCTGTAATAAAACTTACGATGTTTAAACTGCTGTAGTTAACACATATTACATCACGACTTATGACACATATCACACCACGAGCTATAAACAAATGTACTGCACCGAGTGAGACTTCTGGTTAAAGTCCCAGTCGGTAAGAAAATTTTCTTGATTTGGAGTTGTTCTTTAAGAGTCTGAATGATGAGGATCTCTGTATCTTATTTCACGGTTGAAATTTTTGGCTTGTATATGTTGGCATTGCATGATGTATATATATACTGTTTGCAAGCGATACAGTTTTTACTCTTTTGACGGTTATATTTGCTCGGATAGTGAAGTTGCTTATTTTAGGATTCAGGCCAGTTTTTCACGATCCAAAAGATGATATATTCTGTTGATCTGGCATTTCAAGTACGAGCTCGTTGAACCTGTTTGTATTCAGTATTATACCGTGTTTAATATCGCAGAATATGGAATGAACTATACGAACTTTGTCTGTAGACTCTGTACAACGCCAGATGTTGTAAAATTTTTAAAGGTCTTTTTAAACTTGCTGCATATTGTCGATTGTGTATTGCTGTAGCCTGTAGGCTTTCTTCTGGCAGATGTAATGAAGGGAGGTCGTTTGTATATATACCGAGGCTGCATGCATGCTTATGTGAAATTCAGTTCAATGTGAAATTGATTTTAGTTCATGAGATGGCACTTGTATTAACTTGCATTGCATCGTGTGTTTTTTTAACATTCAAATCCGATTTAGAATAATTGCTTGACAAGGCAGGCACTATAATAATACAGTAACAACCAGTATTTCCGTAGTCTTTTCGGTGCAGAATAAACCGCTTTTGGTTGTTGGAGACAAGAGTTATCGGCTGTTTTCAATAATGTTCTTTCTGGATATTTAATTAATCCTTTCGATGTTGTTGCTCCGATTGTTGTTGCTTTTTCTGCGCATTTTAACGGTGTTTTGGTTTTGTTGCATGTTGTTTTCGGTTGATAACTGGTATTATTCACAATTGGAATGTATAATCATTAAGAAAAATATGCATGCTCGGTGCTTTGATTAAAATGCCTCTTTCATTTTTGTTTCTTTGGGCGATGTTACGTTGAGTTGAAACAAGAAATGGTAGACGTCGCTGAGAATTGGAGGTGACCTTTAAATTTTAGTAAAATTCTTTAATAATAGTCAGTTTCATTTTAGATACATGGAAATGTGAAGAGAAAAGTGATATAACTTTTGTATTGGACAGATCAGGGAGCATTAATCCTGGTGATTATCTACAAATGCAAAAATTTTTGAAAGTTGTTTCTAACAAACTACAAATCGGTGTAAGGAATGACGCGGGTCAGGTAATAGGTCAAGGAGGTATGGTTACCTTCAGTGAAACGGCTGAAGTTGAGATTCTTTTAAGTTCCAGCGCAGCACGTGGAGCATTTGATAGAGCGGTTGACGCACTGGAAGGTCCTTTACCAGGAGGTCGTACAAACACACATTTAGGCCTAGATTTAGCGGACAAAACTGTGGTTCAACAATCGAACGGATATCGAGGAGATGACGATGAAGTAAATCATATACTAATGGTGATAACAGACGGAGAACAAACAAAAGGAAGGGGTTACGTTGCCGTTAAAGAGGCTATTAAACCTTTCTTTGACAGGAATATGGAAGTATTTGCGGTCGGTGTAGGATTGGATAAAGATGAGGCTAAACAGGAAATCTATGATATGGTTAGGCCGGAAAAGCGAAGTACAAATGCAATCTTCCCCACCAGTTATACTGACTTAATAAATCAAGTGAATGATATCGTCCGGAGATTTTGCCCAGGTATATATTGTGATCTCAAATACAGAGATACTCTCCAAATAAACGATGTAAAAATAACTAAAAATAAAGAAATTAACATGAAATAAACATTTCGGGGAAATGTTTTCTAATTTGATATTCAAGATAATATCACCACTCACTAAGTCACAGTCCAGAACCTAAGACATTTTTCATATGCATTTTGGTAGTCCCTCCAATCTGTGGCACTGATAAAGATGACTGTCATCCAACACTAGCAACTTGCACTGACACTGATCCCGGAGTATATGAGTGTAACTGCATCGACGGATATGTTGGAGATGGAAAGACTTGTGCTTGTACGTGGTTCATGTCTTCAGTTGCCATGTCAGCGATGATAATCATCATTTCTGGTCACAATCTGTTATCCATATCCATATTCTTACATGCATGTACAGTTGCTAGGATAAATACTGTAATTTCCTGTAATTGAAAGATCAGAACCTAAAACATTTTTCATATGCATTTTGGTAGTCCCTCCAATCTGTGGCACTGATAAAGATGACTGTCATCCGACACTAGCAACTTGCACTGACACTGATCCCGGAGTATATGAGTGTAACTGCATCGACGGATATGTTGGAGATGGAAAGACTTGTGCTTGTACGTGGTTCATGTCTTCAGTTGCCATGTCAACCAGCTACAATAATTTGTTCAATTTCTCTCATCATAAATCTTATTCGATGATAATCATCATTTCTGGTCAAAATCTGTTATCCATATCCATATTCTTACATGCATGAACAGTTGCTAGGATAAATACTGTAATTTCCTGTAATTGAAAGATCAAACAAAAAGTCGACAGTAAATAATTTTTTTTCTAGCACTTCCCGGCGCTTTCATATAACAGTTTTGAATTCAGACATCACGATTCAGTATCAAATCTGTTAAGTGCACAAACCACACAAAGCAGAGGGAATGTTTACTAGCAATGCTGGTAATATGTTTTCTGGCTTTTTTTTTGGTGTAATCCATACTCTGATCATCGAGAAAATTGCTAAAAAAAAATATAAAATCGCTTCGCTTAAGAGAAAGCGCATTTAGCCTAAAAGAGAATATTCAAACTGAGCGTGATTTAAAGACCAGAGCCAGCGAGCGAGTGAGAAACTTTCAGAAAAGCCCCGAAAAGTATTGAGCCAATTAAATGTATTCCCTTCTTTTTAGTGGAACGCATATGTGGTACGGAACTCGATGACTGTGACCCTGACGCCACGTGCAGAGACACAGCACCAGGAAAATATACTTGTACATGTAACGAGGGGTTTACTGGTGACGGAAAATCCTGTGATGGTAACTAAAATATTTCGAAAAGTTTTTTAGTAAGCCGTCTACTTGAAATTGAAGCAGATGAGCTAGTTTTAGTTTTACACAGCCACTAAATGAACTACGTCACAGCTTTATTGTTCTCACTTTGGAAGCGTCTTACATGAAATGGAATAATGGATTTTTCGTTTACTCTCACAAGCCACTTGCAAAGAAGCAAAACCGTTCTTTATAAGAATTCTCTACGACATATGCACGAGAAAGATTGATTTTGAACAATTTATGTATAAACAAGTCCAGAAACAAGTCCCGTTATGCATTTATTGATCAAAGTATACTCATTAGTAAAGGGTATTTTCTCATGCATGTGCTGAAGAAAGTCAGAAAGAGTAAAACTGATGATGAAAGAAAATGAAAATGCATCCATGCTCTGAATTGAAAACAGTAAAGTTTGTGAGGTATTTAGTGGAAACAGTTTGAGTATAACGAACCAAAATGAAAAGTTGATGAGATCATTGTGATGGGATAATTTCTACGATTCCAAGAAATAACTATAATTATAAATTATACTTAACCTTTCAATTACACTCCCGTATGTTATGTATGAGAATACTTGATGAAGTTTCAATCACATGATATGCTTTTTTACTGACGAACGTTACATTTTTATTTCAGCAATTATAAACATTGTAAGTACACCTGTTTTGAAATATTGTATTTCTCCTGTGCTCTTTCAATGGAATAAGTAATTAGTCAAACATTTCCTGTAATAGTACATAATATAATACAGTGCATATGTGATTATGTGTGATACAAACGCCTACTATATATGCATGGTAAATCTTTGTTCACTTATTTTGTAGCTTAAAGGCCCGAAAGGTAACCGGGGTGAGAGAGGAGAAACGGTATGGTGGCATAACTCTAAATAATGACTATACTGGGTGTCCTAAAAAATGAAGTACTCCCGTTTGATTCAAAATAGCTTCTTATCGATTAAAGTTATCGAAACAATGAAAAACTTTTATTAGTTAGAGGAAAGACTAACTTAGACTTTGATGTTATAGTTGTATTGTTGAGGATAATTCATGGAGGTATTACTTTTCAAATTCTGTGCTTATTCGCTGCTATGCTGCGGCAATTTTGCATAATTTAAAAAAAATCTATAAATAGTCGATTAACTTTGAAAACTTATATCTCAGTGATTTTTCAGGTAAATGTAATTGTATCGTACCAAAAATCTTAATTCACACTCCCTCTACCTAATGAACTTTTTTGTAAAAATTTCAGTGTAATGGCTTCACTGGTTTAACAGTTATTATCAATCAAACCGGAGTACTTTTTTGGGACACCCGGCTGATTCCGGCATATATAGAAAATTTACTTGTAAATTAAAGTTTCGTCTTCATGTGGCTGCTAAGGTAAAATTAGTGTATCTTTTTCTAAATCTCTGCCTCCGTCGAAAAAGCTTCTTGCGCCCCTGACGGCTGACGACACACAGATAACAAATCATACGTCCTTAATTAACTCCGTGTCAGGGTGAATTTGTTATCAAACAATCCTTCACTTATATATCTTTATCTATTCACAGGGTGAACCTGGGGCAGATGGACGTGATGGTGCTGGCGGAAGCGGTGGACCAACGGTAGAGTATAATCTGGACCACTACAGACTGTGCTTGTCAACTTTTGAGCAATTTTTGAAGTTTGAGCAACTGTTTCAAGCAACCTGGAGCAACTATTTTGAGAAACAGGAAGCAACTTTTACATGATACTTACTATACAATTACTTCCGTGTTTCAATGGTTTCCGTGTTTGCCGATGGCCTGATCCAACGGCCTGATCGACCAATCAGAACACGCGTTATATACATGTTATTTTATAATGCTAATTCCCCACAAATTATTAAATAAAATCTCGACCATAAAAATATTTATTAATTTACTTGCACAATCTGTAGAGGCCTCGTATAATCAAACCCTTGGAGTTGTCATATTTGTATTTATACTATGCTTGTAAACAAATTATTATATAATTATCACACCACGACGTTCGACGTCACTCCAATCAGCAGCCAACTAAATCCAATGTTTTCAAATTCCAACTTTTCCCTTTTTCCAGGGTCGTCGTGGTCGAAAAGGTATGGACGGAAGAGAAGGTAACCCAGGACCTTATGGTGAAAGTGGTCCCGCAGGACAACCTGGAGGCTTGGTATATTATTTATGTTAAAACTATCAGACAACTATTGCATGCTTTGGAGTCATTTTCATTGGTATTGGTCTTATGTTTTTAATTCTTTAGCTTTACCTTTATTTTATTATTTCGTTTTTTCAGGTACTTTCATTTGCAGCTGGTTATCTTGATCGAGGGCGAAGCCCAGATGAGGCACCGAAAGGACCAGTAGAACGAGTTGTAATTAACCTGGGTGTAAGCTAAACTTGTTTTATTTTTTTTAACGTTTTCTCATTTCTGCATGTTCTGCCCATTAATCTTCTCTTTGTATGTTGTATATTTTTAAATAGGATAGGCAAGTTGGTCCTCGTGGGCCAAGAGGAAGAACAGGCCCCCAGGTGAGTTCTTTGTATCTCTGTTAATCGTTGAATGCCTCACTTGGCAAACCTGAGCGTGGGGCTGACAAGACAAAAACTTCAGCTAGTTTTCCACTAGCGATATTTTTCAAGTTGCAAGAAAAATTGTACCGTATAACAGGACCTTTAGACTATTAATGTAAGATTATGTCAGCCAATTTGCGCTACTAGTTTTTAATAGCTGGGGAAAAGTACTGTCAATACACTTTTTCGGCTATGACCTTGGAACTTAGAAGCAAACATAATTCTTCCATTTTTCGCCTCTCACACAGTAGCGTAGCCAGCCTGACGATTTGTCCCGCTATGCTAATATTTTGGTGTTCATTGACTTTAAAAACAATAAATTTCTAAAGAAATGAATAATTATAATAACTCGAAATTTACATAGCGGGACAAAATCGTCAGGCTGGCTACGCCACTGCTCTCACAAAAAGTCTTCCAGAAAATTAAATTTAAATAAAACTTATAGGGTGCCACCTTAAATAAACAGTTTGCATCAAGGTAACGCGGGCTCGTTTTCAAAATGGAGGCTTTCAATAATGTGATAATGGTGCTTAAACTTTTCACACAATTTCGTCCAATTTTTATGAGAATGTTCCACTTTTTTATCTGTTGAGTGTCTCTGCTTTTATTGTGCATCAATACGGACTTTCTATGTCATGAAATAATATGATTTTCCTGTCCAAAATTTGAAATCCAGAGGCTGAGTTTGTGAGACTGATAGAGGCGGTTTACTATGAAGTTCTCATCACGTTCAACCTAATTAGGCTTAGGGGCTTGATATTATATTTTTAATGTCGTAATATGAAAGAAGATATGTGAAGGAAAAAAAAGCAAGAAAAGCATGCTTTACTACGTTTAAGCCTTACAAGATCCTCACATAAATGATATAAAATGACACATTGACCTTGCTGTTCGCTGGTTTTAGTATTTAGAACTTAAAGGACATTTTTGCTCACATATTTACTTGGTGCCATGAGGATGTGTAAAATAGGGTTTCGTGAATCATGTAAAAAACTTATTGAATATTGTGATATATTTACGTTTTTTCGATAGCGCCATTATCAGTTTGCATTAATTTTCAATCCAGGGGGCGATTGGTTCACCTGGTTCCCAAGGATCTCAAGGAGCTCGAGCTGCAAGGGTGGGTTTAACGCTTATTTTTATACCAATTTGAATACGAATAATGGTATTATTAATAATATACGCACATGCCATTTGGCTACTCACAATACATTTAAAAATGTGTGTAGGGTCCTCATGGTCCAATGGGGAAACCTGGAGCTCCTGGTCCTGATGGAAAAGAGGTACTTTTTAAATGTATCAACCAGAACTGTTTCCCATGTATTAAATCGAATACTGAGAAACATTGTTAATATTTACGGGTATGTGCTCCTCTTAGGGCAATTCTGGTTCAAATGGTCATCGTGGACGTCCAGGTGCCCGTGGAGATGCGGTAATATATTATAATGTCACGTTTCGCGTCAAGTACAGAGCATTAGAATAGGCTTATAGGGTGTCTGTCATCAGTTTATACTGTACCGCAATAACGTTACAGTTTTAACGTTAGTAAACATGACAATTCTTAAAAAAATAGGGCGAACGTGGTGAACGAGGTGAGACGGGGAAACGTGGTTTCTTCGGACGCACGGTATGTTCAAATATACATATATGTATGCATTCAGCATCCTTTTGAACAATCACTTTCTACTTATTATTTCTGTCGTTTTGTAATAAGAATGCATAGATGGGAATTCATGTTTTCAATCAAGTCACAGAAGCTAAAAAATACTCGAGATGGATCCTCATACCACTTTCCAACCCCCAATACGTGTGTTTAAATTACCACTTTCCACTGAGGACCCTTCTGTCAATACCCCCACGAACGATTTCTTTAGAATAGGAACTCATTAGAGCTACCTGTAGTGACCTAATGACCGAGTGATTTGACCTATAATGTTTCGCGTTTCAGGGATACTCCGGTGACGTTGGAAGAATGGGTGTATCTGGGCTCACAGGTGAAAAGGTACCAAATCATACCTAATTTTTATACCTTGATTGCAGAAAGTTAACTTAAAATACTTTTGCTTATGTTGAACAGTCTCTAGAACAGACGTATATAGGGCATTGTATAAAGATACTTTAGATGCGGATACTATGGATGCGGCTCAGAACAACATAAGTGTGACTTAGGTTCGACTGTTCTTTGTATTCGTGTAACAAAAACCGAGATACATCCAGAATTTTGTATCATAATTCTATAGTTAGTTATAAGCAATGAAAATATGTTTATGTATTTAAAGCAAAATATGAATTTTTGGATGTATTTATATATATCTTCGCTTATTATTATGTTTTACTTCGATTATTATTTTATTATTTTCTAAGGGTGCAACTGGATCCGTTGGAAAACGTGGTTTAAGCGGAAGAAAGGTAACGTTTTTCACTTACCTTGGTTTGTTTTGCTGTAACCATTTTGTAATAATCTGAACATCGAAAACTAGTTTAAATTTAAATATATAAAGTCTATTAATATCTGAGATCGTTGTATATTGTTGAAACAGATTGTCTAAATTAGGACGTAAAATGCGAAGTATAATGTTAGTTGTATCTTTATTTTTCTAAAGGGTAGTATTGGTAGACAAGGAACGTCAGGTTTATCAGGAGAAAGAGGTAGAATTGGATTAACGGGCGGACGAGGAGATCAAGGATCAACTGGATCTAAGGTAAAAACGATCTCCTCAGTAATAAACTATAACAATACAATTTTGATTCCCGACAATTTTAATTTCTAGTCCCAGTAGCCTTCACCAAAATATTTAGCCAATTTCTGTCGCGTATAGAATCATATATTTTGCATGTGAAGTTTTTTGGTGATTAAATTTTGATCTTGCTAAGGTACAATCAAGAAGGTATTAGAGGGTCACTCATTTAATAATTCAGTAAAAAACATTCAAATCTGTTCTAGGGTTTAATTGGCTCACCTGGAAAGGATGGTCATCCAGGATTTATTGGACCAAAGGGCTATGTTGGTGCTCGAGGTAGTATTGGAGACACAGGATTAACCGGAGAAACTGGTGACCAGGGTGAACAAGGACCACAGGGAGAATCTGGGCAGAATGGTCGTGATGGAGAAGCGGGTTCTCCCGGAAAGAAAGGAGAGCTGGTAACAACTATTAATTTGTTCATGCAATGATTTACATCGTTAGTATTTTAGATCGAAGATGGAATAGAGTAAAATAGTTTTGATATTGCATAATAGTATTGTATTGAAAGAAGCTTGTAAACATTGTCAGGGTGATCCTGGAAGTTTTGGTACTATTGGAGGAGTTGCAACACAAGGTGAAGATGTAAGTTAAAATGAAATATTTGTAACTCCAGCATCAGTCCAATGGACAGAGACTCAAAGTTATAAAAAAGGTTTCATAAATGGTAATTCCTAACAAGCGCCTTAGGAGGTGGGGACAAAAGGGATGGAATTAAAATTTATTTTGATGACATTTCTAATATTTCTATTCTAGGGATCACCTGGTATACCTGGTATTCCTGGAGCTCCTGGGCCTAAGGTAAACTTTATAATCTGACTAGCCTCAGTACGCAGCGTCATTATGAGATTAAGAGAGAGAAATTAAAAGGAATTTTCATTCTTCAACTTAAAATTAACGCTTGTTCATATATGATTAGGGAGAACCTGGTGAACCTGGTGATAAAGGAGAGGTTGGCGATCAAGGGCCTGTCGTAAGTTATTTAATATCGATGTTTACTGGCGTGGAATGTGAACCATTCGATTTATATTTACACTGAACTTTACCCACTTCTTTGTAGGGCGATCCTGGTGTAAATGGACTTCCAGGTGAAGAGGGAAATGAAGGTTCACGAGTGAGTTTATTACACACTTCGTAAAGCGCGTGGATGTCACATAACGTTTTCTAATTTTAAACTATTTTTAACATGTAGGGCAAGCAAGGCGCTCCCGGGGTCCAAGGTTCAGTTGGAAGAAATGGTGTGAAGGTATATTTTAAGTTACGTTAAATTCTTTGAGGAAATGAACCTTGTGTCTTTTTTTCATTATACTATACGACAGTCTTGCGAGGTTAACATTTTGCGTTCTTGGGGAAGGGTGACTACGCCCCTCCGCTGGTTCTTCTCAGCCCCGGACCAATTACTTTTTTAGACACACCGTGTATTAATGTCAAAATATTCTTCATTAAAATAAAGTAATATTATTTCTAGGGTCCTGCTGGTGAGCGAGGAAGTTCTGGGCCGGACGGAGATTCTGGTAATGAGGTAATAAAAAAAACTTAACAGAAATAAGTTGTTTTAACCTCTCATAACTTTACTAAGTAATAGAAATGACAATGTTCACGAAACACAAACAAATTTAATATTCAATAGTTTATTGTATCATAGCCAAAGAAAAAGATGCAAGTATATAATATATCTACATTTATAATTTATAATTTATATTTATAATTTTCGTTTCTGTAGGGTGAAGAAGGAAGCAGAGGAGCTCCTGGACAGGACGGGGAACCTGGAAGAGTTGTAAGTCTTCCTCATTGTGACTCTGACAAAGCGATCACATTCTTTCTGATCAATTTTCGTCGTAATAGTTGATGTAAGAGCAGGGTAAACTAATTGAAATAGAACTTTGCGACAAGATAAAGGGTAGGAAGATTGTAGGACAGGGTGTTGCACATGTAGGACAGGGTGTTGTAGGTTATTTCGTGAGAGACGCATCTTTTTTCTTAGGGAGAGGATGGCTATCGTGGAGAAAGCGGAAAACGAGGAGAGCCAGTACGTCAACAAACAACTTTTTTATTTCACATTCTGTGTACACACGTGTCACTTGAGTTCATAGAGGTTCTGGAATCAAGAATGCCTAAAATACATGTATAACGACGTAATTCTCGAACTTGTCCTAGGGTGCCGCTGGCCGTCAAGGAGCAACAGGTCCTGATGGGGTTCCAGGCCAAACTGTAAGTAGACAAGAGACTATAAGAAATTGTAAGAGAAATTTGCAGGTTATCTAAGACGATCTTCCCTATCATTGACAATATAGTAAGACAGATCACAGATCTTCGTTTCTATATACAATTTTTAAATGTGATGTTATTAATGCCTCTTTTAGTTAAAATCTTTTCTGCATATGAAGGTTAAATTGAGTACTCTGCTTTCTGTTACTTTAATTATATTTCTAGGGTGAAACTGGCGATGAAGGATTCCAAGGCGTTCGCGGTGATATGGTACGTTTCTAGTATTTTACCACGTACACTCGCACAGTTCCACTAAATTGTTTTTTATTAACTTTGCCAATTGAAAGAAGATACACAAATACATAACTAAAAAAACTACATAGACAAACAACGGACAGACAAACTTAACAGTTACAAAAAGAGAAAAGATGGCAGGGTTGTCGCAACTGGAAAACCCAATTACTGCGGCCGCGGTTGTTGCTGTCATCGAAAAAATCTCAATAAAACTGATATAAACTGTCACCTTGTAGAAACAATAATAACTAGGGATATTTTCTTGTTCAGGGTGAACAAGGTCTTTCTGGGGTTCAAGGACAATACGGCGCCAGAGGAAAAGACGTAATGAAACAATTTCAATATAATAACACTGAATATTCGTACCTCGTTCTCTATGAAACGGTGCTGTCTGCAACTCTTTACGTTTTTGAGAAGAAAGAAATAATTATTGAGTACAATACAAAAATAGGTCAACTTTATATGAGATAATTAAACGCTTAATTCAGGGTGAAGATGGAGCGGAAGGTGAAGCTGGGGAGCAAGGAGAACAAGGAGCCGCTGTGAGTTGATGGATTACATTTGTTGAAATATTTTATGAATTGAATTTTTTTGTGTAACAGAAATACGCTTCAACTTATACGCTTAAATTTTGCTGTTACGCTGTCGTTTGTTCATGTCCAACTTCCACGTAGGGAGGTCCTGGACGTGATGGCGAGGATGGCAATGAAGGAAACACTGGAGTAGAGGTAAGATTATTATCATCTTTAATTAAAACATTTTTAACAACATACACTGTATTGCTATCGTTCATGGATTGGATTTCTACGTGATTAGGGTGAACAAGGTGAACGAGGAGTACAAGGTGATGATGGAGTTTCTGGTCAAGACGTAAGTTTTTATTGTATAACAAGTAACATAATAAACCCACGGGACCTAAGTATATATCACTGTCATTTTAGGGTGAAGATGGTGCTCGGGGAGATCCAGGAAGAGATGGTGGAGATGGAGATAAGGTAATCGGGAGTCCCCCAACGGCACTAACACAATCTTTTAGTCTAACGCCTTATCTGTGGCCAACTCAAGTATATTCCATTTAGTCAATACAACTAAGATTGTAAAACCTATAATTAATGTACAATAGCGCGCTATAAAGTTAGGCCTCCATTTTTTCATGCACTTTCCATGTGTAATAGCATCCAAAAAAATGTAATTTTTTATGTTTGAATAAGCGTAATCTAAGTCTCGTGTAGAATATTTTGAGAATTTAAGCTTTCGTTGATGCAGGGAATGGTTGGTGATGTTGGTGCGGAAGGGAGTGTTGGTGAAACGGTATGAAAATTTCACTATCTACATTTACGTATTTAATTTGAACAACGGGTAACAAATCTGACTCTTATACTACAAGGAAAGTATATTTGCACATTCCACAAAATGAAATCAAAATGATATGATGCTAATGATAGAATATTTCTTTGTGTGGATGTGCAGTCAACAATGACTGATTTAAATACAGAAATAAGACAAATTTACATCCGGACTTTCTTATCGGTGAAATGACTTGTTCACCACAATTACGTCTAAATGATAACTATAGGCTCTAGGATTAATCTGTATCCGTACGCATGATTATTCTCAATTAATATGGATTCATCAAAGTTGAAAAATTCTGGCAATTACCTAAACTTGAAATAATTTCTGCACAGTACAACGAAGAGAAGTAACTGATATATCTTTTAGGGACCCAAAGGAGAAGTTGGTTCTCCCGGACCTGATGGAGAGAAGGTAATTCAGTTGAAATTTTTATCATACCAAAACTAATATATGTATTGTTAGACAACAACATAGAAAGCACTCAAGTATATACGCCATACTATAACTAAAATTCCTAATTGTTTTAGGGACAAAAAGGAATGAAGGGAAGTGCTGGTGATTCAGGAGCTGATGGAGCACCGGTAAGTCAATTAATCACAAGTACCCATGATTGATAACTACCAACAACTATTAACTACCAACAACTATTAACCACCAGCAACTATTAACCACCAACAACTATTAACTACCAACAACTATTAACCACCAACAACTATGGGTACATATAGGGATGATAATAAATTTGATTCCTCGCTATTTTTAATTTCAACAGGGAATGGCTGGTCCTGCGGGTGCAGATGGGGATTCCGGGGATGCTGGATCGCAAGTACGCTTTTTCTACTTGGAACAGCTCTATCGCTGTGGTGTCGAACAAGAATACTTTATAACATAATAATTAGATGATAGATAGAATCCAGGGAATGCACATAAATAATACACTGGACAAATTCATATGAAAAAATGACGCTTTGTAGCTACTGCTCTTCTCTTTTTCCATACAACAAAGGTAAATGAGTTTACTCTATTTTTCAGGGAAGTCAGGGTGATCAGGGAAGACCTGGCCAGCCTGGAGCAAATGGAAAAACGGTGAGTATTAAAAATAAATCTTACGTATGACCATACGTAGAAATAATATCCTTGAAAATTTCAGGTAGGAAAAAAATTGTCTAACTAGTAACCCGATTACACTAGTAATGATTCACACGATATGATGCCGGGCTTTTAGTTTGCCTGCATATCAGTTGTTTAGGTAAGTTCTGTGACCTATATCTTGTCTATTTGCAGGGAAACCGTGGTGCCAAGGGTGAAAATGGAAGGTCTGGCAAAAATGGAAGAAATGTGAGGATACCAATACTATTTTTATTTGGTGCATGAATATTTACATATAGAAACCCTGATCTAGTTGAAAATGATCATTTGAAATTATGTGAATACTGTAGTAATTAAACCCACAGCAGACAGTGAGAAATTCATGGTCGTTTCTTTGCCTACCAAATTTATCTTTCGTTCATACTCGCCAACTTGTTCTATGTGTATATAGGGACAGCAAGGGGCAGCTGGGGATCCTGGGGCAGCTGGACCAAACGGAAAACGTGTAAGTACATGTAGAGACTACTTGAAACTTCTAATAACAATTTCCATGAGTTATTATTTTGTTATTTTCGAAAACGTTTATAAAGCTAATGAAGAAATTTAACCGCAAATGATTATGTATTTATTTGAAGGGTGCTCAAGGTGATCAAGGGCCTGTTGGAGCACGTGGAAAAACTGGAGCGGCCGTCAGTATTTTTACTACACAACAATGAACTAATGAACCAAAAATGTTGACATTTATCCAATATTGTTGACAACTCTGATCTCTTTTTCTTTAGGGCCCAGATGGGCAAGCTGGACCAGCTGGTCAAGCCGGAGCTGTGGGTAGACGCGTAAGTTTCCAGTTCAGAGATTTTTTGCAAGATTACATCTCTCATTGTCTCGTTGTACATTGATCTGAAAAACGCAAATAACGATTGAAATAACTGTTGCAATTACAGGGTATGCAAGGTAATGCTGGTGATGTTGGAGAACCTGGAGAACAAGGACCTTCGGTAAATCATTTAGTTAATTATCATACTCGTTGATTTCAATTCTATCAACGTGAAAAAAATTAGACTCTTTTAATTGTTTACCAAGTTACGACAAACTGTCAACCAGTTAGGAAGCAAAGAAATATATCAATAAAAGACTGGCTTTCTTCACGCACCCTCGCGCGTGCTTATTTCACTAAATTATTATTATTTAGGGTGCAGTTGGATCCTCTGGAGCTGTAGGAGCAGCTGGTGAAAGAGGAAAAAAGGTTGTTGATTTGCACAACATTAACACAGAAATAGACGAGAAAAGGATATAAAGATGTTTGAAGAGAAATAGTGATTTATTTCTTTTAACAGGGTCAAGCAGGATCCGCTGGAGAAAAGGGTGCCCGAGGAGATGTCGGAAACATGGTATGACGCATACTGTTTCATTGCCATATTTCAATGTTTCTTTTTCCATTCATACAGAATGGTGTTCATATCTCCGATATGAGCGATTGCCGGGTGCTTTTGGTTTTTAAGTAGTTAAGGGAGTGGGCTATCTAACTATTGAATATGCCAGTTTAACCGAAAGCCCTGCTTTTTATGTTTTTTCTCACTCAGGTCGTCTCATATCGTAATGCAATGTTTTGTTTCTGTTCCATTCTTTCTCTAGGGAGATGTTGGTCCGCAAGGCGACGTAGGACCAGTCGGTGCGGATGGCGCAAAGGTAATATTATGATAAGCTAATAAGTTAATTCCGGCTCGGTTTAAAGTAAAAAGTTTAGATATTTGTGATTAATGTTGGTTAATAAATGTCAGTTAGTGGAGCCAGTATGCCTAACAGGATTTTTATTATTTAGGGGGGTCAGGGTAAAACTGGAGATACTGGAGCAGCAGGAGCTGATGGTGATAAGGTATTGTAACTTATGGAATAATCAAAATATATTGCGTCACAGCGGTCATGAAATATATCATTAATTTTTTATTTCTTAAATTGCAGGGAATGAAAGGAGATAAAGGTTTCGACGGTGATATTGGCGAGAAAGGCCCTCAAGTAATTTTTTGGCCTATTTATTGATTTATACACAGATTTTTGTTTCTAATATTTTCTTTTTATCGAGTAACAAATTTCTATTGTGTTCAGGGTCTACCTGGATTACCTGGCGTAGGAGGTCCGGGAGGTGATTTGGGAGCTGCTGTAAGTATTATTACACCTGCCTGATTGATTTTCAAAAACTAAAATAAATATTCTTTAACTATATAGCTACGTTTGGAATTTTGTCTAATTCCGATATTATACCTAACTTTCTTAAAACCTAGGGTCCGCCTGGTTTTGCCGGTGAAACAGGGGCAGACGGAGGAAGAGGCGAACCGGTATGATGGATTGATGGTCCCAATTTTTGTATAGAAAATTATTCAACTTTATTTATTTATTTATTTATTTATTTCACATTTGAGACGAAAAAAATGTCTGTGATTTCCTAAAAATCTCATCCGTGTTGATAATCGTTGATCTATATTTCAGGGAGATGCAGGTGAGGTTGGAGCTCAAGGTCCCCCTGGACCCCCAGGAGAACAGGCTAGTTTTTCTTAAAAGAATGTTTTTATTTGCTATTCACCAGTTCTATTCGACTGAGTTAGCTTAACGTTTGAAGAATGAAGGCGAATGCGAATGATTGCTATTCTTTCGCTGTCGTAACCTTCGAAGCAATATTTCGTTGAAAAACTAAATCAACAACAAATTAAAACATTGCTCAATATTACATGGGTCATTTGTAGGGTGCGAAAGGCGAAGACGGTTCGGATGGTAAAGATGGTGCAAGTGGCGAACAGGTACTCCTTTTAATTTATATGTACTTGGTCAAGAGGTGCACAGGTACTCCTTTTAATATATATACGGGGTATATAATTTTAGTACAACTATATTTTAAAATGTGATTTTTCGATGCAATTAGGCCTTAGCTAATAAACTATCCATTTTATAATGCAATTGTTCATTGATGTTTACTGATAGGGTCCTGCTGGTGGCAAAGGATACGCTGGATCACCGGGTGGTTACGGAAAAAGGGTAAGAATTAATTCGAATATTATTAGAAGAATATAGTTGATAGTCAGACGGCTTCTATTGCTATTAATCATATTATTACTTTTCATTTTAACACCTTTTGAAACATATAGAGTACAAACAAATGGCTCTTGGAGCTATCTAGGAGTGATTCTCATGCAAATGTTAGAACATATAGACCAATATACGCAGCATATTTTCATGTCTAATAAATACTGATCCATATATGATTTCTTTTAGGGTGTAACTGGAGTTACAGGCAGGAAAGGTGACCTTGGTGCTGCAGGAGAGAGGGTAAAATAGCTTTATAAAGTCGCAAAATCAAACGTTCGTTTATGGTTTAAGCTTTGAAGCAATAAACTAATACTTTCACACAATCTAAATTTCACCTTTTGTCATTAAATTTCTTTGTATATTTCTGTCTGTAGGGTTTAACGGGCGACGTTGGAGTACAAGGAGTGACCGGAAACCCTGGTGTTGCTGGACCACGTGGAGCAAAAGGTCTCGAAGGAGCGAAAGGAGAACTAGGAATTGAGGTATTTAATTGAAGTTATTTTGCTAGGAGTTTAACACCGAGAATTTTGGGTCCCGGAAACGAAATTTTCATTAGGGACAACCCAGCAAAAAACACGTCACAACTAGTTCATGGTGTTTTGCTCAAGTGAATTAAATGCCATAACTGAAACATAGTTGGCTTTCGTGAAATATTTTTGAGGGATAAAGCTTTGGTTGATATTTTTCACAATAAATAAACACCGCATTACTTCAATTATAAAAGCTCAAAACTTTGAGATCAAATCATTCTGTCTCAAGTGTAGAAACTATATCATCGTTACAACGAGATTAAAATGTAGGCTTAATTTATAAACTTGGCTATCTAGAATCGTAGCTAAAGCCAGCTTCCACTATTTAGTATTTTCACATCCCGTTTCTTTTTTCCAATCATGCATTGCTAAACCATAGCTTTGGTACTTGGAAGTGGTATATTATTCTAATTTGGGTAATTCTGCAGGTGACATTTCTCAGATTTTAATCGTCCATTCTTTTTTAGGGTGCAGTTGGTTCTGTCGGTGAAGCAGGTGTAGATGGAGCGACAGGACTCAAAGTAAGTAATTCTAAACAAAAAATTCATGTCATGTGGTTTCCTAATATCTTTTAGGGGACATTGAATATTTTAAAAATCTTTTCTTGAAAAACAGGGAATGAAAGGAGTACAGGGAGAAAGAGGTGCCCGAGGAACATCTGGTGAAAAGGTGATAATAAAAACAAATTTATATTACATTTTAATCAAAAACATATGGGTGATCACTGAATAAATCATATGGGAATTTCAGTGACCCTCAATTGATTAATATATGTTTTAAATTGATTTCGAATATATTCCACTTTCTTTTGCAATAAGTATTTACGTTTTTCAGTATTAATATCGATTTCTATGCCATTCTGAAGACAATCTTTTTCTCCTTCATTAGGGAAGCAAAGGAGAAATGGGTGGCATTGGGGCAGGTGGTGGTTCCGGTTCACTGGTGAGTCTTTAGATAACATCTCTTTGATAATGGTGGATTTGTGGTTTCAAATTAATCTTTGCAGATAAAGCTGATATTCACGATTAGAAAATGTTTTAAACAAGAAGCGGTTTATCGACAGATATATTTAATGTTATTTAATCTTCACTTAATTTTAGGGAGCAAAAGGTGAACCTGGTGGAGCCGGATTACCTGGCTTGAAAGGACCTCAAGTAAGTGATATGGTTATTCATTGCAGCATGTGCGCACTGACTTATGGGGCTTTATTTTAGACTAGTTATATCAACTAATAATGTTAACATCTTTCAGGGTGATCCTGGTAAACTTGGTGATTCTGGAGGTATAGGAGGAATAGGAAAACAGGTATTGCACATATTAAATACTGATTAACGTGGACGAATTTTTAACATCAAGTCCCAGTTTATTATATTGGATTTAGTCAAACTAATTTAAAAGTCAACAGAAATCATTCCTGCCAATTTGAGTAGCAAACATTCTTCTGGCTCTATCACGTTTTTCCACAAATTGCGTGTTTTAAATCTTCTCGTTTCATACACAGTGTCAGTGTGGTAATGAATATAATATATTTATTGTTGTAGGGAAGTGATGGCAATCGAGGAGCGGGCGGTCCAATAGTATGTATTCGAGTAGTAGTTTGATTTATTTCTCAGAATTAGAACTTGCAATGATCATCGTCTCATTCGTCTGATTTTCAACTTTTTTCTTGACACTTTTATAGGGTGATCGTGGTCCAAAGGTGAGTGTGAAACTAAAAACTTTTATTGTATTCCAAAGATTTACCTTCAAAAACCACTTATATTTATTATGACCGTAAATTTTGCATACTGAGTACTAAATTAGAAAGATAAAACAAATCCTCCTTCATATTTCTTTTCCGAGCCTGGTTGTATCAAGCCCGTTTAGCTTAAACGGTGGATAAAGTCAAAATAAAAAAAAACACTCTTAGATAGAATGAGTACAACCGGCCCCCGGTTGATTGGTTTTATGAAGTGATAATGAGCTTTCATTCAACTGCGTAAGTCATGCAGAATACACCAGCGTTTGTATCAAACTATATCTGTCGATGTAATTTATATATCCTATCATTTTTTCAGGGACCAAGTGGAGGTGCTGTAAGTGTTTTTTTCAATAACTTTATATTTTGTTGTACATCTATGAGACTTAAACCGTGGAAAATTTAACTGATTTCATTTCTCTATCATTTCTCTATAATTTTATCACAATTTTTGCGTCCTGTATTTTAATCCGGTTTTTTAAATTTAGGGACCACCTGGTCCACCTGGACCACCAGGAACATCTGCTCAAGTAAGTTCAGTAGTTATCTAAACAACATTATGTCCGTTATTAGTAGCTTCTTTAATTGTAGCAAGACTCAGTATTGTATAATTTAAAAATGTGAAATAATCGCTTTTGTTTTTTTCTATTTCTTAGTCTGGTGTAGCAGGGGCTGGTCAATTCGCGGAGACGTTTGCTTCTAAAGGACCTGAACGCCAACCTGACTATTACCGCACCCGAATGGTAAGATAAAAATGCAGTTTTTAGGGTAATATAATTTGTCTTGTAGCATGTTTACCACAGGCTGTCTTCAAAAGTGCAGTGGGGCTCGTTTTTTTAGCTGGTCATGTATTTTACATTATTTTTTGTGGCCCCTGTAATTACATTTCCGGATTACTAAATACCATTCTCTTTTAAAAAAGGCTTTGTGGTTGACAAGCGTCTTGCATTAAAAATAAGTGGTTAGTTAGCTAGGGAACTGACCATTGACTTACTGCTGGAATAATTTAGTGTAATGTTCAAGATCGGTAAATGAGAGATCAAGAAAAATCAGTTAACATTTTAATCAGACAATCAAAACTAAGAAGTAGATTCATCGATTTTGTAATAGTGTAATATAATAATGTTTTGTAATATGGTAGTACAATAATGTTTTGTAATATGGTAATATAATAATGTTTTGTAATATGGTAATATAATCATGTTTTGTAATATGATAATAACTCATTGCTTCCACTTGTAGGAGGAATTACTTCATCAAGTTGAAGAAAATACAATTTCTGTTGACAATAGTTTAAAGGTAAGTAGTATATATACTTCGCGTTCTCATGTGGTATATATGATCTAAGTGACAGTTGTTTATCCACAGGTGGAACCTCTTCGTTCTATAACATCGGCACTAAGAGATATTGATCTTCTGAAACATCCTGATGGAAGCAAAAAACATCCTGCGTCGACGTGCCGAGATCTCCACATGTCTCACCCAACATTAGAAAATGGTAAAGTACTGTACATGCCCGCAATGCCCGCAGATTTTTCTATAATCGATGGGCTGTATAGTTATATTGGGATTGTGCTCATTATCATTTTCTTTTTAGGCAATTATTGGATTGATCCAAATGGCGGAGTTCCCAACGATGCCGTATTAGCGCATTGTCAATTCGAGAGCCTATCAACTTGTGTATTACCCAACAATCTCGAGGTGTTTAGTGTTTTCACTAAAATACGTTGCAACCGAATAGATAACTGAGTGTGATAATTAACTATAAAAATATTCTATGTTCGCTAAATATTAGAGGATTTTGAACGTGTATCAAACTTAAAATGCAATCTCTCTGGACTGAATTCATTTTTCAATGTATAGGTTGAGAAGAAGAGCTGGTACTTCGGCAAAGATCGTTATCTCTGGTTCTCAGAAGAACTAAAAAAAACGAAAAAGGTGTGACACATGTGTTCATTCACACATGTACCTTTTCAACCTTTTCATTGCTAGCCTTCCTATCTTTAAAAAACAAACGCCAATGACAATTTTTAACTGATTTTTATGCTATTAACTTTTCGAATGGACATAGCTCTCACATGGAGTAATTTGTTTAGAATTCACTCAATTCATTCACTCAATTATTAGGCTTCTATACTATTATTTGCGTAACTGATAATCCTTTATTAGATACAATACATTGCGGATGGAAATCAAATTCGTTTCCTGCAAATGTTCTCAGCCAAAGGATGGCAGAACATTACTTACCATTGTCGTGACTCAGCCGCCTGGAGTGATGAAAATAATAGCAAAACCAAATCAATCAAATTACGTGGAGATAACGGAATGGAATATCATGCCTTAAGTGCCAAGAAATTCAGACCAGTTGTTGTCAAAGATGAATGTAATGTGAGTATACAGCCACTGACATTTACATCCAGTTTTGTCAAAAAGCGTCACTGAAAAAGATCAGTGATAGTCTTTGAAAATGACAGTCACTGATCACTGACTCAAGACATCACTTGTCACAGTTTATCACAAAATTCTTTGTTATCTTTTTATTTCACTCACTTTGTTATCATTTTATTTCACATTTGCCTGTCACTAGAGGAAATTCTGCTAAATTGAGAGGGAAGATATACTGTAGCCTTCACGCCACTGACAGGAAATGACTGTATTCACACAATTTTTGTTTCCTTTTAGAAAAAAGACGGTCAATGGCACGAAACAACAATTCAAGTATACACAACTAATACAGCACGATTACCTATTCGCGACGTTGCTGTTTTTGATGTTGGCGGTAAAAACGAAGAATTTGGAATTGAATTTAGCGCAGTTTGCTTCTCTTGAAGTTAGCGCTATAGATATGGACTATTATACCTTGGTACAGTATAGAGAATTTCAATTTACGATTCTAGAACATCATAAGTAATAAATGACTTCATCCATTACTGCCGATTGATTGTAGTTTTATGCCAGTTAGTGCCTGATTCAGAACGTTTTGTCGTATATAGGTATAAGGTTACCATTTTGAACACTCAAATTTGAATAAATATTATATATTGTGTTTTTTTAACACGTTAATTTACAACAAGAAGTTCAATGAAGTATGCAAGCTAACTCCACTTATATAAAATGCGGAAATATTTCATACTTCACGACGGAAATATCAGTAGGGCCCTCAAGATGAAGTAAATCGAAAACTTTCAATTTTGCACTGTAATTACAAATGTGCTAATCTGTATCTATAGATTCCTTTTGTTACTCAGTAGGAGAATCCACTTATAACTGTGTGACATTCATTTATAATAACATTTATGACACCTTTAAGTACATTTATGATTCAGACGGTCCTTAGGGCACAAGTTAGTCGTTTATTACCAGGATTATAGATACATATGTACATGCATATGTCACACACACGTGTTATATATTGAGAGCCATATAAGAATTTTTACTACGGCGTCCCAGCCATAGAAATCCGAAGATGCAAAGCACTGGGTAGATTAAACCATAATTCTCGCCCGAAATAAATCGTTTTCTTGTACATTGCCTAATTATCTATAAATCTAATATCTGATATCATCAAGGGTAGCTCTAAAACATAAACGTGTACCTAATAGCTAGTGACAGTAGTGTATACTTGAAAAGATCATTCTCCTTGACCACTGCCTTGACATATGGTTACTATAAGCGACATTCTAAGGATACTTATTGTTTCGACTTTGTTTGCGTTGGAATACGATACTTTTAGACACAACAAATTAATAATTTACACTAATCTAACCGGGGGAGCGAGTTTACCAAGCATGAGTAAGCATGCTTTATTTTAAGTTGAAGATCGGGAAACAAAAATGACGTCTTGCCGGTAAAAATTCTGATGGTAAGATTGAATGTGTTAATCTCATTATCGAATTGCCTAATCCTTGAACACTTGTAAAATTAAGTGGATATATTACACGATACTTCTCATCACATTGCTGCGTCTTCCCCCGGACTTTGCGGATGCCAGAAATTAGAATAATCATGGAATGTTGAAGTTTAATTTTCGTGTCCTGACAATGCGTCTGTGTTCACGTTGTATTGCATGAATGCGGTTGTTGATCAATCGCTTACCGTGACTGGGAAAAGGCGCTTGACACGGATATCCAAGCTTTAACTTTCAAAATTCAGGCAGTCGGACTTCTGTTCGAAGTGCCTGTTTTTACCTAACTCTAGCATTCAAATCTCTACTGTTTATACTTGCTCAATACGCGCAGATATTTGAAGGTTTGCAAGCAGTAACTATCATGAACACCGTGTTAAAAATATTTTTCCTGATCGTGGTATCAATTCATCAAGGTAAGACTGTCAGCAATGTTATATAACCTCCGCAAATTATGCTAAAAATACTTTGAATTTGTGCAAATATTTATCTATTACTTGTCATATTCTTTTGGACAAGTACATGCATCACCTATATATATTATTCAGGTTATATAATTTAGTGTATTAGATTTTACATCTTCAACCACATCTATTAATCCCAATTTGCAGTTTCGGGTCCTTTGTACTTGTTTTATTATTATCAGTTTGTGATGAAAAACATTGTAATCTTGCTGTTGACAATTTACCTTTCTCTTTATTCACACAACAAGGAATCTATTTCAGATATGCATGTTGGGTGAAATGGCAACAAAACTCTATTTGTTTCGTAATTACCTAATCAAAAATATAAATATACAAAATATGACACCTGAAACAAATATCTCAATAACGGTCAGATATCTCTGTGTATATTTCTATACGAGCTGTCGTACGTTACAAAAACACAGACTTTGAAGACCACTGAAAAGATTTCCGCTCTGGCATTTCATTTTATTCCGCGTGGTTGGAAATAGCGTGAGGGAATAGCAACTGTTTCTTTACCAAAGATTTGAAAAAAAATATGATTTATTCAGCTACCGTAAAATGAGATGTCTGCGGCGTGAAATTCATTCATACAGAGACACGAAAATTTCTGGTTTTGTCGAAATCATGGCCTTTCCCTACCGGGGTTCAATATGACGTTGACGTTACACAATGCTTTCAGGGTAGGCAGATGTATTGTAGCAAGTACCATGCAGGGGAGAAATTCTATAATTAGCATAAAGTGCGCATACACCATTGATGCGTGGTCAGGTATACCCATGTCAAACCTAACAAGTGATCATTCTATAATTACTGCAATTAGGTATAATAAAAAATTGTGTAAAGGTATTTGTCAAAAAACATGTGCTCTAAATACAGGCGTACGTTTTCGTTGCAACCAATGATTCACCTTAGTTTATTATTGTATTTCATGTTAATGTGAAGTAATTATTTTCTCTTGCCGTTACGTTGAACAGGTCAATCGTCAGTAAAATGTGGTCGTAAGACTGACATAACATTCATTGTCGATCGTTCTGGTAGTGTAAAAGCAAGTGACTATAATGAAATGCGGAAATTTCTTAAACAAGTTGGCGAAGCATTGCAGATTGGAGTGCGAAATGATGCTGGCGAAATTCTTGGACAGGGAGCAATTGTAACATTCAGTGAGGAATCGGCAATTCGGATAACCCTGAAACAAAGTGACACGTCTGGGGCGTTTGCTAACATTGTTGATTCAATGCCTGGACCTTTGGAAGGAGGACGGACTAAAACTGATTTAGCTTTAGACAAGGCAGACAAGGAAGTGTTGATCCAGAGCGCTGGATATCGCGAGAATGATAACGATGTTGCCAAAATATTTGTCGTCATAACGGATGGAAAACAAACTCGAAGTTCAAGAACTATTCCTGTTCGTGATGCAATTAAACCAATCTTTAAACGTGACATGGAGGTGTTTGCTATTGGTGTAGGTCTTGATAACGAAAACGCTAAGCAAGAAATTCGCGACATGGTTGAAGTGCCTGGAAGCGCAATGTTTCCAGAATCTTATACTAGTTTGATAAATGATGTTGATAATTTTATCCGAAGTTTCTGTCCAGGTATTTAATTACTATTAATTATACTGTATCTATCTAGTTCTGATATTCCGAGTCCAAATATAGCGTATTATTAGTCCTTCGATCGTTCTACTTTTAATATGGCAGCGATAATGTAATATAATGTATATAATGTATAGTATAATATAATGAATGGGAATGAATGCCTCGTCTACAGATAGCCAGATAATTGAGGCGTTTGTTTTTATAAATAATACAAAAGGCTGAGAGAAACTGTCTTTATTTTCCAGGAACTACAATATGTGGTACGGCCGAAGATGACTGTCATGCGGATGCCACGTGTACAGACACTGCTCCAGGGAAATATATATGCGATTGTAATGAAGGCTTTATTGGAGATGGCAAAATCTGTGAAAGTAGGCACTTCTGTCCTGCAATATGAGCATTACCGTGATTATGATTATATTGAATATGACTACCACAATAACGATGGTTATATCCTGGATAATGACCACCACAATAACGATGGTTATATCCTGGATAATGACCACCACAATAACGATGGTTATATCCTGGATAATGGCCACCACAATAACGATGGTTATATCCTGGATAATGACTACCACAATAACGATGGTTATATCCTGGATAATGGCCACCACAATAATGATGGTTATATCGTTGATAATAACCACCAAAAATAACGATGGTTATATCGTTGATAATAACCACCACAATAACGATGGTTATATCCTGGAATATGACCACCACAATAACGATGGTTATATCCTGGATAATAACCACCACAATAACGATGGTTATATCCTAGATAATAGCCACCACAATAATGATTGTTATATCCTGGATAATAACCACCACCATGATGATGAATATTTACTTCACTAAAAATCACCATAGACCATAGCGATCATAATTTCCTGGGGCATGACAACCATCACAAAAACGATGGTTGCGTCACGATGATTGTGTCCAGAACTCGGCACAAGCATTTGCTGCATGACGTTAATTTATGTTCTGATCCTTAAACATCTTATTTTTTATATCCTTCCCACGACAGAGGAAATATCTGTAGTAAGTGTCACAACATTTAATTTATTTTTACATGCAAATTGGTAGATCGTTAAATAAATATTAATTAATCGTGGAAATGTACATTGATTAGCTTTTGATATGCAGCGTGTGTGTTGATCTGGTTTATCTTCTTCCAGGTCAGAGGACCTCTCGGTGAAAAAGGAAATCAAGGACCGCCAGTAAGTTCAGATGATATTTTGATCAAAAATAATTTATGAAATATACTATATATCTTTTGATTAGAGATTCTAACCCAAACCCGTAGCTGTGGTGAATGATTATGCAGGGTCACACGCTGAGTATTTCGCAAAATAAATTACAGAAAATGAGTTTTTTCCTTTCTGCGATCGCTCAAAAAATGAAAATGAAACGAAAACAAATTATTTTAGGGTGAACCAGGACTATCCGGACCCGGTGGAGCAACTGGAGCTGGTGGGAAAAGGGTAATTTTGTATGTTCTACATTATGAATACGGTAGCAAAATTGGGAAAATTAATCCAACACCTTGTGGAAAGTTAACAAATTTCTTTTTAGCCTAAACGAAAAGTAAACATTAAAACAAATTATATTTAAGCGGTCAAACCATTTTAGCATGAGAGACAACGACATGAAAACAATTAAACTTCGTTCCGATAAATGTCGAATCATCTGCGGTAGTTATTGTCGGTGGCCATTCACTGACTTTGCTGTTAGCTTCGTCACTGAACAACAACAACAATATTATCAAAAATGAATTCATGTTTGCCGATATACGGGTGTATAAAAATAAAGCTCTTTTGTTTGCCCGCCCGCTTTTTTAGAAAATTGTGCCGCTAGAAACGTACCAAAACGTTAGTGATTTTTATACAATAGTTCAGATCCAATTTCAATTACTAAAACTAGACGTTTTTGCATAGTTGTCGTGTTTCAATGACCCTAACAATGAGCTGAGCGCAAAAATGCCAAAATATTCTTATCAATGAAGTGCATAGAATTTGTGAATGGTGTTGTACGACCAGAGTTCTGAAGCATTTCAATTTCGAAATATCTCGTGTGTTCTTTTGAAACGATTGTTTCTTTATTAGGGTAATCGTGGAGGGAAAGGAAATCCTGGAAGAGAAGGGAATCCAGGTAGATTTGGGGATGCTGGTCTTCCTGGTCCACCTGGGGGAATGGTATGTAATTGTTACGCCGAAGAAAAGTGTATTTTGAAGAATAATCCAGTACATATACGAATAAAGAACATCGAGGCTAAAACACCATTAATTATCTATTTTATTTTAGATTTTGTCTTTTGCTGCGGGTTATCTTGATGAAGGAAGGGAAGCAGGAAGTCCATCAAAAGGGCCTATCGAAAGAGTCGTAATTGGGCTAGGCGTACGTTTTATTAGTCGTTTCATTAGTACGAATTCGCTTATGAAGTCAATGAATAGTTCCCCCTCTCTTGCAATCACCATTTTCACGGTGATGAGAGTAAAATTATAGAGGAAGCAGTGGATTGAAAGCATTAATGTGAAAGATTGGGCTGGATAACGAGGGCATGAGTGTGGTCTATAGTCTCTTGATTCTTTAGTTACAAGTCCAATAAACAATCACTTTTAGACTTGTGGTTTAAACAATTTAACTACGTGGAAAGCATTTTATTTCAATACTAGAAATTAATGTCAAGATGGCTGTTACATGTATGCTATAGTTTGCATTTAATTCATGCAGGATGGCCTCTGACTTTTACATTGAAGAATCCATACAGTGGCGGTTGTGTTAATGATTTCATCTTCTTTCTTTATAAACTAAAGTCGAATCTATGTATTTGGAACTGTCCATAAATTCATCAATAATCTTTTGTTACGATCAGTTTATTTTAGAAATAATAGTCAACCTCCGAACCTCGATCCCAATGTATATCGTTATATGTTTGTTATTCTGTTTTAGCAATCAAGAGTTGGACCTCGAGGACCTCGAGGAAGGACTGGGCCAAGAGTAAGGCTCAATGTGTTTCAGTATTCAGTTGAAACCTTACGATCTACCTATCGAATTAAGTGAAGTGCGAAATCAAGTTACGCAACACACTCCTGGGATGTTTATATATACTGCCCACATTACTAAATGGAAACTAGATTTAACAATTTTGCAAGCTAATAGAGATTTCTGACATTACATCACTAAGGTCCTATATGAAGTATTGATGAAATTCTCTCTACGTTTAGGGTTCGAATGGTCAGGGGGGATCACAAGGATCACCTGGTGCTGTGGCTGCACGGGTAATGCAGGAAAATACATGCAATATAGGGTTGCAATGAACTTCAGTATTAGACTAAAATACTGCCATAAAAATGTTGATTAATTTGTGCTTACTCTTTAAAGTGTAATTATTAATTTTCAGGGTCCTCATGGCCGTATGGGTAAACCAGGAGCAATGGGCCCTGATGGAAAGGAAGTAAGTGCGATTTTCAAACTATACTTTATTGTATCAGCTCATGTACGACTCGAGTTCGCAGAATAACTGTTAAGTATATAATGAAAATGAAATTAATGAGTCATCCATAACCTGACTGGATGTTATTGTTGTACTTACAGGGATCAAGTGGGGGTGATGGTCGAAAAGGTCGACGTGGTGGCAGAGGATTACCTGTAATCAATTTTTCCTCAACATAAAAAATATAATTTAGACTTTGAAGAGATATAACATTTCACAGTGATAGTCTACTACAGGAATTAATACATCTTAGAAAACGTCCACGAAAAGCTAATGGCAAACCTTTACTTTTACTTCACTTTTACAACGCAGCGCTAGAATATATTTAAAATTAGCAAGAAATATCAATCATTTGTAATATATGAATATTGTCATTATTGGAATATCTTTTTCCAGGGAAGACGAGGTGATCGCGGGGAAACCGGAGTGCAAGGATATCTTGGACATTCGGTACTTTATTCCCTTCCTTTTCAAAAAGTTTTAGTGTTTTTCATTAGGTTTGTTCTGCCCGCGCGGGCGAAGCTGTTTTTAGGGTAAAACTCGATACTAAAAATTAGTCCCAATCTTAATTCGCAATATATTGTTCTCACAGGGTTGGAGTGGAGAAGTTGGAAAAACTGGCAGACAAGGAGAAACTGGATTCAAGGTAGTTTCCCAAGTTTCAATGTTTTTTATGATGTACTTCTCACTGATTATTGTTTTCCATTGTAGGGTGCAAAAGGCAATGTTGGTAACCGTGGACAGCGAGGTGCTAAGGTAAGTACCCAAAGGACAATTGCACCGTTTGAAACGTTCCTAAACATGTTAAAACCACTTCAAAATAGATTGAATTATATAATTACCGAACGTGATACAAAAGGTCAAACAACTATTATAAATATATCGAGTTATTCCACACCTGAAACCAAGGGTTATGGCTTTTTGTACATGAATTATTGCAGGAGCGATGTAGGATTTCAAGGCTTAATGTAGCATGGTTATTTTTCAGGGCATAATGGGGCGTGCAGGTTCAATTGGTTTGCAGGGTGAAAGGGGAGCAACTGGATCCGATGGAATGACTGGATATCAGGGCGACAATGGGGAAAAGGTATGAAAAAAGACTTAACAGAGTCGGTATATGCCGCAACAATGATTAAAATGTATCCTCTAATAATTGATCAATGATTCATCGATCAATCAATCCGCATTTAAAAAACTAGACGTATTCTAAATATATGAACAATGAATATGCAAGAGACATTCCTATGAACACGTAGGGTTCCGATAAACGAAATGTGAAAATTTAGACATGATTTTTTAAAATTACAAAGATTAATCAGTCTTACTAAAAGCACCACTCTGCTAATGATTTACGTGTATCACTAAGCTTTCAACATTTATACACTTTTAAAATAGGGTCCTCTAGGTATGCCCGGTATTAATGGTTTACCAGGTTTTATGGGTAGGCGAGGTGCTGATGGGAAATCAGGGCCAGTTGGTGAGCCAGGCGTTGCTGGTGAGACTGGAGAGCAGGGTGAACAAGGGTCAGACGGTGGAGATGGAATGAACGGGCGTACAGGTGAACCTGGAGACATGGGAAGCAAGGGAGAAGTTGTGAGTATACTTCAGTTAAGAAACAATGTCAATGGTGAGGACATTTACGAAATGGTCTTTTATTAGAAAGAGTTAAAAAACCATTAATGAGCGAAACGTATATGGATTCATAAAGGTTACAAAAAGTTGTTCTAGCTATTCTGCAGGGGCCGCGGAAGATCGTTACGTGTGAGGGGAATATTCATATTTGCTCCGGTGCATGGGGCAAATTTATTAATAACATTTTTTTGCTGTAGGGTGATCCTGGTCCCTCAGGTCCTCAAGGTGGTCCAGCTGGTCCTTCCGAAGATGTATGGTACAATTATTTATTGGGAAAATTATTCAATACAAACGCATGTAAATGTGAAAAAAAATTTTTAGGGTGAACTTGGAGCACCAGGGAGTCCCGGAGTTCTGGGGGAAAAGGTAGATATTGTACATAAAAATCAATATTTATGTGAGTTGACAAAAATTGCTGGAAGACCTTTCCTGTGTCCAAACATTTCGAGTCCATCGACATTTCGATTGATCTGCGTTAGAAATTAATTAAATTTTTTAATTTAATCTTGTTCAGGGAGACAGAGGTCCAGAAGGCGAAAAAGGCAATGAAGGAGACAAAGGAGTTCAGGTAAGTAATCTTATTGTTTTTTCAAATAGTTTCTCATTAGCGCCGATATTGCACTTTATTGATGTTCATTGAATTCGGGGTATTAAAAAAAATCAGTAGATCTAAAAGCAAATGCATATTATCAAAATAGATATTATATGTTGATGAACCCAAAAGGGTCGGGGTTAGCTTTCGAATCAATTGTTGTCAAACTCTGGTAATTGAAAGTTCAATTTAATTGCGCATGCGTCTCTTGTGTTCAGCTGAAATGGACAATTAATCAAAGAAACGATTAAAAACGTTTTGGGAGGAGGCCCTTGGTACAGTGCAGTGAAAATATTGCATCTTCGTAAGTTTTATACAAAAACAAATGCTAATTTCTAAAGGGGGATCCAGGATATGCTGGACAACAAGGCGAAGTTGGAGTTGAAGGAGGAAGGGTAAATATTGATATTTTGGAAGAAGAAATTTAGTAGATTGTGCGTTTGTTTTTTAAAAAAATTGTACGGTAGTGAAAAAATTCAGCATATATACAGTATTCTCCATGCCAAGCAATGATAATGTTTACACCCCTGACTATCGTTGTTTTTTTAAAGGGAAGTCAAGGGAATCCAGGTGTTCAAGGCACCGTCGGTCGTCGTGGGGCTACGGTCAGTTCACTCATCTTTGTCAATTTACTTCTTTTTTTTACTTTTATTTACTTTTACCGAATGAATACTAGCTACTAACCTTTGATTCATTCTTAAAATACAATATTGTAGGGACCAGTTGGTGAAGCTGGTGAAACAGGGCAAAATGGAATGATCGGAACAGAAGTATGACGTTTTTTAACTTCGCTTCTCATTACGACCCTCCGTGTGTTCATTAAGTGACACACAATGGCCTTGTTGACGTTCTCCCATAGCAAACACGTAACAAAGTTTTATAATTAAATACCTCTTTCTGCGTTTGTTTTTTGTTGATCTTCACCCATATCACAAGAATAACAATTCTTTCTCCCGAACGCCAAAGGCTCTATGCTTTTGTATTTTTCATATTATACTTGCAATTTAGCTGTTTAAAAGCAAAAGATGCAGATTTATTAGCTATGACATTTCATTTTCAGGGCGTTGAAGGAAGTCGCGGCCAGCCAGGTGAAACTGGAGAAAGTGGGGCTGTGGTAAGCAAAATTATTCATACAAACGTTTCATGAAATCGGGGTATTGTGGGTAAAATACGCACCTCAAAATTCCAATTTACTGAGTCGCAAGAGACCAATAACAATGTGAAACAGCTAAAAGTGGCTCCCCATGTTATGCCCGCCCTTTAAAGAACGTCATTAAGTTAAATCACTTTTTAAAATCATATAGGACTACAATGCATCTGCTTAAATCATATTGATGAGCCGAAGCGTTTTTTATTTGCCACATCGTTTTATAATTCTGCAATATTTCAGGGTGAAATTGGATATATTGGAGCTCCTGGTAAAGATGGGAAAAGAGTAAGTTCTAAGATGATGTTCTATGATAATTCTTTGTATTAAGTTGTTTGAAGTTGTCCTATCATATTAAGCACGATATAGAATAAAATAAACATCAAATAAAATAAAATGATCAAGTTAAGAACAGGGGTTATAAAAATAGACAAAATTTTGAAATTTTATGGAGATGGAGAAAGTAAAATTTCATGTGTATTCATCCCCTTGATGTTTCTAGAAATATCTGTTTATCATTTTCTGGGTTTTTTTACTTCTCAAGGGACGTATTGGCAATCGTGGAGCTAGTGGATCCGATGGTGCGAGAGGAAAAGATGTAAGATTGACAATTAACGATATACATTAGAGAGCTTTCCAATTCTTGTGAAATGTGTATCACGTTGAAGAGTTAATAAAACTGCAACTTCGTTCTATGACATGATGCGACATTTCAAGTAACGTCTTAATTTCACCCATCATATATTGATCATCTAAGATGATTTTTTGGAATTTTCTTTTTTATGCGTAAGCTGCTTCTTAACCCCCAGCTATTAGCTAACAGTGGAGTTTTGATAATCTGTTTCCTTTCGTGTTTCTCTAGGGAGCTCCAGGTGATCCTGGTATTCAAGGAATTGCTGGTGTTGAAGTAAAAATATTGTTTTTATATGAAGCTTGAAACGTTGTAAATTAGAGTCGAAACTGCCTTTGCTTAAACAATTCTACTCTAATTAGGGCGAAGAGGGACAACGTGGAATTGAAGGCCTTAGAGGTGCTGATGGAAAAGCAGTATGTACCATATGATATAAATCTTTATTTAAAAGAATGAACATTATACAACTTTGCTCGCTCGCCATTGTGTTGTTTCACATTCCCGCTACTTTGGATTTTGATGTCTTCGTCATTGGTGTGACGTCATAACGAGGGATACGATTTTTCATCCGACCTGATAGCGTGCATAAAAAGGTTTAGGTATAAGCCAATCAGAAGCTGACAATTCGTTGTGTATCTCGTTTGATTTGCAGCTTGTTATCCCCCCAAAATAATAATATTTTTTGTTAAATAACTTCGTAAAGTGAAGGTCAAAAGTCTGTAGTGAGATTTAAAAATGAATTATTTTCTTTGCAAAATTTGCTAGGGTTTAGACGGAGATGAGGGAGCTGCAGGTGAACAGGGACCACCAGGACCACAAGTAAATTATTCCTTATTTTGATACTCTGTAGAATATTGTTCAGATTTGGTCGTTTTTCGGTGCTTGTGCAAATATGTACACACTAAAGTATTCGTTTCTATGACTGATTCCGTGATTTTTATTCATTTATCCATTTAATCTTAGCGGTTACTGGTTAAGACAAAATACCGACTATGCGTATAGCTGTAAAACCATGGCTTCTTCGCCCTCCTCTCCTGTCTTTCTGCTGACAGCGTTTAACAGAAAATTTCATTTTCTAGGGTATTGATGGACGGGATGGTGAAACTGGTGCTGTTGGTCAAGATGGACTCGAGGGAGAAAGAGGTGAAAGAGGGCAGAAAGGGAATGCTGGTCGTGATGGAAGTGAGGTTTGTACTTTCGTTTGAGGTTTGTACTTTTATGCCTGTTAATTACTTTTGCCATATACTATATATTTTTCACCTGGTTATTCTAGTTTTCTCCCCAAATGGCTGTCGCTTGTGTGCTAATTTGCATTTAGGCCATACATAATGAGCTTCGAGTTTTACTATAAAATAAATTGAGCGAAAATATAAAACGTCGCAAGTCGTAACTTCAGAGCCACAGACTTGGAGCACTGTTTTCCGACCTCTAGAGTGGATAGAACAGCAGTTTGGAAACGTTTTGGTAACCGAATCTTTTACCTTGGGTATTTCTGCAGTCCGCCAAATTTAAAAATGTATTGCTCAAAATTTTTGGCCGTGTTTTCTCAACGAACTTATAAAATCGCTCACATTCATACGAACATTTCAATTCGGATTGTTGATGAATTGACGTGTAACATACCAAGAGATTTTGTTAAAGATATTGTCTTTCGTATTCCTGATATAAATTTTCCTGTACGGTCCGGATTTCTTCTGCAGTCACTTTAAAAATATTATCAGTCTCGTCAGGCAGTTCAACAATACGAAGCGTATACACACATTTGAACAAATTCACTTAGCGGAACGTAGAAACACCCAAGGTAAGTAATTCGTTCATCAAAACGTTGTAAAACGGCTGTTCTATTGACCCAGATGTCGGCAAACAGTGGGCAACATCCAGGGCAACGGCAATTTTAGGTATTATATTCTTGCTGTATATATTTTATAGTAAAAGGTAAACGCCATTATTGTTGAAAGTTAAATGCAAATTAGTATATTTCTGGCAATGAAGCTTAAGTTTAGCTTATAATATTTTCTTCCAAAAGGTCAATATAAGGGATATTTTGACTTTAGGGCGAAGATGGTCTTCCAGGAAACACAGGAAGACGAGGCTCTCAAGGAGAGAAGGTAAATGCAATATTCGTCACTTGTTTTCTCCTGGCTCGAAACAACTTTTATCCATTATTTCAGACAACAAATTTATTTACATGACAATTGTCAATGGGTGTTTATTTTCAGGGTTTTGTTGGTGATGTTGGTGCAGAGGGAACAATAGGAGACCCTGTAAGTACACCCTCTAAAAACTAGAGTACATTTATTGTGTTTTACGGCGTAAATATAGAGGCGTGGCTGTATATAACCGTCATTTCTAAAACTAACCTAGCTTCCAGCGAAATATTTTGTTGACGATAATAACAGTATAATAATACATATGCTCTGGGTATTAACCTAGTAAACTCTGGGTATTAACCTGATAAAAAAAAACCATATTATGACAGTTACGGTATATTTTTAGGGCGATCGTGGGGCACCTGGCGCAATCGGTCCAGAGGGTGATACGGTATATTACTGCATTATGTTGACGTCATTATTACGAGTTGACAGTCAGACCAAGTTTTGTCCATTAAATTTCATTTACACTAAGAATTGAGAGGCCGATCTATAAATATAACGATTGTTTTGTATTTCTCAGTTGGTAATGGTTTTCATTCTGTGATAGGGTGAAAAAGGAAGAAAAGGAAGTCAGGGGGACAGTGGAAGAGATGGTGTCCCTGTAAGTGTGTGTTGAGATATAACACTGACGTGATATCAGCTTACGTCCATAATATTAACGCAAAATATTCAGTCTCTTGTTCAAAAGGTTTTTTTATTCAGAGAATTTTGTTTTCTGCCTGTCGATAAAGTCTCACATTCACTTCGTACATGTTTATGTGATTTATATTCAATGTAATATATCAGTGTGAATAATATCTTACCATAGGGAGCATCTGGTAGTGCTGGAGCTGATGGTTCCTCTGGAGATCCTGGTCCGCAGGTAGACATTTCATTTCTCTAACTTTATCTCCTAAAGCAGAATTCTACATCAGGAATTACTGTAAAAACAAATCATGGACTGGAAAGCTAAACCTTTCTTAATCTGATATGTTTACTAAATACTTTAACAAATATAAGTCATATATCTTCAGGCATCGAAAATTTACAACGAAATCACTACTCGGTAGATATCTATATAAATCCATCCCACAACCGCCCCCAAATTCCTAATCTAAACCCTTCACCACTCAAAACTATACCAAAACTCTCGCCCAAGTCCTTAATCATGATGTTAGCCTTAATTTTAGTCCCAAGAATCTTAATTCAAACCGCGCTAGCTCTATTTCTTCAACATAATATCTGGAAAATAATGACGCTTATAAATCATAATCGTTACGTTTATTTACCAGGGTCCAATAGGAGATCTTGGAGTAGAGGGACGACGTGGTCCAAAAGGAGGATTGGTTGGTGGTTTTTTCAATATGAATTTGAATATATATTTTTATTTTTCATGTTCGAAGTGTTTGATTCTTTCTAAATGATTTCTACTTTCACTCTAGGGATCTCGTGGTACAGAAGGTGATCGAGGAGATTCGGGGAAAAATGGAAGAGATGTGAGTTCATCACATTTCTATTAAAACACACTACGTCAGACGTCAGTGCAACATGTAAACAATCAAAGCTATTATTTTTAGGGTAATCCTGGTGTCGCAGGAGAGTCAGGGGAGTCTGGTCCACGTGGAAAAAAAGTATGTATTGCTTTCACAGGAGTAAGGTATTTTATCGTTAATTGAAAATATTTATAATTTCGTGTAGGGCTACCTTATTTAAATATTACCATTAGCTTTCTCCATTGAATGATAGGATTAATTTATTCCAGGGACCAGAAGGTGACAGAGGGAGTCCTGGAGCTTCTGGTAATGATGGCAAGAAGGTATTTCATTTGCAAAAGTACCCACATGTTTTTTGAAATGGGTTTTCAACAAAATATGGTAATATTTTTTTTAGGGTCCAACTGGTGCTGTAGGACCCACTGGAGGAATTGGAAATCCTGGCTTTAGGGTAAATCAAATGTTACACACTGTTTCACCTAGCTTACCGTTTAACCTAGTAAATTTTGAAAATTGAGTTTCAATTAATGCGTTTCTATTCGCAGGTAGTTACATACGTAAGTCAAATAATTAGGAAGTACATGTAAATAGTAGACAAAATAGACAAATTTTCTCCCAATAAATGAGCAAAGAAGACTAGAACCAAGCCTCCCCCCTTTTTTACGACGTCGCTTTCGGAACAATATCACTTTGACCAGCAACGATTTTAGAACAACAAAGAAATGTGCGTTTAGTCTGCCTCTCCTTAAAAGGTTTCAATCCTAGGGTCGCCGAGGTTCTAATGGTGAAGCTGGTAAGACAGGAGATCCAGGTCCAACGGTAAAGCAATTGGCATTATATATGTGTTGTTTGCATGATTACACTGCCAGGTCGCAATATTCATGGATTTGCTACATATATATATATAGGGAGAAATGGGAGCAACCGGACCGCAAGGTGAAACTGGTGAACGTGGTGTAAAGGTAATTATTAATGAATGAATTGATCTAAAAAGTTTAGAAATCTCTTAGTACAAACTCGTTGTTTCACAGGGTTCCGCTGGCAAACATGGAGTAAAGGGGAAAAGAGGAGAAGTTGGCAATGATGTACGTTTTTTACTGAAATTTTTTAATAAGTCAATGAAGAATAGATTCATCGTTCTCCATCATAGAAACTATATATATGCGTGCATGATGTTTATTCATGTAGGGAGATTATGGTCCTCTTGGTGAAACTGGACAAACTGGGATTAAAGGACAACAGGTTATTTAATAAAAAAGATCGGCTCAAGCTAGCGAGTCTATTTTATATATAAACAGGTTTAAATGTCTTCGCATGATTAAAGACTCGTTAAATCTTATTTTCAATGCAGGGTGAAACCGGCGAGATAGGTCTAAATGGAGCAACCGGAGCTGAGGGAGATAAGGTAACTTTTGTTTTTCTCTCAACTTTAGAGCATTTCTGCAAAAGAATGTTTCTGATTGGCCAATGCTGCCAGTTGGATAATCAGGAATATTTTTATCCACAAACTACTTCACATCCCAGACTTTTTAAGAAGGTCTTTAGACTGAAATTCCGGTTTTCAATGTATTCATTTTTATTTATTCAAACGCTGCTTCTAGGGTGCGCGTGGAGAAAAAGGTGAAATTGGAGAGAGAGGAGAACAGGGGCCTAGGGTAAATGGGCTTCATTTTTAATGAATTGAATATGATCACTATATTTCAGTATTCATCTAACTTAAAAGTAAAACATACTCGAGAAACTTTCATCGACATGCCACGACTACTAAAACCCATCATTCATATTGATAATATATCAATAAAGATGTTTAGCCTCCGTTACAGACTCGAGATTTAAGGTGGCATTATGTGTAGTCAGTAGTCTACAAGATTTTTACTTTTGCATTTTATGCTACCCTGCATTACCCAAAATTATCCGTTTTAACGTGAGTGAATGTTGAAACAGTATATTCTACTAGGATTCTTGAAACGTGTTAAAATCTTTTCTTTTAACCGTGAATAATTTCTTATTTCTAATCACCTGCTACTACGATATATGTGGTTTTAGGGCCCTCGTGGTTTGGATGGTGTGGACGGTACTCTGGGAGATATTGGAGCAGCTGTAAGTAGATTATTTTTAGTATATTTATAATGATTTTAAAAGATTAGAAGCCTCTTCACAATCATTTTACTTCGGAGAAGTCGTTTGCAGGATTTCAGTCGCTTCAGGTAGAAGAAGCCATCAGTATAAACACTAATACTTGATTACGATCTTTCATAATTGTCGTTGTGATTTCTTTGAACTTTGCTTTACATTGTTAGGGTGTTCCTGGAATATTGGGTATTAATGGTGAACCGGGTAGCTCAGGTGAACCTGTGAGTATTATAATCATGGAATGGTGATTTTTTTTAAATTAACCATTGTCGACACAAACTTTACGTTTCATTCAGGGAAACGTTGGTCCACAAGGAGCCCAAGGCGACTCTGGTCGACCAGGTGAACAAGTAAGTCTTTTTTTTCATATTTTGTGCCAAAATAAAGGTTGAAAAATACTCTTTTGAGAAAAACAATATCATTTCGGAACAGGGCGAGAACGGATCAGAAGGCTCAGATGGACGTAATGGCCGCATAGGAGATCAGGTTGGCAAGTCCCTCTGTAGCTTACTCCGACTTCAAAACCCTCGTGAAATCAAGCAAAGAGAATTGAATGATTTTTATGTTTCTTAAGGGGGTCAAAGGAGCAAAAGGTTATGCCGGATCAGCCGGTGCACCGGGAGTAAATGTGAGTTTTTAAAAGCATATATGGTCAAACGTTCCCGTAGCATAACATTGCTCGAAGATTGTAATAATTCACGTCCAGCCATCATTGAAGCAAAGCTGACCAAAATTGAAAAAAACAATTTATCTGTTAAATCTTTATTGTGATTCCATTTGTGGACATATTCTGTCATTTGTCTTTGTGGAATTTACTAAACATCTTTGTGTCTATTAGCCTACTAATTAAATGAAGGAAGAATTTTTTATTTTTATCGTTAAACATTATTTCTCTAGGGAGAAACAGGGGTTTATGGGAATCGTGGTAGGCAAGGACCAAGCGGTATAAAGGTACGTGAAAATTCGAAGATTTTCCTTTGCTTTTCGTGTTGAATGCAGACAGAACTCTTAGATTACGCTTACGTTGACCTGCGTTATGACGTAATTTGCGGACAAAGTATGTTTCTGATTGGCGAATGCTCTCTATATGAAATCAGGAACATGCTTTGTTCGCAAGCTATGTCCGAGCCATTGAGATTGATCAATGGTCAGAGCGCAGATATTATAAAGATCTGTATTTTGTTGTAGTAGTATCTTGTAATTCATCGTGCAAAGTGTATTGTCAATTGTATCGTGCAAAGTTAATTATTTTTTTTGTATTTTTAAGGGAGTAATGGGTGACATTGGTTTAGCAGGACTTGCTGGTTCGCCAGGAACTGTGGGTAAAATGGGAGCGAAGGGGTCATCAGGTGCTAAAGGAGAGGCTGGTCAGGAGGTGTGTAGTACTTTAAATTCCTGCATCGACTAGATGAAAAGCAACAGTTCAAACTGACAAATGAAATGTTTGTTACGAAGTAACAAAAATAAACATGTAGGATCAGATTAGAGAATATCCACAATACATAATTTACAACTCTTCCATATGTTTATCAAAAGGGGGACGAAGGTCGCGAGGGTGAACTAGGAGTAACAGGAGAAATCGGAGCCAAGGTAACGATTATTTCAAAGTAATCCCTTAACTTCATTACAAGTTATTGTCTTTAATTTTCTTTGTCCTCAGCCAAATTTATTACAGTTTTGACGTCGAATAACTATAGGAAATACATACCTCAAAATTTTTATTTTCCCCTACCCAGGGATCTCAAGGAGAACGAGGAGCTGCTGGAGACACTGGTACAAGTGGAGCACAGGTGACATTTTTACAATTTTGCATCATATAATTATAATAGTCCACATCTTTATACTGCACAGTTTAACTGTCATAAACTAAAGATTACTAGAGAGGTTACTTAACAAATGGCCCAATCAAGGCTGAGTAAAACACAAGCCTCCAAGGACGAAAATGCCGATAAGCGTATTCCAGAGAGTTTGAAATCTTTATTCCGGAGGAGGGTGCCCCCTTCCCCCCCCCCATAAGTATCCTGAAAACTCGTCCTCGTAATACTCTTCCATACCTCAATCGTGTTCAGGGAGCTAAAGGTGAATCTGGTCAACAAGGTGGCGCTGGAATTTCGGGCATCCTTGTAAGTATGACGTTTATCGTATAGATAATAGTTAGCGAAAATTAGTTGGTCGAAAGCGACGTAACTTTTTTATCTTTTAAAAGTCAGACCTAATAATATGACACTTATACAACGGCTTCCAAATCGTTTTGTCGGACCCGGTGGAGAATAAAATGAACATAAATTGTTTTTTTCCAGGGACAAAAAGGTGAACAAGGTGCTGCAGGTTTACCGGGTCTTAAAGGTCCTCAGGTAAATATATAAACCTTCGATTATTCTGCATAACAAAAAGCATGCGGATATTTTGGTCTCAAAACGGTACCAGAAGTATCAGAAGTACATAGAAACGTATAGTGCATTTATTAAGTCCTGTAAGATAACAAACTCTATATGTAATTTTAAACCTTGTCTTAATAGGGTGATGCAGGTTCTCTAGGGGATGCTGGTGACCAAGGTATTCGTGGAAAACAGGTATTCTGTTATTCATACATTTACAAGTACATTCAACTTTCTTGTATCAAATTACAACGTGTTTTTTCTAATTTAGGGTATTTTGGGAGCCGAAGGAATGCCTGGACCACTTGTATGTACAATTCTACAATTATCAAAATCTTCAAGCACAATTCCGTTTAACTAAACTATTCTAAATAACTTTCTTTCCATGATTAGGGTGAACAAGGGCAAAAGGTAAATCCTACTGCTACAGTTATTGGTTATTCTTAGCAGTTGATCTAAAACATACTTTTAATTTTTGCAGGGCGTTCGTGGAGGTCAAGTAAGTAAAACATCGAAGAAATTTATCGAGTTTGTTACCCATCTTTACCGGCACAAGTTTCTACTATTGATGTTAAACTTCATACATAGTTAACAACAATTTTCAACATAACAGTTTATCCACGTCATCTTATAAATACTATAATTTTTAAAACAATGAAACATGAGAAATGGCTGATTTCAAATCAAATGAATATCGTTATCGTGTTGACCGTATTTATATTTATATTTCTCATTTTTAGGGACCACCTGGTCCTCCTGGACCTCCTGGACCACAGACAGATACTTCAGTAAGTGGGGTACAAACTATGTATCGTAATCTTTCTATTTAATTCAACAGGTGGATATATTACAAAAATGAAATAATAATAAATAATACATGCATGCAGTGCTTTGAGAAGTGTTCCACGATCATGGATGGTACTTGTACCGAAATTAATCGAATTTTTTGGTAAATTATTCTTCAGGCTGCAGCCTTCAGTTTTGGAGCATCAACGTCATCAGAGAAAGGACCTCGTTCACCAGATTATTACCGTGGTCGTTTGGTTTGTATTTTTGATTTTTAAAATAATTTTTGAATGAAAGTCTGATATCATTGCCTTTGTCTTACCTTTGCTGATTAACTTTCTTAAAGATTACATGCTATCAGGAAAGTAAGGAAAATATGGTATAAGGAAAATACTCAATCTATATTTTTAGAATGAAATCCTCACAAGTCTCAGAAAGAATATCGTAGATATAGAAAAATATGAATCCGAGGTATATATGCAACAAAATTCTGGCAAACCTAATGTATTCTATTGCCAGCATGGAATTTTATTGGTGAATATCCACATTCCAAAACTATCCACAACTATACCCCCATTGTTTTGTTATGTGTGTAATAATTGCAACTGCGTGAGATTGAATAATTCTAGTCCATTTTATTTCTCCTTTTTAGTCAAAACCATTTCATGCAATCTCCTCCATCATGGGAGATATCGATCTAATCAAAAAACCTGATGGCAGCAGGAAACATCCAGCGTTAACCTGTAAAGATCTTTTTAAGAACTATCCAACATTAAAAAGCGGTGTGTAAAACTATTTTTAATTTAGTTTTTTCTTCATTTTGTTGGGTGAAAAATATTAGAGGCCAATTTGAATTATTTTACCAGAAGTTATAATTAAAAAAGGATGTTTTCTCTTTCTCTACAATTCTCTCTCTTACGGCTTTTCACCAATTCCTGTTCTAGGCAACTATTGGATTGATCCTAACGGAGGAGTCCGCGATGATGCAGTTTTAGCGTTCTGTCACTTTGAAAGTTTGTCATCATGTGTCTTACCAAAGAATTTAGAAGTTTGTAATTTACTTCATTCATTTATAACCATGCACGGGAAATTTTATGTGAATGCGAAGGAGTTGACGCATATCTGAATTATAATTCCGGAGGATATTTGTATTTTCTAGGTCGAGAAGAAAAGCTGGTACGAAGGAACAAATCGTTACATTTGGTTTGCTGAAGAACTGAAGGATGACGATAAAGTAAGACAATGAATTTCTGGCCAGAATGGTTAAATATATACATCAAAGAGTAGCTATTATTGTCCTTCACAAAGCAGATTATCCATGCATGCATGCATGCATGATCATTTTAGGTGATCATTTTAGAAAATAAATGCAAATGTAAATATTGCTAGGTAAAATACATTGTGGATGGAAATCAAATTCGTTTCCTGCAAATGTTCTCAGCCAAAGGATGGCAGAACATTACTTACCATTGTCGTAACTCAGCCGCCTGGAGTGATGAAAATAATAGCAAAACCAAATCAATCAAATTACGTGGAGATAACGGAATGGAATATCATGCCTTAAGTGCGAAGAAATTCAGACCCGTCGTTGTCAAAGATGAATGTAATGTGAGTCCTTTTAGAATAGAGTATCTACTTTATCTCCTCAATTTTTCACGATAACAATTCGCCGAGTTTTACTGAACTTCGTGCAAAAGCAAGAGACTTCTATATATACATTCTTTCAGGTTTGAAAATGAAGAAATAACTCGTATGCTGATATGCATGTATAGAACCAGTCACTTTGTCGGCTGTATTATAAGAAATAGCAATTTTATGATAACACATTCCTGGTTTGTATTTATTTAGAAAAAGGACGGTAAATGGCACGAGACGACGGTTCATGTGTATACGCAGAACACAGCCCGACTTCCAATCCGGGATGTCGCTGTATACGACGTGGGCGAGAAGAGACAACAATTTGGAGTTGAATTTGGTGCGGTTTGTTTTGCTAGTTGAAAATGCATGACACAAACTAGAAGTCGAAAAAACTATTAGGCAGCCTATAGACTACAAACTCTTTGAATGAACAAATAAAATGCGAAAGATGAATATTACACTTAATACTTAGTGAATGAATTTTTATTTTATGTTAGTAAATATGGTATTAGTTGCAGCCAAAGGCAGTGTGTATTTCGCACTTTCCGAGAGACGCTTTCGTTTGCTATTCCTAGCAGAAAGGAAGCATACAGTAGCAGTAGTTGAAACGTTATCTTTTTCACATCAGATGACGTGTAAATGCCATGTTCTTATAGATATAGTAAATAAATATTGACAACATTGTATAATTTTACATATGAGCATATCATGCATGAACTGTAGGAATATTAACACAAAATTCAAAACATTACCATAAATATAAGAGATTTAATTTAGGGTAAAGTACGCCCTTAAGAAAACAAAGAAAACAAAAGGACAAATTACGAAGAATTATTATCAAATATGCATGACTGCATGCGTTGAACCATAGTTATATGAACTATGGTTTGATATAGTTATCGGTGTTTATACGATTTCGAAGTTGTGCCGACAAAATAGTGACTTGTCATATATAGAGAACAGAAAGAATAGCTATAGCTATGTCGAGGCGGTTGAGGTAACAGTTTCCTTTAACTGTGAAATATAAAAAGTCTTTCTTTCGGCTGGCTAATGTCGAATAGTAGCGATGCAGAGACTCAGATTGGATGAAGCATAATATCCTGTCACTATAAAGATTAAAGTCTGGGTGATATGGCAAAGTATGGAGTTGGCGAGTGAGTTTACCACGCAAGTATAATCAGGTAAATATTGTATGCACTTTGGGCCATAGCTAGGACGCTTGAATAGAAGGAGTGAATATTTATGTCTAGTCTTATGCCCGGGTTAATTTTTACAGAAGGCGTTCGCTACTGATTTGCATGCACATGCACATGATAAATAAAATTAATATTCATCTTCCTCTGAGATCATGCCAAAGCGTTGTCAATTATTGGATAACAAAATAGTCGAACGAGGTCGAGCTTGTCTATTATTATTTTGGAAACTATTATGGAAATTGTTAGAATGACTATCGCGAATGAATAATTTTACCTCAAAACTGAGAGGATATTTAAGTATTCATTTAATGCCATTCATTCAAGTGATTTCATATGCCCTGGATATGTAATACGTGCTTATATTTACAATAACATTGAAAATTTTAGAAGGAACGACTGTAGCGCAGTAAAGCAGAGTCTGAACGCGAATCAGAACGATCTGATAGTTCTGCCAAGCTTAGGTTATCATCGCTGTTGTTATCTTCAAATAATAAATAATTTACTTTAGACCTTCTTGACTGCCATGTTGAGGTGTCGAGTGGTGCATCCAGTTCATGCCACATTTCAATATACTCGCTGCTCTTTTTAATAATTTCCCATTGCTCAGAAGTACTCGCTTTACCGTCAAGTCCAAAATATATTTGACCAATGACCTGTTTTTTTCTGAACTTAGCAACATGTTTTACAGTTAAAACTAGTTGAGTGTCTCGCATCAGATTTTCACCAGGAACTTGAACACTGAACGTTTTTCTAAACTTTGGATAGAGCGTTCTTTTCTCTACTTTGGTTCGTTTTTTAAGAACAAGAAAGGAATTGATGTACACCTGTATTTTCACGTAAGGACCTGAAAAACAGCAAGGACGTACACTATATCGTATTTAAAAGATTAGAAATTAACACTTGCACGTGGACCAATAATGAGAACGTAATGATATGCAAACAGAGGGAATCAACCTCTAGGAGAAAAATTCAGTCATTGTTTTGTCGATGTATTTTGACTTACTTGACGTACGTTTATCCTGGTCCATTATTTTGAGGCATGAAGCTTCCTGAATTGTAACGTCGAGTGTTTGTTTATCCTTCTTCCAGCGTAAACCAACCAGAATCTCCCCAAATGACTGGGAATTCTTAAGTTAAAAAAGGTTAGTTTGCATTATTCATGAGTAAGAAAGGTTTTCAAGATAAATTAAATATTTTGTGACAATTCTTCTGTATAATTGGTTGTCATTAATGGATGAAATGCAACAGAGCATCAATTTCGTGCATATCAAATTATTTATTTATATCGTATATAAGCAACTGCAGGTGATCAGAACTTACATCTTCTTCAAACCTCAGATTCTCCTTATAAATTCTTTCAGCCCCAGTTGCCAAGAAATTTCCATCGATATTTACCCTCGCACTTCCAATAAGATCATGAGCGGAAAGATGATTGATGTCGTAGACACAGAGTAGTAATGATTGTCCTTGCAACTCTTCGATTGGTATTTGATAATTAATGGTATCATTAAAGAGGGGAGAAATACTATTTCGCGCATAGCGTGTTTGGGCTTTAGCTTCATATTTCTGCGAAAACGGTTGTAGTTCGACGACAACGTAGGTAAATGACACATTACTGGATGATATTAGTGGAAAGTCCTCTCCTCGTAATACATTCACGTTCAATTGTGATCTAAAAACATTACAATTATGCAAAGTTACGTGCCATGAAATGAGTGGAAAAACTGACATATTCATGATAAAATTCGGAATTTCTTGAGACAGTTCAATGCCCTAATCAATATTTACGTGTTAAACAAAGTGTAAAACCATAAAAATATTTTATATACCTTCGTTTGTCATATTTTAGTGAGAAATGAATTATCCCAAGTTCTTTCTAGCAAGAAGAAAAAGACTAGGTGTGATATTTCGTATATGCCATGACCAAAAATGATCGCAAAATAAAATATAGATAAGATTATAAAATTACAATTTCCTTCTGCTTGTTTTGTTTTGGCTGCACTGCAGACTTTCTCCAACGAGGTAAAGGATATTCATCGTGTGACATGGACAATTCATGATTTGCTAAACCACTTTTCGCTTGCTGTTTTTTATCTTTTCTGCAACAGCATCGTCGACAGCAACAAAAAGTTACAATTAATAAAATTACGATCAGGAAACTAGAAATTCCCAATGCAAGTGATTGGTGTTCGTCAAACCATTTATTCCATTTCGCTAGGGAAAAAAATGAAAGTTTTAAACAAAAAATAATCTGGACGGGGGAAGCAATTTAGAAATTTTGCCATTCTAGGAAATGAAAAGGTCTTAATGATTATAATTTCGATTTTATATAATTTTAGATTATCTGAAAGTAATTATACGTTGTTCGGGTCTAATGGTTATAAGCCAATCAAATTGCTATCTCAAGGATCCATTCTGGGTACAATTCCGAGATAAGTAAACATCATTTTCATTGTACAATATACGATGTCCTTCATGTATACGATTTCATATACATGGACTAACATTATTAACAGTCGTATCAGCGTATAAAAGTGGTAAAGGCTGTAAACTACATTAATTTGATGGAACATGTACCTGAAAATTAAGTTATTGAACATATCTATATAACAAATTTTAGCTAAACTATAAATACTGCATGGTCGGCCGAGCTTTGTGAGAGTTTCAGACACAAATAAATGTCACATTGCTTCGACCATGCATATCAGCATATAATTTGTACTTTTTTTGTTTTGTTTACGATAAATTGGTTAAAAAATCTGAAACTGAGTTTCTTGCTCTTGGGCTTGGCTACAATATTAAAAAACTAAAATTATAAATGATTGACGATTTTGCGGGAGCCAAAGAAAATATCTGGTGTATAGGCGTCTTACACGTTCTCATTATTAAGGAAAGATAATCAATAATGAACTTTTTCCAGACAAATTCGATAACTTATTTATGCGAGTTGTACAAATACTTTAATTTTGAATTTATACACAGAGAAAGCATGTTAGCCTTATATTAGGAATGGTGGATGTACTATATATATAGTACTATCCAAATTATTTGATTTCCTTAAAAAGTAGTTTTACGCTATAAAATATGCGAATATGCTCAGTGTTTCTTACTGCATGTATTATATACTACTACTAATGTTATCTATAATGGCTGATCCTCAATATAAGGAGACTAGCCCAAAACGACTTGGGCTATGACCACAAACAAATATATTTATAAAACTAAATAAGTAGTCGATTTTTAACCCAAATTAAGCGATCAGATTCCTCAGAAATAGTGTCTTCACCTTATAACTCATTTAAAATTAAAACACGCGTATGACTAGTCAGTGCCTCTAGCTCTCTTACGCTCTTTATAGAACTTCAAATAATTTATAGAACTTTGAACAAAACGTACTTTCTTTTTTATGGTATAATTGGTCATATAATTACTCTAAAGAAACTCAGATGAAATACATTTTAAAAAAGAAGTAAATTTGATGAAATCATTTTTATGAGGGAAGTCATGCATGCAGGTGCATGTAAAGGAAGAAAAGTTAGTTGTATTTATTACTGCAGTATAATTTCGACCACGCACATGCAAATACAGTTTTTAATTTCACCACAGAGGCGTGTTGGCGTTATTGCACATGCAATATTTAGTCAAGTTTATGTCTAATACTTTTAATTTAATATTTTCTACCTTTTTTCATTGCAACATAGTGTAAATTTACAATAATATTTTTACCTCTCTGCCTCCAACATATATATTTTTTAATAAGTAACCGAATTAATTATTTTTAAGCGATTTAATATGTCATAACGCCACAATTCATATTTCGTTACTAGAGTTCCTCGTATACAACATTTTCGGCATTACGCTTATACTGATGTCATTCAATCAATTATTTTATGAAATGAAACTTTTACACGTTCATCTCCAGCACATACGTAAGTCGTTCAGAGAACAAGCAATCATGATTGTAATATAAGATGGTCATATATATGATCTGTGATCGATCATTGCCACTGGACGGGGCAGTTAATGCTTTGAAGAAAATAGTATGATGCCATCGCATGAAATAAGCGGAATTTTTCAGATCCGTCCCACAGGAGGGAAATGGTTGAATTATACTGGTATAGAAATTTGTGATAAACATATTGGTATATGCACTTTGCTCTACAGCTAGTATTTGCTACGAAAGAAAATTAGTCAAGCTTTGCTGTAACGCAACCATGCAGATGCGGTGATAGTTCTCCGCAGGACTACAGAGCGATAAAAAAATATCTAAACCCTCTTAAGCATGCAAGGAATAAGATTATTAGTATAGCCAACGTATGGCCAAAGAATACTTGAGGCATACATATCAGGCTTACTACTCGTACATATATGAACGAACGATCAATAGCTTTTGAACGAAAGGTTGAGAACTAGAATACCAAGTTATTGGGCGTTGGATTTGTAAATATCTCACATTGATTATTCTATGTTTATAAATATTCACTGTATGATTCAAATGAAACTATCACAAAATAATGTCTATCTCTTTTTTAAGTATTTTGAATTTATGTATCGACTATAGATAGACTTTTAGACAGTGTATGTACATGTATATATATAAATATAAATATAACTCGGGTGCAAACGCAAATACATACGCACCTTCTGTTGGAATAGACGTCGTAGAATGTACATAAACGGATGATGATCTCCAAGGGTAAACAACTGGCGTTTGCTTACGAGTTAAATAAGAAATTTTATGGTTTTGTAACCTTCTGCTATAGTTATCCATCGTTTTCATCATAACTGTTCTGTTCTAAATTTCCCTTTGCCTCATAGAACGCTAAAAATCAGATTCCTCCATTCCCAGATTGTATCAAATTTTCATCAGATGCATCGTCTAGACTAACACAAGCTGTCATTCATTATCCCCGGCCATTTTATAAGAATCTCAACAAAGGATTCTGAGGCTTGAGCTCGCAGTGTTTCAACAACACAATCCAAAGATTCAGCTGTTCTTGAAATAGACACTGTTATATCTTGTAAGAACTTTCAAACCCGTAGGCATTTGGATATATGTCAAACTTGAATATTAATGACGTACAGCTGATTAAGAGATAATGCCAAGGTATATGCAAATGTAAAACAACAAATTCTGGACAAAACGTCTGTGAAAACAATAAGTTTCATTAGGTTCAATCAAGCTGTAATTAGCCGCTCGAGAGCTGCATGACTACAAAAAGTGTTGTCTGCCTTCAGTCTTCACCTTTGAAAAAAATATACAACAGAAGTATCACAATTTTAAAATGATTACAGAATATTGTTTGACATAAAAGTGTTTTAGAAAGAGAGTGTCTGTTTTTTAATCGTTTCGTGATAGAAACATGTTTTTAAGAGTTAACTAGGAAAATGAAATAACTGACCAAAACTATTTGTGGCATTGTGGGCAGATTTCGGCACAGTTTTTTCCAGTTTTTAATTTTAGAAAAAGACTATAATTAACTTTAACGTGGGTTGGTTGTATGCAATTGCCTTGTATATGCATACTGTAATTGGATGAAACTTGAGTCATAAAATTTATTACATAAAAATTGTATTTTCGGTATGGTAATTGTATTTTAGGAGCGTTTAAAGATCTTGGGGAAATGGAAAGGCCTGCGAACAATTATTTTTGAATGTAGTTTTTCGAGGGTGGTCCTATACCTGCGATTAGATCAGTTAAGTTTGATTGACAGTTTAATATTCAAAACTTTCAATTTCTTCACGACCTTCATCGGTCGTTGGACGTTCAGAAGAAGCGACTAGCAACCAAGCTTATTAATTCAACAGATTTCGTATATTATTTGGTATGTTTTTTCAGTTAAATTCAAAGTTTTTGTTGAATACAGTTTCAGTACGAGAATTTTAATATCTTTGACAGTAATCGGGTCAGTTTAAGGCCTAATAACGCCTTGATTCATTAATTGATTCATTGACGGTAATTTTGAAATAGGAAGTGTTTCGGATACAAACAAATAACACCCACTAGTAATCAGGGACGTGGCCACTGCCTAAGGCCAGTGGCCATGGCGACGCCAGTCTACCCGACGCCAGTCTATTCGACCATGCTCGAGTACACTGAAAAATGGTATATTCGACCATGCTCGAGTACACCGAAAAATGGTATATTCGACCATGCTCGAGTACACTGAGTTTATACTGGAGTTCACTGCATTTATCTTCAATTTTTCACAGCTGGTCAGTTCTGGTTCCAGATAGAGAAGTGAGAAAAGTTGACTAGTTGAGTCCCCCCCCCGTATCCTCACCACTGAACTTTTAAGAAAAATCCAATATGGCGTCGTAATATGTCGTGAAATACATGTGTGTTTGGGGATACACATCACATATTTGTGCATCAAGTAGGTCGTAAGGACAAAGAGATAAAACAGTTATGTCATGAAAAAAACCTCCAACTTAAGGAGGGAATTTGTAAGTAGAAAACCGCTGTTTTCAAGTTGTAAAAGCAGTTCTACTGAAAATGATATAAATCCTCGTGTTGATGGCAAAGTTACAGCTAATGAGCCAACAGTTCAACCGCACCCAAAAAGGTCAAAATTTGATCATTTCGCTTCTGGGACAACAAGATTTGAAAAAAGAGAAGAGATCAGTCAATTAAACTCTGGAGCTGGTGTCCAAATAGAAACCGGTGTCCAAATAGAAACCGGCGTCCATAACCAGGACAAAGTAAACACAGAAGGAACTCTCAATGTGAGAAGAAAAAGATCAAACAAGCGACCACTTTCAAAAGATCAAGCTGAATTAGGAGAGTGCATTATTAAGAAAGATATTTTAGATGATACATTGTTATCTGTTAATGAGAATAAAGACAACAATACGAATATAGTGATTGGTTTGGAGGAGACATGTGAATCAAACTCATTTACTTCACTTTTTACATCATCAGAATCAAGTACTCCAATAGAAACACAGAAAAGTAGTCTTGAGAATTCTGTAGTTTTTTCATCACAAAGTATTGTTACTTCAAATTGTAGTGAAAATTCTGTGGCAGATTTTTTTGATGATCAAGATGTAGCAGAGCTAGATCTTAGTGCAATCATTTCATCATATAATTCTCAAAAAAAACGCGAAAATGAAAGGTCGTCACATCAAGATGCATACAATCAACTGAAATTGGAAGAAAATGAATGTGTTTCTGTCACCTGCGAACATACAAAGGAAGTTCTAAGAACAAATAATGCCTCAAGCAACCCACTGCAACAAGTAAAGACTGATAATGCAAGTTATGACACTACTGATCATAATGATGGGATAAAGAATATGGAAGAACAATTTTATGGTTTGCCCCAAAGTGTGGGAAGCCTCATTAAGAAATATAAAGGAATTGAGAAATTATATGGTATGAGTAATCCAAAAGACTAGATTAACTGAAAAAATGCAATGCACCAATGCTATTACCAGTATACGCTCATTTTTACCAAATGTGAACAATTCTTTAACACCAGATTACCTTTCGTAATGTCACATTACAAAATAGATTGCAAGGTTCAAGGGTGGTAATATAATATATATAATACTAGCACTGGATAAATATTCCTGCCCTTGGTTTGTGTTAAATATCCACCACATCATTTACATCCCATCCATTAAATGTATAGTATCACTTTATGAATATAGATTGATCACTTTTTTCTAGACTGGCAAAATGACTGTCTGAATTTACCAGCAGTTCAAAATAGAAAGAATCTTATCTACTCCCTCCCAACAAGTGGAGGGAAAACTTTAGTTGCTGAGATACTGATAATGAAAGAACTGTTGTGCTGTCAAAAAGATGCAATTCTTATTCTCCCTTTTGTTTCTATTGTGCAAGAAAAGGTAACTAATTGATATGATGATGACAATTAATTTAACAATCAAATATTATTTTATCTTTAACACCACTCTAAATGTAAAAGTGCTAACTCTTTTTTAAGGTGAGAGATATGTCACTTTTTGCAGTTGATCTGGATTTTGTAGTTGAGGAATATGCCGCGAGTAAAGGAAAATACCCTCCAAGAAAACGAAGAAAAAAGAAATCTTTGTATATAGCAACAATTGAAAAGGTAGGTAATTTCATTTAACCTGAATAGAGAGTGTTTATGTATTTGAGAGCAGCAGTGAAATTCAATTATTTTTATTGATTGTTCGTGTTATGTAAGCATCAGGGTGATGAACATTCACCTGTGTTTCATTTAATGTTTTAAAGGCTAATGGACTGGTGAACAGCTTAATTGAAGAGAACAGAATTTTTGAAGTTGGTCTGGTAGTAATAGATGAGGTACTGTAGAAATAAAGGAATTAGTTCTGCAAGTTACCCAAGAATATATATATATATATATATATATATATATATATATATATATATATATATATACAGTATATCATAGGTATACATGTAATACCATCCTTTAAAAACCTGTTTTCTATTTCAATCCATATCACTGCAAAATATTGTTTTCTTGGTATTTGGCTACTGGCTAGAGTCATAGTTATAATAGAAAATGTCTTAAAATGATCTCATTTTCAGCTACATATGTTGGGAGAAGGTGGTCATAGAGGGGCAACATTGGAAATGTGTCTTGCTAAGATCTTATTTTGTTCTGGTAAGAGAAACATTTCAATAAATTGTTCCTTTTATTTAAAATCTTGCTCCATTCTCTTGTGAAGACCCTTTGCATGTGAACATGGTTGAGGTGTAGTATTTTCTCTTTCATGTCACTGTCTGTATCTAGGTAATACACAGATCATTGGTATGAGTGCAACCCTGAATAATATTGGTGATTTGCAAAAGTTTCTCAATGCTGATATATACACAAATGATTTTAGACCTGTGAGTTTTACTATTTATATCTATTATAAAAATAATAATACTTACTGGTAATAATAATTTGTATATATATAATCATAATATAATTGGTTATGAAAATATTTGTATTTCTATTCCTTATTAATCATACAAATCAACAATGAATGTCTTCACTTGTTCTGGTAATCTCTTCACTCATTTCTGAGAAAGACAGAGCTCATGAATCTTAGTTTTGTAAATTTTATAATATTGTAAAAAGCCTCTATTGTATTCTGTCAACACTCCCGCATTTCCATTGTCTATCATCACACCATAAATGTTAAATAATGTCGTTTATCTCAGGTTGAACTAAAGGAATATATTAAAGTTGAAACGGAAATATTTGAAATAAAGAATGATAAAATTGGTCGCCATGAAGAGATACCGCTACGTCGTTCAAGAAAAGTGAATCATAAAGTAATTATCAATCTTTTTTACAGCACGTGTGTCTGCCTGCATGTCTATATTTTCGCAGAACTCTTTACAGATTCATTATACTGTAACCTCCGTAAAAAGAGTCGTCTTAGAAAGTCAAAGTTTTTTTCTTGACTTGGAACTTATATGACTTTTTTGTTATGTTTCCAGTCAGCTGAGCCATCAATATCAGGAAATGATCCGGATCATCTCAGCGTTCTGGTCCAAGAAGTAATTCCAAAATATTCGTGTTTGCTTTTCTGTGCAACAAAGATAAGCTGTGAAAATGTTGCTAAACTTCTAGCACGAACTCTGTCTGGGTAGAGTATTACATAATGGCTTTGAATCTTATTTACGGGATGTCTGAGATTTTGGAATCATGCAGTACGAAGAAAATAGAACATTTTATACTGCAATTTATTTCAGGAAAAGATGGCGGGTGCTCTCCTAGTTTTTAACAGTAAAATTGTATTTTTAGAGAACTTAAAAAACACAAGGTGTCGGAGAAACACGAGTTATTACGTGCATTAAAAAGTAATGCAGACGGAATTTGTCCTGTTTTGCGTCGAGTCATACCCTATGGTATCGCGTACCATCACGGAGGACTTACAATGGACGAACGCAAGTTAATTGAAGCAGCGTACAGTCAAGGAACTCTTTGTCTTCTTACCTGCACCTCAACCTTAGCTGCTGGGGTAAACTTGCCTGCTAAAAGGTGCATAAAGAGTTTTTGGTTACAAATAGAAACGATTAGAATAGAGTTACGGGCAGTTGCGCTGCTCGTGTATTATTTCATTAGAGGAGTCTCTATGATGGATTTTTAATGGATGAACGTTGTCCTAAAATGTTATTGCATGTCTTTGTCTTTTATAGAGTCATCTTACGCAGTCCTTATATCGGAAGAAATGTAATTAGCAGAAGTCAGTATAAACAGATGATTGGTCGTGCTGGTAGAGCTGGTATTGATACGTCAGGAGAAAGTATCATGATTTTGGACAAGAGAGATAAGCAGAAGGTATCGTAGTTGCATGCTGTATACTCTTTATATTACAGTAGCCTCTACCTGCACTGCATGGCGTCAATGGTATATAGAGAAGTGAATAATAGTAAAAGTTATGATTATTTTGATCAAAATTTATGCAAAATTTCACAAAGTACAAAATTATCAACCCACGCATAGATGAAATTGTATCAATTATCATACGTTTTATTCCATTCCTATCAGAGGGGCCACGCACAGTCTTGTGTTGCTCTTTACAGGAAATGGTAGATTAATGATGTCCATGTTTCCTGTCTTGCTTTGTAACAGAAAACAGACAAGACCTCATCTTGGACAAACAAAATAATATAATAAGATAAAATAATACATTATATTTTGTTACTAGCTGTTAATTGGTATAAAAAGTGAAAAAGTATATCATAAAAAAGGAATATTATTTAGGTTATGAACTTGATCAAAGCACCTTTGGAGTCTTGCCACAGCAGTTTGTTGCATACCAACGGTCAGGGGCTTCGATCTCTAGTCTTGTCTCTCATTGGACTGAAGGTGAACAATTATTGCATAACAATTTCCTCCCGTAAACTCAAATCACAAAGGAAAATACCAAGCATATGGCCGGCAACAGTTTTCTACAGCACGCTAAATTTCTATATTATTCTTTCATCATTGATCGAGGTGTGCAACTCAATGGAAGATGTAAATAAAATCATCGCACGAACGTTATTTGCTGTCCAGAATAACGTTCAGGGAAGCAACATATTGGTGAAAAAAGTTGATGAAAATGTTGATGCACTGGTAAAGCTGAACCTTGTCAGAAAGTGGAAATTAAGTCAAGATGGAAAGACAGTGACAATGCTGGAAACTACAGCTCTTGGAAGGGCGGCATTTAAAGGTATGTACATCACTTTTGGTCTTCCGAGGAAAGGTCATAGTAAATTATCGTATAATATTCATGAAATATTCGCAATGTCCAATATTTTTTAAGAATATAATGATGATTTCGTATTTGTTTTGTTGTATAGGATGTGTCGACGTGGATCGTAGTACTTTTATCTACGACGAAGTGAAACGTGCCCAAGGAAATCTTGTGTTGACCAATGATTTACATTTATTGTATCTGGTAACTACACCAGAAATGATAACAGATATTAGACCAAATTACCAAACTTATTTTAAACAGGTTAGGCGGTAATGAAATCGTTAAAATATTGTGGTATCGCGTGTGTATTTATAGAGGTGACCATCGAGTATATCTACAACCCAGTTATAACCATGCTTGACAAAATAGGAGATAATAGATCTTATGTATATAGTGTGTAGTAGAATTTTATCGTTGAGCTAACATCCACGATCACTGCATGCATTAGATTGAATGTATATCTGCGTTGATGATATTTTTCTTTGCTACAAGGTGGAAAAGCTCGATAAAGGCGAACAAGATGCATGTGATTTTATTGGAGTATCCAAGGCATGTCTCGCATCGCAAATATCATTTTCTGGATCGATCAAGGTATATACTACAGCAGGTAGATACTTTGCGTGTTTTGGTAGAAATCGGCAAAGAGAACATCATGAAAACATGGGTAAACATGCGTGCAAACGTGCGTAAAAAAACGTGCAAAACCACACTGAAATCATTTTATTTAAGTCTTCTTCGTGTATTTTTTATTTCAGAATATGTTGTAAATAACGATATATATCATAATTTCAACGTAGAATGAAGCTGTTGTCAAAAGATTTTATTTGACGTTAATGCTGTACAAAATCATCAATGGTAGCAGTATTTGGGATGTCTCGGAGATATTTCAACAACCACGTGGCTTTATTCAAAGTTTGTTTACGTCATCTACGTCGTTTGCATCGTGCCTGGTCCATTTTACCAACGTATGATCATTTTTTTTAAAACCACTAAACTATCTGTCATTCACAAAATTATTTTAATTTTTAAAGTCCAAACCTTAATTAGCTATGCATGCATGCAGCTTATAATTATAAAAGGTGTTTACGAAGTTCCTGAAATTTGACCTTGTATAACATTAGCAGCCATACCCTTTTCTTTTCAGCAAATTGTCTAGGCTATTTATTGCACAAATATTTTTCGAAGCTGAAATATGTATTTTTAATTTAAAGCAAGTTTAAGCCTAATTTATCTTCCACATTTACTGACCTCAGCTGGAATTTTTATTTTATGTTCCTTGTGGATTTATTTTGAATTATATCTTGTTAAAGGAGCTACCTGAGTTTCAAAATGTTAAGCTTCTGTTGGAAACAATTGTCGATAAACTTTCGTACACCGCCGCCTTAGAGCTTGTACCATTGATGCAGATACCTGGTGTTAAAAAGGTTATATTCTCTGATTTTTAAGACGACGAGAATAAAGTTTATTTCACGTTTTAGAATAGACTAACGGAAGATTGAAAAAAGAGATTAATTTCGCCAGATCATCTTCAGCTATTTAAAGTCTTCGCATCTTTTTTAGAATCGTGCAAAGCAGTTGTTTGCCGCTGGCTGTCGTAATTTACAGTTAGTTGCAAAAGCTGACCCAGAAATCCTGGTAAAAGAAATCGAGCACTTATCAAGAACGCAGGCTATACTTCTTGTATCATCTGCTAAGGTATTGTTATATTGTTTGTAATTGTCGATGTTTTCAATAACACAATCATTTCAGTAAACCATGCATGTAAAATAGAAAATATTAAAACAACGCTACCTGAAGATCTATTTTTTATATAAAGATGTTGTTGAAGGAGAAGGTAGAAGCTTTAGAAGAGGAAGCGGAAAATTTAAGAATAAAACTATGATTTAAAACTAATGTTTGTGCAATGCTTAATAATAAATAAATAATTGTAATATAAATATCAGTCGTTATAAAAAGAATAATTGACAATAATATTTTATTGTATATTGATAAAATATTATAAGAGTAATGATGTGATAAGAAACTAAGAATAAAAAAATTACTCCAAATCTTTTCTTTCCGGTTTGGTAATTTGCTGAAAGTGGAAAATGAAAGGAAATATTAAGTCAAGACATTATCACACTCAGTTATCCAGGCAAGGTATACGTTACATGGTACTTATAGGTCGCAAGTCGTAAGGAAAATTGCATAGTGTAACAGCGCCTTAAATCACGTTAATCAGTTTTATGTAACTGAATAAAGTGGCGAGCCTTCCTGGTTGCGAATATAATAATATACTGACCTTATGTTTAAGATATGAAAGTATATTAACCCAACAAAAGCCAATGATTGAAATGTACGCCATTCGAAACCGTGAATGGACGAATGCAAAATTTACTGCCTGTTAAAAACACCAAAGCTTTTCTGACAGAGTTCATGAAATAAAGAAAACCCTGCATTTGATTTAGCAATAAAATTTTAACTCGTTTTTACCTGCGCAAGAGGCCAGATAAAGAGACTTCTCTGAAAAAAAGAACCTCACGTCATTTCAAAAGTTGTTTCGGGGCGTAAATCTGGTAATAACTAAAGCTTCTTGGGGTTTATTCATAACTATGGTTTATTGTACATTATTCAACAACGTTAACTATGGAAAGCCATTACTGCCAAAAGTCGATTAAGTTTTGGAAACTAGTTCAAATACAGATTAAAGGATCATAACGACGAAACGACATGGTTCAAATTCTCGCTAGCGAGTTTCACCAATATCTCGCTAGCGAGTTCTAAAAAATTAATTTCTCGCTAGCGAGTTTCACAAAAATCTCGCTAGCGAGTTTCAGAAAAATCTCGCTAGCGAGTTTTACAAATTCTCGCTAGCGAGTTTTACAAATTCTCGCTAGCGAGTTTTACAAATTCTCGCTAGCGAGTTTATCACAATTCTCGCTAGCGAGTTTAACCAATAATTATTTCTCGCTGGCGAGTTTGAGAATTTCACCACTGTCCATTTCATCTACACTAAATGGCGCTCATCACCGATGGCGGCCACTGCCCAATACAGTGTGGGCGCACGTCTTTTGCCGCCATTTTGCTGAATGTGACAACCTCGGGCAGTGAACTCACCTCGCGTTCATCAATATTTATATTTGCTTGTAGTAATGAATCCAATCGTGCGACAAATTCTAGATAACATCGACCATTTAAGTCAACAACTTAGAGGTAACTCAGCTAGTTCCATATCAACAAACGGAAACGAAAGCGCAGTCCCAGGCAGAACTGGAGGAAACGTATCCGGAAGCGAAGTAAACCGAGTAAGGCAAACCTAAATTATTATTATTAAAAAAATTATTTAGATGTAAGGAACAAAAATATCAAGCATTAATTAATGAGCAGCGTAAAATGTATGAAAAAGTAATATTCGTTAATATGTCTATTAGTACATTAGGTGTGTTTTCTAAACCAGCATTAGGTTTCATGGATATGCTGAAAGATCTAGAAGTTGATAGTCAATGCAGAAAATATCTTGTTAGAAAAATTATGAACATTTGTATAAGGTCTTCCTATTATATATTCTGTAAACGTAACAAAGAATGGAATAACCCACAACTTATATCATACTAATACATTTAATCTGTAAATACAACATGTAACCAATTCAAGTAGACACTAGTAAACTACCTGTCAAAGAGAGGTTTACCTTTGTAATTTCTATCATAAAAAAAATATCAATAAAGTTTTCATTTATTATTATTATTATTATTATTATTATTTTATTATTATATTATTATTATTATTATTATTATTATTATTATTATTATTATTATTATTATTATTATTATTATTATTATTATTATTATTATTATTACTATTATTATTATTATTATTATTATTATTATTATTATTATTATTATTATTATTATTATTATTATTATTATTATTATATTATTATTATTATTATTATTATATATTTTATATCAAACACTAGCACCATAATCATAAATCATAAATAATATTAATCATAAATATATGTACAATTTGTAAAAATGAACTCCAAGCATGGCATTACTGTTGTTGCAATGAAAGTGTTAATGAATATTGCATCAATTCATTACATAACGTTGATCAATACATTTGCTTAAAAAGTTGCTCAACTTCCTGTTAACTGGCATGCTTGTTCCTAATTGGTCGATCAGTTGCAGAAACAAAAAGCCATCGGTCAATTTGCATCTAAAAGAAATTGGTTCAATTTTTTCAACGAATGTTTTGATCAACTTTATGGGTAATGAATTAATGCAATATTTTATCAACACTTCCATCGCAACAACAGTAATAATTCGTTACATAACAGTGATTTTCATCAGTAATTTTGCAGCAGTGTTTATGTTGGATTTTCCTTCTCTTTTGCCTTTCCTACCTGTTAACTGTATATAATATATATGATCTTCACATGTGTGCTGTAGGTGGCCATAGTGTCTCCAATGAAGTCTCTCAATTGTTTGGGACAAGAGAGCAACAAGCAGTAACAATAATTCAACAAGAGAAGGGGCAGGGAACAGTTCTAGTTCAGCTGTTGGAACTCCACGCTTTCAACTAGCCCATAACTTTGGTCGCCGAAGAAATTCTGGGAAAAAAAAGGATAAACCCATTGTAGGCCCGTTCTTAAAAGATGTTGTTTTACTCAGTGGTCCACTTGATGACAAAGTACCACGCCAAGGAACAAGAGTTTGGCTGATGGAAAACAAGCATATATTGTCTGGTGTTGGTGTACAGTTTCAAAAAGAATGGGATAACCACACATTGCTATCCTTTATCAAGAGCTTATTTCCTTCTAAACTGATCGAAGTGGATATTGAAATTCTGATGCCAGTTCATTTTAAACTGGTTCCACCTACTCTAGCTCCAGGTCAAGCATTGACTGGGTACATTGTCCAAAAGATTTTTAAAGATAAACCCATATATGTCCGTCCTGCCACACAAATTATTCAACTGAGCCTGGACGATTCGGAGCCTGATTTAAAGAGAGATAGACTTGATGATCAAGAGTTTGAGGTAATTTTAGCCTTTGAGGACGTCATGCATTCATGTATGCATGATCAAGAGAACCTGTGATGTTTGCATTGCCTTTTGGCGCAATAAATTCTTTGTTAAGTATGCATTGTTCTTCTAATATGCTGTAATTGATTGTAAAATATTTCTCTAGGAATATGCCATGCATTCATCATGGGGTGATGACGCCCCTGCTGTTGAACCAGAATCATCAAGCGTAATATCAGGTAGAATGTTGTTTAATTTTGGTTAGAATACTCTACGATTTATTATGTAAATGTAAAATAGTTTATATTTGAGTAATAACTTTTTTGCTTCTAAGAAATTCCAAATGAGGTGGAAGTGATAGCTTCACACCCTAAACCAGAGGCTGAATTGGAAGAAATGGGAACACCTTCTAGCAGAGAATGCTTGAGCTTGCATGATGCTGCTGCATTTGAAGAAGTTAGCGAAAGTGCTGCATTGTCTGTGCCTACACCAAGTAGCCCAATAGTTGAAGTGATATGTGTTGATGAATCCTCTACTATAGATGAAGTTGCAAAAAAGTGCATTGATTATTGCAAAAAGAGGAAGATTGAAGATCCTATAGAAATACTCAGAGTTCTCCAGCAGTTCATCGTTACAGGTCGCCAACTGGACATTCAAGATCCTAGCGATTGCTTGGAAGGCGATACTAATTACATATTGGTTAATCGCCAGAATGTCCTAGCTAGTGCAATGGAAGAGATTGAGCCATTAATGAATCCAAGACTAACGCTTGAAGTGTGTTTCTATGGAGAAGTTGCCGCTGACATGGGTGGGCCACGACGAGAGTTTTTCCGCCTCTGTTTGCAAGAAATTAAGAGTAGGTATTTCGATGATGGCTTAAAAGAGCACCTGGCTAATGAATACACTACAGTTGGGCTCATCATGGCGCTGAGTATTCTTCAAAATGGCGCAGTACCAAGATTCTTGTCCCCAAATGACCTTCAAGACCTTTTCACCGCAGAAAAGCCTTCAACTTGTTTGGAAAACCTCCGCTGTGGTTTCGCTAAACTTGGTCTCCATCAAATTGGAAAAGCTCTGCCAACATTTTTGTTTCTTCTTCACCCATCGGAAGCAAAGCATTTATCAAGACGGATGCTCCTTCATATTCTTTCGCCCAAGTTCTCTGGAGCGAGGCTCAAATGCCCGCACGGACGAGAACATTGTCTATCAGGCATTCCTCAAGTATGTACAAGCAACTGCAAGTGGCAGAAGAGGATCAACTTCTCTCAACCACATCCTACAATTCGTGACTGGTGCAGATGAAGAGCCTCCGCTTGGATTTTGTCCGCCACCTAGTATTATATTCGTATCGGTGGACAATGACAATCTTTGGGAGTTTGTACCAACAGTCAATTCATGCGCAAACATTTTGCGTTTGCCACGATGCGTTTCAGGCAGATATCCACTACCTGATGAAGAAAAATTGTTTGAACTCTATGACACCGCCTTTGCCAATGCATACTTTGGACGAATGTAGGAAAGTGTTCTTTCGCTTACATTAAGACACCGTGCAATTTTGCTCCAGGTCATGCCTGTTTCACGAAGATGTTCGAGCTGCTGAGATGTAATCACGAATTTAGGACGGCCAGATGTTTTTTCTATAGGTAAACAATAGCTTGAATTCGGTAACGCTGACTCTACTGATGAAATTCGTTCCTTTACCATCTCCCACTTTGAATAGGCAAAATCGTAGAACATTTTCAATAAATTAACTACATGAGCAGATTGCGGATGCTGCTCATTTTCATCATTTTCGCAGGCACAAATAATGCCATTTAATACAGTGATAAAATTTTCCAACCTTCTTTCCAAATGCTCGGTCAATAAGTTATCTGTAACGCTATCCAAATGTTCCATCAAATCGCTAAAATCTCGAAAAAAAGCTTCCAGTTCTTCCCTGTCGGACGCCATGATACATTAAAAGGAAGCTCCGAGAGACAAAGTCAAAATTCGACGAATTTTAAAATATAACGTAAACGAATTTTGATAAACTCCCTACCAAGAAATGAGGCTTAACCTTGTGAAACTCGCTAGCGAGAATTGTGATAAACTCGCTAGCGAGAATTTGTAAAACTCGCTAGCGAGAATTTGTAAAACTCGCTAGCGAGAATTTGTAAAACTCGCTAGCGAGATTTTTCTGAAACTCGCTAGCGAGATTTTTGTGAAACTCGCTAGCGAGAAATTAATTTTTTAGAACTCGCTAGCGAGATATTGGTGAAACTCGCTAGCGAGAATTTGAACCATGTCGTTTCGTCGTTATGATCCTTTAATCTGTATTTGAACTAGTTTCCAAAACTTAATCGACTTTTGGCAGTAATGGCTTTCCATAGTTAACATCCTAAGATAAATAATCACCTTTAGGAATGAGTTATCGTTAACCTTTGTTTTGTTGTCAAGTTCGTATTATTCAAATGCAAAATACGAGTATTTGTTTAATTACCACTATAGCTAGGTAATACCTTAAAAACTGGGATAAATTTGATCTTTAATTCTTCTTTGACTTGTAACCAATCTTTGCCTTCCAATCGTGTAATAGCTAAAAAAATAATTCCCATCCCGTTTGAGGTCAGACAAACGACAAGGTGCAACTTGATTGGCGACAAGAGATTTCGGGATGAAAGACAGTTAAAAGGAGTTAGAGACTTTTTGTGTTAGAAGTTAGAACGTTTGTTGTCAACACGAGGAAGCAAGATAAAAACTGGTAATCGAAGACTTGTTTCAAGTGGGTCTATCCAGTGTAGTATATCAGTATGAGATCAGTTCATAATTATGTCGCTAAATACGCTAATTTACATTAGGCAGGAAAGTACATTGACTGTATTATATGTTATGATATCATTTTGTTGGCATTTCAAGACGCTTTCTGATCTAAGTGCATGATGTTCATTCAATATAGTTAACAGTTATTAGTCGACTGTATCTTACCTCCTATAAATGCAGTATAACACACTGGTGCCCAGGCGAATGTGTCGATTACTAATTTAAGGAACACCACTCGAGATGAACTGCCAATAATTATTTTGTCCAAGGTCCGAAAAAAATAGGTGTTCATTATGGGTAATATTGTACATCCGATTATAGTCATACGTTTGGTTCTTTGCCAGTCATGAGTTAATTCTGTATTTGATATCGTCTGACATGTTATATCACCCAAACAATATAGCCCACCATAGACTCCAATGTTTGCTAAAAGATAGTGCTTGTCAAAGAATGCTTTACATTTTGTTAAAGCACGTCTTGAAGCTTGATACATTGAGATTATATTTGATAGAAATAGTGTGACTCATGTCAGGAATGACAGGTTTCTATTCAAAGACTGCCGGAATCACTAAACTGTGACAATCAGACAATGTTTTTAACTCGGTGTTTTATTTCAACAGACACATTTGATTTGAATACTAAAGATTTTAGAGCCCAGTAATAGACCCGCCCTGCAGGAAATCTTAGTTTCAATACAAATAGAGCCCACAAATAGTCGACATTTCTGAAGATCTTAATATATCATCTGCTAAGGTATTGTTATATTGTTTGTAATTGTCGATGTTTTCAATAACACAATCATTTCAGTAAACCATGCATGTAAAAAAGAAAATATTAAAACAACTCTACCTGAAGATCTATTTTTTATATAAAGATGTTGTTGAAGGAGAAGGTAGAAGCTTTAGAAGAGGAGGCGGAAAATTTAAGAATAAAACTATGATTTAAAACTGATGTTTGTGCAATGCCTAAAAATAAATATATAATTGTAATATAAATATTAGTCGTAAAAGAAAGAATAATTGACAATAATATTTTATTGTATATTGATAAAATATTATAAGAGTAATGATGTGATAGGAAACTAAGAATAAAAAAATTACTCTAAATCTTTTCTTTCCGGTTTGGTAATTTGCTGAAAGTGGAAAATGAAAGAAAATATTGAGTCAAGATATTACCACACTCAGTTATCCTGGCAAGGTATTACGTTACATGGTACTTATAGGTCGTAAGTCGTAAGGAAAATTGCATAGTGTAACAGCGCCTTAAATCACGTTAATTAAGAACGTTTTGATCAGTTTTATGTAACCAAATAAAGTGGCGAGCCTTCCTGGTTGCGAATATAATAATATACTGACCTTATGTTTAAGATATGAAAGTATATTAACCCAACAAAAGCCAATGATTGAAATGTACGCCATTCGAAACCGTGGATGGACAAATGCAAAGTTTACTGCCTGTTAAAAACACCAAAGCTTTTCTGACAGAGTTCATGAAATAAAGAAAACCCTGCATTTGATTTAGCAATAAAATTTTAACTTGTTTTTACCTGCGCAAGAGGCCAGATAAGGAGACTACTCTGAAAAAAAGAACCTCCTCACGTCATTTCAAAAGTTGTTTCGGGGCGTAAATCTGGTAATAACTAAAGCTTCTTGGGGTTTATTCATAACTATGGTTTATTGTACATTATTCAACAACGTTAACATCCTAAGATAAATAATCACCTTTAGGAATGAGTTATCGTTAACCTTTGTTTTGTTGTCAAGTTCGTATTATTCAAATGCAAAATACGAGTATTTGTTTAATTACCACTATAGCTAGGTAATACCTTAAAAACTGGGATAAATTTGATCTTTAATTCTTCTTTGACTTGTAACCAATCTTTGCCTTCCAATCGTGTAATAGCTAAAAAAATAATTCCCATCCCGTTTGAGGTCAGACAAACGACAAGGTGCAACTTGATTGGCGACAAGAGATTTCGGGATGAAAGACAGTTAAAAGAAAGTTAGAAAACACACCGATCAAAAGGGAGAGACTTTCTGTGTTAGAACGTTTGTTGTCAACATGAGGAAGCAAGATAAAAACTGGTAATCGAAGACTTGTTTCAAGTGGGTATAGTCTATCCAGTATATATAGTAATATTAGTATGAGATCAGTTCATAATTGTCGCTAATTTACATCAAGCAGTAAAGTACATTGACTGTATCACTGTATGTTATCGTTATTAGTATAATTTTGTTGGCAAGACGCCTTTTGTTGGCAAGACGCCTTCTATATATCATTCAATATAGTTAACAGTTATTAGTCGACTGTATCTTACCTCCTATAAATGCAGTATAACACACTGGTGTCCAAGCGAATGTGTCGATTACTAATTTAAGGAACACCACTCGAGATGAACTGCCAATAATTATTTTGTCCAAGGTCCGATAAAAATAGGTGTTCATTATGGGTAATATTGTACATCCGATTATAGTCATACGTTTGGTTCTTTGCCAGTCATGAGTTAATTCTGTATTTGCATTAGATATCGTCTGACATGTTATATCACCCAAACAATATAGCCCACCATAGACTCCAATGTTTGCTAAAAGATAGTGCTTGTCAAAGAATGCTTTACATTTTGTTAAAGCACGTCTTGAAGCTTGATACATTGGGATTATGTTTGATAGAAATAGTATTTCAGGTCGTCTTGTGACTCATGTCAGGAATTACAGGCTTCTATTCAAAGACTGCCGGAATCACTAAACTGTGACAATGTTTTGAACTCGGTGTTTTATTTCAACAGACACATTTGATTTGAATACTAAAGTTTTAGAGCCCAGTGATAGACCCGCCCTGCGGGAAATCTTAGTTTCAATGCAAATATTAGAGCCCCACAAATAGTCTACATTTCTGAAGATCTTAGTCTCCTATGAAATAGAAAATCATTGTGTGAATCATGTTTGATATTGTTTATCCTTCTTGTACTGATCAATTCACCTTCCACCTTCCTTTTTTTAGGTAACAATTAATACCTAATCTTCATTGCGGATCTGTAGTCTGTACTGAATTTGACTGTATAGTCTGTCAGCAAAAACACTGTGCATGGTTACAGTGAATGTTATCACTGGGTAAATTATAACTTATACTGGCTATGTAGCATGTATCAGTTAATATCAGTGATTGCTGGCAATGAAGGCATGAGCGAATGGCTAAATCATCCTAAATGTTCCCACATAGATTCCTAGCATGTCGCACGCTTGACTTCTTCCAACAAGTAAACTTTGCAGGTTTTCTTAACTGATGTAAATAATAATGTATAAGACATGTCCAAAACACGCGATACAAATATCTTGTTCTACTTCAATGACCAATGTAGTATCAACTCAGTGAACTTAAAAAAACGAGGATAATATTCACTATAAAGAGACTACCCTTAATTCCTTGGAAGAAATACGGAAGACTTTGGTTGGATGAAATAACTAAATGCAAAGATTAGATGACAGAGAGTCCTGTTCATAAACAAGACATAGAAGCTGAGGATACGGTATTTTTATGGCATAATTTTCTTCAGACTTTATCACTTCATGGCTTTCATCAAGTTTTTGAACGTGGCAGTGCTAAGATTCGACGTATTTTATGGTTGATTATTCTTATTGCCGCCTTAGTAATGGTCTGTGTTCATAGTGAACGTAGTATAAGAAAATACTTTGAACGACCCGTATCAACTAATGTACATGTTGAGTTTGTTGAGGAAATTATATTTCCAGCCGTTACAATTTGTAACTTTAATTTATTTCCATTCTACCTCATTAATGGAACTGTTGGGGAAAAGGTTAGTACAATGTGACACTATTTCTAATTTTGTAGTTAAAAATCAATTGAAATTTATTGCTCCATATCCATCAAATCTGTTGTCTTTCTATGTTTATATATCTTACTCTGAAGTCATTAATGAACTTCCTGTGATCTCTCTCCACCATCCTTGTTTCACTCTTCCAACATAACTCAGTTAAATTTTTCCTATGTCATTCAAAACATCATATATACCTTATCCAAAATATACCAACCGTTCATTCTTTAATGTTTATATCGGGTATATTACATTACGTACTTTACTTGCTTTGCATCGGCATGTCCCGCGCTGTCTTGCGATATCCTTCTTTCTCTACCGCCTTATATTGCTAAATTAGGTAAAATATCCAATTACTGATTTGTGAATTGCACACAACTCAATTGCAGATAATGTCTATCCTGGCTCCGCAAAAGCACATTGACAGACAGGATGATGTATTATTTGCAAGATCACCAATACCAAACTTTAATCAATATAAAAGATCACTTCTCTTGAAAGATGATGGCAATGATACCGTGGAAGATATCGACACGGACATTGATGTAGTTGATTCGAAATGGGATTTTGATCAGACTTTTAATTTTGCTGAATTTGTCAAAACTCACGGACATAGGATAGATCACATGATCAAGAAGTGTCGATGGAGATCAGAAAAGTAAAGTATTTTTTACATTTGATTTTATTAACTTTAGTTTGGTCATACAAGGATTAGGCGGATTATTGACTGGTCGTGTCAGTTCTTAATCGATTTAGAAAAGATCATCTACTTGTTTGCCGTCTCAATCAATATTTTCCTAATTCCTTCCAAATGGAAAATGGATCTTAAAAGTAAAAACTGAGATAATATCATAATACTAACTGCATGTCCATAGTATGGTTGTCAACAGAGATATCATATTTCTTATATTATTTAGATGTGGTCCCGAAAACTTTACAGCGGTTATAACGGAATTCGGATTGTGTTACACATTTAATTCAGGAAAAACGAGTCATCGGGTTCTTAAAGTGAACAGAGCGGGAGTTGACTTTGCTTTAAGACTTCAATTAAATGTCCAACAAGACCAATATTACGGATCATTACGAGATTCTGCTGGTTTCAAAGTAATGGTTCATGATCAGGCTGAGCCAGCAATGATCAATGAGTTAGGATTTGCTATCCAGCCTGGAACGCATACATTTTGTAGTCTGAAGAAAATTGTCGTGAGTATATTCTGATACAATAGATGGAATAAAAAATCATTCAACATTCACGTTAACTTTTTACATGTCAGTTTCTAAAACGTAAAAGCAAAATTCTTAATAGAATGATCCAATATATAATGGTTTCATCAATCACTCCTTTCCAATATTTTTAAAAATTAAGTGCATGCACAGAAACTTATATATTAGTCGTTACTTTACTTATTAGTGCTTGCATACAAAACAACTGTCCATATTCCGTAAGATTTGAAGAGCCTCTTGGAACATGCATTAGTCGGAGAAGTCTTGAGTCTAAGTCCATTTTTTTCATTGTTATTTAAAATTTTCTTAAGCTTATAAAATTTACATGCAGTTTGCAAGGATGATATATGCATTGCCGGCCTGAAACTTTTGCACTTTGTTCTCTGTTTCAAAAGTCAAAATTTTGTCGCAACATTTCTTTCAGATAAATAACTTGCCGAAGCCATACAGGGCGTCCTGTGAAGATCTAAAATTACGTGGATTTTCCAAATATACGAAGTCTGCATGTCTTCTCTTATGTCGGGCACGATTTATCATAAGTAGATGCAGGTGTAGTTCATACGACCTTCGTGGATTGGAAAGTAAGTATATAATACCATGGTTATAATTATAACAATAATGTAATTATTTTGCCCCAATGTGCCTTAGAATTATGCATCCTTCAGATTTCCTCTCCATGGCCACCGCTCTATATATAGTATCAGGAGTTAAGCAATCAGATAAGCCTAAAACCCCATTTGAACTATAAAGTCACACTGCAATTTTTTGGCACAGCTAATCAGGCTACCAATAGAAAGGCCGCGGGCACGGATGAAATGAGCACGACTGAGTACCCATTTTAGCCGTGGGGATGAATTAAATGTAGTGTAAACGGGGTTTTAAAGTTTATTGCGCGCCAACATGGACAGTGAATGTTGTTGTATAGTTCTAGCGAAAGTCACTCACCAGAGTTTTTGTCAGTTATTTTCATTGTCCACCCAATGTAATACAACCGAAAATGATTAAACAAATAGTGGTTGTGATATTCATATTGAGCCAACTCGATCTTCTATTTACAGCAAATGTTCCCCCATGTTTGCCTCAACAAGTTAAAAACTGTGTCTGGCCTGCAATGGGTATGAATTGTAAAATTTGTGATCTGTGATAAGTTGTTATGGTTATATATCATACATACTATACAATTTAATTTTCAGAGGAGTTTCGTAACGAAACAAATAATTGCAGATGCCCAATTCCGTGCCATATTACAAAGTTCTTGACTCAACTCTCCTATGCGCAAATGCCAGCGAAACACTTCTCTGAAGTTCTCGCAAGAAAAAGGAAAGTTCCTAAAGATGTGATGAGGAATTATTTAAGGTAAGTAGGGTATTGCCTGGTTGGTATTAGTCTAAGGTGACTCTGACAACCCTGCGCAGATGGTTTTTCGGTGACTTCTGATTTGAAGACCGAGAACAGTCTATTTTTGTTAATGTGAACAATTTTTGTTTCATGCAGGGATAATTTTTTAGATGTGGATATTTATTTTGAGGAAATGAGCGTTGAAGAGATAACAGAACGTCCTGCGTATGACGAGGAAAGTCTGTTCGGTGAGCATCGGATTGCAAAATATTATTTGTAACCCAATTTATGGATATAGTGATCACTGAATTCATTGTGTACGAAACTACAATAAATATGCCAACCTCCCACCAGTCGCGTGACTTTCTGTAAAGTGTACTAATGAAACTTTTCACACGCAGCTGTCAGATTTTGTCTTCTCTATTCCAGGCGATATTGGGGGCCAAGTCGGCTTGTTTCTTGGTGCAAGTATCTTGACGCTCTTGGAATTCATAGATCTACTTGCCAGAATTTTGAGCAGAAAATGTAAAAAAAAATTATATCCGGAACATACTGCGTAACTACTCATAAACAACTATTTCAAACTTATTTTAATTCACGAGATTTGTGATGCTTATATAACTAAGTAAGTAAATAATGATAATTTAGAACAATTGTATATAAATGTAAATTCATAAATAATCTGAGACCAGAAGACTGTTAGACGCCGTATTAAAGAAACACAGGAACTGGGAAAGAGGCACACTGGGAAAGGGGTGCAAAATATCTCTGACAATTTGCCAATGTAACGGAAGTTGACTGGTCGTTACTCCACCGACTCCCGCTCCCACCAGCTCCCCCCCCCCCCCCATATATACACACTAATAATATATGCAGTCAGTATTTTTTGTTAAAATCCCCGGTTGCTAGCTGGTACCAGTGCCGATATAGGAATTAAGTTCCGGTACGTCTTTCTTTGTGCTTTGCTGGCAGAAATATGGCGGCTGGTTCAGGTAGTTCTGGAAATCAACAGAAACTTACAGTTGGTTCACGAGTGTCTTGTACAACATGTAATGGTGAAAAGGTTGAAGGAGAAGTTTTAGCATATGATAGTCATCATAACCTTGTTGTAATGAGTATCCTTTGATTATTCAATAAAAAATATTAAATATATGGTATTGATGTTTTTGACAACATCATCCAAATGATCCAATCAGTTTCATATGAAATAACAAGTCATTAAGCGTTTGTAATTGAATAGTTAAATTTTATTTCTTTAGTTCAAAGTATGTCACATGATTTTATATATTTTATAGTAATACATTTTTTTAAAAAACAAATTGAAATATTGTAACAATACCAAGCACTTTTTGGTCCATTTGTAACTTTGTTCTAAACTGAGTAACTGCAATGTTGAGTAGTTAAATGAAATCTCAGACCATAATTAGTTTAGTTTAGCTGGTTGGCCAGGCCTAAGCCATGAAAATAATGGTCAACAATTAGCACAAACATTACATGTATGGTGTAAAAACCAACTCCTGTGAGAGACAACATATGTGGATGGAATTAATATGAAAAAATGCCAGCTTACCCAAGTTTCATTTCCGTAGCTGATTAGTTAGGAATATTTTGATCTTGTTTTTAAATTGTTAAAAGTACTATATACAATTCTTCCAATACATCTACACAACATTGAACAACTTGTCAACCGATGCCATGACCTGATGATCAATGTTTTTATTATTGTAGTAATTTGAACATGATATCTTATCTTGCAACAAGTTGTTTTCATGTTACAACTAGAAACATGTTGTAACAATGGTTAATTATAAACAATAAACAAACAAAATATATTTGTTTATCGCTTCTTAGGAAGCAATAAAAGAGAGGTGATTGAGAGGAACATATTTCCTTAACTTTGTTTTTCACTGAATAGAACTTCCAAGTTCATCAGGCGAAAGGGGAACATGTAATATTAATATTCTAAATACAGAATTATTAAGAAATTTTGATGTATTAGAGGAGGCTAAAAAGAGTCCAAGCCAATTACCACCATTGGATATCAGTAAAATAGTGCATAGGACTGAACAAAGTATAATGGAAAGACAAAGAATCGGGATTGGAGTGTCACCCATTGCAAAGAAGTTGTTTGATCATGTTTCTAAAACGTAAGTAATACATACCACATATGAAAAAGGATTATCTGCAAACAGAAATTGTTAATATATTATTTTAAAAAAGGGGTGATTAATTGTTTTACTTGATCTTGACTTAAAATATATAGATTCAATAACTGTCAATGGAATGCTAAAGATATTGTGGTGAAAAGTATTGATGTTAAAATAGTACCACCATATAAACCAGAGAATATTCAAGGAGACCCTAAAGCAACTGATCATATCAGAAAAATAGTGAGTTATTTTTACTTTTTGATTAGATCACAGGAAGAATCAATTCATTATTCCAAATCTTTCCTAATTAGGTCTGATGTTAGAGAATATGTGCATTTGATTTTAGGTTGAAAGATTTCATTTCGATCAAGAAGCAACAATTTGACAGAAGAAAGTCTCACAGATGCAATCACAGCTTTTTCCTCTACAATGTTGCATTCAAAACATTGGTCATGTCTATAAAACCAAGAGCTTGGTTGAATTGTCTAACTTCATAGCAGAAGTAAGAATTTTTGTTCATGTAATAAATAGCCAAGTGTATTTAGGTCTTAAATCAAACCTGAATAGCCGGCTATTCATTAACAACTTTTATGCAAGCAATCTTAGTTAGTAGACCCTTCAACCAAGCTTGTGAAACTTGTTAAACTGTCTGAGGGAAAAAAACTTTTGATATTCAAAAATATATTTTGGTGAAAGAAATATTGAATGGTGCAATCAATATATTGAATGGTGCAATGGTCCTTCATCTGTCCATGGTTCACCAATGTTCTGGTATCTGTTGGATGATATATGTACCCCGGGTCAACCCTAAATAAGGCTAGGTCACAAACAGCACATGGTTGTGCATAGTCGTCCTCTTCATAATCGTACATACAAATATGGCGGAACTACAACAAAAGTGAATGTAAACTTGTATCCAATATTATGTACAAGTTGTATCCAACAATTTAAATGAGTAATCGCGTTGCTATTCTATAGTGCATGTCATTGAAAATTTCAGAGGGATCCATGGAAAGGTAGATGATGCATTTTTGTATGTAATGAAAATTGACAGCAAATTTGGCATCCCACATCAATATGTACATATATTGAAAACCAAGCATAACAGCACCAGGACAGGACCACCAAGATTGCAAAAAATCTACGGGTGAGCACGTCACGTGCTCAATATTTAACTCCTGGCGGAGTGTTTAAACGCCTGATGATACTTGGTGTCTGTTGGTGAATTTTAATATTCGGCATATTACCATTTGTTATCTCTTCTCCCCGCAACACATGTTGATGTGGTTATTCCTGTACATTCTTGCTTATTTGTATCGTTTTTTTGCCTTCAACAAAGTCTGATGACTAGTGATTAAGCCAGAAAATTACGACACAAGAGAAATGGAGGTGTAAAACAGTTGTTTATGTTGATTGCGCACAGGTAATGAACAATGTCATGATTAGTAAGTACACATTAAAAAAATAAATCTCACAGTCCGAGACTGGTCCTCCGCGCTCAGGAGGCTTGGAACAAAACTCCTGTTTACTTTTCGTTAAACACAAAGCATAGTCCATGACATGAAATATGTAAGATTGTTCAACCACTCCATGAAAAAGGTGCGCAAATGGTCCTGTCGCGTAAATTCCTACAAAAAAGAAAAAAGGATAATAATAATTACAAAGCGCCCAAGGTTGGCACGAAGAATATTATGCAAGCGATCTTAATTGTCGGCTGGTGTAGCAACTATTAAAATGTATCAGCAGTCATGATCACATTTTACTCTGGTTGTGGTTGATGGGATTAACAGGATACAGAAGTAGTTCTGGCCACACCACTTTATGCTAATGTTGTTTCAAACAAAATATTTTCTGCTGCCCCGGCCCCCCTAAATTCTCCGCAAGGCCCAAAGTATAGGATGCTGGTAAGTGATGCGTTGCGAAACGTTCTGAAGATTTTTTTAAAGTAAATTTGAACTGACCAACATCCTGGCTTGCGTGAGACTCGTACTCCATCTTAATAAGCGCTTGTTGCTGGAAGTTGATGTCATTGTAATTCACACCGGTGAGATTAGCTCGTGTTTGGTTACCAGTCAGGCCAACCGCGCCGTCGGCATAAGATAAGGAGAGTGCAGGTTTGCCGTCTAGACCAAGGTTCGACTGAAATCCAAATATGGGATTACCACGTTTCACTTTCTGGCCGAAGTGAGTGAAAGAATGTGAATGATCAGCTGTGACCAGGATTAAAGTGTCCTCTGCAATTAATAGTAAAATCATGTAGTAAAGTCTTGGACATAATTACTCTCATTCTAGCGAAATATTTTCCCCATGCTGCGATAACTCGATCTGATAGCAGAATATACATACGATGCTGATACATTGCCTGATCCATTTTACTATCTCCAAGACAAAGGTCTGGTTGAATTAGTCAATCCTTAGAGCATACTATAAGCATTGGTACCTAATTTCTTAAGAGGATGCTACAAATCTACCTGCGTTTGTCATATCTTGGGCTTTCTTTACAGCTTTTGCCATTAAAGCAGTCTCAGATAAAGCTAAGTGTGCGTTATTTGCGTGGTGACCCCAGTCTATCAAACCTCCTAAAATTTGAGAATAGAAAAGCATGTACTTTTTTGTTCCGTTCCATAGAAAATGAAGATACTGGCTCATTTTCATAGCACTAGAGATTGGCGAAAGATTCGCTGTCTGTAGGCAATAATATTTGACTGGATGAAATGAAAATAGTGATCCTCAGAAATCCTCAGAAAATAAATACTGTATACAGTATAATCATTTTTTTACCTTCAATCATCAGAAAGAATCCTCTGGGATTTTTTTGAAGTACCTCAATGGCTTTTTCAACCATTTCTAGAAAGTTTGGCTGATGTGTTTTATTTTTCACAGAACGTAAGATGTCAAATTCCATAGCACTTGACGCAAACAACCCTAATAAGGAACATCAGGATAAAATTTTTTTAAATATAAGATAAGAATAATTTTACCATTTAGCATCAACCTGTAATTTTACCTAAGAGATGGTCCACTTGATCTGGATCGATGTTCTTCAGTTCATTTCTATTCCAAACCACAGCAGAATTGTTAAATTTCTTTAACCATTCGTCAGTTAAATTCCGGTTATCATTGCGACATTTACTGCCTTTTAAGGTATTCCCTTCTGGGTCTTCACTGCCACACGGTAAGAAGCTCCTCTCCATCACCACCCAAAACCACGTCTATACCATCACCATATGAATATTCAATCAATTGACGAGCTGAAAAGAAAGTGTAGACGAAAGAAAATATCTCAGAACTTGGTTATGTTGTCTCAGCTTGTTGTAGTACCATGAATGAAGGAAGATAGTTCAGTACAAGCACGGACGACGTGTAGCCTACGGTCAGATTTATTCGAGTGAAGACAAGAAGAGACAAGAAACACGACCGTACTTACATATATCGACACATGTTCCCTGTGTCGACTGGTCATTTTCCCAATCACGTGACGGTGTATGGCTGTAGAAAGCCCCAGGCGTTGCATGGGTTACACGCGTGTTCGTGATTAATCCGGTGGATAACCCTGCCATTTCTGCAAACGTCAAAATTGATAAGACTTCATTTCCCTCGACACTACTGCAATTTTCGTATATTGCCTGGCCAGACAAACCTAGGATACCTAAAATTATAGTGAAATACACTTAAAGGAATGAACAATGTCGAATTTTAAAATTTGGACGTGCATTTTTTGTGATTTCTAAGATAGGATTTTTAAAATTTGCACTTCAATCCTCACAGTGCATACAACAACGGTTGAAAGTCAATGGCTGTGCGAGTTCCATTTCGTTTCCAAGAGGGTGAATTTGGTAATTGAGTTGAGAAATCTCTGTCAATGAACACAAAGTTATTGAAATAAAATAATAAATAATTAAATCTTGACCTGAACCGGTTTTCACCCCTGTAGCAAATGCCGTAGCCGTACCAGCAGAGTCGGGAACCTGTGCATCGGTATTATATGTCTTAGCCAAAGCTGTATACGGAAATTTCTCCCAACTTAAGACATTTTCTTCTCCACTTTCTCCTCTGCTTTGGCCATCATATATTCTCGCTGTGGTCGTAGTACTTATTCCCATTCCATCACCTAATCAAACAAACAGTCACAACTATTCTAGAACAGTGTACAACTAATTCAATTTTCTCATTCTTTCAATCATTTTTTCATTCCCCCCCCACTTTTTTCACTCGTTTGTTAAAAAATGACATTTCAACACCGCAGTTGCGCACTATTAATCAATGGACTTGCCAAGAAAAAGAACCACGTTCTTAGCAGGATTTGTGTTTGGTTGTAATTTTGTATTCATTCTTGTCAACTCAACTCCCTCTTCGAAATATTCATTCTTAGCCTGTTCATTGTAAATTTGATCTTTGGAACCACAATCAACATCTGCAATTAAAAATGAATTAAATGATGTATTGCATGATCATATTATTGCATGGTCATATATATACATGCAAGTCTATTGCAAGACTTGACCATAGACTTTAACAACCAAACAAATTTTGCGTAATGTAATCCAGTTTAACACCGCCGGTGGGAACTACAATATCTTAACATTTTAGATAGCGTCTTGCTTTTTTGACGATATAATTCCTCATGCGTGTAGATTCTATTTCATGTCGTGCGGTTTCCGACCGCTGCACTTGAAACACTAGAGATATTCGATCATTGCATGCCATCCCGATATTTGCTATATAGCTGACTCCTTTCCAACATGCATTAAAATTTGTATTCCCCACAGTAACGCTAGTATTAACAAATAAAGCTTTCTTACGTATGACGTGAAGGGATGAATATTTAATAAAATACAAACCGCCTCATTTCGACCTTTAGACTAAACCAGTGTTAGCCTGCAGGCGGTCCGTATGTACACCAGTGACAGAAAGTATGTTTTCCTTATATCCTGATGATGACTAACGTATAGTTGAAACATTATTTCTATCCTAGTTGGAGATACTGTTGTTTTATTTGTCATTGTATATTTTGTGCTGTATTTTTGTATTTTTCATCCTGCACGCAGCCATTGAACACTAGACACTAGTGCAAAAATCAAACTCTTTTACCAGACACACGCGCCATATTTTCTGCACGGTTCATGACCTTATGCCAAGTGAAATACATGTTTGGTTAAATGATAATATCTTACACGTCAGCGGGACAAAACATTTTTAGAATATTAAAATATCATTATAGTCAAACTTACATTTTAGAAATAGTAAAGCAACTAAGAACCTGAATAGAGAGAGACCCATCACTCTGTAAATGTGTAGTTGATCAATCCCTTGCCCTGGGTACGAGGAACTCTTGACCTGCAGAGTGCAGACTTTGCAAATGGCGAATTGCAAATGTTCAGAAAACTTGAGATGTTCTTCAGATGATTCTATACAATTCTTTAATACACAGTAATCGAGAAAAAAATGTTGCGGAGAATTTTTCTGTATCATGGTGAATTTTGTTTCAAAATGGGTAAATTTCCTTGTAGTACGAAGAAATACATGTACGCTATGTCCTGCTCGTGGAGTCAATTGCGGTGTTCTTTGTACAGCGAGTATTACAATAAAAATATATTTTACCATAAAATCTTTAAATGAGGTCAAATTATGGGGCAGAAAGTTAGAGAAATTACTAATTGTGCAGTTAGAGCTTCTATGACACTTTCAATTACCAGGAATGAGGCATTTAATGAAGCAGCAACAAGCAGCCTGTCATCAAAGTACTAATGTCCATCCTGTCATTGAGGCGGTGCACAAAGTGTCAAATCCAGCAGGTGTTAAACAAAGGTAAATATGGGATAATTTTCAGCAGGATGCTGCAATATAGCCTAATTTATTGACCATTTCCCTTGTGTAAATGGTCAATAACTAAATGTGATACTTGGGAAATTAATTGGGACTAGGCTACTAGCCACTTTACAGATTAAAACAGCATTCCAAAATTACTGAAATAAATGCTCTTTACAAGATATTTAAATTTATTACATGTACTTTCTAAGAAAAATGATGAACCTTTAAGACCAGTACTTAGACTGAAGTGTAACCATCATTAATCACATTTAATTTTGCTAATAAGCAGTTAGCTAGTATATGTTTGATTTGTTCTCCCAATTCTCAAAATATAGTTGTGATGAAATTAATTATCCTCCTGATATGGTGAAACTTAAGGTATAATTACCTTTCTATACATTAAATGGAAATTATATCTGCATACGTACAAAATAATGATTTAGGTCCCCTCCCCCTTGTATGCTAATGTGAAATACATTCATACCAGGTGTGCACACTAATTGGGTGGCCCCTAAGGTAAAAACGACTTCTTAGGATTATAGTCAAATTGGTGAACTGTCTGTGTTATACATGTAGTAGTTTGTACATATTTCATTTAGGCTGAAGCATTCAATTTGGAAGAGGGTGCCAAATCCATTCTTGATATTCTAGACAAAACTGTTGCATCAACCGTTGTAATATTTGTACGGACCTCAGGTACAATCTTGTATTGTTTTTTTTTGCATGTATATGTGCCATCTTGAAAATAGGTATGAAAGACACCCCAGGAAGGAATATATGTTGTTTACAACCATTATATATAACCATGCATATACATGTTGTTTACCAATTTCTGTAAATTATAGTCCTTGCAGAGGTATTGGTTGATGAACTAAAGGAAAATAATTTTGATGCAAAAGTTGTGGACAAATCTCTTCAAGTAAGAAGAAACCATTTCCTTGTCTATCATTTTTTGGTGTTTATTTTTCTAACCACAAATTCAGCATCGAGGAGATCTTTGTTTATAGGGAACTCTAAATTATAACCAAATATTAGCTGTATAGTACTGTATGTGGTACTCTTATACAATTACCATACCTCTTTATTGTTATGTGTACAATTATATGTAAAGTAAGACTGTGTTGTACCTTTCCATAGTTTGATAACAACAGAAAGGAGAAAAGTATCTTTGTGGTAAGATATGTGCTGATGTATTAACATGCCCTAGAATTCTAAAACTAGTTGATTTAGTATGTTTTCTCTTAAAAGCCGGTCATGTCTGTTAGTCATGCATACATTGTAACACTGATAGTCTGAAATGAACAATGTACTATTTTATCATTTCTGTTGTTTGTAGATCAGTGATAAGATGGCCACCACTCTCTCTGTACCTCCTACTGATCTACTTATTCAAGGTAATATTGACATATTCATCCCATTAGTTCTTCTATAGGACATAATAGTATATACATTTTTCATTTCATGCATGTACTTTCCATCTTTTCTGTCGTTCATTTGAAAATATCTAATTTTACTTTGAGTTCAACCCATCAAGGTAATGATCAGATTTTCTTTGATATCAGTTGATCTGAGGTTAGATCTATAGCCCATCAACAATTGCTGTCTTATGATTTACTCTTACCATATTTTGTTCACATCAGTTCAGGCCCCACTATCTGGTATTGACATAATGAAACAACGTCTTCATGTTAATAAATTTACCAACATGCAGAAACAAGCTGTACTTTTGTACAACAGTAATGATGTCAACTTCATTGCCAAGGTAATCTTGTGAATTACGGGTAGAAATCATATCTTACCTACATGCATTTTAAGTAATGTATTATAGTTGCATGATTTAGAAGTAACTACATTCTAATTTATTTTTACAGTCCAGTATGTAAGTCATAGGCAGATTAGTCATATTACTGCGTATCCCACTTAAATGGAAATAATTTTTTTTCCAGCTTAGTGAAATTGCTGAAATAACTGGAACAAATTCTTCATTACATCCAGAAAAAAACGAGAAGCAATTAGAAGCGCATGAGGTTATTAAAATTTGTTTTTATATCGTTATCGATACCAGGGATATCTCCATCATCAACCGCGCTTCCCACTTCTGTAATTGCAAACCATGGGTTTTGATTAGTTCCACCCTCATAATGTTGGATCCTTTTTTCAAGGTTAATTTATCTGAACTCACAGTACACAACGATATCATTGAAAACAACCCTGCAGTTTCAAGAAAAGTTAAAACTACACTTTTTAAACCCGTATACCCACAGCAGAGAACGAAGGTATCCGTAAATTACAATATATTTTTACTTTCGAAATACATGTTTCTCATCTCGACGAAACTTCACCCAGGTTTTGAAAACCTTACAACATGCTTTAAGTTTAGTTATCAGCGGTAGGACATTATCGTTAAAGAGTCTATTCTCTGTAGTTATTTGAACCAAGTCATTTTGCTGCAAGGTTTAATAATCTGTTATAGTATGCTCTTCTGATTTATTTCCATATAGAGCCCTCGTAATTCTTTTGTGGATAGAGTTCGTTTGTATGCTATTGGTGGTAGTGGTGGTAACGGGAGTCCTCGCACTGGTGCGCGCGGTGGAGATGGCGGTGATGTCATATTACAGTGTCAATCAAAAGCAACATTACGTCATTTTCGCTTTAAGGAAAACAGAAGACCAAAAGCAGGCCATGGACAGCATTGTTCGTAAGTATTCTTCTGGGTTCTAACCTCATACGAAACAAGAATGAGGTTTTTCATTCCACTGACCATACCGTTACTGTTAGAGTAAACATCTCTCCATATTTCTTAATAATTCAACTTATATATTATTATATAATAACGTGTATATAACACGTGTTCTGATTGGTCAAGGCCCGTGTTTGGATCAGGCCTTTAATCTTTCATGACCAGCCCCAGGAACAAATGTTTTTTTATATGATTACTTGGGTGTGAAAGTTAAATCATTGTGGTGTGTTATATTTCAGCATTCGGGAGAAAAGGGTGAATGGTGCACGAGGCGCGGATCTTATCATTCCAGTTCCTCTTGGCACCGTCGTGAGAGACGAGACAACAGGTCACGTGATTGCAGATATGAACAAAGTAGGACAACGTGTCAAAGTGGTTAGCGGTGGTCATGGCGGATCTCCTTTGACGTCTGCTGGTGGGGGAGAGAAGGGAGAGAAAAGAATGGTAATATTAGAATACAAGATGTACACTGATGTTGGTCTGGTGGGGTAAGTCTTAAGTCTTGTCTAGAATTTGACTTGCTGGGGGGGGGGGCAGCTAATATGAATAAACATTAAACACTCCCCATTTTTCACTTCTTTTTGCGGCGCTTGTGTCAACCGATGAATCTTTTTTATCACAAGGTTTCCAAACGCAGGGAAATCTACGTTATTAAAGGCGTTGTCAAATGCAAAACCAAAAGTTGCAGATTATGCTTGTACGTAAGATTTGTACGTAAGATTTGAAGAATGAGACATCGGCTGGCCTCATGATTAATATCAAAATTAATAATAGTTTATTTCAACATTTGCCACCTATAGTTACCTCGCTCAGTCCGACGTTAGGAAGGATACAATTTGACAATTTTAGTCAGGTCAGTTCTATGTTCCACAAAAGAACGTTATAGAATATTCTTTTGCTGGTTTTCTTCATTAGAGTGGACCGTAGTTTTTAATATAAGCAACAAAGAACACACAGAAATAGTCATGTTACACGCGATAAGGTTACACGCAATAACCGAAACTACAACATTCTGTAGATTCTATTGCTGTACGTTCTCAGGTGAGATTAGACCTCGCTGTTGTATACAATGTCTAATATCAATTTGAAATGTTCCATTTTTCGGCCGTGTTCTTTTGTTAATCAAGTGATGTGCTGGTTATTTACCTACCGCTAACTACCTGACCCAATTCCCAACAACTTTCAAAAGCTTGTGATGATAATATTTATATTCTTTTTGCAGTTCACACTGGTTGATCTACCTGGTTTGATAGAAGGCGCGCATAAAAATAGAGGATTGGGTCTAAAGTTTCTACGTCATATTGAAAGGGCCAGAATCTTGATGTTTGTAGTAAGAATTCCTTAAAACAATCTTCCTTTTTTTCAACGTTAAATGTTTCATTATGAATAATTTTTCTTATTTTCTTTTTATGTTACCGAACGTAATGTAACTAAAATTCTATTTGTGCGCGTGCAGGTTTCTAAAAATTTTCTCAAAATAATGCAAACAAAACGTGCGACTTTGGTTTTCAACTGAAAAAACCTGTTGTTATCGTGAAGGGAAAATACTCATAATAGTTGCATGTAGAACGAATTGAATAAAAGTCTCTCCATGAAATTGACCTAACTGATGTAAATTGTTAAGGTGGATGTGAATGGATTTCAACTTTCAAGTCAGCATCAAAAGAGAACAGCATATGAAACAATCTGTCTGCTAGCTAAGGTAAATGAATAGACAAGTGGATAGAAAAAAGCTTCGGTATTCTTATCCTGTAGCTTGTCACTAGGGGTACAGTTAAGGGCTACTATGGGTTTTGTTGAAGGTCATATTTCAATTATACTGTTTGCTTTCATATTTAGGAGCTAATGCTGTACAAAGAGGATATTTTAACCAAACCAAAATTGCTAGTTTTGAATAAAATTGATTGTGTTGGAGACAATGATATATCTTCTATACACGGTACGGTTTCGTTCCTCATTGTTTATAATTGTCAAGCAAAACACTAGAGTCGTTACTAGAGTATACTTAGTATTCGCTGTGACGTAGTTTGCTGACGAACTTACAAAACAATCTTTATACAAAAACCCCTGCTGATAAGTATTCAGAAAGTGTACTGCTGAGTTTGTATTGTTAAGAGAATGTAATATTTGCGATCATTTTAGAAGAATTGGTACACAAGGGCATGGAGCTTCTAACAAGCACAGAACATGGGAACATGGCAAACAATTCTCTATTTGAACATGTTCTTGCTGTATCAGCATTGAATCAGACTGGTATTGAAAAGGTACAGTCTGTGCTGCAAGAACTAATCAGAAAATTACAATAATTACCAGCTACAATATTGTTGTCTGTATATATAAGTTGACATACAAAGAGTTATACGAGACAAGTCTTTTTCGTTGAACTTTAAGCTACCAAACCAGGAACTACACTGGTAAGGGGAAGATGCGCACATTCATATTGGGATCATGTCTCCTGGAAAGAGCGTACACTTGATAACATGTATACAAATATTACGTGAACTCAGCTGAAATATATTTTCAAGATTGTTAAAATATACATTTACAATGCCTTCAAGTTAAATCCTGCTTTAGAAAGTGTTCAGATCTAACCATCATCTCTTAAACATATCTTCATATATTTAACAGCCATTCGGTTTTATTGGATTAAAAAAAAGCATTATGAGCCATTTACATGCTGTCATAACATATGTTGTCATCAGATTGAACTCGTGGTGTATTTTTAAGCCCAATCGTCATTATATATGCAATGTAATGTAATATTGAGGCGTAATGAGAAAATTAAATTTTGTGAAAGATTTTGAAAAAGTTCAATATATATTGTTATTAATTTACTTTGATTTCCATCCAGCAACTACTGTTCCAAGTTCTAACCAACTGTTGTACTTCAGAGTTTTGCTTTTCCAGGTTTCAGGGATAATGCTTTCTCCAAACTAAAACAAAGTGTATAAAGACATCTAATAATAATGAAAATGGTAGTATAAACAAATCACATATCTATAAATGTCAAAGTAAGATAACTGATGATGGTTTGTTTAGTTTAGCAGCCAGTTGACTTAACACTAAACGTCTCACCATAGCTCCAAAGCAGGCTGCAATGAATGCACTTCTTGAAGCATTGCATCCTCCAGCTCGCATTGTTGTACGAACTCCTTCCGCCATGTTACTTGCCGTTATAAGGGCATGTACACTGGCCTGGAAGGACTTTGGTACGCCTATAGTAATAAAACAATACAGCTTATGGAAAAGATAATATCATGAATACTGCATTTTCTTTATTTGATCGATGCATAGAGAGTGGGAAATACAAAAAGACAGGAGACAAAATAATCAAGGCTTCAAAATTACCTCAGCTGTTGACAAATCTCTTTGGGACAACTTCAGTGTGTGGTACATCTTTACTGTCTATGACCTCCTTCAAAAAGCTGATCATTGCTCGGTCGAGATCTTGGGGATTGGTACGATCATTTGCAGCAAGACAATTCATGACATGTTTCACAACATCCAACATGGTATCACTTGTGTTGGTTGTTAGTAAACATCGTTCAATTATTCTACAAACAATAGTACAGTTTATAGGTTCATGGAAGTTGCAGAGTGAACATGATCCTTTGCCCCCATTTATCATTCATTGGAGGTGGTGAAGCATTAAAAAAGCATTCAAAGTCATAATGAGCATTACAATGGTGAATATGATAGTTAAAGTAGTGGAGAGAAACAGCTTGCCAGTTAAAGTGAACCTATAGCAAAGATTCTTACCTTGCTGCTGTTAGTGCAGAAACCACAGCCATATCATCATCTTGTGTCATCCTTATCACATCCTCCACATGAAAGAGAAGGTCTGGATGTCCAGCATACATTGCAACAAGTGGAGCTAACTTGGTAACCCCATCAATTTGTGCATCATCAGGGTTACCTACAGTAAATGTGAACCATGTAGAGGTATCTAATACACTTTTACACCTAGTTCACTCATTTCATGGCTAGTATAATAGCCTTGATAATAATCCCTTAGTAACTGAGTATTTAAATGTAGAAAACAATAAGTTTTACATATATAATTTGACCATTAAACAATCAGATATTGTACCTGTTTCTTCAGAGTTACTCTCCATTTTCTTAAGGAAATATTTTATGCTGCCATTTCGCCACCCTGATTTTATAGGCAAACCAGTTTTCAAAGCTAAAAAAACAATATTACATCTAGATCAGATGTTGAATTAGACATTTGCAGGCGTGAGGTGTTGAATTAAATTGAAACCTCCCAGGAATTGCTGAATATGCACAAGTGTATTGCAGAGGTTGATAAAAGAAGTGGACAAAACTATGTGTACTGTGATCAAGCTTCAAGGACATGCAGGAAACTGGATAATAAAAGAAAATTTATTGAAAAACTCCAAGAAGGATGACACATAGATGAATCTACTCTTGCGTGGCGTTCTCCAGGGGCTGGTTGTATAAAAACGTAGTTAACTTTGAACTCATAGTTAGTGACAAAATTGACCAATCAGAGTCGTGTATTTCTGTGTTAACTACGCCAAATGTAGTTAAGAGGTTTATACAAACCACCCCTGGTGGGCCGTGGAGCATAGGTAATAGACCATGGGTACAAGGTTGGTGGTAATTATGAGGACTGATACCTTCTTCCATCATAGCATACTCTGAGTCAGGACCAAACATTTTGTAGGTAGCTTTTTTCAGGTCTTCAAGATCAAACTCTAAAAATGAATGTAAATTAGTTGTTGCAAATTACATGCAGCAGAGTGAGACATATGCCAAATCAGGGGTGCTGGGTGCAAAAAATGGTCTTTTGCAGGATCGAATTAGGCATGTTCCTGGTTTTTGTCCTAATAATCATGTATGCCTTTTTTCTTCAATTGCATGTATTATATAGTCATATAGATAATCTGAAGCCATGTACGGAGTTTGATTTTAGCCTATACCTTTCTGTCTTGCTAATGATATTAATATGGCATGAGTCTGGTCTCCATAACAACTTTGTTTGCCAGTCTCTAGACAGTAGAATGCATTAGCAGAAGGACTCCAGAATTCTATTTCTTCGGCATTACCAACAGTGGCTTGGAATTTTTCCAGGTCATAAATCCAATGAAGTGGCTGGGCTACAATAATTGACAGAAATTTTATTGGCATTACAATATGAATTCAAAGCATGAATTCACTTTTTCAATAATTACAATGGCATAGCTTCCATAGCTTTTGTACAGAAATTCAAGTTGTAAAATCAGTACTTATTTACTAATTGCAATAGAGTTGAAAAATCTTAAGGAAATAAAATTCAAACAGACATTACTCTAAAATATGAAATGAACAACTCACCTGCAGCATCTGCAATAGCAGAAGCTAAAATACAACCAAGTTTTCGGTTCGTAATGTCCATCTTTGAACATCTATGATCTATGATCTATTAACATTCCTACATATATAATGTCATTATTAATGTCTGTAATTAAAATATTTTTGGCAAATTATGCTAATTGCGAATTTGCGCAACGTTTATAGTAAAAGACATGACGTATTCCACTCGATTGAAAATCCATGAAATCTCCCGTCTCTATTTTTTATCGTAGACTACATGAAGTATACGCTATTACGCATATATTTTTTCCCATTATGTCGAGTTCTATTTCTCAACAGGAAGAACACTATATATATTACGCTATATAGGTCAACAAATCATCATAGAAACATGAATTACCGATTCCTAGGAAAGACAGGCATGGAGGTATCCATCCTCAGTTTTGGTAAGAATTGTTACGTTACTCACTTTATACTTGGGGTTGATTTGCATTTTTATGGTTGCACATTTGCATGTTTGTGGCTTTGTGCTGTTGTGCAAACATGACTTCTCGTGGGGTGGCATGCAAGGTTTCTACCATTCAAAAAAAACGCCAGTGTATTAAACACTGCAATTTTTTAGGGAAAATATGAAAATGTCATATTTATGTCTACCATAGATGTACCATAGATATACCAATGCCCTTCTTGCCCTGATTTCATCATTTTCATGAAAGAGGCTAGGGAGAGGCAGGCTCAGAATGGATTGTAAGGATGCCAAATTTCAAAACTATTGCATATAATAATGTTGACGCAGCAACTTTCCACAGAGGGCTAATCTAAAGAAATGGTGCTTGTTGAAAAATTTCACTGGACGAACATGTTATTTTCTGAGGGAAAGGTATTAAAAGGGATTGGCAAACCATTTAAAATGTTTTTACAATGGTAATGTCCTGTTGGGTTAGCTCATTGGTGCTCATAACAATATATACCAACAGTTTGTCATATTTAAAGAAATGTAACAGTACAAAATGTAAACAAAGCATTTGTTTTAATACATATCACATTTAACTAATAACTGTTTCATTCTAAAAGTTGTAAATTCATATTTTATCAAGGAGCATCATCATTAGGCAGTGTATTTCATTCAACTCAAGAAACAGAATCGATTAAAGTTGTTCAAGAGGCTCTAAAGAGTGGTATTAATTATATTGATGTTGCACCTTGGTATGGACATGGAAAAGCTGAAACAGTTTTGGGAAAGGTTATCTATATCAATTTACAATAATTGTATTTTTTGAGATAAAGTTATTTCAGCATTGCCTTGTCAGTAGACAGTATAGCTTGGTACATCTATACATGAGATAACTACCGTATTTAAACAGTTACGTTAGTTATCACTTACCACAACCAGCTGATCTGTGTACAAAAATCAACCAGTCAGAAGTTAGATCTTTGACAAAACTGATTATCATTTCCTTCATTTCATATTTTACCCACAAATGAGTTATAAAAGTTTATATACAAGTGCTGTATAAATTTATTCTGCATTGAGTGCTTTTTCTTGTGAAAAGTGTAAAAGATTTCAGGCACTGCCACTGCACTTTGTGTTTTTCTACAAATTGTTTACTTGGTCATGATAAACTTGTGCAATATCAGGTCCACATTGAAAAAGCTTTAACGCGGAGCCAATTTCTAACGAGCTGATGATGATTGATATAATGTTCTTTGTCAAAAATATTGAAGATTCATAATGGTGATCAGCCCAAATATAAACACGCAAAATTAGAAATGGCAAATTAATTAAGACAATCTGAACACCAGCTTTGATAATAGTCGTATTTTTCCTCAGTTTCACGTCGCCTTCCTTGTTTCCTGTGAGTTTGTGCTGAAGCAACGCTAATGGGGAAACCACAAAATTCAAGCACGAGAAGAATATAATGCACGCAATCGTTTGTGTTGAAAGTTTAAAAAAAACTGGTCCCGTTTGATGTTGAAGAAGAATAATGTCCAGCATTTCAATTCCATCAAATAAGTCCAACGAAGCAGTAACTGACAACGTTACAACAAATTTCCAATGTTCTGGCGAAATTGTGATATTTAGTAGCAAGATCAGGAGAATAGGAGTAACACAAAGCATAAACCGCAATGCGTTGATACCTGGAACTTCATCATTTCCAATTTTATCAACTACGAGACCAAATATGACTGCCACGATTGGTACAAAAGCAAGCACAATGTATATAAACCAAATCCCCCAGACAAAAAGCACTTGATTGTCGTTTTTTGCGTATTCATATCTCACTAAGAAGTATAAAAAAATGCAGAATTGACGGCAGATATGCCACGAAAAATGCACCCAAACTACTAGTGATGTGTTCAGCAATTAAAATAGAAAAAACCGCTCCTTGTGCGAAATATAATGTAACATAACTAAATCCACCAAGCCAGAGTAGACATTCAGAACGGACCATATCCGGAGATTTAAGACAGATGACAAATGACTGAATGTTTTTGTCAAAACAACTTGATTTGTTCGTGTATTTTATAATGCATATAAGTCACCCACACCAGGTCAGTAATAAATATTTAAACAGTACATTTCTCTCGAAGCAGGTGCTGGGATTAAACAGACACACAACAATATTAAAAATGAATACATAAATCAGTGACGATGTTGACAATATGTGACGCGACAAATCTCCTCAAGTCCCCGAAATTGAGTCGAAACCGGTTGATACTCTGTTTGACTTTCGTACATGTTGTCCACGATTAATCCACATGCATGGAAGAATTTGTTTGATATTGAAGAGAATAATTCTAAAAATGATACAACAGTATAAATTGTCATTTAAGCTTTATTTTCGAACATGTCAATTAGAATGATAATTGTTTGAAGACATATAAAATAATTAACATAGAATTATTATTATAGAAGCTTGTTTTTTGCGTCATTGACATTGTCTAACGATGGCAAATATTGACGGATAACGATTATCACTAGTGTCAAGTAATATTTTCAATATAAACTAATTAGTCGCATTCATTTTAGGCATTAAAGGATGTTCCAAGAGACTCGTACTATTTAGCTACTAAGGTAGGAATAAAGTGATTAGCCTTTGCTGGGGAATGCCAATGATCTTTCCTCTCGTAACCCTGGTTGGGATTTAAGCATATAGGAGCAAGGCTAGGCCGGGTCTCGAATAAGAGAGGAAAAATAGTTGAAAGGCATGTGAAAACCTCCTGTTCGTTCAAGGCGAACCGAAATTACCTTGAATGGTAAAATCACTAATAAAAACAGTTCACTGACAATTGAGAAAAAACACTTTTCCTTCAGCCTTGGTAGCAGTTGTGCCCTCAATCAAAACCCTTGATTTTCAGGTTTTCCCTGTAGGTTGGGCGTTATCTTCCTGAAATTGATAAAATGTTTGATTTTTCCAAAGAGAAAGTTGTTGCTGGTTTTGAAGCAAGTTTGCAACGCCTTGGATTGGATTATGTTGATGTACTTCAGGTTGGGGAATCTATATAATATGGAACTATAATCACATGAATAAACTTGAATTTTAAAATTAGAGCGAACAGCGGATGAGATAAACCTGATCTTTTCTCATTAACGGGTTGTTCAATGCCAAATAGGTCCACGATATGGAATTTGCTCCATCTTTGGATATTATTCTCAATGAGACTCTTCCTGCTATGATGAAGGTATGTTGTATGATCTGATATATTATATACAAATGACTGAATTGGAAATGTATAAAACTTTAAGACGTTTAAATTTCCTTGTATATTTTAGCTTAAAGAAAAAGGAAAGGTGAAATTCATTGGCATCACTGGGTATCCACTTGAAAATTTTAGGTAAATTTTTCCCTTAACGTTTTACAAGAATAAAACGACTTGTACAATTAAGGTGATAAGTTAAGGTTACAATTAAGGTTATAATCATTATGACACCTTTATTTTGTGTGGTTAAGTGTGCATTATATGTATGATAGTATTATTATTATCTTACTTTCTAGGCGTGTCTTAGAGAAAACATCGGTTCCTATTGACACTATTTTATCGTATTGTCATTGTTCAATGAATGACCAAACATTATTAGGATACATAAATGATTTTAAGGTATACTCTGTTTTCGTCCTCAAGCTTACATGGAGTATGCTGATAATTCCCGTCTCTATTTATTTCCTTTTATCTCAGAAATACGACGTTGGAATAATAAATGCATCTCCGATCTCAATGGGTTTGTTGTCAAACAGAGGACCTCCGTCATGGCATCCCGCTACCCAAGAGATCAAAAATGCATGTAAACACGCAGCTGAATATTGTCAAGTATGGATTTTTAATGCTATTGCATGAGTGCGACATGCAGGCACACATTGCTTTGAAGGTATTAACCGTGTGCAGCAGTTATTTTAAACGATGCTGGAAAACTCTTCATTGGAACGATGAAATGATTTTCGTGTTCTAAAATGATTCAAATTAGAGCTTTCATGAAATAGAACATGAAGAGTTGAAATTGTTCTCCAATGCTATACTGAGTTTGAACAAGAAACACTCATCTGGTTCTAAAATTAAGGGAAGACAAAGGTTTATGCTTGCCTTCATGTATGTTCATAATTTTATGCTTTCAGCGGCAGGGTATTGATATTTCTAAACTGGCGATGAAATTTTCTTTGGGTTTTGATGAGGTCGCTACAACTCTTGTGAGCACAGCAAACATAGAAAACCTACGAAGAAACATTGCAACTGTCACGGAGGAATTAAGCAAAGGAGAAAAAGAGGCAATGGAGTTTGTTATAGAAAAGTAAGTGCGCTGTTTGACGCATAGCGACATTCATTATATCTCTACTAATTTGAAAATTCTCCTCAACACCTTTTAATACTTTCGGAAGAAGGTAACCCCTATACCGTAAGGTTTTAGGTGTTGGAAATAAGAGCATTTATTAAACATTTTAACGGTTTATTCTCCATTAATTTTCTTTTAGTTATTTTAGTAAACTTGAAGAAAAAACTTGGGAAGGTGTGGAAGTAAAAAAGTATTGGGAAAATATGGAGCATTTTAAATCCACTTGAATTATTTTTTTCTTGACCGGCTAGAAGCCTGAACATTACTGGTAAATATCCTGTTTTTCAGAACTGGAACGTCACAAGAAAAACATGCGAATTCTGCACTAAATCAATGACACTTATTAGCCAAAAGTACATTCTGATTCTGATTCTGATTCTTTTTTCTGGAGTTTTCTTAAAGCTCGTTGGCTGCATTTTTGTTGTGTTATCTAAGCCAGATTGATTAACAAATTGAAATGCAATTCTTTAGATTGAAATGGTGTTTTTGCCCTTCGAGTCCTGATGGTAAAAGACAAGGGAGGCATCAGAACACCCAGCCCTTTGCTAGGAGTCACAATACCGTCAACCGTTTAGCGAGTGCATGTATCTCTTGACTCGGACTATCAGACTTTTTAAATTTCTTGCCCAAATCCTTACGCAATTCAAATCATAAGCGTTGGTGACAAGGGGAGGGCTCTCAACTGGTCTTTACATCTCACAACACATTTCTGTTAAGACGCTTCGCCATTTTCGGATTATCTTTTATTTTAGACCGACCTCATAAAGAGCTACTAGCTTGAGCTACCGATCTCAAGAGACGGTGGATCAGGAATTTTTATGCAAAATATCAGAACACGCAAAAAACCTGCCGAGGAAACAGCCTCGCTATCCAGTGGTTCTGGCTCTGCAACTAGCGCCGCAAAGGTTTGCGGGAGACGCATATTATGCATATTAGCTTGAGCGACGGATTTTTGGACGTCAACATGAAGAAATTACAGTTTTTACTATTTTTTTATGTCCTTGTTTCCTTTGGTTATATCGAGATATTTGGTAATGGTAAGTATGTAGCAGTATGCTAACGATGTTTGTTTGTTATTAATTATGTTATCTAGTTATCTAATAAGCGTTTCTACGCTCTGTAACCGTGATGAATCATGGCGATGCTAATAAGTGACTAATAGCACGCTTTTACTTTGTAGTCTTTGTTCTACCATCAGATCAAAAACTTTCTCTATATATTTCCCTTGTTTCCGGGAAACGCATGTAAAATTATGTTGGTGTATTTACCTTTCCCTCAGGCTGATTGCATTGTATCCTCAGTCCCATGACATTTAATATTTATATCAGACCTTACGTTTATGCACATTTTATTGTTTCACCCAATGGCCTTGTTCGACGCCTTGTTTTCATGTCAAAACAGAATACTCGCCTTTGTGAGATTTTTTTGTATAAATTCTAGCGTAAAATCGTTACCTAGAAACACTGTGGTTACTCTGATGTTATTATGCAGTTGTTAACAAGTATTTTAACATGAAAATTGATTTATATTAATCATTAGTTTTTCTAGACAATTCCAACAGCAACTATGTTGGGCAAGTAAAAATTCAGCCAGAAGATCCCCAATGGACAAATTACACCAACAAAAACAATTGCTACTCATGTCTTGAAACTTGCCTATATAAACATAAAAGGTAATAACTATAGTGTACTGTATTCCACTAATGAGACTCAATCTTAAAGTTTTAAACCATGTTTATCTATTCACAAATCATTGTACTGGATCAATCATTGTAATGATTATATGCAAATTTATTTTAAATTGCATGCAACCTTGACAATAATGAGGTTAATATTGTTGACAAAAGTTCCACCTAAATTTTTTCCCATCCTTATTTCACTATTTAAAATAATATTTGTTATATTTTGAAATCTGATAAATAGTTTTATTACATGAAAGAAGATGATTCAATTTAACATTTTGTTTACTATCCTGTTGCTTTCATCTCTTGTTCTTCCAGAGTTAAAACTGCAGGGTGTGGTCAAGGACTTCAATGTTTCTGTAGTGATTTAAATTATAGTCAATTCCATTATTTTGAAAATGATAACAATTGTACTGGGTAAGTGACTTCTCAGTTATCCTAGTAGAACCTGACCATTCATATGAGTGAATATGAATCTAACATAAGAGGCTTATCAAATAGCCGTGAACCCTATATTGCATATTTTCTTGATTTATGTGATTATTATTATTATTCTATTAAATGAAATTCAGAATATTTGATTTCAGTACACTATGAACTAGGAAAAAAGAATTAAGCCCTGTAGAAATACCAGGAAATTTTAAATTATTGGGCACAGGATAACACAATTTATTATTGCTGCATGAGAAACTGTTGCGGCTGTGTAGATGGTTTGCAATTGCTGCTATCTTAGTTGCAAAAATTATACTTATCATTGAGAAACACTGTAGCTCAGCTGCTGTATTTGAATAGCCAATTAAAAACAGTGGACAAGAAATTGAACTGGCCCAATTGAAATTACCACTAAAATTTAATTTGTCTTCTTTCATTAACAATGATGCTTAAGTTTCAAACAAACCAAAATGATAAAACTTCAAAAAGCCAGCTCAATTGGCTCCAAGATATTGTTGCTCCTTGTCAAGTTCTCTAGACGGCCATGATACACACAAGCTTTACGTTTTTCCTTGTTGAAAAGCTGGCATGACTAGCTTTTGAACAGACCTCCTTGTCAAGGAAAACCTGCATGTCAATTTTTCGATTACTCTATACCTTACACACGAAGAAATAAAACTTGGCAACTTTTATTATCCTGAACTCGACTGAAGTCGGAGATTCTCGTTATTTATACATTTTAAATTTATATTGTATACCTAAGCCTAAGGCCATTGTTCAAGTATAAGAGCGTTAGAATTTCTATTTTAGTTGTCTTCAAGATGGCAATGGGTCCGTGTCAGACTTGGTGGATTTACGTGTATACAAAATGACTGGTTTTACATTACGTCTACGGTTTGATAAATACATTCAGCGTGGCTCGTCTTTTAAATTGGGTCTTGAAGCATTATTGTATGAAAATGGGACGTCAACGAATGATACAGAAATATTGAAAGACTTTTTTCTGGCTATAAACTGTGAAGTAATAACAAGGCAGGGGAAGAAAAAGATTCAGACAAATTGTTTAGGAAACTTCAAGTTTACATCACTGGGAGACAATAAAATTTGTCTTAGTATCAATCGAACTATCTATTCATGTGGAATAGTAACTGTTCTTGAACACGTTGTTGTTACACCGATAAGGAGTAGTCATGGTCAATTTGGTATGAAATTATATTCCAAAATAGAAGGAACAGTCTACAACATATCGTACTATTTGGACGATAAGAAACTGGAAACAGTGGATACTATCACCCAGTACCATCATATAGTGTTTAAATTTTGTCAAATTGACTGGGAATTTTGGCCACCAGCTGTTATGTTAGGGGAAAAACAAAAACTTACAGTTATTGCAAGTAATCCATTAGGCAGTGAAAGAAGAGACAAAATATTTAAACTAAGTCTGAGGGTGTCAGATTTCGTCATTTCGTTTATTTCTAACAAAACAAGTAACATACTTAAGATAAACGTTCAAGTAAAGAATGTCACTGTGTATGGGCAGTTGAAGTACCAATGGTTGTTGTTTGGCTTTTGTGGAAAAACGTTCTTTTATGGTGAAAACATAACGACTGGTGAGTTCTAAATCTCACTGTGCAAATACTGCATGAAATATTTCGCGCCATGTCACGGGGCGAGGCTGTAACCAATAATTCAGATATTTTGTCGTGAGGATGTTTCTCTGGAATACTGTGAAATTTAGGATGTTTGAAGGGGGATAGCAGAATGATGTTTATAGCCAGTTTAGGTAGGATGCTGACCATGCGTTTTATTCGTATTTATACTTGAAAAACATTTATATGCATAATATTTTTAATTTTTCTGTCCAATTGACCATCTGAACCGGACAAATTCGTTAAACCGTTCATGCATGTTAACAATTATTTATTGTGTATTTTTAGTCCCAAAAGTAACATTAAGAACTCGTTCATCATACATCCCTAAAGATGTGCGTGCAGGGTGCAAGATTGGTCTTCGCCTGATTGCCAAAGATGGCTCTGCAGGTCAAACAAAAACCGGGATTTTGTTTGAGAATTATCGATATCGAAGTAAAGTATAGCTATTAACCAATCCGTTTCATCAATGCTCAGTTTATACGTGGCATTATAAACCTCGTTTAGCCTTATTGCCATGATCTTTATTATCCATTGTTTTAATTGAATTCAACCCACACATTCATCAGTGAATTCAACGCGACGAAAATGCGACGAATAAACTGAGTAAACTGCATGCATGCATGGTTCTGATATGCCTGCGATGTTTGTTATCGGATTAGCAGATGTGCATGTGTCGCAGGTAAGTTCCAGGCATGAAGACCAGGCTCGTTATACCAATACTCGTATTGAACATATTTCTTTAGAATATCGATTCTCAGTAAATTCCCACAGTGATTATTTTCTACGAGGAGAGGCTACGTTTACTTTTACTGTGAATGAAGGCAACAGAGCTCCTCCAGGAGGTTTGCGTTACATTTGGAAAGTTAATGGCAAAAATATGTCGTCGAATAAAACGTTTAGACATATATTTAACGAAACTGGAAGGTACAATACAATATACCCTTTTGCTGCTGTTGTATGCATGCTAATTATTTACTTGGTTAGGAATTCTTTAGGAACTTGTAGCATGTATATCATGTAGATTAAAATTGCTTTCTTCGGCCTGTTTTGGTTTAGCTACATTGTTGGCCTATTTGCCTATTTCAAAGGCAGGATATACTTTTTGGCTGCAAAGAACGTTTCTGTACGGGATCAACTAACGAAGGTCTGTTATCAAAACAATATTTACAATTTGGTTGTAAATATTACAGTTGTGAAATCCCTGGTTATGAAAAATACTTGTTGTTCTGTAGTCAGTTGTACTTTGAAAAAGAAGATGAAGAGTGAACTAAACGTTTTTATTTTAAGTTGGAGATTTTTGTTTCATCGCTCCGCTACTTTGGAGAACCAGTGTTAATGCAGGCGAAGACAAACATTAACAACAATGTGAATTATTATTGGGATTTTGGCGATGGTAAACAAAAACAAACACCAAAAAACATTGTCGAACATCGATATAAAAAGTAAGTATCTCCACAAAGCACATGCAGTACAAATGTTTAGTATATATGCTTCGTTCTATTGCTCGTTTTCTAGTGAACGAAAATACGAATTGCTTGTCTGGTTTTATAATTAATTTTCCAAACAATGACGAACAGTCCAAACAATCCACTTTCTACAAGGCGGGGAACAAGGAGGGACGAACTCCCCCCCCTGTGGAATTTGTGTTCAGTCTACCAATTGCACTCAAAAGTCAGGCAATTTTTTGTTCAAATTATTCGTTTGTTCTTCTTTTCTTATTTTTTATACCAGCATGTAATATTTTCTGAAAGTGTTTGTTTTCTAGGCCTGGTACGTACACAGTCCAGGTTGTTGCGAATAACAAAGTTAGCGAAATTTACGCAAGTGAAACTTTCAATGCAACTGAACTATGTCCAGACGGTGGGTTTGAAACGTCATTTGAAGATGGAAAAGAGGCAAGATTTGTATAACAGTACACTTTGTTATTTATTTTTGTTCTTTAGTAATATTCTGTTCCATCCAGCACTGCTATTTATATATATTTGTAAATATATTTATTAATATACACGAAAGTGTACACATACACAGGGGTGGATCCAGCACTAGTGCACTAATTTGCATGACACAAGAAAACTGCTCAAAATAGCCATTTTGTTTTGTAATGCAAATTAATGCGCTAGTGCTGGATCCACCCCTGCACATACAGCACTCAGCATATGTGATAGCACTCTGAATCTCATAGTTCCCGTTTTCGCATGGCTTGTGGTTACCATGCAAGTGCCCCATGTGCTTTAACTTTTCTTCATTGAATCTTGGGGTTTTAGGTTCAACAATTTCGCAGTAAACCGATTCATCTAGAAATTTCAACCAGAAAATTGGTTTGCTTGGAACCTGTAACAATCTTTTTCGGATGGACGGTAATTATCAGTGTTGCCGCTTCGCGCATAAAATTAACGTAATTATATTGTAAAGTTGTGTTATTGCTAGCACCAAGTGAACTTCATATATTTTTATATGTCCCAGTGGGTTTATACGATCTTTTGCTATTTTGTTATAAATATTAAGTGCATGGTTGCAGTTTTTTTTATTCACCCCGTACATTATTATAAACCTGCCAACTTAAAAAAGAAGCATAAATGAGGTGTTCTGATCGGTGATATAGAGCTCATGTATTAAACTACTTTCTTCAGGTTTCTAAATGGACAGACGAAAGAGCTGAGTGGCGCGAATGGATAAACCTAAAAAGTAATATATCAACAAAGAGCATTTTTATTCCTCCGAATATCCTCGCCTATGGAAAATATCGCTTCATAGCGACAGTGAACGTAAGCACAATTTTACTAACGTAACCACAAGTCCGCCTTCGTTCGTTTAATTTTCCATTCTTGTGCAAAGAGAACTTGTATTTTTAGTTTAATTAAGTTTGTTTTATCCAATGATAGATCACTGGTTTTCATGTGTTGCATTCCCAAACATTTTCAATGAATGTCAGCGTGACAAGAAGTCCTGTGTATGCTATTATCCGAGGTGGCTTCATCAGACATGTTAAAACAAATTCAACATTTCTTCTCGATGCAACTCCTTCATTTGATCCCGAAGACTTGAATACGGATCTCAAGTGAGTACGTCTTTTGGTCATCAATTAATTATTACCACATTAATTTTTTCATTTTTCTTACTAGATTTGAATGGTCGTTTCCTGGTGTTGGCAAGAGAAAAAACCAAGCAGTTATTGAACTAGACTCAAAATCTTTGAATCAGTCAACAGAATTTAAACTGAAAGTTTACTCAGGAAATAGAAAAAATGAAACTTCACAGCATATTATAATTCAAAAATCACAAGAAGTAAAAGCAAAGTGAGTGTTGAGACTTGGTGTCATACTCCGAATATACTCTAGTCAGTGCACGGAGCTGACAGTCGACTACTTGATTATCAGGATATAAATCTATATTCTAGCATGATCTTGGACTGTCCATCGTGTGATTTGGGCCTGAATCCTAGTCAACCTACAAGAATAATGGAGAAATGTAGTGACGGAGTTTGTCCTTCGCAAGATAAAATGTTATGGAAGTTATTCGAGTTGAGGAATGAATATGGGGATCCCAAATTAGATCCGATCTTTTGCAGTGGTTTCGACCAGCCATTTAGTCTAAATAACGGTGAGTAAATCCAAGTCCGATTTGATCCAGTTAACATGCATGTCATGTGTTTATTACCACATCATTGCACCACAAACTTAATTAAAGAAAGAATATTGTAGCTTTGATACGCTGTTTTTCCGGTTTTAAACAACGTTGAGTTATTAGACTCAAGATTTGGTTTGTTGATATTGGTTTCTGGACATGAATGGAAACCGATGACTCGTAAAGTTTTTGCACAAAAATCCCTGCGTTCAATGAGTGCAGTGTTTTTCAAACAGAAGAGATCACAATGCATATGTTACATTAAACACCATATTATTGGTCATTTGCAGGAAGTAAATCGAAAGTCAGTTACAAATTCCACGTCTGTGGGAATGAAAAAGCAACGGCTACCATGTGTAAAGAGCTAAAAAAAGAATTAGGATTATTCTGCACACGATCAACTAAAGAAATAGAACTTGCGTTTAGGAGAAAAGATCAACATTCTGAAATGCTTGATATTGAAGATAATACATTTCCAGCGAATAAAGTATTTACAATTAAACGTATAGATGACAAAATTTCAGATAATGTTCTGGCAGAACGATCTTTTATTGTTCAAAACAAACCTCGAAACTATTCTTGTTTTATCACTCCAACGAAAGGTGTGGAACTCTTCCAGGATTTTCAAATTACTTGTGGCGAAGACAAGGTATGTTTTTTTCAATTCTACATGCATTGTGTAACATAAAATGACGACATGCATGCATAGTATGGTTCAACTAAATCGACTTGTCTTCAAGAAAATCGTGCGTCGCGTGCAGAAATCCCACATTTCGAAGAAAACCATTCTTTGTAAGATTGTAAGATTGATTGAAAATATTTTCATTTCAATTTTTACAGAATGCCCGTTTAGTGTACAAAATCGTTTACCAGCGAGGTGGCTCAATTCCGTCGAATATTTTCTTTCAACGAAAAATCCCGCAGTTCAAGTTTAATTTGCCATCTGGTGAAGGTATTTCAAAACACTCCACTGAATAATATATAATATGGCGCGGGCGAAATGGTTAATCAAATCATTCTTATTTGCAGTTAAGAACTCTATAAAAATTTTGATTGAAAACGAAAATGGTGTTGCAAGAGTATACTGCGATATTGATGTGACAGTTACAACATTGCTACCTGGTCAAAATACAACCAACAATGTCGTGGAATATTTGTAAGTAACTAAATCAAACAAATGTGACATGGAAACTTCGAGACTCTCAAGATGTAACAAAATTAATATCATTTATCTTTTGTAGATATAATCGGTCAATGACTGTGAATGATTGCTTTGCGGAGCATCCTTATGCCTACCATGGTCAAACATTATATAACATTACCTTGATCTCAGATATCCTGAATAGGTATTTATTCTGTGATAATCCTATGACAACTATACAAAAATACAACAATGTTATTGTTTCTTAGGCAAAGAGTTGTTTCAACTTCTGCAAATTTGTTTTTACGAACTCGAATTCGAGAAATCCTAATAGATATCCTTAGAAGAGTTACTATCTCTGATGAGGTATGTAGAGTGTATCCTGAACACTTAATTGACATCATCCTATTACATGATCATGACATGTTTTATTTTCAGGGCTGCTTATACCACTTCAGCACTTTTCCTAACCTGAATGTCATGCAGGCCTTTATTTACACTTTTCCATGCAGCTGTGTGCATCCACGCACAGAAACTGAGTTTAAATCGTTCAAAGTTTTTAGAACAGAGCTGTTGTACTGGACTAACACGATAACTAACCGCTATTCACTGCCAAAGTGTAACAGTTTCTCGCCTATATACAGTCTGATTTTAGGGTATACCTGTTCTCCTTTATTTTGCGCAAAATAAAATGAACTTTTTTTGCATACATGCATGCACACGTATCTTAGATTTATTATGGTAAAAGTTATTCTATCGTGGCAAAAAGTATTAATGTCATAATTGAATATATTATATTTTGTAGTATATTGCTCGTCAGTTTGCCAGTTCTTTGGACAGTTGCACGAGGGTTTCCGAAGAGGTTAAGATAACTCTCTTGTACTTTGTAAAACATTTTTATCAGAAACTATACGTACAAACTCTTGCTTTGGTTTGGTTTAGTTTATAGCTATGTTTTATATGTTATTCAAGATTAGAAAAATAACTGAAATTTTTTTCTTCAAATTTTACAGTTGAGCAATAATAGTTTAGTTGCCGTTGTGGAGATCATTCACAAGCTAATGATAAGAAAGCGACATGGAATTGAACAAAAACTTAAAGTGACAAAACGTTTTGAAGAACACATCCTCACAGTGATAGATACGACATCATCAATCCTAGTAGATAAATTCAAAAACAAAGAACACGATGAAAAAATAATGGAATCAATTAATAATCTTTTCGAGGTAATATTTTGTTATTTTAAAACTCGAGTAACCTTCTCCTATTTTTACTCCCCTAGTTTCTTAATTTTGTTGTTATTCTCGTCCCCTGTCACCACCACTGCCGATGACCACTCATTGTTATTAATAGTTTTTATTATTTTTAATTCAAGAGTAAACTAAGAACAATGTTCGTGCGATCAAAGATGAATATTATCAATATTAAGAAAAATATCTTCAGTGCAAGTGTGTTTAAGTTCTCGCCTTATCGCAGTGAAAAAATTTCTTTCTTGTCTGGTAAAACACGTGTAACGCTGGAGACAATCAGTGATAAAGATTCACAAAAACAATACGAGTGTGACTTGTTTGGGTGCGGTTTTCAAGCAATCACAGTGAATAATAATCCTTTCAGAGACGACGTTAGATATCAGGTATACGTCATTACAAATCCAGGCTTTACTCTAGTCTCTGTAACTTCTAATAAAACTTTGAATAAACCGATCTTTACTGATTTAACAGTCTTGACGATGCGACAAAATTTTTTTTGTATAGAGTGAACTCATGCATGCATGCATGGAGACAACTTGTTTTTCTGTTTATGTAATATGACAAATAAACGTTGGTATCAAAACCTCATGTAATAATAGCATCGACATGACGCTTAATTATTTTTTACAGTGCAAAATATCGTCATAACCTAATCCCAAATTCCAAATCCCATCACTTTCGATACTCGTGTGCTGTGGTGTATTTATACACCATTTTCCTGATATTCCATGTTTTTCCATTTCAGAAAGTATCTTCGTTAACAAAGTTGACGACAAACAGTTGCAAACATCGAAAAAAAACATATTGTGCGGAAAGGATAAGAAAAACGAAAATTTCATTCCCTCTCAAAGTTCATAATGTGAGTATATATTAGGGTGGCGCGAATTTTTTGGCTGCCGGCATGTGATATATGCAACAGTTCTGTTCAAAATAATGATATATATACAATATACTGTACCAAAGAAATCTCAAACGCTGCCAGTCTTGTGCCATTTTCCTTGCTAGGCTCGTGATCGAGATACTCGATGGATTGTTATTCACAGAAAAGTGTATTTTATTACTATAATACCTAAACCATTTTCATGTAGGTCATGGTAAAATCAAATACGCAAAGCCTAAAGTCAACGGAAATTCACGTGTTCACTGTAAAACAAAATAGAAAGGTCCTAAAAGTTCACTTTGTTCCCGTTAGCTATCTGTCGAGAAAGATGAAACTGAGAGTCCAGATAAGGTTGGTGTATGTATAGCTATATAATCGTCAACTTGTCGATCAAGCTTTAATATTTTTAAACGTTATTCTGATTTTTTATCACAACTTGACTCATCTTTATTACATCTCACTCTTGTTAACTATTATTACCTATTTTTACTTTTATCAACTCTTATCACCACTTACCACCTCCAAACGCCTTCACACCCCAGAATAAATATCATCTAAATAATTAACTAGTATTATACTACTGTCTGGTACTTAAGTATTGTTTTTAAAAAATTCTGGCGTGATATGTGCATTAAAAATTTGGAAATAATTGAATATGATTTATAGATGCGCTGATGCAAGATACCGTTATGTCTCATCATCTGAATTCATCTTCTTCATCAATAACGATCCTTTTGTAAAGTTTCTATCTGCCAAAAGCTTTAGTGAGAAATGTAAGTACAAGTGCGTGGCGTGTAGCTATATTTTGCACCTGTAAAACTAAAGTTATATTGTTGGCAAGTTGTCGAAAGTTAACAATTAATATCCTAATTAGATGGGAATAAACCAGTGTAATAAACCATGTACCTCCCAATGCACCTCCCAAACATTATTAAGGGCGGCAAATAGTAACAAAGAAGATATAATGCCAAAAACAAAAGTTGTAAACTAATATAAGCCCGTGGGGAAAAGGCATAACTCAAATTGATTTGCCTAAAACAAATGAACCTGAATGACAAACGTATAACATCGTCGATGTTCAGAAGCAAGTTTTTTACCAACCTGGCTTGTACTGAGGGACTTTGCAGTTTTTTTGTTTCATATATGCGTCTAAATCTCCCTTGTTTCCCAACTGACGATATCATTTTTTACTGATAGTTTACCTATATTAACTTTAGGTATTTTAGACTTAGTTGGGCACTAACAGGAATCTATCCATTGCTTTCTATGAACGTGACCGACGTATACTTTTATAATTGTGCAGGTAAAAACTTGAATGTCACGGTGGAAATTCATTGGATAGTAGAGCCGACGAGATCAGAGGCAAGTTTCTCTTAAGTAGCTACATGAACTCTTGGTTATGCAGGGCAGCAGAGCGTCTCTAAAGCATTCTATTTATATTTCTATAAATATCACCATTTCTTGCACTTTTGCAATTGTAATGATGTAACATTTTCAAACACCGCCTGCATGTGGAAAGGTTTGGTTAAGACCATTATGTTTTATTCATTATTTGAAAACAACGAACTTAACAGAATTGGCCTGGGTCATTTTACGTTTTAATTTAATTTAAGTTAATTTATGAACTTGCCATGGTAAACAGTTACAATGAACTACACATAAATACGCAATGGCTGGAGTCACAACAAAGAGATAAGTCTCCAGTAACAGGGTTCCACAACTTACTTACAAATAGACAGACACAAACATACGCATATATTAAAAACTTAACAAATTTATAGGACTTTCTCGATACCTGAAGAATCAATTTTAATATATGATTTTTTTTTTCTGTAATTTTGCCAATTTACCTCATGCATCTTTCTGCATATAGTCTCTACAAACTAAAGTGAAATACAATTTGGATCTGGTATCGCTTGATTGTCTTGTAAGAAGTGGTAATGAGGCATGGTCAGAAAATTTATGTGAATGTGATTTAGATCACTCGCCATATTACGAGTTAAATTGCAGGTAATGTTTCTTAACGGTCGAGGAAGACTACAACATAAACAACTTTCTATAATCCAAAAAACACTAAAGTATATCTTAAAAATTTCCATTGTTCGTATAAGCAACGTCTGTGCATATTTTTTATCCCACTTCAAACTAGATTATTTATTAATAGGTCAGTTCTCATCTTTCGGTGAGACTTTCAAATGTTTTTAGGGATTTTGAAAACCTTTAAATTTATATGTATATATAGGCTATATCGTTTTTCTTTAAAGATGTCCCAAACTTCAAAGTTCAGATCATAGTTATGTCATTGTTGAAAAACGTTTGCCAGCTTCTATGAAGAAAACAATCGTTAAAAGGTAAGCGGGAAAGAAACTCTTTATGTAATTCAACAATCGGGTTAAATTGATTTTAAAATTATTTTCGAATAATATTTTTAGCAACGAAAATGACGCAGTAAATACAGTCATTCAGTTTTTATCGTTGTTCTATGTTGTGGTTGTCATTGTATTGTTCATCAAAGAAAGACTTGACTATAAAACAAATATGGCTATACCCCTGGAGCGTTCTAATCCAACTCATACGCATCAGTAAGTGTACCGTATACGTCATATAGTCATAATAGCTTTGTGCACATTTTCACTGAATGGTAAAATTTGGGTTTTTATCTTTGTGCATAAGTTTGAGTATGCTGGTCTAGGGCGGATAAACAACGTTCACATCAGGCCTATAGGCGTGGTCCAGGCCAAGTCAAAGCACGTAATGTTTAAGATCCAGGCTTTATCAATATGTACGAGGCCCACCGGCGAAGTTAGTATACCTCGTTCGTGAGTCTCTATCATAAATTTTATTACTCTATTATTTTATATAATAAATATAGGTACAAAATAACCGTTTATACTGGTCACTGTTGTGGGGCTGGAACAACAGCGAGGGTGAGTTTCATCTACAGCATTATCAGCTGAAATGAAAGATAATGACTTAGGCGTAGGAAGCTCTTTCGCGGTTAAGCCTGCATGGTTCTCGTATGTCCCCGACTGTCGGCGATTGCTATTGTCAGTGATCACGGGTGAATGAAATGCTTTGTTATTTTATATAAATTTTCTTCGTCACCGGCCATGCCCAAACAATATATCGGCGATATAGGAGAACCAGGTTTTAGTGTTCACCGACAATAAACCATCGCCGACCGTCGGTGAATACGAGAAGCAGACTTCATTGTGAAAAAGGCTAATTGTAACTATACATCTGAACCATGTAATCTGTATTGCCGTCATCTTGGTTGATATTTTAAACCATGTACGCAAGTCATTTCTGCACCATGAAGAGTCCAATTTTCCAATTCTTAAACATACCGGCCGGTCTTTTCTGTCCAGTTAACTCGTTTCATGATATGTACGTAGGTTGCTGTTGTCCTGTATGGAGACAATAATTCATCTTATCCTATTGAACTGTTCACTGAAAATCGACAAGTCTTTAATAGAAATTCAAGAGATGTTTTCGTGGTTAGGTGAGTTCATACGATGAAGACTTCATGACTCTTATTATTGTGTCTACTCTCACAGACCTATAAAACACTATACTTGCTACCCTACATGGCGTATTATATATTCATCAGTTCCTATTCGGGGTGTCCCAAAAAATTAAAACTTTTGAAATCATCATAAAAATGTGATAGTTTGAATGCCAAAGCATCCTGTGGGGACCCACAAGTGTATTTTTATGCGTGATGACAGTAAAATTTGTTTATACACACAAATGAACTTTATGAACAATATTTTCACTAGTTTTGGGGTTTTTTTCACGGGACACCATGTGTAACAAGGTTGTCCGTTGATCTCTTTCAACTCAACCCTTCAACATTGAGAAAGTGAATCGATTTTAAACTATTGAATTGATTTGTTATGATTTATACTTATTTATAGTGTGCAAGAGAATTTGGGATCGTTAAACTGTATCCACCTTTGGCATGATAACAGTGGTAGCTCACCATCCTGGTTTGTTGATAAACTTGTCATCAAAGACCTATGTACCAAACAAAAGTGGTAAGAATATTTTCATTTTACAAGAATATATAGTTTAGACGCTGGTTTTGTATTTAGTCTAGTTCTGTATTGTATTAATTGTAATGTTATCGTGTTCCGTTTTCATAGGTTATTCAAATGCAGAAGATGGTTGGCCGTAGATAAACACGATAAAATGGTAGGTTTTTAAAATAAAAATTGTCAGGAACTCTTGAAACAAAGTTGTCGTCTGTGTAGAAAGCCCGACCAATATTTTCGTGTCTACCATTTTACAGCTCGACTGCAAAATAGAAGCGTCGACTGACCCGAAAACAAACTTCTCGTTCAAGGTTTGCATTTATTTCCTTAATAATTATTAATTCCCTCGCCAAGTGTTCATTTCGACTTGTTTGATATTATTTATCTCCATGCTCGTGTATGGTTTGAAAAAGTGTCATTCGACACGACTTTTTTACTTGGAGGCGCTCAGTGCTCAGTAGCATAGCCCAAGCAGAACCTTTCCTATGCAAATGGAGCCCTCGAGGTAAATTAAAGCACAGTTAATCAATGTAAATAAAGCTCTTTAATTTTTAAATTATTTCACCTTTATAGGAACTTAGACTGGGCTTTGGGGAAAAATTAATGGACTTCCATATATGGTTGTCAGTGATTAGCATGCCAACATATAGTCTTTTTACAAGAGCTGAGGTACAATATGTTCATCTTTTTTATTTCAAGAAATTAATTGGTTTGATCTGATTATGCACTGAATAAACTATCCTAAATCGAAAAGATGCTAGTATTATAAACCTCTGGAGCCCTAATTTAAAACAATGTGCTTTACACGAACCCCAAAAACTATAGTTATATGTTAGTATTTTAATGTTAGAGCTTCAGTTTGCAATATATTCTGATTAGGTTTTGTTAGGTATAGTTGTATGCTATTTAGTTGTAGGAAAATATCTCTCATTGCTTCGCTGACCAAAATTTACATCGTTGAATACTTCTCTAACAAACTCATTTATATATTCTCTAGCGTGTAACATGCTGTATGACATTGTTGTTCGCATATCTTTTTTTCAATGCATATTTTTATGAACAATACGGAGAATATGTTGTAAGTATTTTTCAAAATTTTTCTCCTATAGGTATGGTGTGTATACGTTTATTTCTTCGCTTCAGTTAGGGAAGTTTTTTGTTAGTTGTAATAATCTTGTATGATCTACTTACAACAGATCCCTAATGGTATATCTGTGTTCAACCCAACCTGGTCACAGCTCAAAGTTGGTCTTTTTTCAACTTTGTCATGTTTTCCTATTTATCTTGTCTTCACTGCTGTGTTTCGGTACACGAAGTCCTTCGTGCATCCGCAGGTAATAAAATCTTTTATGTAGGCTACTGAAGAAATTTGTGTTCAAGCAAAGTATAAAGCTATAAATATCTATAAATTAACTAAAGAGGATTAATTAAACCTTTTATAGATTGAAAAGAGTGCTATAGTTGACCCACAACCAGGTTGGATGTTATTATATGCTTGAAGTTGGCACAAATAATTTTTTCATATTCGATCATTTATTTTATTGTTCAGATACCCATAAACCAAGTGCTACAGATAAGTATGACAGACTCGTTTCTGAAATGGAGCGCTCCCCCGTGGACTCTAGGCGCCGCAAACAGGTATGGCTATTGTTTTTTATTTACAGAAGTAACTCTGCAACCCGCGTATTAGCAGTGAAACATTCTGTTGTTAAGACTAACTATTGCATGGCGCCAGAATAAATATTTTCTGGAATGCATTTTTATCGTATTAACAAAGCGCTCTATAAATTACGCGTAATTTCTGAAATTTTACTTATAGTTCGAACTTGCTGCTCTTCTTCTTAAAACTCTGTATGATGAAGATGATCCTGCTTCAGATTCTGAGCAATTGTATGCTGGTGAAGGTTTGGAAGATAGATAATTGATAAGCTTTGTCAAACAATATAACTATACTGATAAACAAAGTTACAATTGTTTGTTTATAATCAAGAGAGAGGTTTTGCCAGGATCCTTATTTTGCCTGTCAATGATTTCAATCAGAGAAATGAGTTTCATATCTGCATAATTTCGAAAAGAGTCCTGGTTTTTTTAAGGTGGTATACACATGTAATTATCAATTTCGCTTTTAGAATCATCTGCCGAAACTACAAGTATTTCTCGCACCAGATCATCTGATCGTCCATCTGTAAAAGTTCAAAAACGTGCGAACGTCGAACTTTCTAGTGACACTTCTGGTTCGTGGCTAACTTTTTCAAGACCGATTCCGTTTCGCTTTCCAACGTTTTTTAGCATTTTAATGTGGATTGGTTGTATTGTAATGTTATTATTATCTTCGATGTACACAATCGAACACGTTAAAAGGTAGGAATATAATCTTCCTGCAGTAATTTTAAAAATTTTCTAGCTGAAGCTATTCTATTTTATATAATGATTATCAAGTTAACAAAAAATCTTAGTCTTCACCTCAGGGATACCCTCAATAAATTAATTTTACTAGATTCGAAGAAGCCCGATTACGATGCTACATACAGTCTGTGTTTTGGTCATTATTCCTCTCAATCGTCCTATTTCAACCATTTCATGTAAGTTTTGCAATATTGCTTTTTTTGAGAACTCTGCGAGACAATCTGAACGACAGAACTTACGGTACAGTTCTTTGATGCTCGTTATGCCTCTCTGGGAGAACACAAGAAAAACCTTTCACTTCACGATAGAAACACGTATGAACCATAAGTATCTAAGATGTCATGTTTAACTTATTGCCTTCCAGGTTTTAATCGTGACTTTCATTGAAATGATGAAAAGACATTTTCATTCCACGATGATTGAAGAACCAGCTGATAAGGCTGAAGACGATACGATCGTGGATGATTCTATGTTTGGTTCTTTCACCGAAAAAAATTTTGAAGACGTATGTCTCTAATCTCTATCATATAGTTATAAACTTTGTTATATACATACCTACTGTACTATGAATATATATAGCTGTATCAATGTTTCTCTTTCTCCCCCTCATGGCTTTACTGCTTCATTTTTGTAGCCTCTTTATAGAAAGTTGCTATGTTTAAAGTATTTGCAACCACTTTCAAGTAAGGTTGTTGCCAAAGCAAGACGTAAACTACACAGACGAAAAATAACTGTGACGTTACTAAGGTAATCACCCTCCTGTTTATATTTTTCACGATTTGGTTAAAAGAATTCTCTAACCTTTCTTTTTTTTCAACGAGCAAAATATCTGCTGTGTGGCAAGGGTGGACGTTTTAAGCCTAATTACAGCTACAACTCATGCAGGCATATGCTAAATCAGGCATCGCAAATCTTGTAATAACCTAAATGCACTTGAGGCTGAAATACCTGGGAGTCTGGGACTAGTACTACGTTAGATAAAACTTAAACCAGTGTATCTCGTTGTATATTAGACCAAAAAGTTGGTAAAGGTCCCATAACAGATTTCGTAAATCCTAAAAGAATAATTTTCATTGCCGCATATCCGTATGGATTTGATGAGAGTGTAGAATGTGTATTTTATTGCATTTGATAAAGTTTTAATTCAACATTCTCAGCATCAACAAAACTTATTGTTTTTATTTCGTTGCAGGGATTTTTTCTTGTATTCGTTATTGATGATTTTCTTGTATTGCCTAAATCCTTTCTGGAACCAGGAGTCTATTTTTGTACACAATAATAGATTAAATACATATCTGAACAGGTGTGAATTGGTTCATTAATATAATTGATTCTAATCTTATTCCAAAAACTACAACTAAATTTTATCATGTTTCGTTCACCGGCCACCTTTCATAAAATCGGCAAGAGCACTAGGTTCGCAGTCGTAGGTTCGATTCCTGCCGGAGGAAGTATAGTTGACTCATTTTTCTTCCATCAACTGTTCCAGGCTTGAATATAAGTGTGTATAATTCCACTCTAAATTAAGACCCTTTAAACCTCTAGAATTTACCTACATCGAGTGAAGTGCCAAAAATCAAAACCGTTTTATGATTTTAATATAATCTTCTGAAATATATTTACATATTTAGACACACGAACACAAGCTCTTTGTTAGCATGGTGGTCATCCTGCCCGCAAAAATTTCTTGACACTATAACATTGGATGAAGAAACCCTGACCTTGAGAGCTTTTCACAAGAGAGACCTAATTGTTGGTCACCCAAAAATGTCTGTGACACTAAAATATTGCCCAGTAAGTCTATGTGGGTTAAAAGATGTTTTTATTAAATTTTTGATAAAGTTAATTGTTGCCAGTCGAGGCAACAGGCACTCGGGAATTAACTGGCTTTGCTTGGTCTGCTCCAATGTTAGAATATTATTTTTTATTTCTAGGACGTTAATATTTCTGATTCAACTCTTCCTCAAAGGTAAGTGACCACCGGCTATATAAATTGTTGTAATATTGCTAACTGAAAGGATTTTTAGGGAAAATGACAACTGCAACAAATCAACTCTTCGTGAAATATCTTTGGCCGGTTGTATAAAAGCTCTTAAATACATTTTGTGTAGTTAAATCGTGGTTACCCCAGAAATGCACGCTTTTGATTGGCCAATTCTGTCACTAACTATAGTTAAAAGTTAACTACCTCTTTATACGTGCAACCGTCCCCTGGAGGGTTAAAGAACTGTCGTGATAATAGTGTAGTGCAACCTTTTTAAAAACAATTATCATAATATTAGTGTAATGCAATCTTTTTTTAGTCATTGTATCGGAAAAGTAGTGAAAAAAGCTTTTAGCTTTAATGAATCTCAAGACAAAGACTGGTTGGGTTTATCCCATTTCTTTCATCAGGAATTTGATGAATACACTACTACAGATATTTCCCTACAATTTGTCATTCATTCACCACCGTTGGCTGTTTTCACGTAAGTTTTAGGAAAGAGTATATACATTTAGCCGACTTAACATTCACTAATTGATTTTGTGATTTAATTGATCTTTCTATAGTGCGATAAGACTATCAAGTCGCGTGATCTCCCCATCTTCACGTGTGCAAAATGACGTTCGTGTCACAACGGCTAATTTTCATGTGATTAGTCCCGGTATTCTATCATTTCAAACTATTCTCCAGGTATATACAGCTCATTCATTGAGTCTGGCCGACAATCATTTGAACTGCAGCATCATTAACTTGCATGCATCCTTATATATGTTCGGCGATTTACTGCATTGTACTTGTAGTAATATTGAATATTTTTTTTCTCCGGCAGCTAACACTCCTCTTTAACATTCGTACATGAAAACTATTACTTGATTTACTTACGTCCCCCAAGGTCCCGGATTTAATACAGGATTGGCAATAATTTTTTTGTGATGTTTCTTCAGCTGTTTTATACGATGGTTCCGGTCTTGCTTCTTCTTCGTCAAGTGTTTTACAGTAATAAAAAAACACAATATACTCTTGTGGTTAAAATTGAGGTAAAGATCCGCCATTTTACACAAGTGGTCATCAAACTTTACTATTTATACCATATACCTGTTTGTTTTTCCTAGTTTTTGATTGTTTTTCTATCAATATACTCTGTCGTTTCAATGTGGATATGGATTAAACAGCAATATCTTACTCTGGGAATTCTTTGGGAACATCAATATGAAGCAAACATAGTGGAAGACATACAAGCTATTTATAAATACCAGGTATACAAATTTCTTGATATCACTGCTTTGAGATGTATGAATTTGTATCAAATTGAACTGATCTATTATGCGGTACGATTTTTCAGGAGTTTTACAAGTACTCCATTGCCTTCATGCTGTTATTTGTCATAATTAAAATATGTCATGCTGGTTTTGACATGTTTTGTGGCGCCCTTTTTGGAGCACCAATAATAAGCTCTGTAATATTACCCTTGGTAAGTATCGCTTAAGACTCCTTCCTTGAAATGTCAACTTTCATGTTTTAGCTATAATATAGTCTATCCCACCACACTAAGCTATCTTAGAGAAACGTCCCCTTTTGTCTCAGAAAAAATACAAGGAAGACGTTTAGTTACCCCTATTATTAAATTAGGATAATAAAATTTAAGATTGCGGAGAAACCTAAGATTAAGTAATGCGTCGCGTTTTTAACTTTTTCTTCACAATCATCATGAAATGTGATAAATGTTTGTACTTTTGCTTTTTTTAGTTTGGATTATTGCTAATCTTTGTAGCCTTTGCACATGCAGGTCTGTTGTTATTTGGAGACCATCTCAAAATGTTCAGTTCGTTTTTACAAGCGTTCTCTCTAAACATTCTGTACATGAGAAAAAACGGTGCTGAAAACTTCAAAGTGGAGCCAACATATCACCAAATGTTGTTAGCAGTTTACGTCATCGCATTTTGTGTTTGGATGATGTTATTTTCCAATTTGGTAAGTTTCAGCATCACTCTAAAGCAAAGGGCAAAGTAGGAAACAGGCGCTATCGTGAAAAATTCTCACCAGCCAATGTTTTCCGAGGCTAACAATTCAGTTAGCGCTCATACTCAGGGTAAATTATGTTTCTGTCTATGAATGTTTCAAATGCGGGACATCGGAAACAGAAATTCATTAGGAACAATGAAAGTGACTTGAACAATGAGTTTTATTTAATTTAATTCCGAGGCAGAGTGCATAGTATCCATAAGTAAAACCGCATTGGGAAAAAATCAATTACCGCCTCTAGGTTAAAGCGGCATTCTGTCAAGCTCGTGTGAAATTTTCGCTTATTGTCAAGACGAAAAGTGGAAGAATGCCAGTGAAATTGTACATATTACGAAAACTCCGAAGGTAATATTATCTAATGACATGCATGCAATGGAATTTTCACGCTCGTATACGCAGCAAATTTAAGTATTTTTTCAATCCTCTTTATGGAAGTATTTAAATTTGGTTTTGTGTTGTTTTGTAGGGTTTACTCACGTCTCATGTCATGTGTTCAGAAATCTGACCATGAGGATGAACATGAAACATTTAATCGCGTCCCAATGGTATGTTTTAGAATTTTAAAAAGGTAGATAATCTTTTTCTCCGAAGATAAAATATAAGATATGCTGGCCATATGCAATATATAAACAACGTGGAAAACAAATTTTAGGTATTAAGGCTATGTTATAATGTGTACATTTAAGAACACACAAGAGCTTTATTGTGTGAATGTTTTGCACGGCCATATACAATATATACCTAATATGTTTCAAATGTTTCTACTGTATTTAGAGTTACGTATTTAGGGAACTGGGTGAACAGCTAGATGATATAGAATTTCGTTTAACTCATTTAACCTGCAAAGCGAACATGCCTGCTAAAGATACGAGAGATGGCAGTTCAGATGGCAGCGATGTTGAATATGTGTACAAGGATGATAATAATGTGAGTAAATATTAAACGCAATTTTAGCTATCTGAGACTTATAACACATGTGTTGTATAACTTATATAGTTCCTATCTTGAAGTATAAAAAGATTGTAAATGTTACACATATGTTTCCTGATGATTATTTAAAGAAACCACATGCAGCGATGCTTTCTGCATGCATGGTTATATGTTAAAATACCAGTACAGTAAACTAACTGATGTTAGTCTCAGAGTGTAGAGATAATCCAAGATATTTTTTACGTATTTCATGCAGGAGCATTCCACATTTCATCCAGGATTGTCTTCAAACATTGCGACCTCTTTCAGTGAAAATGAAAATAACGAGGATCTAAAAAACTCGAAAGGTGTAAATGACCAATATGCGACATGTGAAGAAACTGTAATGTTTGTTACTCCTAAACCACGTCGCCCATTTGAGCGATCCGTGCGTGCATTTCCAACCCTGGTTAATGAAACCTTCAATTCCTCTGAACGTCCTCAAGTAATATTGAGTCCTTGGTTTGGTGAAAATGACGATGAAGACGACAGACAAACTACACTGGGGCAACAAGAAGATTTTTTAGCCCCAGTTGGAGAAATGGACTGCAAGGTAATACACGTAACGCAACCTATTCTTATATTACAGCGAATTAAGAATAGGCTTGATACACCACAGCTGCCTCTTCTATTTTTGATAGCTGTTCAGTGTATATCAAATTTTCTGTCGTAAATTGATATTTTCATCTGTTTTATTTGTCTTAAAACACAAATAAAAGCGCTAATAATATCGGTAACAAGATTTAAGTGATGAAAGAAAACGCATCTATTAAAGATGCATTTCTAAATTCAAGCCTACTTTATTGAAATAATGATTAGAATAAAATGTGTACAGGTAGTAATGGTTATTTTCTTTTGGAAAATCGTTTAATAGTTTATATATAATTATGTTGAATAAAAATAAAAGTAAATGTTAATAAACTCAAAAATGTATTTACAGATAAATGGTCTTGGTATAGCACAGGGTGAAAGATCAGTACCCTTTCATGATATCAAGGAATATAATGTTAAAACTGGTGGTAGCACAATGAAAAATAAGAAAAATAGTTTGAAAGTGGCCAGTTACGTAAATGAAGCGTGTGAAGAAGACGTAAGAGAAGTTTGCGGCAATTTAACAGCAAAACGACCAAATGTTCATTTGGATGCCTTCGAAGATTATTTTTCACTTGAAGAGGAAGACTGTTGCCTTTCGAAAACTGAATCTGTTGAGCAAAGTCTTGTTACATCCTTGGAAACTGAACACTGTCTTGATGAAAATGTTCATACGGTAGGGACTATATCAGATAGGAAACAACTCATTTCTCGTCGAAAACCGTTCCGACAACCTCCTTTCCCGCCAATAAATGATCTCTTTACAAGACCGTCCGAGAAGCTGGGTTAAAGTCTGGTGTAATTAAGTAAATAATGAACCAAAAGTAAAAATAAGGCATGCTTGTAAAATATTTTCACAACGGAAAATTGTAAATACGCGATAGGAATATTTGATCCTGATTCTGCATCAACTTTTTAAAAATCAAAAATCACGTGCAAGAAAATCGAAGAATGCAAACCTAAAATGCATAATTAGATTATTCTTTTAATCGAACTGTTTAACTGTCTGTCTTCAGACTACAAATTGCAAATTTAATGTACAAATTGAAACTAAGAATCCTGATATGATTACATTAATAATAACCTTGACATAGTAATCTGCCTTGCGCATGTCCGGCCTCGTTCTCATGTCGGGTTTATTTAATATTATTTAAGACATTTATTTAACGGGGGCGTCAATATTAAAATAATAGTCACAGTAAAAAAACTTCACAAGCTAATTCACAACTAAACGCAATCCAAATTTTCCTGCTCGTAATTGTCTAATTAGTTTTCTATTGTTTTGCTTAATCTTATGACATTTTTACAGACTATGAAGTACAGTACTAACTTACACATGATTCTACAAATATTACTCAAGTAACTACGTTATTATTATCACCATTCCTCTTTTTATTGAGTAGCAATTTTATGCGATAGAATCCGTATAAAATAATTTGTATCAAAGGTGCAACAATAAAAAGAGAGCAAATCAGCACGGCTGCTATAGAACCTGGTTTGCCATTCTCGTAGTCCAGGATATGGTAAATAAATGGCTCTCCTCTGCTGTTTACTCCACCAGCTGCCCAGTAAATGACCGTAAACGCAGCGTAAATTATAGAAAATAGCAGCACATAAATCCAGTGTAAAACACGAACAGATGTATTTGCAGTGAATAGTTCAGTCAATATAAACACTGAATTTAATGCGTGAACAGAAATATCCATGAAACTTGTTGGAGGTCTAAAAACCAGTATCCAATACTCTATGGTAACAAGCAAACCAGCGTTGGCTGATATAACCCAGAGAAACAAAACTATCTTTTCATACCAAATTAAAGATAGCGCTACATCGTCCCTCTCTAAAGGCATTGTCGATTCAGAATCCCCAATTTGATCAATCTGGTCTATCATCTGATTTATTGCTATTTGAGTATCCTTCATTTCGTACGCACCCGGTGAATTTCCATACAAGGCTTGCTTCCTTTTAAATACATGAAATATGCTAACTAGCGTCAGTCCAATCATAGTGATAGTCAGAAGAAGATAACTCCAATTTGTCAGGTAAATAAGCCATCTTGGTTCTGGCCATCGAGCAACGCTGACGACTATGATGATTATACAGAATGTAGATATCAAAAGTCGAAGGAGAAGTAGACCCCATCTAGGAAGTACCTAAACAATTTGGGAAATTAAATTGGCATAGTCTAGCCTGTTTCAGTGTGATTTTACGTTTCGCACCTCGGCACCCGCACTGCAATGGAAGACGATTATAGGTATTGAATTTCGTTACGAAAATTAAATGGACCTCAAGCATATTGAATACTTAGAGAATTTGATATGAATTAATTCATTTGAAATATTTTGTATCAACAATACCGCATTTTGGTTTCGTCTAGACGATAAAATATTTAGTAATTCATGCAGGGGACAACGCAGATGTATAGGACAGCTGAGAAATTGATTTCGTCTAAGATATAACGATTTCTTTATGCAAACTCATGAAGACTGAATTTGATAGCAGTATCATGTGTGTCTACAGGTAATTATGCATGGGCAAAGCTGTTGATAGTGTTAGTGTTTGTATAAACACATTTAAACTCTTATACCTATCTTGTGCCTTAATAAGGTAAAGATTTCTACTTACCCAAGATTCATAGATACTATCGCCACGATTTAATTGCAATGGTAATTTCTCAATCGAGAATTCATTTTTAAGCGTATTCCACATCTCTAGCAACACAGATTGCGACATAGTTTAGATATTTTTCAGCTGGTAGTACCTGCAGCGAGAAACCAGAATTGCGAGTAATGTGTTCTTGACTTTATATTAGCAGGTAATTGGTATGCGTAACCAAAACTTCGTGAGGTTTCCCATTCAAGGTCAATAAAGCAAGTGATATGACTTTCGTTTGGACATTCAAATTGAGTGCCAAATATGTAGCTGTTAAATAAATGGATGATTTAATTACTTGATCCTTTAACCAAAATAGTTGCATTAATTAGGTTTGTACTGTGGGTTAATTGGATACTAGGTTACCCGGCCAGGGCGTAGAGATGCTGCCTAAAGGCTGCTGAAGGGACTCTCCTTCGCACAGGCTGTGTATTTAAGTATTAAAACGTCAAAACGAGTAGTCGCGTGATTTAAAAAAAAATTGGGGGTAATTGTTAGGCTGTTCAACAAGAAACGCTATCTATAGTCGAATTTCCTACATTTCATTTATTTCCAGTGATTGTTTTCTTGAAAGAGTTGCAAAGGCTGAGCATAAGTGTGTAGTACCACTCCGAGGAGGTTTCGTTATATTCGAGATGTGAAATGTCCTGAAAAGGGCAGCAAAAAACTGACTAAACGCATGCCAACATTCTTTCCGACTAAAATTCCACACAGCAAGACAGATACGTAGATGAAAAAACTTTATTTTCACACAAACAGGCATTTGCCGTGCAACGCAATTTTAGAGACAGAGATTAGTTAATGCATTAATGCAATATGCCACTAACTGAAAACTTAGATCATATTATAGTTTTAGAATCCAACTATTTCCATATTAGGCCTCAGATTTACAAGAAAACCAATGACCTCTTAACTTGCAAAGTCCCAGCAATATCAGTTGGATCACGATTGGTCCTATGACAGCCAAGAGAAGAACAAAAGCAGTGATTACCCCGGCGTTCTTGTTGTCATAATCAAATATTTTGTAAATGTAAGTCTTGCCGCGTGCATTCAATCCACCTGCTTGCCAGTAAATAACACTAAATATCACATATAGAGATAAATAAATAATTGTATATACAGCGTGAAATAAACGTATTGGAACGCGACCGAGTAAGTGTTCAATAAGAACAAAAATGGTATTAAATGCATGTGTAACCACATCAAGAAACTGAACATGTTTCGCCTGAAACAACCAATAGCCAATCGAGACAATGATGGCAGCGCAAAATGCTACATTATAAATGAGCCATATGACTTGATGGTACCATTTACACAATGCTGGTGATTGTATATTCATCCTTATCTGTTGTCCCTCGCTTGGTAGTTCTATCTGTTCCTGTCTGCGAGCTGCCTCAACGGATGTTTCAAACGTGCCATAGGCTTCAGTTTGGGGTTTATTTTGATGCATCCGGTATGCTTTGGATAGCGAGAGAGCAGATAACATGATGAATGCTATATTAAGCATAGCGAATGACAAGTTGGTGAGATATATAAACCATTTCGCATCGTCAACTCTATCATCAAAACCACTCCATATAATACAGGCAAACAAAAACAGTGTGATTACTAGACGAAGGACCAGGAATGCAGAGAAGGGTAAAACCTGCAAAGATAAAATGTGCTTTGTAAGTGCTACTTTGGAATACTCTAGTCTCTACATTTCTAACATAAAACGGTGTTAGTAATAGTTTTTCCAAATGGGGAGTGCTTATAATTAAAAACATATCAAAGTTTTATTAAAACATTAAAAATCGTGATGTGTTATTAATATACACTCTTTATGTTGGCCTGAATACACCTTGACTCCTGTGATGGCGATTTTTGCTGCGATAGACGTGAACGAGTGAATTAGTTACTGATGTTAAAATAATAGATCATGATTAATTACTAATTCACATCTATCAAACGAGGGAAATCGCAGCAAAAATCGCAAGTGAAATTCCCTACATTTTCCAGTACGCAGTATATTGATATTGAATTTTCTGGTTTTACTTTCTCTGATCCTGGGTTTTTGCCTTTCAAATTGATTCCTTTCTTAATGCAATCGATAAGGATAAGGATAGAGCGTTGCGTGTGTGCTCGCGCTACAGCTTTGTCGCCTGCTGCGAAATTCGCCGCAGCGTGAACCGTGGAATGGTAAAGCACCCTGGGCACCAGGTTGCTGTCACCACTGAGTCCAATGATCTGTGCCTGTCACAGATGAGCTATATATCTCTCATCTGTGGCCCTGTGTATGAGATGGATGGAGAACCAAAGATGAAATGACAAATATGGCCTAGCAAAATGGTGGCAAAATTAATACTAATAATTTTTCATTGTTCACTGACTGTATAGCCACTAGCCAAAAATTCCACTAAAGACTGATCTTGAAATACTGAGATGAAATTGAGTGCCTTAGAAAATTGTCTTCTGTACAATTGAAATGTGCCTTCCAGGCTTATTCACACTGATGTTTTAAACACTTTCTATCTGGTTTAGGTATGTTCAGAAATGCAGTAATAATGCTTATTTTTTTATGTGGAAAGTTTGTGGGTAAACCATGCAGGTCCTACAAATGGTTGGTCTTTTAGATTATTGTCTCATATATATCTCTCCTATGTAGATGTCCTTTTCCAAATTGAATTAGACTATCAGCTAGCCAAATTTAAGAAAGGTAAGCTGATCCATCACAATTACATATCGCTACTCTGGTTTGATTAATGAAAGTAATCACCACACAAAAATTACATTCAGGATCCAACATTTCAACACTCCAGTCTAGTCTTCGTCATTCTAGTGTCTTCATCAGGGGTAATCTATGTTGAAACTTTGATCACCCGAGCTGAGGATTATATATTAACTTCTGATTTTGACACAATTAACTTGTGCCGCCCAGATGATTTGGATTTACAAGTTTGTAATTCATTAGAGAAATATTCTCTACAGGCTCATTTTGCAATTATGTAGAGGGAAGAGGTTGTGTTCCTCTCCCCATTTTGCAGATCGAAGCAAAAGAATAATGAATAATAAAAGGAACAATTAAACCTTCAAAAAAAAAAGAAAGATAAAGCCATATGAAACACATCAATTGTTTTTATGCATCAAATGTGTTTAGGCAGTTGTTATACCACATTTGATGCTAAGTTATTTGAAGACGCTGCCACGCTGCTCCTTGGTTATATTGAAACATTGTTTCTAATATTAATTATATGTTCATCAAATGGAAAATGTGTGTAAACCTTGGCACATTACATAATGTAGGAGATTCTGAATTTTGTTTACATACATGTATATATGCACTTTAGTTTTGTCAGATGTTTAATTAAAGGCATTGTCGCATTGATCACAATCACTGATAAAGGAGAATTAACAAAAATTTATACCAAAATGAAAGAAGAAGAGGCAAAGATCTTTATATATCTATATGAAATTAGGTATAAATTCTAATTGATTATATCGATCTGTGCATACTGTATATCTGTGTTTATCAGATATGATCAGAGAAGCGCAAATGAGATTTTTAAATCATATAAAATACTTCAGAAATTCACTTACCGCTGATGCTGTCAAAACATTCGCATCATCCAGTCGTAACGATAGGCGCTTAACAGCCAGTTCCTCTTTTAACCAAGACCACATTTTGTTTTAAATAAAAAAGGTGATCGATTATATACAATAAAACTATGTAACCTGAGAGCTTTTTAATCAACTTACGACGAACGTCACCAACCAAGCGATCAACATTCAACACAACACCGTAATATGATATCGTATCATATTGACGACATTATGGTTATGCTAATTCGTATATGCTAATTGTAACAATTGTCCGAATAAAAAAAACACCAAAACAATGAAAGTCAGGTATGGTGGGTATGTCAGGATGTCCATTTTTAATTTAAGTCCGATGTTAAATTTTATATTCGGATGTAAGTTATTCAATATTGGGGCCAAATTGGACAATCGACTGGCTTTGTAATAGACAGTTTCTGTCTCCTGCTTTGTCAGTTGTCAGGCCAAGACTTTTACGGAAATTCTCTAACAAAATGCGAACCTTTTAAGTTACGCTGCTGAGAGTTATAATTTTATTAAAATTGGCGAAACACTCTTCTAACAAGTGTTTAGCAAACTGCTACATGAAATTTACTCTTCAAGACTTCAAAATTTCTGGAGCTAAAAATTTACGAATTCAAATTTGCAATAAATCAGTTTTGAATAAAAACTTTGATATAACATCTACTTGAGGCAAATCATCAGGCAACATTCCTAAAATAGAAAAACTAGTGTTGAATCAAGGACTGACATGCACTCCGATCATTAATCATCCATAAACTATAAATTATATATACAATGAACATATAGAGAGAGAAAATAAAGGCCTTGGGGATCAAAATATAACTCCAGTCAAGGATCCTATTTTCAAACTTTATTTTTGGGGAAGAGAGAGAAAAATATGCGTTTTAACATATTCCATTTCCTGGCTTCTTTCGCTTGTTCTTTCGCTTGTTTTTATTTCAGACTGTGTAAAATCTCTCATCGCGAGCCGTGATGCACGTCTGTTTCACAATAACAAGTCATACCTCAGCAGTAGTATTCTGTTTCATGATTCATGACTTTGATCAATTCTTGTAGGAAATCTGGTTCAAAGATGAATCCATCATTTGTGCACAGACTCAGTAAACCATCCATATTTCTCTGCTCTCCTGTTAATATTCCGAATACTTTGATGTTTTGACTATCCAGAACTTTTCCAGCTTCTACCAGACCTTCTTGATAGGGTGGGATGCTCTGTACCCCGTCCGTGAAGAGAACGATCATCTGAGGAAAAGAAAATTGTATCAGCAGAATTGATTGTTCTAAATTGCACCAAAAAACTAGTTTTGCGTAAATTGTGTCGGCAATAAAGAAGCACATTAAATTTTTCAGTGTTTTCATTCACAGTTTCAGTGCATAGAAATTTGCACACGTTTAATTTAATTTTAAAAAATGTGATACATGCAGTAATGAAAGGATGAATGATTGTGGAAACTAATGTGCCATAATGTGACCATGCATGTACGTGAAACCCAGGAGAAGCCTGTAGAATTTTCAATACTAGAATATAAGGGTATAATTGTAGCTATGAACTATAGTGCAAAGATTTTCAGAAATTTCCTCATCAGCCAACAAGTAATCGATTGATACATGCATGTGATTAACTAAATATTTTTTATAGAAACGGATTAATTATCACCATGCATATACCCCGGAACAAAAAGGTTCCTCTTCAGTTATTCACCTTAATTCTGTCATCTTGATTCTTGTTGCGAAGAAATATTTCTTGTTGTACCAGACGTAGTGCAGCAATGATGCGAGTCATCGGTGTTTTATAATAGGGTACCTTTTTTATCATATTCACCAATTCATCAGTTTTTAGATTGTCGGTCTGTGTAGCAATATTGTTAAACACGATTCTTGGTGTTTGCCCATACACAATTGCCGCGTGTCTATAACCTTTCTCATGGGAAAATGATTCAAGTAATTTCTCGATTGTATTTTTCATGTTTTTGAAGGATTCTTCTCCAATGCTTCCTGAGGCGTCCAGTACGAATGCGATGTCGCTTTTTTTGCGGCAAACTACAAAAATTGTTAAAATGCATCATGAACAGCGCTTATATTATTCTGACAGGTGGCATGAAAGAAAGATGGGTAACCTGGTTGCTATAAGGTTTCGAACTGTATAGCCACCAAAGGCAAGCCTCCCCAACCCCTGGGTAGAATGGTTGGTAGGCGGGATGATTGGTGCTCAAAAGTCAGGCACTATTTCCTACGATTAGTGGTCGGAATCGTTGCCTCCATAATTTCGAGACCTATTGATTTCAAATGATACTGGCTTTATGCATAGACCACCAGGTCAACAAAGATTAAATTAGAGGCAACAAACCTTGTTAAATCTTATATTACTTATAATATAAATCTTATATTATTATATCAAATAGTTGATGGAGTTTACAGGGACCTCACTAATTACTCTTCTGACTGAAACTTATATATATATATATATATATTAATATATATATATATATATATATAATATATACATATATAATATATACAAGTTATGATACAAGGATACCTGTTTTTTATTAGTGCCGTGAATTTAATTAAGATAAAAAGGAATTATCGAATAAAACTGTTGCATTCAGATCTGAATTTACGCAAAAAATTAACATGTCGTAGCTCATTAGGTAGAGAATTCCATAGCACCGCACCACTATAGCTAAAGCTATTTTTCAAATAATTTGTACGTGGTTGCGGTACTGCTAATTTGCGATTGGTGTCTCTCAACGTGAAATTTGTTATTCTAATGCGCCGGATCAATAAACATTCAAGAAAGATAATCTGGTGCAAGACCATTTAGTGATTTATATACCATGATAGTAGCTTTGGCAATTTTGCGCTGAGATGCGAGACTTTTCCAGCCAAGTTTTTCGAACAGATATTCCACGTTTGTATCGTGGCTGGAAAACGTCAGAACTCTGGCGGCTCGATTTTGTAATTTTTGTAGCCGCCGCAAGTATCCCACCCCTCAGAGCATTAGTCGAAGTAGGGTTGAACTAAACAGTTGTATATTAGTCGCAGTGTGGAATGAGGAACAAAAGGCCTTATACGTTTTAGAGCACCTATACCTGAGGCAACTTTTTTGCACAGTTTTCTAGGACTGCTAACCCACAACCCACCTCTATTTCGTAATGGTTGGATGCATTTGTACTGACGACATGCTGTGCGACAGCATTTCATTGAGTCGCTGCAATCAAAATCCAGGAGACATTCAAAATCAATCTTCCTCTGGCAGTTATGATCAGATTCATATACGAAGGGACAAAGTCCCTGTCTTGACAAAACTAGCAAAAAAAAAGGTTGCATCAATCCAACTGTCAAAGCAAAATTTGGATTGGGTGGCTGGAATTCTGAGGGCGTAGTCACATCATCAGTCACAAATCCTATAAGATTTTATAGTGCTACAACCCCCCCCCCCTGGTTCACCTCACTCGCAAAGGTTCCGCGCAACTTCTTTGTTGATCACGCAATTTCCAGACGGAAAACCATTTGGCATTCCTTATCTATGACAGACGTACCTTGCATTATTTTTCCCAGCTGTTTTTCAGTTATGTAACAGTTATTACAATAAGGCATGGATTAATTAAGCTTGTTCTTTTTAATGGCCCGTTCGCACGATCCACCTTTGTCGGATACAAATTCACTTCTGACGTATGGAACGTAGCTTGGTATTGATAAAACATTACTCAATGAGGTTGCGAGACATTCAGAAAGCGCAAAAAAGAGATCGATGACATTTTGTAATTGTTCTATAAAATATAACTACAGTGAAACAGCGATATTTTGAGAATCCCGTGAAAATTCCGCGAGTGCTCTTAAATTCCTCGTGCAGCTAGGATTGACTGATCCTGCACGGCGATTGACCAATCAAATCGCGTGTTTCACTGTAGTTATTAAATAGAACATAATCCATAATATCCATTGGCCTTAGTTGAATTGCTGTCCATATATGTTGCAAGTTAACAGACTATTAAACATCCATCAGAAGTGAATTGGATCCGACAACATTGGATCGTTTCATTCGTTTGAACGTCTCTTAACGCTGTATTTTCCATCCGATAAAATTATCAATTATGATACGATAGATTACAGTTTATTATCCAGTCTGTTGTGATTGTGGAGAAGAAAAGTTTTCGTGACTCTGTCTGATAGTTCAGGAAGTTCTTTACAGCTAAAAAATTTTATACTCTTTAAAGACTTTATAGATGAAAATCCAATTAATAATTGCAATCTAATACACTTTTTTATTACATCGTCTGCACGCACTGTTTAGTGTTTACATTATATATGTTTAATACTGATCAGTAGCGGGTCAAATGTGCGCAAAAAAGTTTTCATTTTTCAGAACAGCACAGTGAATTCTTCAATATTGATAGAAGATTGATAGAATATTGATAGAGTACTCTATTCAATGAATATCGTTTTATTCAAACCAACGACAGGCTACACTGTAAATTCGAATGTCAAGACGACAACCCCAAAGAGTCGTTCTGAAATCAAATTTGACCCTTAAACAACGAAACTCGCTAAAATTTTTAAAGTCTTCAACGACCTAGCTCCTTATATACCTTAGCACCTTAGCAAATCGAAAGGATTGCTTCTATTGCAGTGTGGGTATAGAAGAATGTTTCCGTGTGTTTTACATATGTTATATAAGTTATAACGAGCATAATTTATCCGTGTATTTAACATTTCGGTATCAAAATTAAATATTCGTAATACACTTTCAAAATGGTTCAAAATCTCTCTCACCGAGATTAAAACTTCTCGACATAAACACTCACGGTGAAGCTGGCCCGTTTCCCGGAATGATAGTTCAAAGATGCCGCTCCAAGTTATTTTAACAACATGCATACAATTGTTAAATTCATTTATCTCATCCGACCAGCCATTTTCACTCTTAGACACTTCTACCTGAATCGCTTAATAGTTTTCATATGATTTTTTAACTAGCTCAATGACAATATGGTCTTTATATTATTATACCAAGGTATATAGCAAGGTATTCAATCAGCGACTTAACCGAGAATATTATTTTGTTTAAGTGCATGATTTGATGAATAGCTGCAAACTTTGCCGGCTCCATATTTTGCTCCATATCACGGCTGGATGTGATAATATACTGTTTGGCATACTATATATAATAGCCGGAGAAACTGAGAGAGGTATAATAGCACATTCATGACAAGCACTTTAGTTAAAGTATAAACTTAAACGTTGACTGTTTATATTTGCCAAAAAAGGGCAAACAGTTGAAAGCTGAAAAGAGATTACTGTTCCAATCGCTTCCCATGACAAAAAGAACTTATAAATTCCTGTGTTATATTACAACCTGATTTTTGCCAATTTCTAAACTAGGGGGAAAATTCAAAATCAGGTTCCTTATTATTATCCCGAAGACGTGAATTTTCTAAATATCAGTTTAGATGACGTTTGTCTTAAATACTTCAAATTTTATATCCAATGTATGTAGGCATGGTTCAACTTTCGAATGGTTCTTTAACTTCTCTTTATAGGAAGGAAAGATCATGCGAATTTTATTTGTATTTAAGTACTTCTTTTGATCTTCCAAACACATCTGTTTTATACATCGTCTTATCTTTATCATGCGGCTGTATCAGACAGTTTATATCGTTGGAATATATGTTTCTGGTTATATCCTCTCACCTGAGGTAGAAACTGCAGCAACGTAGAAAGTCATCAACAAAACTAGCGTCCAGAAAGACCTCATGATTGATATTTTTTGTTTAAAATCCTTCCTCAAGCGCAATATAGGACTGATGTTTGAATAATCACATTTGCAAGTATATCAAATGTCTGCTTTCTTATAGGTGAACTTTTTTCACTCAGCTCGGTTTACTTAAAAAAATCTTGACAGGCAGAAATGGTAATATCATCACCCGTTGATAAAAAATATTCTGATGACGTACGTCAATGGCTGCAATCATAAACGTGATTCGAATTTGTGTTAAACTGCGTGTAGGAGAAGTTAATTTTTATCAACTTCACGCAGAAAAAGTCAAGACGTTTTAAGTCAGACAGAACTTTTGATGAAAACTACATCATAAACAAATCCATACATAACCAAGCACGTGCCTTCAGTCTTATTTTTAATATCATTTCAGGCGTAAGGTAGTAAAAGCTGAGTCAGTTAACTATTGCAGTCTTTCGCTTGTAAAATATTTTTTATTTTATACACGCGCGAGTAATGTAAGTGATTCCAAATAATTTTCAGTATAACCTTACGAATATATTAGCCATTTAGCCTGTCTTAGTGGCTGCGAAAAAGGGGGCTGGGGACTATAGCCCCAGTGGCCAGTACACGAGAAGTTTTCAGTAGAACATTGAATAATACGAACTCACTAATATTTTTACCTTGTGTCTGTTCTTTGTGCGTTACGAAACTATATGGACAACATTCCCTATTTCTGGTTTACACGGTCAAAGAAAACGATCAACCTTTTTTAAATTAAGCCACTCATTCCCACCTGAAATAAAATATGTTCAGTCGGTTTCCTGTCTCTTTCCGAAACTCTGTAACATGATACCGGATTCACATTGTCACGACATTAAGTAATACTCCTGATGTACTCGAGTTCCTCTTATTCCTGATGTATTTAATGTCACGATTTTAAGTGCTAAATTTCCTTAAGGAGGTTGAACGTAATGTTGTGATGCGAACTCGGTATGGGAATGCATACAGCATGAACTAGCTGTGATTGTTATAAATGTGCAGGAAAAAACTAGCCATCATTATGCACATGCAAGTGTCGCTTGGTCTACCTCAACATGCAGTCATGTGAAACACGTTATTCTTCATGACAAGTCAAGCAAAACAAAGAATAAACATCTCAATATCAACAAAGACCCTCATAGTCTAAGCAAGCCATTTTAGCCATTGAGGAAAAAATTGTCACAAGCGAACACTTGGTAATGATATTTTACCAAGTATTTTACCAAGACATTTGATTTACCAAAACAAAGAATTTTCGTTGTTCAGTTCTCTAAAATTTTATAGTCTATATGTATTCTACAATGCGTCGTGAAAGAAAAAGAAATTTGGTAACACAACATTTATTGTATCAAGCGTTCTACGTGGTATTTTACGCTGGTTACATGCCTACCCTTCTCTATCTACCAGTTTATCTTAAATACTTGGGGTTGTCAACTGCACAAGTTGGTTTGCTGACTGGTTTGCGACCACTGCTACAATCAATCGGGACTCCAATCGTAACAAAATTGAGCGCAAAGTTTTACGCCCAGAAATTATTATTTATAGCCTCGTGTATTTTAATGGTTGGGAAATATTTTGTGATATTTTTTGTTTTACTACCAAAGGAACAGTTGTGTAGAACAATATACAACAATGATAATTATAAGGATAAATATTTCGAAGTCGAACTGGTCAAACATGTTATAGTCACGGGCGATTGGCTGCAAGTTACAAACTATACATCTGCTGCCAATAAATCATTTGAATACCATGACACGATTACAAATTTGGAGAAAAATCTAACAAACAACAAAGAGAGTTGGCCAACAGTAACCTCAGCAACAGAATCAAAATCTTCTCTTCTCTTCAATAAAACCCAACCGCATTATCCTCTGAAAAATCATACAACCAAAATACAACATGAAATCAAATTTGAATCACGAAAAGTATATTTTGTTTTCATCACTATTTTAATCCTAACACTGGCTACGGACTTTTTTGACGCTTCCATATTTACTTTAGTGGATAATATCTACAGACCAAATGTCGCTTGGGTCTGGGTACATTTGGCTTGGGGTGTAGTAACTCTCATCATTGGTGTTATTATAGATCAATCTTTTCTTGAATTGTGCGGTATAACGGTACGATCGTTTCATTATGTTTTTTATTTCAATGCTACATTTGTAACTCTCGCGCTGATGATTGGCTTATGGCTTGACCTCACGGTGATTCCTTATGACGCCAAGTTAAACAGCAAGGTTCAGTCAAGTCAATGGAACTTTCAATATCATATTTTCCTCCTTGCCTACACAATTCTGGGTTTCTGCAATGGTTTTCTTTTCTCCTTCGTTTATTGGTTCATTGATACCCTTGGAGGTGATGCCAAGATTATGGGGTTAGCAACAGTTACAGAATGTCTCGTAGTCAGTGTGGGATCTTTTATATTCAATCATATTATAGAGTACATTGGTCATATGTCTTCTGTATGTGTTGGCTTTTTTGGCTACATAGTGTTGTTTCTTAGTTATTATGCTGTTACCAACCCATGGATTGTAATTGCTGTCAAAGTACCCCAAGCTCTAATTTTTGGAGTCATCCAGTTTTCATGCAATTCATTTTTGAAAATTTCTGCACCAGCAGGTTCAAGCTACCAAATGCAAGGTAATATATTGTTACATGAGCACCATGCAGTATTTCCTTAGATGCTGTTTATTCTTCGAAAACGGTGGATTTTATTGTTAGCTACATATAGTGAGGATAGTACATGCAGTCTCAAGACATCGGTATCATAACCTAATACATTGGTTAAAAGAATGATAAATATAAAAAAATCAGAGTAAATATTTTAACTAAAGAGATATAGGCATAGTACTTCTCCAGATCACATTGCACTAAAATAAGGTTAAGCCTTTTATGAGATATTTTTAGTCACATATGACATATTGTTATCATTTTTATCACAGAAATCCTCCACGGTATTTTCTCGGCAATCGGAACCGCTATTGGTGCTGTCTGTGGTGGACATATACTTGAAAATGATCATTTCAAGGCTACATTCCTCTGGTTCACTTTGATAATGTGTGCTACTTCGTTATTATTCATGGGAATTCAGTTGTTCATGATCTGTGCAGAAGGAAAATCTGTAAGTAATCTAGGGTCAGCGAAGACAAGTTCCCGGGAAGGTAGCGAGTTTGGAGATGATGAACTTGACCTCGAAAGTGGAGACGACGACATGAAATGGTAGAAATATGAGATGCAAACCCACCGTTGACCCAAGAGAAACCTGTCTGTTGATCCAATTGGCAGCAACATTGAAATGGGGGAGGGGGGATAACAGCAACATTGAACTGGGGGAGGGGGGATAACAGCAACATTGAACTGGGGAGGGGCAGCAACATTGAACTGGAGAGGAGGGTATGGCAGCAACATTGAACTGGGGAGGGGGGTATGGCAGCAACATTGAACTGGGGGAGGGAGATGAGCTGGTTTTCCGTATGTGATGATGATTCGTCTCCGCCGTAATTCGTCATACTTTGTCCTAATCCACATGTCGTAATCTGTTGTAATTCGTTGTTAACATTCGAAATCTGAGATGTAAAATTGTAAAAACCGAATTACAATAAATCACGACATGTGAAAAAAACGTGTGGTTCATTTGTCAGTTTAAAGACGGGTTTCCATTCAGTGCAAAATGTCGTGTAATCGCTTTGCTTTGAAATACAGACAACCAACTGATCCCATTTGATGAGCTTCACTAAACACATTGCAAAAGAAAGCGATCGCTGAATGGAAATCCGTCTTAACTCATTACGACATTAGAGTACAATTTAAATCCTTTTGCGTCACGAGAGTGAAGCTTATAGTACCGGTATTTTTAGCCCAGTTCGACAATGTATAAATGAAAAAACTTGTCTGTTTGCTAATTCGTATTCCCACAGTACAGTGAAAGATTATAATCCATTTCTGAGGTTGTATTTATGCGGTTTGACGAAGACTCATTCATTGAAGATGACGAGCATGCTTGATTGATCAAGGATAAGATATTAGCTCAATGGTATGTCCCATTTATTTGCTAATATAAGTTAAGTGATGACTGACTTATAAACAACTTTGAATGAAATAATAATAATATGAAATGTTTTCACTTTACAATTTTTCATTTAGAATGAGAAAAAAATCATGATTATATACTTATAAGCTATGGTAAAACTGACATAATTAATTCGCATTGTATTTGTCTATAGAATGCGAAAATTAGACGAATTAACAAATATGTCATTATAAACACCTTAATCTTTCCAAGCCAATGATGTATCTACACAACTACGAAAGATGCAAAGCAGAAAAGGCAAAACTTTTACAGCCACGATTCTGCAAAGAGGGCTACATTATCAAACGTGGCCACAAAATGATTCCTAATTGCATTCGGCGGTTGCTGATGCGCATCAGACAGGAACAATATTTTTTCCTCATATGCAAAAGTGCGTAGGCCATACACAACTACCTTCTGGTAAGTTCACAAGGATAACTGCAGAGTAATCTGTCTTTCGACAAAATAGCCCACAGAATGCAGACATTGTACAACAGCTGGTAGGGGAAGCTTTATAATGGAAAATGTGGTAACAAGTGTGAAGAATTTTATCAACAGATGGCGCTATCAGTTATTTTATTTTACCTTTTACGCTGGTTATATGCCATTGTTGGTATATATACCTGTTTATCTACGACATGTTGGCCTATCTAGCGTCCATGTCGGGATAATAAATTGTGTGCGGCCTATACTGCAGTCTCTAATCACGCCGTTACTAATTATTGTTGGGGAGAAATTTCGCTCAAATAGACTTCTATTTGTAGTGTCTTGTTTGATCGCAATTGGAAAAGTTTTGATTATGTTTTTACTCATAAGACCTCAAAGGCAATTGTGTAACATTCAGTATGTCAATCGATCGGGTGTTACTACGAAGCAAATTAATATATTAGTGCAAGTGTCGTTGGAGCAAAAGAATATTCTAAATAAACGCGTCGTTGAAAGGGATTTGAATATAACAACAATACCGACTCGCAATGATATAGAATTAAAGAAAAATGCACATGTGAATGAAATTAAGGAACAATTGAGCGAAAAGCTGCCTAAAAGTGTTACCATGCCTGACGCTGAGCACGAACAACGTGAATTTCATAATGTAGAAACTACTTCAAGAGTTCGAGCGAGATACAAAATGAAAGATACACGGACAAGGTTGACATTCCGAATTATTTATAACCAAGACGAAATCAATCGTATATTTGTAGCACTTTTATTCTTAAGTCTAGTTGCTGACCCGTTTATTGCCGCAATATATACTTTGGTTGATTATTCGTGCGCTGGGAATACGGAACGCGGGTGCAAAGAAGTACGAGTTTGGGAAACCCTTGGTTGGGGAACCATGACGCCGATAATTGGATTAGTTATATTCGAACTGAAAACCGAAATGTGCGGTGTGGTGGTGGAACGATATCATTTTGTCTTCTTTTTCTTTATAGCTTTTATCCTGATTGTTCTACTAATAGGCATACAACTTGATTTCACGCAAAATATTCCAGAAATTATTTCGACTAAAGTTCAGAGTTCCCACTCTAATCTTCAATACGGGATTTTTTCTCTCGTTGCTGCGTTCGCTGGTTTTGGTCACGGATTTTTACTGATATTTGTTAACTGGTTTATTGACACTCTCCATGGAAATACAGCAATTATGGGCATAGCTACTGCTTCGAAATCTATTGTAGACCTCATCCTTTACCTCACCCTAGGAACACTTATAGAAAGACTCGGCTATGTTTTCATAGTAAGTCTTGGTCTTGTTGGACATTTTGTTGTGTTTGTGACGTATTATGGTATAACAAACCCTTGGCTGGTTATTTTGACCGAAGTCATATATGGCGTTGTCTATGGATCAGTAATGACGACCGCAGCCTCATTCTTTGTTAATGTTTCACCAGCTGGTTCAAGCGCTCGTATGCAAGGTACGAATGTTGTAACTGTCAATGTTGTACGAGGCGTAGAGCTGCCTCTCCCAATTATTATTTAATTTTCATGCAGAACTTGGGTATAATCAGGCAAGAAGCCCCAGCAGATTCAAGCGAAATAGAATAATGATCGAGTTTTCTAACCCGCAACCAAAAAATTCGTCTCTCTGTCCTCTCTGTTCGTATTGTAATAAAAAAACGATGATGTAAATGTATTCGTTAATTATTATGAAGCCTAGAGTCATCACAGACCTTGTAGCAATCCTGTATAAAATATATAGACTGTCCCTTGTTCGACTCAACAAATATCAACTTGTTCTCAGATCCTAACTGTATTCTACTGATTTCTACATACAACTTGTTCAGAGACAGCTAGAGTTCAGTATGTGATGTAAATATATTAACAAAAACATGTTTATCTTTTCAGCGATTTTTCATGGCATATATTGGGCCGTTGGCATGACTTCAGGATGTATATTGGCAGGCTATCGCATAGATACGACTGGATTCCCGACCACCTTTCTCACATTTGCGTGTATTTCAGTATTTTTTACATTTATCTTTCTGGCAGTTCAATTATACATGTTCCTCAGAGCAGACAGCAGAGAACCTGACAGCAGAATGTCGTCTTTTTCAATAGAAAGTGAACAGGAGGATTGGGGTGATATCAAACAAGAAAATTGGTTACGATAGTTTAAATAGTGCAGTTTTAAATGTGATTTTGGTCTTATAGTTTCTCGTCACATGATAGCGTTAATGATTTTACTGAATACACTGTTTTCAAAACCTGAAGACCCGAGAATTGATAAATACGTCTGAGACTCTAGTATAAATCTTGCATGGCTTTTTAAATATGCAACACATCTATACTGACTGTCATTCAATAAAATTTCTAAAATTTCTTCTTTTTAATGCATTTTAAGCTGCATGGTATACCATTTCCGCCCAAGACGTAATAACATTAAATAAAGATGTCAATTTTATGGGACGGCGTAGCGTAGCCGTAGAGGCAAGTTCGCTAATGAAAATTAACGAACTTTACAGGTAAATTTTCCACACTTTGCTGCATATTATTGTATTTCATGAAAGAATTGTGAATATAAACACTTGAACAAACAAGGCATGTTGTGACGTAGCGCACGTGAGGAAAGGTTCGGGAAAAACAATTAATGCAGTGCAGTACAGCCCCACCCCCCGTCCCTGGCTCTACCTCTATGGTGGCCGATCGCTATCATTCATATTTTTGTTAATAATAGAAACAAAATAATATCTATACGTATTTTAAATGTAAACAGATTACAAATTGCATTTCAATTGATAAACGATTTGAAAATAATAATCAAAATCAAATCAAAATGAGAATCAAAATCAAAACAAGAATCAAAATTAAATCAAAATCAAAACGAGAATCAAATGATTTTACAATTGCAAATAGAAGTGAATATGAAGTGAAATTTTATTGGCCTAGCGCTATCACAGTATACCATAAAGCATTGCGCGCTATTCAAATCAAATTATGTGGTCGCGCATGTGTTTAAAATTTGCATGTGCTCCGTCCTGCTGTTGAACATGGCGGATTGAGCGGCTTGGAAGAATTTTAAAAAGCAAATGACAGCGAAACGAGGAAATAAAAAGAATACGTCTGGTGTTAAAATACTAGAGGAAGAGTCAATGACGGTCCAACGTTTGAGTGCGGATGTGTCGGGCGGATTCTGTGTGTGTTCCAGATACTATCTTTAAAAGTATTTAAAAGTAGTCTAATCTTCTTGTGCATCGCACAATAGCCAAGGAGTTTACCGGGGCCATGGTGTTCGCTCGATACAGCATCATGCAAATTTTCAATAGATATAATTTTATTTGTGTCTATGTATCTGATATTGAAATGTCGAAGGCGTCTATCAAGGGTTGCTATACTCCAGGCATATTGCGGGAAATCACGTTTCAAAAAGTCTAACATCTCCTTGCGTTGAATACCTTGACGTACGAAGTCTTTCATATCTTCTTCTAATTTTGTATCGTTTTGCAAAGAATCATTTCTAAAATATGAACCAGTTGCCATATTGTATACCTACGCCTGTATTCTAAAAGCTCACTCACACTCAAACTCATTGAGTGGGAGATTTTAATCTTCTCATAACGTTTCAATGTATTCTCATGTATATCTCATAATTATTTCCAGCCGAACAGGGGCTTGATTTTCAGTGATTTACCTTATACCTTTCCATCTATTCAGAAAAAACTTTCTCATTGATCAGCATTAACGAAATTTATATGTCACACTCGATGAGTATGAGTGTGAGTGAGCTTTTTGAATACAGGCGCTAATGTATAAAATGCTAATATGCCAGACTTTCCGCACAGGAAATAGCGCGCAATGCTTTATGGTATACTGTGATAGCGCTAGGCCGATAAAATTTCAATTTCATTTTTTTGGCATTTTATTGGGATTTATCTTTTAAAGTCATGTGAAATTTCAAATGAATTTTGATAGCGCTAGGCCGATAAAATTTCACTTCATATTCACTTCTATTTGCAATTGTAAAATCATTTGATTCTCGTTTTGATTTTGATTTAATTTTGATTCTTGTTTTGATTTTGATTCTCATTTTGATTTGATTTTGATTATTATTTTCAAATCGTTTATCAATTGAAATGCAATTTGTAATCTGTTTACATTTAAAATACGTATAGATATTATTTTGTTTCTATTATTAACAAAAATATGAATGATAGCGATCGGCCACCATATACCTCCACCCAAGGGCCCTCCTTCGTCTGTTACGCGACAAGGCAATTGAGAAACTGCTTCGTGCGACAGCACTCTCGTTTCCACCATAGCTGGGCGAAACTTGCTGACGCACTATATAGCTGTTCCGAGGTCTTACCACAGATTGGTGGGTTTTACTCTCTTAGAAAAAGAGTGCCATGCAACTTTGTGCCGAAATGCTTTGCGCCTGCGGAAGAGGTAGATAGTACTGAAAACCACCACGGTATTACAGTTTTGTTATTTCACAACATTCAATAAAGTCGGAAGCCGTAATTTCATACTAAGACTAAGTTGTTATGCTACACTGATTTCAGTTGATTTGCATTTTATTCGAAGTCATTCGCCCGTTTATCGATTATTACGACGAGTGAAGCGTTTAGAAATCTAGCTTGATCATTCAATCGTATTCGCTACGATCTACACCATCAAGTACTTGCTAAACGATTCTTTAAAGTGTTTTGTTTTAAGACAGCGTACATATATAGTCATGCAGAGTATATAATATATATAGTTCAAGCTATATATTGGAAAACTTGATGCTGACTCCATCGGACCATGATGACTATGCTGACAGAGAAGCTTGGCAGGATCCTTAAATATTTCCATTATCAAGTATTTTATTTCATCTTTTACGGCGGCTATCTGCCGTTTTTGTTTTATTTTCCAGTATATCTAAAGCATATTGGCTTAAATACAAGTCAGGTTGGTTTAGTCAGTGGTATTCGTCCAGTATTTCAGTCCATTGCCACACCGCTCCTAGTACTTATTGGTGACAGATTACACTCACGAAAACTCTTGTTTATTGTATCATCCTTTGTTACTATCACCAAACTTATTTGCTTGTATTTGCTGCTAAGACCATCACACCAACAGTGTGTTGTTAAAACCGTGTTATACACGAACAGCTCTCGTACAGTCACACAACATTCATTTCTTATCGAGCACAAACTGAGCAAGCGAGACGTCATGGATCGATGGTCCGCACAAGGAAAAAATCAACAAGACAGAGTTTTGGAAGCGAGTAAAAGCGAGAAACGATTGTACCACGTAAGAAAAATTTCGTCCGCCTTTAAACGAGAAGAAAATCATGAAATGAGCGTTAAAACTGACGATAATGACGAAAATGCTGGGAATGACCTCATAGCAATATCGAACGAAACAAAGAACGAAAACCCAGAAAGATTTGATGATAATAATATAACGAAGCATGGACAACATTCAGAAACTGAGCATTACATCATCAACAATGAAATTGAAACTCGAAATCTTTTTTACAGTTTGTTGGCAGTTGTGTTGATAACTGATATGTTTGATGCTGCAATGTTTACCCTTGTCGATCATTCATGCATTCAACACCAAAGGGAAAGCTATGGTTATACTCGACTATGGGGAACTTTAGGCTGGGGTCTCATGACTCCTGTCATAGCCGTGGTCTTACACAGTGTTCCACACGAGTTTTGCGGAAATATAGTGGACACATATCACTATATATTCATTTTTGCGATCGTATTTGCCAACATCTCTCTTATAGTAGGCTCGCATCTTGGATTAGATGCTGAGTTTAAAGAAGTAAAGGTCAGAAAAGTACATGGAACAAAGTCCAATTTTCATTACGGCATGTTTCTCATCGTGTTTGCCTATGCGGGATTCTGTAACGGCTTCCTGTTGACGTTCATTAATTGGTTTATAGAAAGTATTGGAGGAAATGCAAGTATCATGGGTGTAGCCAGAGGTTGCAAATGTATCGTCGATGTAATTCTTTTCTTTTTGATGGGAAAAATTATAGAATACTTCGACATTGTGCTTGTAATAAGTGTCGGTCTTGTTGGTCATATCGCCGTGTTCTTCATGTATTCCTGTGTAACCAATCCCTGGCTTGTGGTTCTGATCGAAGTTGCTCACGCACTATTTTATGGTTTTCTGGTCTCAAATTGCGCTTACTTACTTGATCAGGCAACCCCTGCCGGATCTAATCTTAGATTGCAAGGTATGTATAGCTACCGTGCATTGTTTATGCACAATTTTAAATATCGGATCAGTTTTTGTTAACCATGCCCAACTGTGTACCAAACCTTTAACCAATACAATCGAGTAATCTGCAGTAACTTTTGCAAATATTACATATATATATTTCACTTTTTTCTCTAAAGTTATATTTGCGCTTTCCACTCTAGCGTTACTTCACGGTATTTACTGGGCTATTGGTTCTGGATCGGGTGCCATAATTTCAGGCCTACATATAACTTATAACGGTTTCAGGAAAACGTTCTTGGTATTCACATTTATGACTGCAGCTGTAGCTTTCATATATTTTACTGTTGAACTGCTCATGTTTGTGATTGATATAAAAACGTTGGATGATCAAGATCAGTCATCCATCACATCATCGACAGGATCAGATGCTGATGTCAGCAGTGAAGGACAAAGCTCGCATGAGTGATTCACTATGATTTTTTATATACTTTTTTAACGTACAACAACAGCGCGCGTAATCATCGAAACCTCACTGACCTTGTCTGTATTCTGCTTCAAAATAAGCATGCACATGTTGCACTAAAATAGTAAACAGTAATTGTCCCGATTAACACTAGAGACGGATTATCTGTCTGGACAAGTGATCCGTCTGACAGATCATTCGTCTGAGTATAAACGCACCACAAACTATCTATGACGAACTATGTAGAAGAATATGTCAGACGAAACAGAATCGCGCGTTTAGAAAAGAATTGGGAAATTATTTATGTGGTAAGAAGAATGAACAAGGGCCTATTATGATGAATTTTTCGCAGTTCGTATTTACACAAACAGAGCAGATGGATGATGGTTCAAGTCTTCAAGAAGAAGACGAACTATCTTTCGCTTGATCCGTCTCTAGTATAAATCGGGTCACTGATGCTAAGCTCTTTTAAACCTGTTTTTATTAAAATGATCGTTTATGTAATTGAGAAACTTCTGTTCGCGTATCGCATGTTTTATGAATTATCGGTTACTTTCGTGTATATATATCTGCAACGATTTGGATTGTAATCATTGTATAATAACAGAGTTTGTGTTTATCACGTACACAGCTATACGTCTATCTATTTTGGTAGCCATATAGTCGATTAGAAAACTAGACTGTTTGCCCATGGTCTAAGTAAAAGTTAGGCTTCACGTATTCGAACCGGCTCGACCACAGTTGCTTGACCTAGTAAATCAGTTGGAGGAACATTAGACCACATTAGACCAGCAAACCAAAGGTCGTGGGTCAGATTTTCGCCGCGGTCAAGCTAATTTTTCAGCTTACTCGGTTCAGTCGGTTGGTACCTCAGAGTAGCAACATCTGAACATCACATTAATTCACCTCACTCATAAGTCGTATGCATGCACTAACTAACATGATCAACAAAATTTACGTAATTCTTTTGAGCTTCTATCCGGTCTCGCAGGACTATGGTGGCCGATCGCTATCATTCATATTTTTGTTAATAATAGAAACAAAATAATATCTATACGTATTTTAAATGTAAACAGATTACAAATTGCATTTCAATTGATAAACGATTTGAAAATAATAATCAAAATCAAATCAAAATGAGAATCAAAATCAAAACAAGAATCAAAATTAAATCAAAATCAAAACGAGAATCAAATGATTTTACAATTGCAAATAGAAGTGAATATGAAGTGAAATTTTATTGGCCTAGCGCTATCACAGTATACCATAAAGCATTGCGCGCTATTCAAATCAAATTATGTGGTCGCGCATGTGTTTAAAATTTGCATGTGCTCCGTCCTGCTGTTGAACATGGCGGATTGAGCGGCTTGGAAGAATTTTAAAAAGCAAATGACAGCGAAACGAGGAAATAAAAAGAATACGTCTGGTGTTAAAATACTAGAGGAAGAGTCAATGACGGTCCAACGTTTGAGTGCGGATGTGTCGGGCGGATTCTGTGTGTGTTCCAGATACTATCTTTAAAAGTATTTAAAAGTAGTCTAATCTTCTTGTGCATCGCACAATAGCCAAGGAGTTTACCGGGGCCATGGTGGTTCGCTCGATACAGCATCATGCAAATTTTCAATAGATATAATTTTATTTGTGTCTATGTATCTGATATTGAAATGTCGAAGGCGTCTATCAAGGGTTGCTATACTCCAGGCATATTGCGGGAAATCACGTTTCAAAAAGTCTAACATCTCCTTGCGTTGAATACCTTGACGTACGAAGTCTTTCATATCTTCTTCTAATTTTGTATCGTTTTGCAAAGAATCATTTCTAAAATATGAACCAGTTGCCATATTGTATACCTACGCCTGTATTCTAAAAGCTCACTCACACTCAAACTCATTGAGTGGGAGATTTTAATCTTCTCATAACGTTTCAATGTATTCTCATGTATATCATAATTATTTCCAGCCGAACAGGGGCTTGATTTTCAGTGATTTACCTTATACCTTTCCATCTATTCAGAAAAAACTTTCTCATTGATCAGCATTAACGAAATTTATATGTCACACTCGATGAGTATGAGTGTGAGTGAGCTTTTTGAATACAGGCGCTAATGTATAAAATGCTAATATGCCAGACTTTCCGCACAGGAAATAGCGCGCAATGCTTTATGGTATACTGTGATAGCGCTAGGCCGATAAAATTTCAATTTCATTTTTTTGGCATTTTATTGGGATTTATCTTTTAAAGTCATGTGAAATTTCAAATGAATTTTGATAGCGCTAGGCCGATAAAATTTCACTTCATATTCACTTCTATTTGCAATTGTAAAATCATTTGATTCTCGTTTTGATTTTGATTTAATTTTGATTCTTGTTTTGATTTTGATTCTCATTTTGATTTGATTTTGATTATTATTTTCAAATCGTTTATCAATTGAAATGCAATTTGTAATCTGTTTACATTTAAAATACGTATAGATATTATTTTGTTTCTATTATTAACAAAAATATGAATGATAGCGATCGGCCACCATACAGGACATTCTTTCAAACTGGGTTTTTGACGGTGAAATTTGATATATATTTCAGCTCTAAATTAAAGTTCTCGCTTAAAAAATGTTTAGAATAATATATTTGGCGGGCAATGCCAATGGCGCGTAAAATGCTAAACAGCAAAATTAAACATGCACGCATGAGCACTATATAGTTCTTTCAGAAAAGTAATCAAACAACTTCTAATAATTGGTGGTGTACCTAAATAGGAAAGGACCTAAATCATATCAGGAAATATTGACATATATACGTTGTGTATCGATCATATTACAATAAAACATTCTGGACATGTAGCATGCGCTTTGCGCTCGCCTATGTTTTGTCGTTCGGTTAAAAGAATCCGGCCCATTATTTTTGCTGGTGTTTTCAAATTGAGAAAAGATGATGGTAAATACTTTGCATTTTAAATATAATCAATTTGTGGTTAAATTCTAAAGTTAAAGGTGTTTAAATTCTCGACGTTTACACTCCTACGACCTTCGCAAGTGTTATGTTAAATCATGGCTTTTTCTTTACCAATCGAAGTTGTGTACAATGCGTTTTATTTCTCATTCTACGCTGGTTATGCTCCGTTTATAATGTTCCGACCAGTCTATTTCAAGTACATTGGACTAAGTCCAGTATTCGTAGGACTTTTATGCGGTTTGCGTTTTATTCTACAGTCAACAGGTACGCCTTTATTAATCATTCTTGCAGAGAGACTGCGCTCCCGAAAGTTATTGTTTGTAATATCATATATTGTTCTCATGGCCAAATTATTGATCATACTCGTTGTATTGCGTCCACGGCATCAGATGTGTGTGATTAAATATTCTGGTGATCGAACTATGTCTATGCAACATTCCTTTGTTATTCATCACGTGCTCTTGAAACGAGATGTGTTCGAGAACTGGAATGAAACGAACGAAGATGAAGCAATATTATGGGGAATGTCAGTCGTTAATAATAAAACATTAAACACAACGCACAGTCCGGTTTCTTCAAAATTTCAAGAAGCTATACATACAACCTCAGCGCTACAGTCTAAAATTTCTACCACCATCAGTTCTGACAAATCTAACAATGGTCTCCAAGCCTCTGCAACGCCAGGTATCACAGAACATATAATCTATAATGATAAAGAAGAATTATTTCGTATCTTCTTGTGTTTGTTAGTTCTTGTTCTATTAAGTGATGCTTTTGATTCTACCATGTTCACTTTGGTTGAAGAATCCTGTTCTGTCAGCACAGATGCTGACCACTATGGACAGGCTCAAACGTGTGGTACTGTAGGCTGGGGTATCATTGTACCTAACATAGGTATCATTATTTACTATTTCAACCAAGAGTTATGCGGAAAGTTTATTGGATCGTTCCATTATGTATTCTACTTTGCATTTGCGTTCCTTACCGTTGCTTTCTTCTGTGGCTTGTGCCTGGATTACCCAACAAATACACAAGATATACTTGTGCGCAAAGTACAGGGACCATCATCCAATTTTCAGTACAGTATGTTCACTTTTGCATCATCCTATTCTGGATTTTGTAATGGATTTCTATTAACATTCACCTACTGGTTTATTGATAATCTTGGTGGCAGTGCTATGGTTATGGGTCTTACCACTGGATGCAGGGCAGTTGTCAACATCATTATAGCCGTGGTTTTAGTTAAGGCAATTGAACACATAGGACATCAAATAATAGTTCATATTGGCATTGTTTGTCATATTATTGTTTTTGTGATTTATTTCTCAATCAAAAGGCCATTGCTTGTCTTGGTTGCAGAAGTTTTTCATGCAACAGTTCATATTGTGATAACACGTACTTGCAGCTCATTTCTTTCAATGAAGGCACCGACAGGATCTAGTCCAAAAATGCAAGGTAAGCAATTTTTTAGATTTAATAACAGGAACTCATAAAGTGCTTTTTTATTGTGCTGATAGGAAAATGCTTTTAAGATATAAATAAGAAAGTTACGCGCTGACCTGGACTATGTACGAAAACTCCAATCTTCGAATTAGCCAATCTTATTATTTTTCGAACTTTCCCCGGAATGTGTGCAGTGCAACCAAATTCAAATCTACCCTCACTTTACCCCTTGCGAACTTTAATAACTTATTGTTTTCTATCTTACAATAGGAATTCTTCAAGGAATATACTGGGGCCTGGGTACAGGTTGTGGTGCCATACTCGGTGGATATTATCTCGAATATTCTGGTTTTAGAATGTCATTCATTGGATTCTCAATCATCACTAGTATTGTTTGTATTGTGTTCCTTATTCTACATATCTTGTTATATCTTATTAATCCTGAAATAACCATGGACGATATTTGGACAGTGTGGTCAGCAGCTGCCAGTAATTACGAAAGTGAATACGAAGGTTCCGCTGAAGAGTCTGATGATTTTTGATATTTGACACTGAGAAGGCAACGAACCATGGCCACACAGACTCATTTCAGTTTTTTAGTAGCTGTAGTAACTCATTTATGAAAAAATACGTGTATATTTTGAGTACTAGTCTTATATTAAATACACTTCTAGGCGTTTTACAATTTTAAAATTTAACAAAAATCCAGATATTTGATGATTTGCATATCATTTTCGGTATACCATTTTCCTATATTTCCACCTCGTCTGATTATCCTTTCGGAATATTTCCAAGCGGGATTAACCATGTAAATTTCAGTAATCTTGCTTATGTGCGGTTCGTATCAACAAAAGCAAAGCAAGGATTATATGAATGAAATTATTTTTTCATTATTTTTCCAATTTTTTACAACAGTGGTTTTTGAAGAATCTTCCATAACTAAGCTACTGATTATTATTATCGTAATATGAGAACCTATAGTTTTCCTAGCTAATATAGGATCGTCAAAAACAACTTTGCAAACGACTTTTTAGTTCACTTCTTTTTCTACTTATAGGTTGTGATTTTAAAAAAGTTCAATATGAATTATGATTTTGTAAAAAGAAGAACGTCCTTTTGTAGAGGCAATAACAGGGGTCGGTTGTGTCCTAAGTTAACGTTCAAAATAGAAGGCAAGTCTATCGTTTTATTCAACAAGCAAACTAAATGTTTTCAACCTTAATACAAAGATACTGTTTACAACTACATATTCAGTGCATATATATAATATTCAAGTTGACTCATTCAAGAGAAATGTGAAAGTGTTATTTAATTTTGAGTTTCCACCGTTTAAGCTAAACGGGCTTGATACAACCGGCCCCTGCTATAAAAAAAATGAATAAAATCTTCTGAAAGGCCTAAACAATTATTCATAAAGACACCTTTGTTGCAAGTACAAGCTATTCATATGCAAATTTAATGACAGCAAGCTTATTACAAAAAACAGCTTGTAGCTGCTTAAATATTCCGGCTACATTGGCTAACTGACTTTGTCCTAAATATAAAGTACAGTGAACAGTGGACACATTTACTTAGTATTAACGTAATACAAATGTAAGAGAGTATTGGTTGATTCGATTCTAAGAAAAGTCCTGTGGCTGTGTAGTCTAAACTGATATGTTATATTATCAAGTTTAAAATAATTATATTATATAGCGTGTATTTATAAACATGGCAGACTTACGAGAAGCTAACAGTGATGAAGGAAATCAAAGTAAAAATACGAAGTCAAAGACGAAGAAAAGAATGAAGACTACGAACACTAACAAAGACGATAGTGGATGTGGCAATATTTCATCTTTCTGCTCCAATGTACGGACAAATTGCACAGATGAATCAGCCTCTTATAAATTTTTTAATTTTTTCTTCTACGGCGCTGTTCAAACATTTAATTCCTATATCTCAGTGTATTTAAAGAGTCTGGGTTTAACAGCCAGTCACGTTGGCTTGATAAACGGATCACATCCTCTACTGCAAATCATTGGCGCTCCACTCGCAGGAATACTCGGAGACCGTTTCAAGATTAAGCGGGTACTTTTGTTAGTAGGACTAGTTGTTATGACTGTACGAACTATGTTATATCTGCCGGTTCAACCAGAGAAACAAGTATGCAATATTGTGTATGTCAACAAGACTCATCACAAAGTTATTTCGTCCAAATTTATTGAATTTCACATCACAAAGCGATCCATGCGAGATCAATTTATGGCGTCTACGAAGTATGTTAACAATAAAACGTGGGGAAAAGAAACTACATCGGCAAAGAATTTACTTCACAATAGTCTAGATTCTATGGATTATGTTTTCAATAATTCAAACGACGAATCAGATGTGACAAAGGAAGTACGCCCAAACACGGAAGTGGATCCCTTTCTATCGCCTCCAAGCGTGGTTATCAAGAAGACCAAAGATTATAAGTTGATTTATGTGAAAACGGAAGATCAAGATGAAATAGAACGCATTTTTATAGTTCTTTTATGTCTTGCGCTATTCGGAGAGATATTCGAAGCCCTTGTTTCGACCATAGCCGATACTTGCTGCCTTGACTACCTCGGGGAAGAGAGAGAACGTTTTGGGATGTTTCGATTTTGGGGTGCCCTAGGTGCAGGTATAACTTCACCAATAAGCGGCGCTATATTTGATCATTATGGACAAATGATTTGTGGTCGAACCGTGAGCGGATATCATTACTTATTTTACATCTATTTTGCATATCTTTGTGCTGCTTTCATCGCTGCGACACATTTTAGATATCGCTATGATACTTCAGTGTCCACATCAAAGAACAAAAATATAAAGGACGCCTTGCTTAATTTGAATTATGGAATATTTCTTTTGGTTACACTATATATGGGCCTCTGTTATGGATTTTTAACCAGTTTCAGCTTTTGGTTTTTGGATGATCTTGGTGCGAATGCAGTTCTTCTTGGCGTGGCTTCATCCCTTAGGAGCGTGGCTGAAAACTGTGTTTATTTTGTTTCACCCTTCGTTTTGGTCCGTTTTGGCCACGTCAACATAGCAGGTGTCTGTCTGTTGGTGTTTGGAGTTACATGTTTGTTATACTCCTTTCTGTTTAACCCCTGGTTTGCAATTCCTCTTGAAGTTCTGTCTACAGGGGCCTACGCATTTTCCTGGACAACATGCGTTTCGTATCTCAATCGAGCGGCACCACCGGGCTCTAGTACTACCGTTCAAGGTATGTATATATATGTCCTTTATGTTAAAAAGCAAGCAGAGTCTTCATTAGTGCATTTTAAAAGTCTTTTACATCATTTTACTGAAAGATGTTTTATCACGATTACCATATAAGATATAGCCGTGATCGCACTTCCATTTTCTCCACGTTGAAGCCTGTAGACTTACCGTCGAAAGCTCGGAAATAATAAATATTTTAAACAGAAAACGTCTATATTTTTCACCGTCAAGGTATTGTGCAAGCATCATTCTGGGGACTTGGTTTTGGTGGTGGTTCAATCATCGGAGGATTTTCATTCCGGGTGTTTGGAGAACGAGAAAGCTTTCGTGGTTTTTCTGTCGCTTCATTTACTGTCTTTGTCTTCTTCGTTATTATTCAATGTATATTATCATCAGCTGAGAAAAAAGAAAAAGGTTCTAAATATCAAGCTTTATCCAATAAAGAAGAAATTTCTCAGGCACAGAGTCCATCGAGCGAAGAGAACAATTAAAGGAACATAATAAATTACTTTAATAAACGCCAAACTCCATGTGCATGATAATCCGGCGAAAATTCATATCATCGTGTGCCTGCAGAGGTACATGCATGTATGTATACACGTTCTAAAAATTATTAGAAAATTTTAATTTTCATGCAAAAAAGCATTGTTTTAATCGAGTTGTGACTTCAAAAGATCTTTTTCAAAACATTCCACCAGACGTCTCGTATAATATATCACTTTTCTCACATCAGTGAGCTTGTTGTCTCCACAATTGACGACAGCCGTCTATATTTGGAAGGCACATCCGCAAACTGAAATAGCACGTAACCCCACATCTCCGTCTAAAGTGCGGCCCTGCATGCAAGCCAATTTCGTACCCACAGCCCTTAAAAGTAAGCTGTCGGCCTTTTTCACGGTCAGACTGGTCAGTGGATCAGGGAGTCGACAGGCAAACACTCCCCACTTTCTATTCGGACCAAAAAATCATCAGATAATTAAAATTTAGCGCGGAGTGTGAACCCCGTTGTCAACGACGCCGACCATGTGATCACATGTGATCGAGCCATGTGCGATTAACCCAATTATAGTTCGACACGGTTTGCTAGCGTTTATTCACTTTATTGCATCAGCTTTGATTGTGTTTACGAGGCATGTTATAACTTTTATAACATTCTACACTTTTAACTTGGGAAGAAATTAAAGCAAATTTTAACAAGGTAAATATTTTATTCACCTGTAAATTGTATTTTAGTCAACAGTAGTGTTAATATTATATTCTCTCTAAAAAAGTGTTGAATTTATCATGTATGAATTTTGCAAGACACGTGTACAAATGTTGAAACATTTTGTTTCTCTGTCTGTGGCATAATATTATGTCGTTCGATCAAGAAAGATCAAGATTTATGAGGTTAGAAAGCTAGAAAAAGCTGAAAATAACATTAATTTGGCGTGATTGTAGACCTGAGGCGAATTTGAAACAGAATGAATAAATAATATGCGTAATTACTTACAATTAAGGAGCATTCATAATATAACATGGAGGTGCTATGGTCATGGCAGGGAACCCCAAAATATCAGCAGACTAAGAGTTTTTACGTTTCACTTATACAGCTGATTTTCAATCAACCTTTTCTATAATTACATCACAACACTATTGTCTAAAATCTAGAACCACCTCATTTAAATGAGATGGATTTCTAGTTCACAAGCCTCATGCAAAGATACAAAACATCATTCTTGCATACACATGAAAAATAAGTATGGAAATAAGCCATACTAAAAGAAAAAGGGTCATGGTCTTGGCTCCTGAGCCAGTGTCCTGAGGTCTATTTCAATGTTTATTGGTCAAAATAAGGATGTCAAACATCAGCATGTGGCCTGTGAGAGTAAATGCATCATTTAAGGTTGATCTAAATTTTAAAATGGTAATGTGGTGACATAATTATTATAAAAATAAAGAAAAACAGTGAATTAACTATGCTTAGCATGTCTGAATATGGATGTAGCTCAATTTGTCTTCAAAATATTTTGTTGTCACCATTCGCAGTTAGGTAATTGATGTTGGTAATTTCTAAGGCTAAGTGACTTTGCAACTGTGAAAGGGGAGGGTGTGAAATTATCTCTAGGTTGTGCATTGTTAAATTATCATAACTGTAAGTGGGAAATGAAACAAATCACTGTTGTTCATCCCTAACTGGATTAATTAGACAAAATTGCAAAAATTAAGTGCAAAACTCAAGGATAATTAAAAGAAAATTGACACTGGAGAAGTAAAATGACTATCTAAGCTTGTCTGGAAGCATATTTTTAATCATTTCTAAAGCTGACAAAAACAGAGCTGCCATTTTGCCTTTTGTTTTAAATTCAGCTAGCTACAAATATGCTGGACTGCTAATGACCAACTGTGTTAATTCTCTGATGGTTAAACCTTCCAAACAATGTAATTTTAATTTTTTTATACACCCTGTGTATCTTTGACCCTGTATATCTTTGACCCTGTATATCTTTGACCCTGTATATCTTTCCTAAAAAAAGTAACAATAACAAGTATGTGGTGTAGCAACGTTCCAGCCAGACAATGTATGGCATTGTAGTTCTGCAATAATTGTAAATTCATAAATCTCAGTTTGACGTGTTATTCTCTGGTACAAAATATCCTTTATAAACTTACTGAAGCTTAACATACTTAATGTATACTTACTAAAACTGGACCATAAAAACAGAGATCATTGTTCAGTAAAGATGTATGTGTGTGTGGGGGGAGGGTGTGTGTGTGTGGGGGGGGTATTTTTAGAATTACATGAATTCTCAGGAGTCTTCAATGAAGGGATCAGGCAGAGTATTATAATTAGTTGTTAATAATTGAAATTTACCAGCTCACCCCTAGTCATAAATAATGAGGCCCCTAATAAACAAAGAGGTGCAAAATTGATATTAAAAAATATTCCTTTGATCTATTCTTTAAAATTATATTTTTTTTCAAGAAAAGCAATCTCTTTTTATGTACAAAATTTTCAATGTAACAGGAAGAATGGAAAAACCAATTCCATGGAATACACACGTTTGATAATGTAAATTTATAATGAATGTTGAGAGTGAATAGGAAGGCATAAATTATACCGATCAATATATTTTTAAAATAACACGACGTACTTCTCTACCAGCTGCCTATTAAAGGTTTCTGACTAATTTTGGGTCCAGGTTTTGCCAATTTTACACTTGTTTCACTTGTTTTACAGTTTTGGCCAGGCACTAAAAAAACACAAACTGATCAGTCCCAGCGTCTAATAGTTTGAATAGTATGACTCATTTCGTAAATAATTGTATTAATCTAATTGAAATACCTTTAACACATAGGAGTCCAATATGAATTAACGTAATGAAAAGTTTTTGGAAAAAAGCCTTAAAGGGGAAAAATGTAAATTTTTGACCAAAGTGAATAACTTTTTTAGATTCCTGTTGCTTCTACTGTTAAATTTTTTTCAATATGTGTGGAATTTGGGCAATATTCGGAACCTCAGAGGATATTTCGGAATACTTCAATTGTGCTCTGAAGATCGCTCATCGTGGTCCAGATTGTTTTCGTCTAGAGAGTATCCCAAATTTTGGTAACTCCTGTTTGGCTTTTCATCGTCTTGCGATTGTTGACAGCGTCTACGGAATGCAGCCGATGCGAGTGTTTACCCTCCCTCACCTTTATGTCATCTACAACGGGGAGATTTATAACCACAAAGCATTAGGAAAGCAGTTTGGATTTAATTATCAAACCAAGTGCGACGGAGAAGTGATTTTGCATTTGTATAACGAGTTTGGTGGAGAGAAGACGGCGCAAATGATGGATGGTGTCTTTGCCTTTGTTGTTGTGGATACGTCGAAAAAAGAAATCCACCTTGGTCGCGATACTTTTGGCATTCGGCCGATGTTTATGCTAAAGTCGAAAGATCAATGTTTAGCAATTTGCTCTGAAGTCAAAGGCTTAATGAAGTTGCAAAAAGACTTGGATAATATGAAAACTGTTATCGAGCCTTTTCTTCCGGGTCATCATGCAAGCCTATCTTTCAACGATGATGGAGTGGCAATGATTAAGAAGATGGGTCCTTACACAAGCTTGACCAAGATACCAGAATTTGATTTTTCTTTCAATGCAAAAAGTGACATTAAAGAAAACATTAGAGCCCTGTTTACCGAAGCCGTTCGCAAGCGTCTCATGTCTGACAGACGTATAGGATGTCTTCTGTCCGGTGGACTGGATTCCAGCCTCGTTGCTGCTATATTGGTGAAGCTCGCACGCGAATCAGGAATATCGTATCCTATTCAAACGTTCTCTGTCGGAATGACTGGAAGTACTGATCTTGCCGCTGCTAGAAAGGTTTCTGAATATCTTGGTACAGAGCATCACGAGTTAGTTTTCTCTTCTGAAGAAGGTCTTGCCGCAATTCCTGATGTCATAGAATATTTAGAAAGCTATGATATTACCACCGTTAGAGCCTCAGTTGGGATGTATTTAATTAGTAAATACATTCGCGAGAAGACAGATACTGTGGTAATATTTTCTGGTGAAGGTTCAGATGAACTAGCACAAGGATATATCTATTTTCACAAAGCACCTTCCGCTGATGAAGCTGATCTTGAGTCGAAGCGTCTTATGGAAGATCTTTATCTTTATGATGTTCTTCGTGGTGATCGTTCTACTGCTGCTCATGGCTTAGAAATCAGAGTTCCATTCCTCGATGTTGCTTTCACATCCTATTTTCTCTCGTTAAGTCCACCTATTCGTCAACCACAGAATAAAATTGAGAAGTACCTCCTTCGTTCTGCATTTGACGGACAAGGCTTGCTTCCAAGTGAGATCCTTTGGCGCCCAAAGGAAGCCTTTAGCGATGGCGTGTCGTCCACAAAAGCTGGCGAATCCTGGTACGAGATTATCCAGAAGCATTGCAAGAGAGTCGTAAGTGATATTAAACTGGAGACGGCAGCCCAACGATATCCATTCAACTCTCCTAAGACCAAGGAAGCGTATTACTACCGTAAGATCTTCGAGAATAAATACCCTGGTCAGAGTCATTTGATTCCGTATATGTGGTTGCCAAAGTGGTCTGAGAGTCAAGATCCCTCAGCACGTACCTTGGCTCATTACACCCAACCATGAAATACGAACATCAACGTCTAGCATGCAGTAGACGTTTCTTCATAAAATCCCAGTATGTCTGAAAAACCTTTATAACTCGTGTGAAATATAGTACACCTAGTTGTAGAGTTACTAAATAAAAATTGCTGCTGTTCAAGTTAACAAAAAATTTGAAATTTGATTGCAGCAAAAAACCTCGCAACTAAAACCTCGTTTACATTACACGGTACCCAATCATCTCTGCCTAGCCTAGGCTACCAATACGAAAGACTATAATTTCATACGTACGGAAGATATGAAATTGGTAAGATTACACATTTTATAACCGTGCCATGCCGATAAATCGCACCCATTTTATAACCCTGCCATGCCGATAAATCGATGATAGACTGTATACGGGTCTTATTTAAAATAGTCAGTTGAATTTCAAAGCATTAGGTTTATCTGTTTTATTTGGTGGGGGCTAAGAATAATAGAAAAGAAATGAATCACATGTCTAGAAAGGTAGACAGTCTCTCACTCTATTCTACAGTTTTTGGATATTTTGAAGACATTCTATGTTAGCAACAAGCCTTATTTATCAATCGGTTTGTTGTATTTAATCATACTAACTAAATTAATCATTGATAAGTGTTAGGATTTTTGCGATCCTTGTCCCCTGCAGGTCTTTTTGTATGTTTATGCACACGAGTGAACTCCAGACCAGAATATTGAGTTCAGAGCAGTAAAAGTTTTACTTGAAAGCATAGCTTACCCAATACCCATTGGGCTTACCAAATACCAAGCTTAAGATGGCGGTTAAAGGCATTGCTTTTTGCCATGTGGAAAAAAACCTAAAAGCATTAGAGAAGTTGCCTCGCGTGGTACTTAATAATATTAGAGATTTTCCTGAAGCATTCAAACCGGTATGTATATACTTTATATTATATATTATGCATACGGTATTCCTATAAAATCACTAGGACTTCATTTTACAACATGTCTACATTGTGATTGTATTTTAGCGACAACAACTGTCAACTCTTAGCACGCAATAAAATGGTAAATTGTGCACATATTAAAGCATATAATAATGACAATGTAACGGGGGTTTTGCCATGTTGCATACTGTCCTGCCAATGATCTTCGTTTTGTAGAGCAAATAATTGAAATTGTAATAAATTTTATATGATGGAACACGAGAGGGATGCCTTGGAATATAATAAAATGTAAGAGGGAATGAATGCATGACATGACTACAGTTTCTTGCAGTATCCATGCAATCTTAAAAATTTGTCAACAAACTAATTATCAAATACAGTATTGTCAAATAGGACTGAAACTGAACATGTTCAGTCATGTTTGAGTTGGCACAATATGGTAAAAGCATGTAATACTGAAATCTGAAATACCTTTTTGCTGCTATTTAACAGCATGAAGTATTAAGTCAAATTGTTACATGTTATGATTATTAATTTAACTAAAAATAAAGCATCACAGAAAAGGTCGGGGGCCTGGTTCAGGTCGTGGAAAGACATCAGGAAGAGGACATAAGGGCCAAGGTCAACGAGGAACATTGCCAAGGATTGGTTTTGAAGGAGGACAAACTCCATTCTACCTTAGAATACCAAAGCATGGCTTCAAAAATGTGTATGTATTAGTTATTAGTAAAGTATATATGCATGACATAGTCATCCCACCTATTAGCCATTTTCCAATCGAGCAGGGTGCTGGGTTGAGTCGTGAACCGCAAAGCATATATGACTGTTTGGAGGGACAGAAATATAAGTCTGAAATCATTTGTCCCTCCAAACAGTCCATAGATACTTTGTGGTTCCCAACTAGACCCAGTACCCTGCTCGATTGGGAAATGGCTGATAGGTTTCTTCTTGTCTGCAATTTATTTCCAATATGCTCAAGATTGTCCTGGAATTTTTGTTTTCTAATTTGATAATTTATATTATAGTGTGCAAAACCTTCAACATTGATCAAATGCAAATATAATTTCACAACGTTATTTTGACATCATTGATGCCCTGATATCAATTTGACCATTTGTAAACATTTTATAGAAGATGCAGACAATCATAAGATACTTAGTATCATTATTTTATGCTCATTGCTTGTATATATTCACCTACACTTGTCAGTCTACAACCAGCCAATAAAATTCAATAATCAAAAACACAGAAAATGGTTACATTACAAAACAAAATTAGCTAGTCAATAAATGATTACCAACAGGGTCTTAATCAGGATCTCTGAGAAACTGGGAAATTGGCTATACTCTGGAATGATATTGGTTAGAATTACTGAAAAGTGAAAAAGAATGAGACATATGTTATATAGACTATTACATGTTGAAGGTTTTTAGGAGAACAAAGGTAGCAGGCTGCAGGCAGGATTAGATGTGCAAGATACCTACCCATGCATCCATCACTCTCCATTAGTACACCTTTAATACTGTATATCACAAACAATGTGGATTTGACAACTGAAACATTAACTGCCGAGAGTAAACATAATACATGCCTTCTCATGTTCTGCCAATCACAGTAACTTGAAGATACATATTGCATACAAAATTGATACATATCAAAATTTCTATTTTTTAGAAACAAAAAGAACTATGTGCCTTTAAACTTGAATAGATTACAATATTTTATTGATTGTGGTCGTATCGATGTCAACAAGCCTATCAATATGAATACACTTTGGACGACAGGAGCTGTGTCAAGACTTCAAGATGGCGTGTGTCTTTTAGGAACAGTAAGTTAATATAATTATCAGTTTGTAGCTTCACCACGTATATTTATTGTAGTGACAAACATACATGTTACACCTAATATAAGAATAATAGTTTTTTTACTGTTCGCCACCCAAAGATATAAGAGTCAAGAATATGAGATTTCAGATTTACATTACAAATGTACAAGCCTAAGACAACAGCTCTAACATGAATGAGATTAACGCGCATTGTTTTTTCTGATCTTTTAATTAGTGAATAATTTTTCTTAAACTGAATTATTGATGTTGTATTTCAGGGCTCGGAAATATTCAACTCAAAAATAGATATTGAAGTCAGTCGAGCTTCAAAGAAAGCCATTGAGACAGTAGAACGACAAGGAGGACAGGTTACTTGTGCTTACTATACCAAGTTAGGATTACGTGTCCTCGTAAAACCTTGGAAGTTTGATACGAAAAGGTTACCCAGAAAGGCTGCACCACCACCTAAGCTAGAGAAATATTACAAAGATCCATCGAAGAGAGGATATCTTGCTGATCCGCAAGAAGTAGATGAAGAAAGAAAGAAAGAAAGTTTATCGAAAGATTGATTCTGAATCAAACGTATTTGGAAATTCGCAATAAATAGTCAATATTTTGCATACATGTGGCAACTTATTTCGTTTGTGTTTTTTAAAGCAACTTTTCCCGATAAACCAAATCAACGGACGACATATATTTGTATTGGTAAAAATATTACTAGTTGCAATTACAAGTATAATAAATGCCCCGCACAGACCCTGCATTTCACGGCATAAAATCCTCATGAAATATGCCAAAAAATAAATTTAGATGGCAATATTAACAAATTGATAGGATGTTTATTGTGTGCACGTGTTTCTGCATACGACAATACGTAGATATTGTTGTTGAAAAAACACCCAAAAAGAGGCATCTATAGAATTTAAATTTTGTAGAGTCTGCAGAATTTAAATTTCTGCAATCACATCAAGTTGCTTAAACACTCGTCGAAGAATGTCATTCGGAAACGCTTACAATGAGTGTTTGCCAACAGTATATCCACTGTTTTGGTCTGCTGATCATCATGTCCCACTGATTGGTTTGCAAACTTTGTTGGTCAGCAGGTGACTTCATACCTCGTGGACTCTCAATACTTAAATCGCTCTCGCCTCCCCAGCTTAGCCTCCGACCACGTTTCGGTGATAACGGTAAATTTGCCATAAGACGAGAAAATGTAGGGGTAAACACCTTACGATTAGCATCGGGTGTATGCGGGTTACTTTGGTTAAGATTGGGTGAAAGGTTTCCATCTGGAGAAATTTGGCTGTCAGTCAAGTGTAAGCGACTCGGAGGAGGAGGACGAGGTGGTTTGATTTTCGATTCTTTGAAAGGGATTTCTTCGTCATTAATGTGGTCGGTATTGTTATTTGCTTCATTCACGATAGAATTATTTGTTTCCTGATCAAACTTACCAACATTTATTTTAATGGGATTTGACGTATCATTTCTATTATAGCTTGATGTAGCGTTGAACTTCTTTAAGTTTCGAACAATTGGATCACACGTCTCGGAATCTGACCACACATCATCATCCGAATTTTGGCCTGATCTTACTCTGTTTGATTTATTGCTTTGATCAGGAGATTGCATGTCTTTTTCGTCTGTCCCAATGGCTGATAACGGCCTTTCATTTTTTGCCCCATCACCCCGCACCAACGGAGAATATACAAAGCGTTCATTTACCAATCGATCTTTTGAAGAATCAGATGGAGAAGTAATTATAGGACTTGCCAAAGAGAAGAAATCAAACACATTTCTACATCCAACTCGTAGCTCTCCTAATAAGGCTTTTTTCTTGTTTATACCCAGGTGCCAGTTAACCACGCGGATGCCCAACTGTTGTCTACGAAGTTGCGATTGCGCAATACCGTCAATGACAAAGTATTCGTCCCATATTGGAGATGACGATTTCTGAGCGCGTTTGGTTTTACAACTCTTTAGGTTCTTCTCATCAGGTAAAAGATAGCTAATGAAATGAGAAAGGAAAATGTGAAAAACTGCTACTGAATTCTAAAACAATTCATCAGAAATCGTTAATATAGGTGATCCAATCAAATATCGGTCACAGGGTTCAGGTTTGAGGATCTACTGCAACTGAGGTTAAAAACTCTCCTTATAACTCGTTGAAAAATTTCAGGATTTCTAGAAAGGCAACCAGCCAACCAACCAGCTTTAAGTAGAGCGCAATTCCCGGTGCCAAAAAACGAACGCATTTATAGCAACGGCATTTCAATTTATTATCTATTGTTTTCAATGTGTTTGGCGCATGAGAAATGTGACATTTAACCGAAGCCTTAGTGATGCTTTGTTGCACAACGGATCACCACTTTTTAGGACAAAGATTAGGATTTACCGAGACTTTGCCCTACCATTTAACTTGCGGATCAGGAAGACCGTCTTTAGTACGTGTGATACTCTCTCCTTGAACAATGTTGATATGAAGAAATCCTCTACCAGCGCTGTTTGAATGACTACGATAATGGCGGCGATCAACGGTAGTCTCTTGACTATTACTGAACATTAGACCAAGTAAAATGGTCGGTTTATTGTACATTTCAGTAGGTGGCTGGCAATAGAAAATAACGATTGCATGATTTCGATCAGGAACACATACGTTTGTTACAGTCGTGTCATGTGTCTATTGCACTTTTGTATTTCGAAGTTGATAGTTCAGCAAAAGACTGGTAGCAGCCTTTTTAAAACAGATCAGTGGAACAATTATGAAGTCAAATCTGCTTTTCCTAATCCTAAGAGGAGTGTAGATTTTTACGTACCTTTAGTGTTACTTTAAGATCTAATGGAAACACATCTTTACTTAAGATGTTCTTCTCAAAGAGTCTTGTTTGTTGCTCCGACGTTTCTCCAATTAAATGGATATATAACACTAAATTAGTCGCATTTTGGAACTCTTTTACATCGACTAGCCCAAGACCTAAACGTGAATTTTTATATAATAGGATTGAATGATTGAAATTGCAAGCCATATCTATAACGTGTGATTTGCAAAATGATGCATCCCGGTACTGATGAACATTTACCTTCCATATGAGATATTGTTTTCTTTGTTTCACCACTTGCCAGCATAACAAGAACATCTCCCCCATTCATACAACGACTTTCAACTTTAATAGAAACCTGATCTACTACCAAACCACATGGCGCAAAATCTATTTTCCATGTCAATATTCCTGTATTACTTCCAGGTGTACGTTCCAAGTATACCTGCAAACAAAAATACGCAACTCTAAACTTATAAATTTATTTAAATTTCAACTTTCAAGTCCAGGCATTTAAATGGTGAGGAAAATGTCGTTCAGTGCTTAGCGCTTTCGTTCCAGTTCCGACATCTCAAATTAAGACAATTACACAGAAAGCAATCGTTGTAACCATAAGTACAGTGAACTAACCAAGTTATTTTTGGTATCCACAATTCTCTCGACAAATTCAAATGAATAAACCGCTTTCTTCCAGCCGCTTACATTCCCACCAGCCCTCGTGAAAACATAATCGTCCAGTTCTCTGTGGTACGAATCTGAACAGGGACTGTATCTTAGTCGAAATCTGTAATACCGGATAAAAATAATTACATAAATCTGCTTAGAAACATTTCATTTCCAAGTATTCGTTTACCTCTGCTTTACTGTATCATCCTTCTGCGGAATAAAGACGTATTTTCCAAAGCTTTTATCAAGTGTCTCAAACTCATGAACACTGGATTGCTATAAAGAATATTAAACAAAAGATCACAAAGTATTTGTAAAAGAGAAACGACGTTGGATATTGTCAGTATCATTCGGTAGCGTGAGAGCAAAGTCACGTAACAGTGGTACACTGACCAAGGTCTTTGTCTTTGTAAATCGTTTCTGCCTGCTATAGCCAATACTTAGAGATAGCGAGCCATTGTGTCTGTATTCACTTGATATTGTTTTGTCACTACTCGTAAATTTTTATACAATAACGAACTTCTTGCATGTTTACCTTTGTATTGCGTTTACTTCCAGCTGTTGGCGAAAGAGGTAAAGTGGAATACTTTAAAGCTTGTACAGATGAGTCTTTGTCTTGGGAACGATGCCTAATGAAATATAAGCGCGACAAGATTTTTCCTTTACAAAATTGTTTATAAAAGTAGTTATGACACAAGAACTCTATTTAATCATACTTATATCTTAAATCTAAGAAAATTTAAACAATGCATATGGTGTGAAACTATCAAAGGTAGTTTAAAATTAGAGATGAAAGTAATCAGGATTGAATTTTGTCTACTTCTCTGGGAAAATATTAACTTGCTGTTGCCATGGATGGACGCATTGAGTAATTTAATAATAATCATGAAAAATTTATGTATATAGCGCGAAGCCCAACATATACTATAATCATTTAACTTCGGCTAGGTTTCAATATAAAATTAAATCGTTGTAGAGTATATAGATTTTATAATAAATGCAGTATTGTAATGGCATATTGATTCCAGTGTACGAGAACGTCTTTTTGGTAAGTTGTAAACGGCATCAATGAGGAATTGGAGCAAATTTTGTCGCGAGATAACGACTAAACGACCAGAAAATATAATCCAATACAAAGAAATGCTTTAAATTTTTATGATATATTATTCAAACTTACCCGATACTAAAACGTGAACTTTGAGTTATCATACCTCGCCTCTAGTAAGAGAAATAAGATCTTTTCCAGTACTATTAGGTTAGCGAAGCTGTTAAAATAACTAGTTATAAACACTAAAGTTTGAAACAAATTGGTTAAGTCCACCTGCTAACCACACACTGGAGCATAAATAGGCACTGAAGTCCAAACATTGATTATCATATAGATATATATGCATTGATATTGTATGAAACTCGTTATACTACACTTCGGATATTGTTTTAAAGCAATAAAAAGAAAATTAAGGAAATCAAATGTCATCTCGTTATATTTTACAGTTCATAATAGTTTTTGTCCGAACTTACGAGACATCAGTAGCTACATAAAGAAAATACTAATAATTAAAAATAAATTATTTATGGTTAGTATTAGCCTGTACTGCATGAATTATCGATAACGATAAAGGTTACTAAATAACAGCTATTTTAGGAAGCTCTGACCTTATTCTATATTCTAACACCCTTGTAATTATTTCAGTGGGATTAGTGTATGGCAATAATGCCTTAATGGACAGTCATTTTATTACCATGTTTGGCTCTCCGTACATGGAAATGCCTGCGTTGCAGTTGTACTTATGCAGTTACCACTCGCTGTGTAAAGAGTGAGAATTAGTTTGAGAATCGAAGCCTGGAAATCCTCAATATATTAGGACGCTTGCGCAATAACTCAGAGGAGTGAGTGGGGGGATATATCAAGGTCATAATAAGAGTACCTTGCGAGTCGCGTAAACGGGATACCCTTTAGCTAGCTGGTTCCAGTCTATGGGTACGGTTATGACGATCCCCACTGACGTTCTTACTTTAATTCGACATTTCTTATGGATTACCGCCTTTCGAGGCAGGCATAAAATATCGAAGACTGAAACCGGGTTAGATTATATCCTGCATGGTCATTCTTCAGTTCGTGTTCATGAACCGGGCGTTTCAAGTGCATGCATGACTATGAGTGCTTACAGCTTGGCCAACCCAAACAAACTGCATATACTCATGTGTTGTTTTCAACAAAACAACAAAGATTCCATTTCTGTTAATGAAAAAAGTTTTAAACACAGCTGGTGCATATTAACACGCAGCTGAGAAAGATTAAATAACTTCTTGTATATAAATGGAGACAAGGCGATACAGGTACGTTATTCTCAGCGCGCGGTTGTATCGTATAAATATGGGTTATACTGCGAAAACCACAATTATCCTAATTTGTATCACTGTTGTTTTTTGTGTGTCTGACGAAAAGTTTAATGAAGTTACAAAGGTGCAAAGCCATGGTGTTTTTCAATAATTGAATACTGAAATTGTAATTTAGTAGAAAACAACTTGCTTTTATACAAGAAGAGGAATAAACAAGTGTATTTTCGATAATTTCATATTATAGAAAAGCAGACGTATTACCAAGAGAAACATTCCGTGGCAAAATTGGATTTTAAGACCACCATTTTGTATTCCATATCGGAACTCGTGCCCAAAAGGAGGATCTAGATTATGTTGTTCCTGGAGATGTTTCCCTGTATTTGGTTACAATAAACCGTAAGTATATACTTTGCCTGTGGTTTTATGCAGAAATATAAAAAACTAAATATCAATAACGTAATTTTACTTCATGGCTGCGTTAATTTTATGAATTATGGCAAATTTTTGAAGAATTTTTTGGAAAGAGAGGATAATCTATCTTTGTTACCGTTAATTTATATAGATGGCGATGTGTTTAAGAAGAAAATCGAACCCAATTATCTATTAGTTCGGATCATGTAAAATGGACGGGAAAATCATATATATAATGATCAACTATATGTATTATTGTGACACTCATTTTACTCGTGTGTCTTGTGTTTTTTGTAAATGGTAACTATATAGCAATTAAAAGAATATGCAACTATTTAGTTTTCCAATGTCAATGGCCTGTAGGCAGTTTTTACAAATGTTGCTAACGACGTCTCGATTATCCGTTATTACGTTTTGGACCAATTTATGTTAATCCATTTATTAACACTTTTCTTAAGAGTGGATATAATTTGTTGTGGTTCCTTGTTGGAAATGATTGCACTGCCAGAGACAATCATGTTTGCACCCGCCTGAAATTAAAAAATATTTATATCTTAAAACTATAGTTATCAATGCAATAATCAATTAAATTATAGTACATAACTAACTTTAGAAACTAAACGATATTTAGTTATTAAAATTCGCTTACCTCAGCTGCAGTATCAATAGTACTTGCGCCAACACCGCCGTCCACTTCTATATCTAATGATTTGTACGTATTTCTTAAATGTTTCACCTACGAAATATTAGGATTTGCTTTAAACAATTGGTACTGGAGTATACCAAAATATTGACTATTTACTTTGTAAACAATATATTTGTTTTAAAACTGATATAACTACAGTACAGATGAAGAGCATAATTTTTTCCGCGTGTGACAGTTTTCAATGGCAATGCCGTGGTCGGTGATTCATTACCGGCCAGCGAAAACCTGTTTAAATAAAGCATTCCTCACTTTAGGCATCATATCTGCCATAAATTTTTGTCCGCCAAAACCAGGTTCAACAGTCATAATTAAAACCATATCAACAACTTCAACAAATGGTAATACATCCTTAACAGGTGTGCCAGGCTTTATCCCAATACCAACCTTAAAATACAGTATTATTAGTGATTTTAAAAACTGGAATGACAGTTCCAATGAATGTCCTCATGGTAGTACCAAATGTCAGGTGCAGTAAAAAAGGTATGTAGACTGTAGTAGTCTAAAATATGATTTATTAGCTGAAAGCTAACTAGTTCTGATTGGTCAGAGATCATTTCTTCTTTCAACTATGATCAAGTTATTAAAGATAGGATATCTTTTTTTATAGGGGAATTTCAATGAAAAATGTTTTTATCTTAATATTTATGCTCCTTCACCGATCAAAACCTGAAAACCTTCTTCCCATGCCAATGATGAATAATTCAGTAAATATACTGTACTTTCATTCCTGCATCCTTTATCGTTTGAATCAACTCTAAAGGTTCATCTACAAGAAAATTCTGGCAAGTATTAGAAACATGTTATAATGTTCAAAGAACTAGTAAATACTGAAATACATAGTTTAATGCCTAATTCTATTTGGCTATGAAATTGCATCATGGTTGCCAAGCTTTTCCTTGGCTTTTTTAAAACTTAATAGTAACAGAAAACAAAAGGTTAATGACAACATTTCTCTATTTTATCAATTTTATGATATTATATACCTGTTGCTTCAAGATGAAATGTGTATTGATCAGCCCCAGCATCTGCCATATCATTTACCCACTAAAGTATTTAAAGTATTAAAAAAAGAGAAGGCCACAACAAAAGAACATAGCAAACCAACTAAAAATGAACCAACTAGACATCAACTGTAAAGTAACTTATCTTAATTCAATCATTTTTTTGAAATCCCAATGTTATTCAGAAAATAAACCAGGAGAGAGATTTAGAATGCACTCATTTTTGAGATGCATGAACATACTTGCTCTGGTTTTGCCACCATCATATGCATATCTACAAGTTCAAAATTTTTTTGTGCATTTCAAAATTTATTGTTGTCCCATTGCTGTGGACATGGTATAGGAACAGGGTTACTCATTATTTCCTTACTAATACATTTTACATACATTTTACTCAATATTTCCATAATACATATTTCCATAAATTTCTTAAATATAGTTTCACACTTGGAAAAAAATAAATATACTTAATTAAAGAAATGAAAACGTTTGATGCTATATTTATTTAGCATACACCCAACTATTGTCTATTACAAATCCTACATTCTGATTGGCTACTCAACCATTGCCTATTCCTACATTTGGGAAAAATTCGCTTGCGCGACGGTATAAAATTGAATTAAAATTATTTTTTGGTGTAATTGCCGTGTATCGACTACTGTGTTCTAAAACAATTAGACAACTCGCCTTCGTTGTCTATGAGCGAATAATCAACTCGGATTCGTTGTCTAATAATAATTTGTTAAATTGACAACCACATACAGTCATACACTATACCTGTTCACTTACCAAAGAAAGCATTTGGAATTTTCTTTCTCAAACATTTAACCAATGGTGCGCCAAAAGTCAGATTAGGAACAAAATGACTAATAAGAAAGTTTAATTAAACCCACAAATTTCAAACCAAACTTAATAAATTTCCATACCATGATAATGTTATGTAACCATGCATCTATGACAAATATAAACGATTATAATATTTTAACGAATGCTGTTCTAATGTTGCTACCTTACCCATCCATTACATCCAAATGCAAGTAGTCGGCACCACAATCGATAAGCTTTTGACACTCATCCGCTAGGCTCGAGAGATCAGCATTGAGTATTGAAGGGCCAATTTTACATTTTGGACAACACTTGGCAGCCATGGTCGGTATCTTTTTGTTGAGATCATATGATTTTACAACCCCCCGTGCCACTGGAATAAAATTTGCTTATGATAAAAAAATTATCGAACTGAAACACGGACAAAAGATGGAATCGCAAATTGCCTGTGACAGTGTTGCTATAAAAATTAACTTTCTAGTTTAGCGCCATTAGCGTCTGCGTTTAGTCGCAAAACTTGTAATATAATATATATACCGTAATCGATAATAATATAATATATATTATTCACATTGTGAATTATATAAAGTAGAAATATGATATATACATGCAAGGTGATACTCAATGAATAAATAGATTATTTAAATTATTTACAAAAATGATTGACAGAAGAAGGAATTTTAATAGAGCTCGGTGGTGCTGACCATATAGATTATAAATATCCATGATATGACAGTGTTGGTTTTGATTGGGTCTCTCCCTGGCCTGACTCCCCTCCCAGCCTCCCCTCTAAAGGAAAAGTGCTGACCACTGAGCTATATCGGCATTATCAGGATCAACATGGCTGGATATATCAAGGTAGCGTATAATAGTGCATGCATATGTCCGCTTTAAAAAATCCTTCTACAAACATAACGGTGTGGATAAAAGATTTTACAACAGTTTATTTATATCGGTTAGGCCATGTGTCGTGTGAACTGTGAATTGATCATGGCACAAACATTTTGAATGCGAGCAAATGAAAAAAATGTCTTAGTTATGGGAAATAATTATTCAAAAAGTGACTGCTTCTGTAGTTTGTTGTGAAAATCACCAGCAGTTCTATTTTTAAAGATCTTAAACATTGGCCTTCATGGTATTCTATAATTGAACTCCCCCTTGTACATCAAGAACATAAGTTCAGGTCTCCAAGTCCATGCGTTTTATACATTTGTACTGAAAATGTGTCTAGTAGGTATCTAACAAGCATACTTCTTTTCTTCATATATTTCGAAGTTTAGTGTACTTCTATAAAAATTATGAAAATAGAGGGATTTGATATATAATATAATTTTTTATAGATAGAAGATAACCAGACATTTTCGAAAGAGATGTTTTGTATTCCACATCATTATGAAGATTTCCTGGACTCAGTCATGATTCCTAAAGGACTAATTCTCAATAGGTGCGATTCACCACTGGCAGCACATTAAAACCTATCAAATCCAAAGCTTAGTTAGGTGACACTTTTTGAAAAAGATCAGTAATTTTTAGATCTATCATTAAGTGGGTTACTAACTTAGTACCCCACTTAATGATACATCTAAAAATTATTGACTTTTTTCAAAAAGTATCATCCCCGATCATTTCATGGTGGTGAAACCCGACATTGAAATCATCTAACAAATAGATGTTCATAATGTCATATCAAATTTCAATTTTTTGTAAACTTTTGCATTGTCCTGATGTTCCAGTTGACTAATTTCCATTTTGTCAATCTTCAATAAATTTCTAGAAAATATTGTTCCTATGCTACACCTATTGTTATTTGTTAGTTTATTGCTAGTAATGCTGACTGAGTTGCCTTCTGTAGGAAATTAAAGTAGGTAAAGCCAGTTACAAAAGGAAATAGAAATCTACTGAAATTTGAGATATTAGATGATCAATGTCATAAATATACATATTAGCAAGAAGTTTAAAAAAGCCATATGCCTTTTAGCCTCTTGAGAGTTTGACTACAGTATAGGGAATATACATCGCCATGTGCTCAAGTAAGATTTTTTCTGTGATACATATCTTATTACACAAGGCATTACCATATTCATAGTCAGTCAACTGCATTTTCCAGCCAATCAGAACATCTGGATAACTGCAAGAACTGCAGCTAAAAACTATATAACACATTTAACAACAAAAAAAATGGTATAATGCATTTACACATTTGTTTTATTTTCAGAGTTGAACGACTAGCTCGTGATATTTGTCATGATTTTAGTCATGGCCCATTAGTAGCTCTTTGCTGTTTGAAAGGTGGTTACCAATTCTTCTCTCATTTGAGTGAATTTATCATTAATTATAATGGAACATCTGGTATGTTTACTTCATAATATTACATATTTGTCTAAGGTTGACAGTGGCGTAGCCAGCCTTACCATTTTGTCCCGCTATATAAATTTAGAGTTATTATAATTATTCATGTCTTTAGAAATCTATTGTTTTCACAGTCAATGAACACTAAAATATTAGCATAGCGGGACAAGTCAACAGGCTAGCTATGCTATTGCAAGTTGATGTGCTTATTTTTGTGAATCGCTTACCTCAATTATTTGAAGATGATTGGATACTGGTGATTTAACATACTAGTATATCATTTCTTAGTTTGCAGATCTTATGCTTTTAGTTATAAGTACATTATTATAGCGAGCACGCCACAGTGTCTTTGATACTGTATTCATTTTTCACCCCAGGAAAGTCAGTACCATTTTCAATTGACTTCATTCGTCTAAAAAGCTATGAGGTAATTAAAGTCGTATGTATTTATAGATCTTATGTTGATAAAGAATGGCCAACATATAAAATAATTCTGAATAATCTGAAGATAGCTTTCTGTAAACCTAAGATACTGTTTTGGAGCAAATATCCTGCAAATTAGGTAAATTAAGATATGAATCTAAAAAATTAAATGCAAGAGTGAGACTAAAGTTATAATAATTAATATTATAATATTATAACGAAGAAAAAGATGTTGAGAAAAGGCAAATTATGCTATGCCCATAGTATGTAAGTGGATTGTTGACCAGTCTTGGCAATATACTTTACTGTAAGTTTTTCTTGCCAACAATGGCTTGAGAACCAAAAAATACAAAAGTCAAACACACCCTAAAAGTTACAACATGGGAACAGCATAAATTTCAAAGATGTATCATTATTAGAAAAACATATGTTAAATAGTGTCCCTATATTTAGAACGCTAGCTCAACAAATAATGTCAAAATTATTGGCGGTGATGATCTCTCCTCTGTAACTGGAAAGGTATAACATGCAGATATATAGTTTTATTTTCTTTTTACCAATTTTCTTTTTACCAATGTGTTTAAAAACACAATGTTTTGCTGAGAAGCGGAATTTAAAAAGAATTGGTCTCTTTTTTATTAGATACTAAATCAAAATATTTGTATTTTTTAGAACGTTTTGATTGTGGAGGTTAGTATCCTGATTTTTTCAAATATTTTTCTCAAATCAAACCAGGATTGCCAGTCTGCCAGTGTAATACAGCCCCGTAATGAGTATGCATATTCGCATGGCAAAGAACTTTTTTTAAGTTGTCGTACGGTCTTTCCAAGCTGCTCCGGCGGAACTGGACAAGTAGTCTTTTAGATGAAACCGAAATATCGAGCCTAATAATCCTCTATTTTTACTAGGATATAATCGATACTGGAAAGACGATGGAAAAAATGCTTGAAACGGTTGCAAAATTTAAACCAGCTCAGGTTAAAGTCGTCAGGTGTGGTATTATTGGTATAAGTTTAATTCTCTTTTAATTTTATATACCCTTCAGAATATGATTTCTCGATTTCATAATTTCTATGCCCGATTTAATTTTTGCATGTTGAGTTTTAAGGGGGTACACCCATAAGGGTACACCATTGAAATGTAGGTAAAGTGGGACACTATAAACTCCTGACCAGAAAAACATCCGGTTACATCCCTATAGTAGCTTAAAGCCAAAATAGTTTTTCTGAGTAATAAGCTGAAATACTTGACGCCAGACGTTGCCAAACCGTTGAATTTACAGTGATTTTTAAGATTGAATTTAAATAAACAATAATGGCCTTTTCTGTTTCAAACCTGTAATTTTAGTTTACTGGTAAAAAGAACGCACCTGCGAAGCTCAAATTATAGGCCTGACTGTAAGTGATGAAACCCGGCGTATTCCTTCTATCGTTTATCAGCAATGCAGGTGTACAATATAGTCATGCAGTTAAACTTTTGATATATTTAGACCCCGTTACATTATATATTCCGGATTCACATGGTCACGAAATCATTTCAAGTTGTTTTACATTGTCGCTGTCCATAGAACTTATCATGTTATCAACTTATCATAATTTGGGGGTAAAACACGCTTTGCCATGGCTAATTTTGACGTGACCATATGAATCGGTATAGTGTAAACACAAGGCCTTGATGTTAAGATTTTGTTTGCATTAACTGACGCGGTGCCTGCCTAATTATTGCAATACATTTTTTATGTCTTACCATAGACATTGGTTTCGAAATCCCAAATAAATTTGTCGTTGGTTATGCTTTGGTAAGTACAAGTGATACTCATGTTTGCATCTTCCACCTGTCGAAATAGTTTAAATTCTAATACCTTCAATTGAATAAACAAACATAACATAAGTTTTGCAGTTCTAAATATGTCTTTTAAGACACCATCACCATTTTTTTTTCAGGATTACAATGAATATTTCAGGGATTTAAATGTAAGCGACATTATTTTTTTACTATATGGATGTTGTATCTGATCAGTATGAGTTCCCTGTTATCTTATACAATATAGGTCATTTTACATGGGTTGATTTGTGATAAAAATATTTTATATAGCAACGTAAATTCTTTCTTATCCAATTCCACCGGACAACCACACGGAGTACATATAAGTTGTATTTCACTTCTTTCTGTTAACAGTCTACTTCATAGGGTCACCCTGGGGGTAGGGACACCCTGTCCTGTTTACAAAACAGGGTAACCCTAATAGAACATTATTAATCAGACACTATCGGTTGCTTTTTGCTTGTATTTTTATCATATAAACGCTTGTTAAGGTTGGTTCAGGTGTAGGGTGTCCCTGGTACCCGAGGTCATATATACAACGCGTAACATATCTCGTCTCGTTTTCACCATTCCATATAACTTTGCGTAGGCAATCGCCAGCGACAAACGGCCTTATTCATTATTATATTTTTTTTCTAGCATATTTGCGTTATTAATGAAAAAGGAATAGAGAAATATGGGAAATAACAAAGCTATATTTTATGTGTCCTTTACAGTTCTACGTTAGAGAGTAATCTTTAAAGAATAATCTTAACATTGTAGTGATTTCTCAAATTATTATGCAGGGTGCATGTTTTGCAGAGTGCTTGTTATGCAGGGTGCTCTGTTCTTTAGCTCCATAGGAAATTTAATTGTCAGAGTTTCAGCAACTACGACATTGTACATCTTTCTCATTCTCAGGATCAATGCTATTATTGTATATGAGCACTGGAGCACGGTGTGGTGGCCGTCGCTGTTGTAACGATACTTTCAATAGAAAACACCCGACGTGTTTCAAACGCAGTGCTTCTTGATTGGCTTGCTTTAAATTATTTTAAATGCGTTCGCCGCAAGAGAAGAGAGCGGTTGAAATCGGCCTTAAACTACTTAAAATACGAGATAAAAAGTATCTCAGTGGCCTCGACAGTTCCTAGTTCACAGTTCGCATTAAAATTGGTCCCAGTCCCAGAGCAAGAATTTGATACTTTAGTCGTGGAACACTGCATTTGTTGAATATTTGGTAATTTTGCAAGTATCTTCAGCAGAATAGAAGTTTTACGAGCAAAGTTGGTTGCCAGAGAAAAATGTTCGCGTGGTATACACGCACGTGAAACACGAGTTTTAAAATTTGAGGGTATTTCTCCTGTGTGTAATCAACTCCTGTCATAAAGAATATTCGGTCAGCATTCTGGGAGCGAAAGACCACACACCACTCTACGCCCATGCTATTAAAAAAATATTGACTGTTTAATATAAGACACATAAACAGGAGAACTTTGAATTCTATTATTCTATTTTTATCGCTACATTGGTAATAATAGACTACTAGTGAATACTACAGGTAACCTGCATAGCACCTACAGGGTCACAGGTTTGCGACCATACCTGCAAAACATCGACAAATGGCGTGCAGTGTTGCCAACTGTAATTTTGTGAAAATCCCAAGTAAGCGCCTGAAATATCCCGAGATTCCCCCTAAAATCCCGAGATTCTAATTTCAACCCCAGTCCTCAGCCTTGGCGCACCCTAGTACCCAGTCCGCTCAGTGTGCGTTTATAAAGCGGTACTTCTCTGCATAACCGATTGTACAAATAGTCTTTATTGAGTGACTTTGAGTAAGTATTTAAGTACAAGCGGACGAACCTTGGATTTTTAAAATGTTTATTTGTCAATTTAACGAAAACATCTTTTCCCAAATTCCAAACTTCCCTTTCCCAAAAATCCCTAAAAAATTCCCGAGATTACCATTTGAGAAATAAATCCCAAAAAAATCCCAACTGCTTCAAAAAATCCCGAGATCTCGGGATAAAATCCCGAACTTGGCAACACTGATGGCGTGTAAGATTCATTAATAAGATCCCATAAGATCCTATATCGTAACGTTACGTAATTGTTTGCTGGGCAGCCGTCCTATTGGTAGACGAAGAGCACTTGTCTCGATTTGATTGGCTACATAAACCTCCATTTATTCAATCTGAAACGTGTTGTAAGTTTCTATTCATTGTTTGGAGCAACATCACCAAGAAGAAATGGCCCGTAAAATTCGTATTAGTCTCTGTCTCGTAATTTTACTCATTGCTTGTTGGATAAATGCAGAAGATATGAACGAAGCTGTGGTTGATGAAACGAGCAAGGAAAAAACGGAGGAAGTGGGGATAACTGACGATGACAAGCCTGCAAGCGGTGAATACACTGCAACAACAAGTCCAAGTGATACTAGCGATGCAATTTTAAACCAGGACGAGAAAAGTGTAGTGACGTTAACAAAAGATAATTTTGACGATTTCATCAAAGACACAGCAACAGTTCTCGTGGAATTTTATGCACCCTGGTAGGGTATATATATATATATATATATATATATATATATATATATATATATATATATATATATATATATATATATATAATATATATATATATATATATTTATTTTTTTTTATAGCTAAAGCCTTGCAAGTTAATAATTTATATTCCTAATAAACATGCATAGGCCATAGAGACTCCAGAATACATATTTAGCATAGTGCTCATTTGGTGAAAGCCAAAAACTTGGAGATTCATAATTGGTGAATCTAAGCCCGTATGACAGAGGGGGCTGGAGATGCACCCTGTTCTAATGTCTGATAATTCACTTGCAGGTGTGGCCATTGTAAAAACCTTGCACCCATATATGAGAAAGCAGCAAAAGTGTTGAAAGGAAATGATCCCCCTGTTTTTCTGGGTGCTGTTGATGCTACAGTAGAAACTGATCTGGCATCAAGGTTTGATATCTCTGGTTATCCAACTTTAAAATTCTTCAAGAAGGGAGTTGCAATTGATTATGATGGTCCTCGAGATGAAGATGGTAAGCTGTTGAACTATTAACATCATCACTATTAACATGACACAGTTTGATTTGAAATAACTGGTAATTGATTCACCCCACCCACATTTAAATATTTAGCTTAAATTTATAACTGTACTGTATGTCATAAATTCATGTATTATACTTCTGAGAGTATAACGTAAGGCTTGCTGTTGTAGATTGACTAAAGTTAAAGGACTATTGTAAAATACATACACTTATCCAGAATTTTCCCACCTTGCTTTTAAATGCTTGTTTACAAAAATGCTATGTGATAGGTAGTCCCAGATAAGATAAAATATCCCCTCACCATGCCTTGTACGGTGTCTTTAACCGTAATTGCCTTCCTTGACTAAAACCACCAAGGTCTATTCTAGTCATAAAAATTATCAACTTTCTTGTGAAGTTTGCAAAATTACTAAAAGCAGTAAGATAATCAGACAGTGAGCGCAAAATGCATCTCCCATTTGTACACTATGAGATAAATTGTGACATGTTGAAGTAAAACTTTGCGTTGTATGTTTGTGAATAAAAAATATGTGCTAATTAGAAATTATTTCATTAGTTTTTGAAAAAAAATCGGTTTTGCAAAAAAAAAGGAAAAAATATTGCAAAACCAATAACCACCCCAAACCTATAATAGAACCAATAGAATTTGCAGGCTGTGTAAAAAAATTCTCTGTTTTGCACCTTATTTTTTCAGTTAATTTTCAAATATATATGCATAGGTATTGTTGAATATATGAAGGAAAGAGCTGATTCTGAATGGAAGCCTCCACCTCAAGCTGTTATTACACTCGGCAAAGACAATTTCACCAACTTTGTTAATAAAGAACCTTTAATGTTGGTTGAATTTTATGCACCATGGTAAGAAAAAAACTACAGGGGCCGGTAACTGCCAGTTGTATGAGTTTATTGCATTTAAGCGTTTTTACAAGGGTTCATGAATGGTTAAAAAAATCACTATCTGATGCTGATGGATAGCGCTTTCCAGTCTTAATACATCTGGCCCAAGGATTTTTAGATTTTTTATTGCTTGGTTCTTATTGGGTATTAAATCAAAGAAAGTATCATTAAAATTTGCACTACGTTGAAGATTATCACAAAGATTGTTACCATAAATAGAATAAATTAATGTACATTGAGTAATGGAAATCAGACCTTAACTATATCTGTAAATATGTACTTTCTAGGTGTGGCCATTGCAAAAAACTTGCCCCGGAATACGAAAAAGCTGCAAAATCTCTTAAAGAAAATGATCCACCAATCCCATTGGCTAAAGTTGATGCAACTATTGAATCAGATTTAGCTTCACAATTCAAAGTAACCGGCTACCCAACATTGAAAATATTTAGAAGAGGCAAACCTTCCGAGTATAAAGGGGAACGGAACGAATATGGTAAGAAAATGTTAACATCAATATTATATACCTCACAACAAACGGCGGATGAAAATGGCGGAATCTGCATAGTGCAGTCACCAGATGTAACGGAAAACGAATAAGAAATGAATAGTTTGTTTTACAATAATTTCGTGGCCAAAACAAAAAAATTATCCAAACTGTTAAGCATGCCTACAAAGTTTTCTACGACACAGCTAACGTAGCCAAAGCTGAGGAAAAACCCCAAGTTCAAGGTCAATAACTAATATATATAAGACTTATCGCGTAGATTTTATAAACGCTGGGTCAGTCTTAGTCTTAGAAGATATATGAATGTTGTCTACGCTAAAATGATGGTTCCCACGTTCACCGCTACATTTTCAAAGAAATACCCTATTTCAATTCAAAGTATGACCTGTTATAGCGGCCGCTACGCATTCTTCAGACTGTGGGTTCTGTTTTTAAAAAACGAGTTTTTTATAGGTATAATTGATTACATGCAAAATCAAGTTGGTCCAAGTTCTAAACTCTTGCATTCAAAGAAAGCTGTAGTGGACTTCGTTAAAGAATGGGATGATGTCGTTATCATGGGTTTTTTTGAAAATGAAAACGATGAAATGTTAAATCAATATCTGGAGGCAAACAATGATATTCGCGATGACTACAGATTTGGTCATACTTTTGATCTACACTCAAGGGAATTATTTGGGTTTGAAAAGAATACAATTGCATTAATTCAGCCCGAAAAATTTAGATCCAAATACGAAGATAAATACATCGCCTTTAAGGTTAGTCGCTAATATATATTAATCGCTAATGTAGGTGTATAGTCTAGTAGCATTATATATGGACTACATGAGATTGCAGGGGATATTGTATGTGTAGTGCTTGATAATAAATAAATTACCTATTATTTTCTTTTGTTCACTCCTTATCAGGGCGATGCGTCAAAACGGGAAGATCTTCAGAAGTTTTATCAAGACAATGCCGTGCCGTTGGTTGGTCAAATGACTAATCAAAATGAGGAAAAGCGATACAAAAGTCGTCCGTTGGTTATTGTGTATTATGCGATTGATTTTAGTTTCGATCACAGAGAAGGTGAAACATGTACATGAATACAACTTCGGGACTATCTTTGCAGTGTTCTTTAATTTCTCTTGTTTAATATTTTAGGTACGCAATACTGGAGAAACAAAGTGGTTGAGGTTGCTAACGATTATCGTGAATTTAAATTCGCCATCGCTGACGAAGAAGATTATTCAAATCGTTTAAAAGACTTTGGTTTGGATGATTCGGGGGAGGACGTGAATGTCGCGTTGTTGGACAAGAATGAAGGAAAATATAAAATGGATGACGAGTTTACCGAGGAATCACTCAGGGATTTTTTAGATGCTTACAAGAATGGTAAGAATTGTATATTTTTCCAGAGTCATAGAAACGCTATATGCGCCGAGAGGCTCGTTTTCTAAATTGTTCAGAAAAAATCCATTACTTTTACTCATCCTAAATGTATTTCGCACAGATTTAACCTCGCAACATGAATAATACTGTTAATAATAATTCATTTACTCTGCATGTTTTCTGTATAACTTTCGCATAGGTGAACTAAAACCTGAGATAAAATCCCAACCTGTTCCCAAAGGAAAATCTGGTCCTGTTCAAGTGGTTGTGGGCAGTAATTTCGAGAACATTGTACTGGACGAAACAAAAGATGTTTTAATCGAGCTTTATGCTCCTTGGTGTGGCCACTGCAAAGCACTAGAGCCCACCTATAAGAAACTTGCTCAGAAATACAAGGATGAGCCGAACCTTGTTATTGCAAAATTAGATGCCACCGCAAATGATGTTCCAGTTGAATACAAGGCCAGTGGATTTCCTACGATATATTTAGCACCGAAAGGAAAGAAAACGAAGCCAGAGAAATATGAAGGTGCACGAGAATTGAGTGATTTTGTTAAGTTTTTGGAAGAGAAATCAACAGCTCTCTCTAAAGGCAAAGCTAAGGGTAAAGATGAATTGTAGTCATTAAATAATGGTTATTGTTCTTGGCAATGCAAGGCGCTGTGCTTTAATATTTGATTTAGATTGTATGATCTCGTAATTATTGTGTAAATATATTCCATTGTTTTCGAGAAATTCAAATTATTTACAAAAGAATCCACTAAACCGTCTCTATAATCAGCTCCAGTCTTGTTTGCATGTCAACCAAGCTGCACAATTTTAGTTAGTTATTATGATTTATTGGACTATTTTGTGATTTATTGCACGAATTTATTAAATGCCCAGAACTACTGCGCAAGGTCTTCCTCTATACTACTTTTCTCTTTCAAATTCGACCCATCAATCTATTATACACCTATACTGTTTAAAACTTTATTGAGGCTGTAAAACAGACGATCCAAGTCTTTTCTTGAAACAAAACAACTGAAAAAATACGTTTGAACCTCAGACATTTTCGTACCTACGAGTATTTGGGAAGTAATTTGGCTTTGATTGATTTACACCAACTGCCTCACCAGCGGATATATAAACATGAGGCAGCAAATTTTGGAAAAACGGATAAGTTCTGATTTTACGCGGTTCCTATGTATGAAATTTAGCAAATTGCGTTGTCCTTCTCTTCTAACAAAACGCCTGGATACGATATGTGATAACTATATCTGTGATTAAGGTTGCACTTCCTTGCAATCTACCAATACTAATGGACATTGTAAACCGTTCTCTGTCGACATCTGTCTACCCACAAGCATCTATTTAAAGCTCCGTTTACACTGCAACAATTTTTACACTACAACACGTACGGCTAAAATGGGTACGCGTACTTTAATTTTATTGGAGTATTTATTTCCCATCTCAGATAATGTGGCTTGGCAAATTAATAAGGACTTGTCGATTGTTGCTGCTTGGTGTTGTTATCAACTATATGGTCCAATACAGAAAAGAAAAATATAGCAAAGCTGTGCAAAAAGTGGAGAATTATACTAGAATTATACTTAATGCCCGCAATGCATTCTGGTAAAATGTACATCCCGCCATCTTACGGTCAATTCAGAATTCTCCCCGTTTCATAAAAGGAGTTTGCTCGTTCTCTCTTGTGCGTTATTCAGTCAAACATCTTGTTGTCTGACACATTTCAATCCAATTCTCGATGCTCTGTAGTTATATATAAATATAATGTGACGTTGACAAACATTACTCTTTCAACAACTTTATTTAGTACATGTGTCTGCTCTAAAATTTGTATAAGTTTGTTTCTGCCAAAAGTTACAAACATTACAGAATTTTATTGAAACCTTTCCAACAGACCTTTTCCTTTAGTCTTTTGAATTTAATTGAACTTGGAAAATTTACATGCTGGAAGAGCATCCAAAATTAGCATAATTTCAACATCAAACTTTCCAATTTTACTAATTTTGGGATGCCAAATTCCATACAAAACAGTATTGCGATTATATTAATTCTTGTTCATTTTTAGCGTTTATAGTATAACAGGGGAATGATCCATTTGAGGATTATCGAACTTTATCTTGGTTTTCATACGCGAAATCTACTTCCACTAAGACACTAATATTCACTTTAAATTGAAGGTCTCATTCCGATTCCCATGCAGTTTATCCCTTATCTCTACAATGTTTTCGGTATTTTTAGTCGCAACAAAAATGTCAGGAACTGTTCATGTAAAATTTAATATAGTATCACAGTTCAGGGCTTTTCTGTCTGCCACCTGCTTGAGTTATTGTATGCAAATAAGAAACTTGCGGGTTATTTTGTCTGAATATATAAATTTATGGGAACAAGAAGAATAATGTTTGACATTTTGGAGGATAAAATATTTAAAAAGCTCAAATTAAAAAATATTTCAACCATTCGTGGTCCAATAATTGTCGTAAGGATCTTGTGAACGAAAGCTGTTGTCCTCTTATCAAAACTCTTGTTGAAGTGACAGACGGCTGTGTGTTATGAAAGCTAACACGCCATTGGCTAAAAATTAAAATATCTTCTCTTGACATGCGGTTATTGGGTAAACAAAGGTTAAAAAACTGACTTAGTAGTCAGGGGAATATATTATATATAAGTATACATATACATATGTATATGTAACATAAACACGCTTTTGAATGAGACGCGAGAGCTGTGAGCAATAATGGATGAAAATGAAAAGGCAGTTGATGGCACGAAGAAAAAAGAGAAAGACGAAACGACAAAGCCAGAAAGCGTAGAAGCATTTCTGCAAGACATGCATTTCCTGCAGAGGATTGTCACATTTCTAAAATACTTTGGATTATTTCTTTTTGTGTGGCTCCTTGGTTGGCTTGGGTTTAGCTGTCAGTGGGTTCTGTTTGCGGCAATTGGTTATTATGTATTAAAAACCAAACAGGAGAAGCGCGAATGGAAGCAAAAAGTCGGACAAGCTTTGGCAAAAGACGAAGAAGAGGTTATTCGAGCTCGGTTGGGAGATTTACCATCGTGGGTAAGCATTTTGAAGCAATTCTTTATTCGTTATTTTAATACAACCCATCAATTTTTGTGGCCGATCTCGAGCACAAAATGTTTTAGCAGCAAAACGAAGAGTGAAATTTTCGTTTCTCCATTTTATAATATATACTTCTCTGATTATAAATAATTTATCCATATTATATTATATTATATTATATTGAAATGCATATCTTGTATACTTAGTGCGTTTCGTTACTTTATTCTTTGCATCATTATTTCTGTTCTGCTCTATTATACATATACAGTGATTATAGTCAGATGCAGGCAAATGAAGTTCTTTCAGTTAATGATCAAATGGCCGGCGTAAAGCTGTTGAGCAGGCAAACTTTATATATTTGACGAATATATATTATTGCATGTTCATATATACTATACTGGCTTCTTTCCTTTCCCTTAAAACTTTCTAATTTTCCTCAAATTTCTGTCCAATTTATAAAGCCGGCAACATAGAGCTTTTTGCTATTCGCTCTTCGTACGGTGATGTGTCTTACGGGAAAATGAGAGCCTTTCAGCTGTTGTCATTTACGTCACAATGCAAGCTTCGTTGATGAGCATTTGTAGCAGGCTTTTAATTCGTAAACCTTTCCTTTGATGCCGCTTTCCTTTAATTTACCAAAATGAAGTCAAACAGACTCAAACCGTTTTTTTATTGAAATAATCAAATAGATTGATTCGTTAGGAATATAGCGGTAAAACTGCATTTTCCGCGCTTGCAGATGTAGCCTAAATAAGAAAATAACGATATATACGCACAGCGACGTCTTATGAATCAGTTCTATTTTATATTTTGATATAAAGTAATACCAACTTCCATCAATAGTAGAAAATTTCTCGTTGTCAAAGGACTAGACTGATTCATTGCAAGAATTTCGAAGCTTCTCTTAAGTTGTCTTATACTGTATGAGCATATTTCTAAGTTCTTCAAAATTTCTGGCTAAAAGGTACATTTCCGTGAACGCTTGAACCCCTAGCCCCCATAGGCCATACTCTCGCCACCTTGGGCAAGGGGTTGCCCCTTCGCCTTATGCTTCGCCTGATGTCATCATCATTATGAGATACGTCACCATCCTCGTTCCCAGTTCTTTCGCGTAACGCGATAGTTTTAACGCGAAAAATTTTTCGCCAAAGCTATATTCAGTGGTTTGGTTGTAGTGATAGTGAACTGGTTGGTTGGCTGTAGTCGCTGATTTTTGAGAAGCAATGACTGATGTCGAAAGTGGAGGGAAAGATGTGTGCACGAAAGAACAAAGAAATGAAAATAAGCAAGCACCTTCTGTACCTATAACATCAAAAATTCGAGCTTATGCCGGAGTAATCTCGTTCTTAAAATATTTTGGTGGTGGGTTTTTAGTATGGTCCGTTGGTCACTGGGATTTTAACTACGCTTGGCTGTTGTCTAGTATTGCATTTTATACACTTTGGAAATGCTATAAAAAAGATAAAAAATTGGGAATAAAACTAGAACCAGAAATTATCGATGCAAACGATGCTAGCCGTATGAAAGATCTACCGAATTGGGTGCGTCAATACACACATATGTATATGTAATTATGTATATGTAGAGATATTATCGCTTGGTACTTGTGACAGTTATATTTGCTATAGCATGTGGAAATATGTTGAGTGTGTGAGGCAGTTGAGCGTGTCAAGCTTGTTCTGCAACACACTCCCTATATTTAAATATAAACTACACTCCGGAATTTGTTGGATTAACAAATTAGAATATTCTAGCATGATACTTAATAGAATTAGAATACTGTATTATAGTAATCACATATGGTTATTGCCTTATTTTTCCCCTTTTTTATGTTTTATCATGCATCCCTGTTGTGTTGTTGTTTATTGCAACAACAGGTCAGAGCTTACTTTATGTCTTACAAAATTGTCCTAGGTTAAGTCCTGCAATTGCTAATTCTGCTAACCCACTCATGCAGGCAATGATGTTAAATATACCAGTTAATATCAGATTCTTAGTACAATCATAGCTTGCTTACAATTGGTCCAAATTAATGTGTTTTTTTAATATATTGTCATGACATTTAAATTTTTTAAATTTTTAAGTCATTTCTGCATACTAAAACACACATTTCCTTCATTTAAAGACAGGCCATCATCTATTTTGTCCATGACATTACTTAGATCATGCTTAGGACTTTTGACAGGGGAACAGAGAAAAAACAACACAACACATAAGATTAATAGATAAGCTTGTAGTAGGCTGAACTTAAGAGTAAAAAAAATTAAAGTGTAGTTCTCATTGTATCCATGCAGGTGTTTTTCCCAGATGTAGAGAGGGCAGAATGGTTAAACAAGGTTTGTTAGCTATATTTATTGTATGTAATTATCCCATAATAAATGCAAGGAATTTTAGCTAATGTCAAAAATTCAGGCCATTATAGGTACAGCTAGTATCCAAAGTTACCTCTAAACTATATCTTTGTCTATAGTTTGTTGCACAACTCTGGCCTTACGTGAATGAAATGGTGATTAAAATTCTCAAGGAAACAGTTGAACCCAAAATTCAGGAATCTGTGCCCGGAATGTTAAAGTCGATTTATTTCACAGAAATATCTCTTGGAAATCGGGTACAATATTATTTCCTCTACTTCATTTGCAAGTTGCATTCACATATGTTTTTTAAAGTATTGTATGTTATTAAAAGGCTCCTCGTATTGGGGGAATCAAAGTTTACACTGAAAATGTAAAGCGATCAGAAGTGATAATGGACGTTGATGTCATGTATGTACTGCATATAGTATAGCACTATCATATTGCTTTTATTTATAAAATATATTATAAATTTACATGATAAGAAGTGATAGGTATCCATGAACCAAAAGTTCTAGGAATCTAGGAAAAATATTTTATAATATTTTATTATTAGTAGTGACAATAATAATAATATTTGGAGTTTAAAGCTCGTAAATTTACACTGTTATATGATCTGATGTGCATTGCAATATGCTTGCTGGTTGCATATTGACAAAATACAGTATAATAATTAAGATTCTTGAATTTCACATTTATTTATTTGTTTTACATGCTGTATTACTAACTTATTAAGTCATTAGTTTGTAAAAACAGCACATTTTGCATATAGTGAATGTTTACTACAAGTTAATGGTTTAAGTTAATTATCATATAATTATTTGCAATTTGAATATTTAGATATTCTGGTGACGCAGATTTTGAATTATCTGTCAAGTGCGTAACTGTAGGCATTGAAGATGTTCAGGTGTGTAATTGCATTCAGCAAAATCATTAACATCCAAGTAACAATTAGTTTAGTAGGAATTTTCAGCCTCAACTAGTACCTAGGGTGATTCTCTGGTCACACACATGACAGTGCTATTCTATTTTGTTACATGCAAAATATGAAGCCTGAAGAAACAGCAATGTCACATGTGTGACCAGAGAATCACCCAGTACATACACTACATGGAGTTCAATTATGAGCTTCAATTGTTTACTTAGTATATGTATGGTACCTAATTCTTCCAACCTTATGATGCAGTGGACAGATAGATGTGCGGAGTTGCATGCATTCGCCTGAAATAAGGTTTTATTTTTAAGCTTCGAGGTACTCTACGTGTCATCATGTCTCCACTTGTTCCTGCCTCTCCACTGATTGCTGGTATCTCTGTGTTTTTCTTAGATCAACCGGTATGTGATTTCCCTCATTAAAACAGCATAAAGGGAATATACTGTAATTCTGTATCATTATTAAGGACATAACATAGACAACATCATTCAACTAAATCTATATATAACATATAATTTTTTTATTTATTGTTTTTAGGAATTGGATTTCAACCTTACAAATCTTCTTAATATACTTGATGTACCAGGTCTCAGGTACTCATATAATAGGGAAAGTAGATAAATACTGTAATTTTAAGTAAAAATGTAATTTGGAAACTTATTATATAGCAACCCAAAAAAAAAACACTTGTATCTCTGGAACTGAACCCGTAAAATATGTATTGCAATTATGACTCACGGTTTGTTTGATTTTTTTAAAAAAAATTTAGTAACATCCTGCGTGGGGCTATTGGCGATGTCATTGCATCATTCTGTGTCCTTCCAAATCGAATTACAATACCATTATTAAATGACAGCAGCATATTTGATTTGAAATATCCTATGCCAAAGGTAGGTTGGAACATTTCATGTAGCACATTAGCAAAAACTGATCTCTTGCAATATTCACCTATCGTACTGATTTCACAAACTAAAACTGAGTAAAAAGTAATTGCTACAGTTTCATTTTATTATAATTTCAGTCTTCAGAGATTGCAAATGGCTATTGTTTTACTTTTATATCTAAGAGCGGCGAATCTTTAGCTTTAGAGCTAATTATATATTTTAGCTAATAAAACATTGCTGGAAATATCACTGTAAATTTCTGTTGTTTTGTGTTGGAAACTAAGGCTGCGGCGCTGCCGACTATACACTTTTGCTTCTGCCTCCTGTGAACACGATTAGCCAATAATTGTGTGATTTTGCCCCGCCATATACAGGGCGTGATCAGACTTGAAGTAATTGAAGCACGTGATTTGGAGAAAAAAGATATTGGGTTCCTAAAGAAAGGGTCAGCGGATCCATTTGTTGTTGTTAAAAGTAAGTGGATACCAATCTAAATGTAGTAGCTTGCAGTGTTTGTTTCTAGTAACTTGCCTCTGTTATCATTTCTAATAACTTGAGGCAGTTGAGTGTGTTAGTTTCTGGTAATTTGTTGTTGGTATGTTGGTATGGTATTAGGTGTTGGTATAAGTTTTAGTAACTATAGTGCTTGTATACGTTTCCAGTAAAGTATAGGTTTAAAAAGGTTTTTTAGTCAGTTTTACAGTATCTGTCGGAGAAATTTTATATCGCGCGGTTAATTCTTTTTTTGGCCAATGAATGTTTAGTTGGATCCGAATCATTTCAAACTGAAGTGAAGAAAAACACGCTTTCTCCGAACTGGAGTGAAACATTTGAGGTACGCTATTCATGTAAGAAAGTAGAAAGAGCTCGTTTAGTTTTTCGATATTAATATATAGATTACATCATGTACCATATGTCGCGTTTTAGTTTTTTGTTGATTTCCCAAACGGACAGAAGATTCGGTTACACCTTTTTGATTACGACAAGGCCTCCGATAACGAATCAATGGGATAGTAAGTTTTTTCCTTTGCTCTAATGCATTGTAGATTAAAGTTTTCTAGGTTTTTTCTCTTGTACTGCAGGTATATAGCAATTGACCTGTGAAGATCATGCAGCAATACTATATAAATGTACCATCGGGTGGTATATCACGGGGGTAGTATATCATCGGGGTAGTATATCATCGACGCTATAGCGCTTCGGTCCCCCTGATAGTTCAATTTTAGTGTATGATTTGCTCACATGGCCATACAGCAACGCGGTAGCCACATGCAAATTTATCAGGCCTATTGTATTTTCTTTACATTAAGTATCGAGTTGGACATATCCGCTGTTGCTGCGCAAGGAATTGTGGATTTGGTAAGATATTATAAAAGCACTACATTCCAGCTGATTACTATAGTTGGAAAATGCAAAAGGGGTAGTCACTGGGACTAGATGAACCGTTACTATAAATTGCACTGCTTAGGTATTTTAACATCTCGTAATCACAATCAAGTTGCACCCCCCGGCCGGAAGGGTGCTGGGAGAAGTGCAAATTTGAGGTCAAAATAGAAGTTATGTACGAAATCATTGCAAAGTTATAAGTATTGTGTGTATTTGGAAGTTTTAAGTCTTCTGAGGCTCCCACATTCGAAGTAGTCCACCTTATGGCATTATAACCATACGAATATTATATAAGCAAGGCTGCTGAAATCTTGTTAGGCAGCTGGAATAAATTTGGTAATTGTTATAATATGCTTGGGCTGTTGATGTGCATCCGACCGAATCTGGTAATAAAAATTAACAGATCAGGTCACACTAACTTATGGTCTTATTTTTATAATTTTTCAAACAAACATACCTTAAAATATTTCTGACAGCTGGCGTTTTTGCAGCCATATCTTTGGCGTTTGTACCCGTATCTCTGACAGCCGGCGTTTGTACCCATACCTTTTCCGTGTGGGTATATCTAGTAAATCGTTGTAACTAATTTAACCATTATTTTATAGTGGATGCCACTGGAAGAGACGAAGTCGGGAGAATTGCACGTGAAATGTACATGGTTTACCTTATCAAGTGATCCTAAAGATTTAGTCGTTGCAAAACACGTATGTTCCAATTCCATTCGTTTTAACCACTTTACCTCTCTTGTTGCAAATAAAGCAAATAACAATTTTGCTTTGTAGGATGAGAAAAGTGATGATCTACTAGCTAATGCAGCATTGTTTGTAAAATTGGACTGCGCAAAGAAATTACCGGTCAGTCAATAACAGTAGTTTTTGGGTTAGGGTTAATCAATGAATGATGAATCAATTAATGAATCAATCCCAATCTTGCACAATTTCGTGAAGTCCCGTAACGAGACTAACTGAGTAGTTGTGACGAGTCAACATGCACATTTTATCGCCTAAACTATATTTCGTATTATATATATTCGTAGGTTGCAAACAAAGTGAAACGATCAACAAGTGCAATGTGTAAACTAACGTTAGGGAATAAGACTGTTCAAAGCCAGGTAATTGTGTTATCTGTTTTGTAACATCATGAAAATATACAAGTGACTATACGATAGATATATCGTTCAAATTTTTCTAGGTTGTTGAAGATACTTTGAATCCTGTGTGGGATGAATTTTATCGTTTCTTGGTTTTTAATGCAAAATATCAAGAACTGAACATTGAGGTGCTGAATGTTTATTTTTGTTACCTTGTTATTCGCTTGTCTAATGAAATGTTTCCGTGCACGTATTTTAAAATCTATGCATGATGAGATGAGAAAGTAAGGTCAGAACTCAGAAAATAACAAAAATATGAAATTATTGCGATGTTCGTGATACCCCCAATTTTCCACTGAGAGAGATTGATTGAGAGATTCTTGCGATGTCATTGCATTGCATGAATGGACAACCAGTTCGACTTTTTTCAGGGCCGTAGCTAGACCGCTTAATTGGGGGGGGGGGTGTATATTCATATATTCATGTTTATATACCGTAGGAACAATAGCGTACAAAAGAAATCAGTCGGGCATAAGACGAATATATGAATATACACCCCCCCCCAATTAGGCTTCTAGCTACGGCCCTGAGTTTATTTTAACATTTAGGTGATTGACAGTAACAAAGAGAAGAACATCGGCGTGTCGGAGATTCAGTTGAACAGTTTGATCGATGCTGAAGATATGTCGGTTGAACAGCCTTTTCTACTTCGTGATTCCGGTTATGAAAGTTCTGTTGTGTGTGAACTAAAACTAAGGGTATGTAACATTTGATTTTTATTGAGTACATTACTCGAAAACCCAGTTTATACACTACACTAAAGTTGGTTCGCGTGCCAATAAATTGACTGTAGCGTAAACAGAGCTGCTCAAAGCCTTACGTGGGAAAGGGGACATAGTATTTCTTGAGCAATCGATTGACGGATATTATAACCACAATAATAACATGTAACATCTTTTGAATTGATAGGCTCTTGTAAACAGAAAAGTTAATTATGATGCGTGCGAGATTTCAGAACAAAGTGATGCTAAATCGGAAGCAAAACAAGCTCAAACTTCTCAAGAGGAAGGGAAACCTGTTCCCATTGCAGAGAAAGTAGGAAGGTATACATACCAAGGATTTGGTATACGAGAATTTTTTTATATAATACTATTCCGCCATGATATTTACCATTGTCCGTCCGGTTACCAGATAATTTTTTCCCTGAAGTATACGAAGTAATCGCAACTATAAAAAGAATTATCGTGGTCGCATGTGACGTATTTGTGACCATCTTATTGGCGTTCTGCGGCTCATTCAACTTCCTGCTTCTTCGTACCAACTTCGCATCTAACTTGCAATCCGCAATCGACGGATTCACCGACCTGCCATTCATTGCCCTCGTTTCAACCTGTAATGTTTTTGCTGTGCCTGCCTATCTGCTTTTATTTATAAACTTTCTCCGGTTAAGCCAAAACACTCCTTTAGTTGCATGGGGTAAACGCTCAGCGAGCGTCTTCTCATTAATAGAAACCTGCATCAAATCTATCTGACGGCTACTATAATAAATCAGTTGGTCGTCCATGCACGTGCTCATTTATAGAACGCGTAATAATGCATGTGCTTAAACATATAGAACGCCTTAAAAGCTTTCTATTTTTCGTATAGTGAAGAAACCGCTAATGTCCGTCAAAGAAAGCCTGCTTCTGCCCCGACGGAACCTGATTCCAAACCGACAATAGAGTCCAAACCATCTCCCGGGTAGGATTTATTTCAAGCTATAGTAGATTCGCAATTGGGGAAATGGTTCATTTTAGAGTAGATTAATATCATGTATGCAGGTCTTTTTAAAACAATGTCTCTGTATATTCATTTTAGGGAACAAACTGGTGAAATTGAACTATCTATTACACATAAAGACAAGATACTTACTGTCGTTGTCCATTCAGCAAGGTAAATGTAAACACAGAACACGATACTTAAATCAACAAACTATATTAATATATATATATATAATTATATTAATATATACTATATAATAATATATATATATATATAGTAGTTAATACATGAATTTTGAAATTATGAAAGGAAATACGCGCTTGCACTGAAAAAGTAAAACTACCACAATTGATTTCCTAGTCAAGTCAGGTTATATAGGGTTAGGCCTTAGGGTGCTTCATATATACAATATTAAATATTTTGTAAATGAAAGTTCATCTGTAATGGAAAATGTTTTATTTGTTATGCTGTTTTTCAGGGGTTTACAACCTTGTGATTCGGATGGTCTTGCTGATCCGTATGTGCGGATGTATCTTCTTCCCGAAAAATCAAAATCTTCTCGTCGCAAGACAGAGGTAGTCAAAAATTCATTGGAACCTAAGTTTAATGAAAGGTACGTATGTCGTATGGCAAGAAATTTTATTGCGTTGTATCATCTATTATATGGGCTTTGCAAAAAGTGTGAAAGACAGTGACAAGTAAACTCATAAAGAAAACTATTCAGTTCAATCAGCAGGCTACGACTTATTTATTATATTCGTCGATATATTTGTGTTCTACATTATTCATTTCTTTTGGAGTTTATTTGTTTTACGGTCAGTGAACATGAATATATATAAGTCGACGCTGGGATCATCACCTAGTGGTTTACGTTGCTTTTATGTTGTTGAACTGTCGGTGAAATTTTTGCCATTATAAAGAATACGAATGCGTGAAAATTTTTCAAAATACCTGTGCAGGTCGTTATGTGAAATTGTCATTGATATCATCATTTAGTTTTGAATGGACTCTGGATAGAAACGAAGTTCCTAAGAAAAGTTTAGAAGTAATTGTGAAAAATGATGTCTCATTTTTCTCAAGAGCCAAGACAACGATGGGAAGAGTAAGTCACTTGTTTTATGTTAATAGAACAAATAAAACTATTGTGTATTTAACGATGTAGCTGTCCCCGTTTTCATCATTTCTCAACAGATTGTTTTGGAATTGTCATCTTTGAATATGGAGAAATCTGATGCCACATGGTAAATATGAAACATTATATATTTGCAAATTAAGTTTAAGCAAAAAAACATGACATGCACTATAATATATGACAACTAACCAGTGCAACATTAATATTATAATACTCCATTAGACTGTTAGTAGAAAACATCTCTTTCGTCGCTTCTGCATGCACGATTTATGTTTTTTAGGTATCAGATTTATGATGACCCTGATGACAGTGATTAAACGCAGGGATACGCAGCAGTATATTTACATGTTTCCATCTGCACCACTGTTTTTGTTGAATAGCGATATAGTTTTGTAAAATTTAGCGGCAATTACATGACCAATAGTTGGAATTTATGTTTCATCTATATATCAGTTTATTTCATTCGTTTCTAGATTGTTAGTATATTGTATCAGAAATAAAAAAATGCACTAAATATGCTGCCATGTGTAGACTATTTTGACTTAATTTAAAACGAATATCAAACGAAAAATTTCGTTCGACCGAAAAGCTCATCCTAGTGGAATTGAGAACAGTCAAGTTTGATTAATACATTTATACCATTAAAATTCCGAAGAAATATGTAAATTTATTATTTTATACTTATAGCAAACCATTTCCCTCCAACCAATTCTTCAGTTTAATCAGTTATTATTTTCTTGTACGTTTGCATGGTGACGTCAAATAAGTAAACTAGCTTGTAGGTACACCACGTAAGTATTTAATACTGCAAAGCTTTCGGTTAACTGCAGTAATAAATACTTACGTGGTGTACCTAGGGCTACAAGCTAATTTACTTAATTCGAATTCTTCAGTTCTTCAAAAATATTTAGCATCAAATGTGGTATAACAACTGGCTAAAATAGACAAAACACTTCTCGACGTTTCGACCTGAGGGCCTTTGTCAGGAAAGTTAGTATGACAAACATATCATGTTAAGTGTCTATTTTAGGCTATTTTATACATTTGATGCTACGTTATATCTTCAAAAGTATGTTTGTTTTTGTTCAGTCCAGTTTCGTACTGCGGTCTGTGACGATAATCCAGTGCGTACGAGTTCACTGGTGCGTACGTACGCCTACCAGCTTACGAAGTACGAAGTTCATTGTGTGCCTATAAAATTCTGAGAGAATTTGCAGCAGTTTTGACCACCAGAAGCTATAAGAGTTCGCGCATGAGACATTTTAATAGCAACATGGCAGGTTTTATCAAGGTAGGATTACAGAAGTATTTTATTGTGGAAATCCTAGGCAAATAGCGATTTATACCCATGTCTCTCCATGGGCCCACCAGGCTAGCTGCAGCAAGCATAAATTTTTCCTATATATGTACAAAGGATAATAAAGCCTTACATATAATAAAGAGAAATGATATTACGAAAGAATAAAAGTTGGCTATGAGCTTATCCAGCCTTTAAATGACCCCAAAAGGGGTTTAGCCCCATACAGTTTCACATGGTGAGTTTGACCACTTTAAGGATTGCATTTTCTGCCACACATACATACAGCTTGCTGGTTATGCAGCAGGCCAACGTTTTTTTAAATGCATATGAAAAAGAAACTAATGTTTTCCAATACTTGGCATTTTGTAAAATCAGAATGGTGATTGGTCATGATTAATTTGTAGCTAGTCTGTTCTGTGGCAGCCAAGGTTGCTAGCAGATTTTAACTTAAAGCAGATTTTCAAGTGGCAGAAGCTTGAAACTATAAAAAAGTGGACAGAGACACAGATAACAACATAATGAGGGTTTAAGAAAGACTAATTTGGGTGGTTTGAATAGCACTTGGGACTTTTCTCTTTATATATTGGCTTCATTTGTATTTAGTTAGTTAACTTCTGAAGAAGGCTGCAGCATGTGGCCGAAAATCTAATTAGAAATTAATTAATTAGAAATCTAATTAGAATTGCATATGTTGTGTAATATGATTGAAATCTCATGTAATCTCATTGTAATCATATGGAATTCTAATTAGACTTTGAGTATCTATCTATCTGCGGCCATTGTTTTTGCAAATGAGTGTATATATACATATACATATATTGATGTAAATACAATTAAGTAAAGTATCCAAGAAGAAAGAGTGCTCGATATCAAAATTTAATAGAGCGATTAAAATAAAATCAATGAAATATTACAAAATTTTGAATATATTGTTCGCTACACTCTGTGTTTCACGTTTCTTCTGAAATGATCATCAGGCGATCATCAGGCACACAGAGTGTAGCGAACAATATATTCAAAATTTTGTAATATTTCATTGATTTTATTTTATATTGATGTAAATATATATATATATATATATATATATATATATATATATATATATATATATACATCAATAAAAAAAAAAAGAAATAATTTATTTTACGTTTCGGGGCAAGCCCCTTCGTCAGAAACGAAATAACAATCTGTTCACCGTCCTTCAAACCTATATAGCCTAATTACCTGAAAATTAGCATAACCATACACTTAACAATCTTTCCTCTCATATATATATATATATATATATATATATATATATAATATATATATATATATATATATATATATATATATGAAGGTGCTTGTGGAAACATGTCTGGTATATTATGAACTTGTTGTATTAATGATTTCCTCAGACATAAAATTAACTATTTATTTGTTAATATCCAAACGTTTCGCCGGTCAAGGCTTCTTCAGTGGAATGGTTAGTAGCAATATTAAGATCCTAGTGTATATACAGGTATGTACAATTAAAAATTCATAGCTTATTTCTATACTAAACGGAAGTAATAAACATGCTAGTCATGCATTAGTGATAAGTTTTACTTAGGATCTTGCATTCAAATATTCGAAATGACGAAGAACGAAGATATATAGAGGCTCATGAAATACAAAACCAATCTGAAGACATTATGAACGGTTGTGTTGGGAAAACAATTTGTATATAGAACGATTTTAACATATAGAATTGTATATATCGAAACCATTTTTAACCCATAGAATTTTAATAGACATTTATCCTAAGTAAAACTTATCACTAATGCATGACTAGCATGTTTATTACTTCCGTTTAGTATAGAAATAAGCTATGAATTTTTAATTGTACATACCTGTATATACACTAGGATCTTAATATTGCTACTAACCATTCCACTGAAGAAGCCTTGACCGGCGAAACGTTTGGATATTAACAAATAAATAGTTAATTTTATGTCTGAGGAAATCATTAATACAACAAGTTCATATATACATATATATATATATTAATATATATTATAATATATATATATATCTTTCATAGATTGAAGATGGACACACTTTTTCCAAAGAAATGTTTTGCATTCCTCATCATTATGAAGATTTCCTGGAGTCAGTCATGATTCCTAAAGGCCTTATTCTTAACAGGTCAGTAAAGACATATTCTCTGCTTGGCATCCTAAATATCATCAGCAGCATCTTACATGAAATCTTATTTAAGAATAATTTAATACAAGAGGAATTTGCTGCTTAACTTTGGTTACCATCCTCAAGAAACTAGACAACCTCATTTCACAAATTAATACTGGTATTACTGGATGTTGGTTTCTTTTTTAGTAGACTACAGTAGATTCCTGCTTGATGGACTTTGTCCAAAAGGATTTTTCCTTACAGTTTTATTTGTTTATTTGCAAAGATGGCTATGACATAATTCCTAAAATTTTATAAAAAAAGTCAACAAGTAAATCATGACAAAATTGAAATTAATATCATAAAATATCATTATAATTTACTATGTCCATGACACTTTTGGTAATTGTTTAAAATATGTTTTGTTTAAAATATGAGAAAACGTAGTTATTCTTTTTAGAGTTGAACGATTAGCTCGTGATATTTGTCGTGATTTTTGTCATGGTCCATTAGTAGCTCTTTGCTGTTTAAAAGGTGGTTACCAATTCTTCTCACATTTGAGTGAATTTATCATCAATTATAATGGGAATTCAGGTGAGTGTGATTGGTTAATTTATTCTATTCAGCGTCATGAAGTCTTTAAGTTGGACACAACCATTTGACACAACTCTTTTAGTTGCACAATGTAAACGGTGTTGAAAACAAATAAGTACATCATATGTGACAGCGGTTGAATAACAATTAAACAGGAAAGACAATGTAGTTTAGTTGGAGTGGAATTAAATTATTGACTATTGTTCAAACATGCAGCACAGTGTAGCAAAAGCTTAGCCTTGGACGCTATGTATAATGCAATTGGCATTAATTTTTTGCTTGGTTTTAGGTCAGTCAGTCCCATTTTCGATTGATTTCATACGTCTGAAGAGCTACGAGGTATTCTTATCCTGTTTACTAGTCTCTTGACAGTTTAATAAGGTTAGACAACACTTGTCTTTGAATCGTATATTCACTTTACCCAATTCTGTTCTATTATGTTTAGAATGATTCCTCTACTAATGACGTTAAAATTATCGGCGGGGATGATTTATCTTCTATAACTGGAAAGGTGAAAATTTTAAAATATTAGCTTTATATTTAAATATCCTTGATACTGATTTGTTTTCAAACGTAGCATAGCCATAAGTAAATTACAATTTTCAAAAACAGTTTTTAAGTCAGGAGAACAGTCACCAAAAAGGATATATACGCGTACTTTCATGTCGGTTAGGCTGGATTTCCACTTGCAGAGAAATAGTTTGCTAGCGAAATATTTGCATATTTTCTTTTGAAATGAAAGAGTCAAGCTAAACTAATTTATTTATTCTTTCAAAATTCAAAAGAAAATATGTAAATATTTTATTTTTCAAAATGTTTACTTATTATGTCTATTGCTTATATACATTTAAGTTTACCATGGTCGCATAACTTGTATTTGCCATTAAAAGTAGATTTTTATGTTTTAGAACGTTTTGATTGTTGAGGTATGTTGTTGTCTTTTCACTATAGAATGTAACAAAATAGTCTTGTACACCTGTTACATACCATATGTTGAGTCAACTGAATACTAAAAATCATGCATATCTGTATGGTAATGATCTGTACAGGGCGATTAAATGTAATTGACATCTCCGTGTTTCCCAAAGAAAACTCTTTTTCTTAAAGCCCAAAAGGCCTAAGTTGGCCAGGCGCGTACCGCGGTCTTCCCAGTTGGGAGGGGGTGTCGCTTAGGATTTACCGACGAAGACCAAAAAAAGCACATTTTTATTTATGGAGAAATATAATTGAGGGATAAAACTTGTGTCGTTTCAGAAATCACTATACATGAATCAATTAACTTAAAAGTACTACAGCGTCACGGAGTAAGTAATAAATATCTTTCACTTACTCTGTGAAGCGTAGACAATAAAATTCACGCGCCTTTTTATAATTTTATTTATCTAATGGGTGGTCCATTGCTCTCGTCGCTTAATGCCATGAATTCAATTTACCGACCATTTTGAAACTTCAATTCCCGACCATTTTGAGACAAAAAAGGCGTATCACACTCCCTGCACCCCTCTCCTGCTCGGTACACCCCTGCAATTGGCACCAGAAGTGTCTCGAATATATTTTTGATTTTCCGGCAATAAAGAAATAAGCCTCATTATAAGAATCATTAAGGTTTTCACATTTCAATTTTCAAAGTCACTGTCAGAAAAGTTCTTTGTTATGCGGAGTAATTATGTCATACTGAAAATCGAATTATACACTGTAACCCCACCTAAATATTATGGCGTCTTATGATTGTCTATTTCCAACGATTGTATTTTTTGTTATACTTTCTAAATGTTATACTTTCTATATTTGTTGGCACTGTAAATCGTATAGTGAACAATTTTGCCCTATATAAAAGTCGGTTTCTTGGGAATTCTTTAGTTCCGCGCCTCATAGCAATGCCTCTGCATATATATAGGCATGCATATAATTGTTATATGCCCGAAGCTCTTTTAAGACTTTATCGAAAACAATTTGTGGCATGCATTCATATATTAAGTTGGTGGATAGATACATAGATAGAAAGATGGATAAAAAGAATGATATAGGTAGTCTCACAATTTTATCTAGGATATTATTGATACTGGAAAGACGATGGAAAAGATGCTTCAAATTGTTTCACAATTTAAACCGGCTCAGGTTAAAGTCGTCAGGTATATGTTTCTCGATTATTTTAGAACAATGCAGAATACCGTTTATTATTCACTTTATATGCATGTATATGCATGCATGGTACAGAACAGCGCAGAAATTGGTGTTTACTTAGTTTCAAGCCGAGCTGTTTAACAATTGCGCATTTCTGTATCGCTATATATAAATAGACTATTGAATAAGTTTCAAAAGTTCAATTTTTCTTGCATGTTCAAGTCTTATCCTCCCATGGCCAATCTTCATTTTAGCGAATCGAAATAAATCGTTGTCGCATGTGACATATTTGTGACCATCTTGTTGGCGTTCAGCGGTTCATTCAACTTCCGTACTAACTTCAGCCGCTCTTTCGACTTCCAGTTTCTTTGTGCTAAACATATATATACCGTTTCCCCGAGTTGTAAAACTGTATTTGCGTTCGTTTAACGCCTTTGGTGAATGTTAACTATTAGCTGCTAAAGATATTTTATTTTATTTTAAAGTTAGAACACCTATGAAAAAATCGAATTACAGACCTGATTGTAAGTGTTAATACGTACTCAGAAGAACAACATAAACCGAAGACTTGATCTTTGAATAGTTTAAAATTATACTAATTAAGAAAGAAATACGTGCATGGTAGTATAATTAGTTTCATGCACTAAAAAGCATGATAGCTTGTCAGTTAACCGTCTATTTTATACCAACTCGAGTGTCTGTGACACAGCGAAACGGGACACACTAACGGGCTTAAACATGGCCAAACTCTTTATACCCTTCTCGTCATTTCTTAATTCTTGTTTCATGCCCTTCTCGTTATTTCCTAATTTTTAATATACTATTCATTATTATTATGTCATTTTTCCTTAATTCATTCTGGTTTGACATTAACTTCTTCGATATTTTTAACATTACAAACCTCTTTCCTATAGATATTGGTTTTGAAATCCCAAATCATTTTGTTGGTTATGCCATAGTAAGTTCGTTTTATTTTCGCTTTGAAATTATACAAATTAAGAAAGTGCATGATGACCGATCCTGTTTTGAAGTCTGATGATGCACGCTCATGCAAGCTTTGAGGTCGATCGAATGTTACGTACTACAGGGTGATCAAAGTTAGTCGCAAGTAATTCATTCATGCTTTTGTTTTAAACTAGTATTGTTCTTTATCATTCGTTTTAGGATTACAATGAATATTTCAGAGATTTAAGTGTAGGTGAATGTTATAGTACCTTATTTTTTTGTTTTAATTATATAACCACAAAGTAATTAGATCACTCAGATCAGGCAATCTGTTTTTCATCATCTTATTGTAAACAATAATTCCTCGCTTTATTTTTTCCTGTAATTTGATTGGTTACTATCACAGATTTCAGCATAAATCAGCCTCATGCATATATATCCAAGTGATTTAAAAATTGCTGATACTATACATGGCGTATTAATAAGTACCCCTATTGAAATCAAGCTTTGGTTAGAATTTTGTTTATATTTATATAAACAAAACATTATGTTTTTTCCACAGCATATCTGCGTTATCAATGGAAAAGGAATAAAGAAATATGAGAAATAGATCGGGCTAAAGAAATGAAGAAATCATCGACGAAACGACTACTGATTTATGACTGATTTTTACAAACGGCATCTATACAATCGGCAATTCCAAACATATCCGGGAGTAATCCCGAAAATATGAAATCGTTCTATTTTAAATGCATTAAGATATTAAATTAATACATATATTTGTGATGAAAATTTCTACTTATGATGGTGACTCACCATTTCTACTGACGATGGTGTACAGCAAAGATAAATGGGACGAGTATTGAACCTTTTTTCTTGAGTGACTCCAACGATTGTTTGCAGACCCGTTAGAAGGGCCAAAAACATTGGGAGGGTGCTGCGAGATGTGACCAGGTCAGCAATGGAGAACTCTGGCTGTCATCTGTCAAAATTCATATTCATTCATATATATTCATTCGCTGAGCCAGCGACACGGTCTTTTAGGGTTAGCGTAGCCAAATAGTATAGTAATTATTGGGTTAGCGTAGCCCAAATAGGGTTACAAGCAAATAATCAAATTAATGGCGAAGAAAAATAAAAACTATCCTCGCTTTGAGAATATTGAGTAATAAATAATAAGGATTGTCGCAGGACGAGATGTTGAAGCATTCTCGCAGGATGATCTGTTCAAAGATCGTCGCAGGATGAGATTTAGAAGTATCCTCGCAGGTGTATTAGTCGCAGTGTGGCATGAGGAACAAAAGGCCTTATACGTTTTAGGGCACCTATACCTCTTTTTTGCACAGTTTTCTTACATGAATTTTCCAGGACATATTTTCATCAATATATGTACCAAGAGATTTTGTAAAAGTAACTTGTCTGATTGGAACATTATCAATCATCATGCAATGAAGGAGATGCCCAAGAATGTGAAAGGCAATTTGATAGATCATGGATGTAAATTAGAAACAAAACTTGGCCCTAATATGGATAGTAACCGCGTCCGAACGAGCCGAAAACCGGCGTATGTAACCGCGATCGAACGAGCCGAAAACCAGAAAACGTATAGATATATAACCGCGTCCGAACGACCCGAAAACCGGCGCGTACGTAACTGAACTGAACTGAAACCTTTAATCACGGTAGACTAATCAGGATTCATATATACATATATTATATATATTATATATATATAATATATATATATATATATTATAATAATTATATTATAATATATTATAATATATATATAATATATTAATATATATATAATTATATATATATATATATATATATATTTTTTTAAAATTTATATAGCGCAAAATACATATGTATATGATCTAATGCGCTTTACATGAAATAAGATAAATACAACCAAGATATAAGTACAGTATTAATTTACAAATAACTAAAACTATATTTGATAAAACTACACCTACTGTTCATATGCTAATTTAAAAAGATACGTTTTTAAAGATGATTTAAAATTAAGCAAACTGTTCTCAGCTCTAAGACTGGTAGTGAGTTCCACAGAGCTGGCGCGGCCGCGGCAAATGCTCTATCTCCTGTAGTTTTGTTAGTTCTCTCTTTAGGGTACCCAAGGTAACACCCGTTATTTGAGCGCAAGCTATAACGGGATTGTTGTTTAAAACTTATTAAATCTGAAATATACCTTGGAGCATTGCCTTGCATGGCCTTAAATGTAACTAATTAAAATGATCTTAAAGATAATTCTGTACTTCACCGGCAACCAGTGCAGTTGGTACATGACAGGAGAGATGTGACAAAAACGAGGGGTGTTAGACACCAATCTAGCTGCTGCGTTTTGAACACGCTGTAACTTGTTAATTTGGTTCGCCGGCAATCCATAAAAGAGGCTATTGCAATAATCCAAGTGTCCAATGACCAGAGCAAGAACAAGCTGTTGCGTAGACTCGTGTGTAAGGTACTTTCTAATACGTCGTATATTATGCAGAAAGTAAAAGGCCAGGTTACATGTTTTAGTAATATGAACATTAGAATCATATTCGAATCAAACCAAACTCCAAGATTTCTAGCCTCATTCACTACAGTTATACTAGGGCTTCCAACGATTAATCTATCAACAGTAACTTTCGTAAGTTGTTGGCGAGTCCCAATAGTCAAAATTCCGTTTTGCCATCATTTCATTTCTTGTCAATAATCATCCATGCTCTCACAGTTTTAATGCATTGTTCCATGCATTCATCAATGCTTCCATTTCACTCGAAGAACTGTCTGGTCGGAACGAAAGGTATGCCCCTGGGATTTTAAAATGGCTTCTAATCGTACAGTTCAACTGCTGATAGTCAAATCAGCTAAACTAATAATGGTGCAGCTAACAACCGAACAACGAGTTTTTATTGTCTGTTGCATGATAACTTGAATGCTAACTGTCGACCTTGTAAAATAAATTGTAAATAAAATTTTACTCGTTAAATACTTTCAATTCAGCTCGTTGGTTTACGCACCCGACTTTGTTTACCGACGATTGTGCCGCTAGAATATGATTACAAGCTTTCTCCCATTCCAGGGGCCAAACGTGTTGTAAAACAAAGAGGATATTCATGAATATTAATGGTTGCGTTTTTTTGATACACCCTGTATATATATATATATATATATATATATTATATATATATATATATATATATATATATATATATATATAATATATATTATATACAAGCGACAGGAAAAGCGACAACAATAGCCTAGTCATTATCAACAAAGTAGAGCTAATAAATCATCTAATCCCTGAAGCAGGAAAGTCTCTCAAAAATACTCAGACCGAAGCGAGTGAGAAAGAAGTAACCTGAAGCAGGAAATTCTTTACAAAATTCTACCGAGGGCAATGAAACTATTCCACCGAAATCTCTTATAAGGCCAACTATTTCAAATATTCATAATTAGTTAATGAACCACAAACTTATTAGACCATGTGTTTTGTTTTTCACAGATATAAAGGAATGATTATGATTAAACTGGACTTCTAGGAAGAACAATTTAGAACTGATAGAGCTATCCAGTATAAATAAAGTTGGTTCAGTTTAGGTTTCCTCCTGTAATAACACTGGATCAATAAGAGATGATCCTTACTGGAACTATAGGAAGAACAGTTTAGAACTGATAGAGCTATCCAGTACAAATAAAGTTAGTTTAGTTTAGGTTTCCTCCTGTATTAAAACTGGATCAATAAGAGATGATCCTTACTGGACCTCTAGGAAGAACAGTTTAGAACTGATAGAAGTATATCCAGTATAAATAAAGTTAGTTTAGTTTAGGTTTCTTCCTGTAGTAACGTTGGGGGTGATTCTACAACACCTCCACTGACGGTTTCCTCGTTGTTTCAATGTAGTTTCAGGTTTAAAAACCGACAAGAATGTTCTGACCAAACAGATTTCTGATATCGAAAAGGAAATATCGGCTGCTATACAGAAAATCTAGGTTAGTAGACGTGTTGAAATGCTGCCTCAGGAACTTATCAAGGAGTGTTGTTGAAGGCCCGTCTGTTATGTATCATTGTCGATCTAATCATCTCTTGGTGCTGCATTTTAGAACACGATAATGAGCCGTGATCAGATCGAGAATCTCCACCGTATTCTTGTGGAAGGTGGACAAACAAGTCGTAGATTTTCAGAAGCAAAAAGGGAGGGAGAAGAGGGAGGAAGAAGAGAAGTTGAGAAAAATCAAAGAACAGATGGAACTGAAAAGAAAAAGGCGAGAAGAGGAGGAAAGGAGAAAAAACAACTTGAAGAAGAAGCAAGAATGTAAGTTTAAAATGATCAACGATATCATATTCTTTTTCCTCCTAAACTCACACCAGATGATCCAAAATGGCGGAAATAGATTTGACTATTTGTCAAACTAAACAAAAATCAAATTCTCGGTTGAAACAACTTAATATCACTTAAAGTATATGTCACATTTATTGCAGTTCTTATAACTAAACATGTTCACGAAATTTCGGCTATTTTCATAAAGAATAACAAAAGATATGATGGATTAAATACTGCAGAATGGTTTCTATTTTGAAAACCCTGCCGAGCACTGATTGGCTGAAATATGAGCGCTGGCTGTGTACGATATTTAAATGTTTACATTTTTTGTGTTTTAGTAAAGCTGAAATGGAAGCCGAAAGGCGAAGGGCAGAAGAGGAAGAAATGAAACGGAGGGAACTTGAAAAAGCGAAACAGGTTTTGAGCATTATTACGATAAATAAATAAAATTTATTTTCAAAACTTTTTATGTATTAATGTCGTACCATACTTGATCACCTCTGGCATATTTTTACCGTGAATCTTTTCTGGGTTTTTTAGAAAGAAATCGAGGAACAATTAAGGAAAGAGGAAGAAGAGGCAAAATCTCGGTATGAACTTATTTTTGCTACCATAAACATCTTTGCGAGGTTTTCCAAAAAAATTCCCGAGTCCTTTTTATACACTCATACGTAATGCTTTAAATCTGATATTTTTTTCAATGTAAAATTTTATTATTTCAGACAAGCTGCTCTTGAACAAGAGAGATTAGATCACGAACTGGCCTTGCGTTTGGCAAAGGTATTATATCTCAATATTTTTTCAATTTCTTTGGCGATTAATACTACTAAATGCTTCCGTTTAACTGTTCAACTGTGTGGAAGTTTATGTTCATTTTCTGTTAGACAGAATTAGGCCTATACTAATTTGTTCTCATTTAAGGAATCCAACTCGAATGTAGAACCCATGGAGGAACAAAAAGCTATTATAAGGTAAATATTTTATAATATTGTATAGCTCTATCAGTTCTAAACTGTTCTTCCTAGAGGTCCAGTAAGGATCATCTCTTATTGATCCAGCGTTACTACATGCAGGAGAAAACCTAAACATACTTTATTCTGATCAGCTATCACAAACAAGATACTAAAAAATGAACTTATTTTCCAACAGAGCGGCTTCCTTGAAAGATCCGAATAAGAAATATGACCTGAGTAAATGGAAATACGCTGAGTTAAGAGACACCATCAACACCTCGTGCGGTATGTGTTGTTGTCATTGCTTGGTTCCTGTGGAAAGTTTAGTTTTGAATAAAAAATATGGACTTCTGTTTTTGTTTTTCTAGATGTCGAGTTATTAGAAGCTTGTAAACAAGAGTTCCATCGCCGCCTTAAGGTTTATCATCAGTGGAAAATAAAAAAAGGCATCGAAGTCGACGGGTCAAAGTGCTGGTGATCAAAGAGCACCTCAAGAGGTCGTGGAAGAAGGTTG